ACATATGCGAGTGTGTACCTGACTAGGACTAAATAAGACAAAGCGTAGCACTGTATCTGTGGGCTGTACAGCATACATAAGACAGGAAGCTAGTATACGGTACAGTAAAGTGTCTCCACGTGTTGGACGTTAGTATCAGCCACCGATATCATCGTGGGGGGGAATCTGGTAATTTTCCTTTTAGAGTTATTCCTAATCATTTCTAGCTTGCTTCCTCTTCTTGCCTAGCTAGCCGCATGCTATGTCACATTTCTTAGTGCTTAGTCTGTTTCTCGTGTACTCCACTGGTGCTTCTTAGCCTGGGGCTAGTGTCGTGTGCTACTCTAGGCTGTGCATGTGGCATGTGGCACAGGTACTCCGTATAGGTACTCAGTACAAATGTATATAGTTCTAGATGGTGCTTGATATCTATAGGTTTTGCTTATCTCTCCAGAGTTCCTTTACCTCTCTTGTTTTCCCTTCATATCGCTAGTATCTTAAAATGACTGGCATCTTCATTTTATTTGAGACAGAGCATATCACACAGGGGGTCTCCAAGCATATCTATACCTGAACGTATTCACCATTGCGAATCATAGACTTTTCGGTGTGATACTATTCTCAGCGTGTTGTGCTTGGTTCCTTTTTTCTAAGCAATCTCGTATTATTTACTAGTAGTAAATCCTTTCCCCCACACCCCACATTTAGTTCGTATACGGATGGATATGCCAAGTGACTAAATAATGCGGCGATCGAAGTAGTATTTCAACCTCCAAACTGGTGGAAAATGGTAAGGTGAAGAGTATTTAGGTTTTAGGACTCCATGAAAAGGTATTCAACCCATTTCAGAGGTGGCGTCGTCTCCAGACTATTGTTTCTTTTCTAGTACCTCTTTTCCAAACCCCCGAAGCTCACTTGAATCTTAATGTGGCCTTTGAGACTAGAGCTGGGTTGTACACCTGCTGTAACCTAAGATTAGCGACTGGTTTACCCGAATACAAGCACTTGGAGGTAAAGGAAACATGTCTACTATATAGCCATACAATGTCATCGATTTTTAGATCGTGGTTTGATGATTGTGCGTATTTGTATTTGCATGATGGCAATTTTTGGGTACAATGAAAGTTCCGAAACCTATGGCATCGGCTGGACGTCGAAGATCCAATAATAGAACATCAATGAGATAACAAAAGTGATATAGAGATATCTATATGAAGCTTCATGCCCGCTTCAAGGTTGATTTGAAGTAGGTAATTACATACCAGTAGTCATCCACGGATCAGTGCATGAGCTAAGTGTAACGTAGATCCAGATATCCCAAGGAACTAGTAAACTAGTAAAACACTTAAACGCACAGAAGACTCTTGGAAATGACCTCTAGCGCTCCCGTCAAGGCCCGCAGGGAACATGGGTTGGAATGGGAACTAAACTACTTGCAGTCTAGGCCTCGAGGAACTGAGATAGCCTCAGGCAGACATTCTGACGCCTGAAAATATGCCCGAATATACAGGCACCAGGACTAGACCCGATATGAACTAGCGTCCGGTCCTACGAAATTGTTTCGCGGTCCATCTCCGGACATGCAATGAGGAAATAATAATCTGTTCTTCGTGTTTTTCAATTTTGCCACTGTTCCAGTGCTGAATCCGTGTCTCCTTTCTAGCATTGTGCAGGACACAAGCTTACCACCTGGAGATCACAGTAATCCGGTCATGACATTTCGGTTTCCAGGCTCGCTCGTGAACAGAGCTTTGCGCAGTCGAATTCTTACCGCGCAGCAATACCGTGCTGCTACTGCATCCCAACGACTACCACAGACATGGATTGCCTCAAGTGACTACCGCCGCTATACTTCCTCCCACAACCGCCCTACCGATAGAGATAGCGATTCTCACCGCATAAGACATGGCCCAGAACGCTACGAGAGGGTTGGCGATAAGCATTTTAAAAATCGGCATGGCAATAGACGGGATGTTCAGAATGTTAAATCCAGGGAAAACCATGACGTTTTGATGGCCATTGCGTCAGGTTCCTTTACCGGGCGATACAACGACCGTGAAGCTTCTGCAAGTGAGGCCGTGGATCCCGAGGCTGCTGAAAGCGAGGACCTGGAGAACGACCCCTATGATTACCAGGATGGCGAAAGCGAGGCGCAGGAGAACGATGTCTCTGGTGACAAAGTATCCGAAGAACACGATCTGGAGGCCGATACCGCCGATGGCGAGACTCCTGAGAAAGTCCGTTTTGGTGGCTCGCCTGGAGAAATGCCCAAACTCACACCTAAGATTATCAATGAGGAGTTGAAATGGTTGAATGACCCCCGCAGAATGGCGGATCGGGTCGCGCGTATCTTGCACAGTGGTAATCCGGCTCTGGCCGCAGCCTTGGTTCGTGCTGGAACAAAGCAGGGCTTGAGATGTGATGTTGCCTGGAATCATCTCCTACAATACTGCATGGATCAAAATCACCCGCAGGCTGCATTTAAATTCTACAATGATGTGAGTTCTGTTTTGTGGTGCTCCCACCCCAGGAGTTGCCCGAGTTTGAGGTTTGGACTTGTATGCTGACATATCTTCTCTCCCAGATGAAAAAACGTGGCAGGAGACCAACTCCTAGAACGTACACGATCATGTTGAAGGGCTTTAGCGCAGCCCCAAGGTCATTAGCTATTGCCAAGACTGCCGCCTCTGTCTATCGCTCGATTGATTCACCAAACTCAGGAGTCAAGCTTGATATCATACACACCAACGCTATGCTTACAGTTTGCCACCGTCATTGGGATATGGATCGGCTGTGGAAAATTGCCGGTGACCTACCCGAAGAGGGACCAGGTGCCCCGGATGCTACCACATACACCATTATCTTGAACGCAGTCCAATTCGCAGCTCGCAGAGATGTGGAGAAGAAGTCTCCCAATGAGATTGAACAGATCCTCGAACGGAAAGCTCAGGTCATTACCGAAGGCAAGCGGATTTGGGCCGACATCCTCTGGCGCTGGAAGAACCAAACCTTGAAAATTGACAATGAACTTGTCAACGCCATGGCCAGCTTGCTTCTGGAAGGAGGTAGTGATATTGACTGTTACAATGTCATGGAACTGTACAAGCAAACCATGGGGATTCCCATACTGCAAAAGCGACCCACCGAGAATGAGAAGACGACCCGCCGCAGAATCACACCCGAACAAACCCAGGCTATTGAGGTCCAAGAGGCTACGCGACAATCAAATATGGAAGATTTGCCGTTTGTAGACGAGAATAATCGACCGATCGAAAGTTTGGAAGCGGCCGTGGAAGTCGAGAAGGACTTGAGAGAAGAAGTAGAGGAGGTGGAGAAAGAGGAGGAAGAAATGGAAGAGGAGGAGGAAGAAGAAGACTTTACAGAACTCTTCAAACCCGTCGTTCCCCAGGCGGAGGAGCTATCATTCCTCAAACCAGACAGCAAGGAACTAACTCTTATCCTGAATGCTTGTTTCACCATGACCCAAGGGTCTGAGGGTGGACAAGCCTACTGGAAACACATGACTTTGGAAGACCACGATTACCGCATTGACCCCGACACATTCACCTACATCCAATACTTCCGCCTCCTCCGCATCTCTCGCTCCAGCAAAATCAGTGTCAAAACAATGCGGGAGCAGATGGTTCCCTCCGGCCAAGCAACCGGAACAGCATTCCACGTCGCTCTGAGTGTCTGCCGCCGTGATCGCCGCAACCATTCAGTTCTCCAACACGCAAACGAGCTGCTCGGGTTGATGGACAAAGCATTGATTCTCCCAGATATTCGCGTCCTCGAGGGTTACCTCGAAACGATCCAGGTCCTTTCTGCCAACCCGTCCGTCCTTCTGCACCTCAGAGGACTCGACACAGCCGAAAACTCCAAATCCTCCAAACCCACCAAACTGCATGAGATGGGCAGGAAGCTACAAGCGAAGCTGCGACTAGCTGCTGTCGCCACCTTGCGGCCTTATATCCTCCAGCTACACGAGGCAATGGAGAACGGTAAACCAGAGTCGAAGACTCGCTGGAGTGCGATCCAGAACACACTGTCAGATTCTGTCGCCGGTCCGGCGGCTGTGAAGATCATGTCGCGGGTTCGTCTGGTGGTTGACGACACTCTTAAGCTTGATTATAAGACTTATGTCTCCAAGGCCGAGCGCAAGGCTCTTGAGGCTGACTCGAATATGCTGAAGAAGTATTCTGATAAGGATGTCATTGCGGCGTGGAAGAGAAAGAAGGTATACCCGACGCTTCAGCAGAAAGAGGAGGCTCGGGAACGCATCAAAAAATTCCAGTGGGAGGCTCAGAAGTCTCGGAACCAAGAAAGACTGGATCAGCAAGAGGCCTTTTCCGGAGACGCATAGATTGAGGCTTGGTCGAATTCGTGGTCTTGGACACGATAGAATCGAGTGAGATCTGGATTGTATTATGTTTGTATATTACACACTGGGGGCTATAGATGGCGTTGCATATTTGCATTATGTACATAATACCATTTGGTACATTCTCTACTTCTAACATGGAACAATAATTAAGATTCTAAAGGAATTTGATGTTGCTGTCAACTTGTAAGATGTATGGTCCTTCAACCATTTTTCTATCCAGTGTCAAGTGATAGATTCAACCATTATCATTATTAACCTGGAATTTCTACTGTAGATAAGATCGATTGAAAGGAGTATAGTATGTAACGACTTGCCGAATCGGGTTAACGAACAAAGTGTCACGCCATCTGACAGCCGATGATAGAATGCATACAATGTTGGCAATACAGTGGAGATGATTGATTTACACACAATTTACACCAAGTAGGAAGTTCACCTGTCAGGGCTCTCGGAAGTTTGCCGTGCCCCGATTGTCGATGGCGCAAGATACGTGTGCGATGGGCAAATTCCGAGACGGTGCGGGGATAGTCCCTGGACAAAGCAGTTTGGGACAGGGGTTGGGTCACTTATAGACCATCGCTAGATATTTAAACACGAGGAAGCCTACGAAACATCTTTACTCCAGAGATTGCGAATCATGGGAGACAGCGCAGATAAGAGCCAGTATGGCTCAGCCACCGGCAATGGGAAAAAACAGATTTTGCTTAATGCTTTTGACATGTCGACCGTGGGACACCTATCCCCTGGACAATGGAAGGTTGGTATAGGAATTGAAGTTTGAAGGGCCGAAATGCTGACAGCTCCGCAGAATCCCAAAGACAAGTCAGCGACCAAGCGAACACTCGGCTACTGGATAGATTTGGCGAAATTATTGGAGCGCGGTGGAATCAACGCATTGTTCCTGGCAGATACAACTGGAGGGCACGATACCTATGAAGGCAAAGTGGACGAGTGTATTCGGCGCGCGGCGCAATGGCCCGTGACGGACCCGACTATCGTGAGTGTCAATGAGACAAAAGTTTCGATATGAGTCTGACGATCTGTTAAGCCCATTTCGGCAATGGCTGCAGTAACAAAGAATCTGGCGTTTGGCATCACGGCCTCGACTTCATTTGAGCAGCCATTTTTGCTGGCCAAGCGCTTTTCAACTTTGGACCATTTGACCAATGGTCGACTGGGTTGGAACATCGTGACCTCATATAAGAAAGCGGCGTTCAAAGCGATTGGTCTGGATACGCCGATTGAGCATGACGAACGGTACCGCCAGGCAGATGAGTATTTGAGGGTGCTTTATAAGTGAGTTAGATGCCCATGGATCAGCTAGGTGATGCCGTTGAAGACTGACTCAGCCGCTGTTATGTGTAGATTGTGGGAGGGTTCCTGGGCTCCTGACGCGCTGTCGCCCAACCCCGAAACAGACACGTATATAGACCCGGAGAAAGTCCGCCAGATCAACCACAAGGGCAAATACTTCTCATTGAGCACACGGCACATCGTCGACCCATCTCCGCAGCGGACGCCATTCCTTTTCCAAGCAGGGACTTCGCCTGCAGGATCGGAATTTGCTGCAACCCATGCGGAGGCAATCTTTGTCTCTTCCCATTCCCCAGAGGTGTTGCGGCCGAATATTGCAAGAATCCGCAAGTTAGCCGCAGAAAAGGGCCGTGATCCACAGTCAATCAAGTTCTTTGGTACCTTCACACCCATTGTAGGCGAGACAGACGAAGAGGCGTGGGCGAAGTACGAGGAGCTAAAGAAGTACGCCTCGGTGATTGGAGGACTGGTTCTTTTCAGCGGATGGACGGGTATCGACATTTCCAAAATCCCATTGGATCAAGACATCACGGCTGCTGACTCGCTGGAGGCAAACAAAATCACGAGCTTGCTTGATTCATTGCTCACGACTAGCAAGGATATCCCGCGCTGGACACCTCGCGTAGTTGCTGAGAGGGCTGCAATCGGTGGTCTTGGTCCGGTGGCTATTGGAAGCCCTGCTACGGTTGCCGATGAGATGGAACGCTGGATCCGAGAGGCTGACCTCGATGGGTTCAATCTTGCCTATGTTACCACGCCTGGCACCTTTGAAGATGTGGTAGACCTGCTCATCCCTGAGCTGAGGCGACGTGGTATTTATCCTGAGCTTCCAGACCCCTCAGAGCCATCTCTCACAGCCCGTGAGAAGATATTTGGCAGGGGACAGAAAGAGCTCAGGGCTGATCATACTGGAAGCAAGTACAAATATGATGTGTATCAGGAGGAGGAACCTTATGTTGCCGGTGCCGAGGGAAATTGATTGTCAAATTAATGACATCGAATGAACATTCAATCTACATATGAACATAGACAGAACTCTTGGATAATTAGAAAGCCCGTGATCTGCAAGACATGCATTTTGAGAGTGAAAAGGTGAAACAAAACGTGCCTGGTAAGATTACCCGTGACCTGGTACGTAATGCCACTCTAGCCTTTCCGGGACAGCTTGGCCAACTCGTCTCCATACTCCTCGATTACCTTGACCTTTCCTGTCGACTTCGCCTCTGAGAGGACTCAAGGCGTGCCATTCTTGTGCTAGTTTTTCGACCATCACGACCTTACTACGTGGACCATGGCTACCGTACACCACAACTACCCCCATGGTGACCCCCATGATGATGATTCTCTCCTTGGTGATGATTTGATCGAAGCTGACGACGGTGAGTACTTTTCTCTGCCGTTCTTGACTACTAGTATATCAGCATGATCCTAATTCGGTGGAATTCTAGCCATCGAAGCTGACGATCCCCTGCGCGATACCTCCGACACGGCCCCTCTGCGAGGCAACATCGAATCTTCCTCAAGCGGCCGAGGCAATACCTCTGGCTATGGCAATTACCTAACATCCTCTATCGGTGGTGAAGATCGCCGCGCGACGCAAAATACCATCGATGAGAGTGTTTGGGAGACATTGTCACGCGACTTGGTTGCCGTGTGGGAGAAGATGCGCCAGGTGCTTTGGCCGAAGTACTTGCTTGGAGGAATGATGCAGCGTGGAGGCAGTGGCACCGCTGATCCTGAGCAAGGTGGAGTGTCTGGATTCGGTGGTAACCTTCGGGGACTCGTTGGACGCTGGCCGGATGCCGACGTTGTCCTGCAGGGTGGCATGAGCGAAGGGTTGCGGGACTGGGATCTCTGGTAAGCTATCTCACCCACGAGAACAATTAGCAGAAAAAACTAACGGAAGCGTTTACTTCAGGGGACCGCTTGTGTTTTGTCTAGTCCTGAGTTTGTTCCTGTCAATCGCAAAGGGTGACCAATCCTCAGCAGTCTTCTCGGGTGTTTTCTGTCTTGTCTGGATTGGAGAAGCGGCCGTGACTCTCCAGATCAAGCTCCTTGGTGGCAAGATGTAAGTGTTGTATGGGTGATTTCTTAATATCGCTGTTTACTGACATTGCGACCTCTTAGTTCTTTCTTCCAGTCGATTTGTATCATCGGTTATACACTATTCCCCTTGGTCATTGCCGCAATGCTGAGCGCACTGGGACTTCCTACTATCGCACGCATACCGGTATATCTTGTGTTAGTCGCATGGTCGTTAGCAGCTGGAGTAAGCATCTTAGGAGGGTCGGGAGTGGTGCGGAACCGTGTCGGCATCGCAGTGTACCCGCTGTTTGTGTTCTACATTGCGATCGGATGTCTCTGTTTTATCAGTTAAGGCTCTCTATGATATTGTGCTCAAGAGTTGGAGAAATGCGCCGTCACATGCCTCTGATAGGCATCGGCAAAACCTCAATAACGTTGGATATTAGAATAGCGTGGATACCGGTATATCCCAGACTTGAATTGAATTTATGTGTATTGTTCTACCGAGGCAACGATAGATGATTGTTTTAGATCAATACGCTTTGTTTTCCATCCCATTGACGCTCTCTATTCAGAGAATCCCGTTTGTTGGGCCCCGCACCCGGCGGTCAAGTTATAAGAACCGGCAAGCTAGCTTTTCCTTCTTCTCTCACCTTTGCACCCTCCCATCCTCTTGTTCTTCTGTTCGCAAAGCTTGCAAAGTTGAAATCTTCCATTCTTCGTCGATTCGGCTGGTCCCAATCGATCCGATCTGTTCATCTGCGGTTATCGTGACCTGTGAAGCTCCGTTCAACCCAATTTTGACACCTGGAAATACCGAATCTCTTGAAGTTTGTCCTCAGGACGCGACACCATGTCTCCTGCTTCCCGTGAGCATAACCCCTCGGCAGGTGGTGTGTCATCATTGCTTGGGCGCATAGCCTCAAATCCCCCACATAGTTGGGCAGTTTCGCTAACAACTCCAAAGCTCCGGAAACAGAGCAACTGAAAATGGACCAAAGAGGTACGTATTAGTTGATCCAGGGATCTGTCATTGTTCCGCGACGCATCGTCCATCTCTATTTTCTTTACTCTTTGCCACGGCTTTCTCCGACGTTCATGTGATCTGACCATATCGTCTTACAGTAACCGCGCAGTCGCCCCCTCCGACAATGACAGCGGCGAACGCCCCGTGCGACAACAGCTCAAAGAGACCAATCTCGGTGCTGTGGGCGAAATGAACGGCTCTGCCCGTCCGAACCGAAAGCGCTCCCTCGACAACACAGATGGAGCAATCGACACACCTCCAACCAAACGATCTCGGGAGTGTACCCCGGACAACCCAAAGGCTTCCACCGGAGACAAATCCAACCACGCCGGAATCCCCAAAGATGCGACTACTCAAAGTGTGAGTGAGAATGTGCTGGCCACAACGCCTGCGAACACTATCCCCGAGACCAAGATCCAGTTTCCCCTGGTCCTCGAGATTAAGGTTTCAATTGGTGGATCTGAGCAAATCAGCCATTTGACCGTCCCTGTTGAGATCGATATCAAGCTGCCTGCTGGAGTAGTCTCCTTGGCTTGCTCGACTTCGAGACCCTCTCAAGGCGAATCCCTCAAAATTCATGTCACCAGCCCTTCTGCAAAGCCTATCCCATCAGGAAACCCTTCCCCTGGACACTCTTCCCCTGGACACTCTACCTCTGGACACTCTACCACTGGGAACCCTTCTCTCAAACAATCTTCATCTGGACATGATGTATCTGAACACTACACACATGACGACCCTTCATTCTACGTATATGAAGATCCTGAGTCAATTGGAGGTTCCTCATCTGAAGACTCTCTGCCTGACTACCGTTCACCTGAATTCCCGTCCTCTCCGCCTCCTGTCCCACACAGTCCAACGCATCCCGATTACCCCAGACCCACGGTTGAAATTATTGGTTCTAACCACTCTCATTCCCCACAGAATCTTGAAACGACCGCCGGCGAAAACGGAGATGACTCTTCACAAATTCTCAAGAAGAAACGGAGTCGAGAACAACTTGAAGATGATATCTCGAAGAATTCCCACGCTGCGACTGGCCCCGCTCCCGGTTTGACCGAGACAACTTCAACGGACGCGAAATCTACTGCCGAAGGACAACCTGAGAAGAAGAGACCCCGCGATAATTCGGAAGAGCGCAAGGCCAAGGTGGACCAGGTAAGTTTGCTCCCTTGACTTTCCCACCTCTTTTGTCCCCCGTCTTTCACTAACGCTTACTTCTGACAGACTTTCACCGCGAGTGCATTCGGGCAGTCCGCCAACTCACCATCACCATTCGCAATGCCTGCAACTAAATCGACATCTGATGCTTCGCCTTTTGCAACAACCGGTGCCTCTGCTACTGGTTTCGGTGCCCTCGGATCTGGTTTCTCTGCCTTCGGCAGCGCTTTCTCTGCTCCATCTGGTAAACTTACCAGTTTCGCGTCTCCCAATGCACCCGCCGATTTCTCTGGAACAACCGGTAAACTGACCAGTTTTGCATCTGCCAACGCTCCTTCTAGTTTCTCTGGAACATCTGGTAAACTAACCAGTTTCGCGTCTCCTAATGCCCCTGCTTCCTTTGGCGAGTCCGGTGACAAGACCCTTGGCGCAAAACAATCTGATGACGAAGAGAGTGACAATGAAGCGGCGGGTGAAACCGATGGCACCTTTGTTGCTGAGAAGACCGATGAGCGTTTCCACGAACAAACTGGTATGGACCCCTCCTTGCATCTTTTCCCCAGGATCCCAAAAATGGCCAGTCACTTATTTCCACGTGAAAAATTAGTTGAAACCGGCGAAGAAAACGAGACCACCCAATTCACAGCCAAGGGCAAGCTGTACTACTTTGACGACAAGAAATGGAAGGAGCGTGGCATTGGCACCTTCAAGGTCAACCTCAAGACGGAATCCAGCGGAAAGAAATCTGGTCGTATGATCATGCGCGCCGATGGTGCCTTGCGTGTTATGTTGAACAGTGCGATTTGGCAGAGCATGCCCTTTGGCGATAGCAAGAGTGCTCGCCCGACCACTCGGGATATTTATCTCGCCAGCAAGGAAGACGACAAAGTTATCAGCCTCCTTCTTCGGGTAAGTCTTCAGATCATTATCACTGAAATCTTTTGAATTTAATACTAACAAAATAACACAGCTTGGCAGCGAAAAGCCCGCTCAGGAATTGTATGATGTGCTAAAGGACATCCTGGAGAAGATCTAAGCTACATGTGGTCATGTCGATACATGTAAATTAAGAAAACAACACAAAAAAAGAAAAAAAAAGAACCACTCTTGTGGGGGTTCAAAGTTGTTATTGCAGATTTGAGCGATCTTTAATACACTTGTGTTAATACTGAATCTTCTTTCAGCATTGCATGTTGTCTCATATTCCACGACGCATTTATACTACGGACAGTCTACTACTGCCAGTGCACCAGTTCAGATTTTGTCTGTAGTATTCTTTATAATCCGAACACTTGATATAATACCCTAATCCTATATACGAGTTGAAAATTGAAGTCAAACTCTCGAGTGGAATTTTCAATCCTCATACTCGTATGAATTTTCGTGCCTAAATCCTCTACAATCTGCCTTTCTATACATCTATCTTGGGGAGTGAACTCAACCCCGCGTAAGGGGAAATCTTAAAAGGACACAGCCCAGATGCATTATGTATACAGCACAGGGCTGGACCTGGATCCTAAAATCAATCGAAACAATGATGACTTGGTGCACTAGGTAGGCGGCGCAGCAATGACCTTTGACCCGGGGTTCTCACAATCTGCCTTCTCGCACGATGCCGTTGTTTGGACACGCTTATCCCCTGAAGACCTATCATCTATATTATCTTTTTCATTCCCAGTCAGATATCCGCTTCACTGGTCACTAATGTTACAAAATGTTACTTTTACACTTTGGGGCCGATGCTTACCTATGTAGCATCCCAGAGCTTAAAGTTGTTATGACTCCGTAACTATTCTTTGAGCTGACGATTGAGCTTCCTGCCGCTCCAATTTGAGCCGGTACTAGAAATTTGATAGCCTTAATGATGCCCTCGCCACTTCCAGCAAGCTGATAGAAGCTTACATTCGTCAATCCTACGGACATCAAAAGATCCGGCCACTGCTTCTCAGACAGTTCAAACGCAGCGACCCGGGCCATCACCATGATCCTCAGGTAAGTAGATGGCAGATCGCAGTGGACATCTGGAACAATGGGCTCAAGGAGGATCAGAGAGTAAACAGGCTCCATGGCATCAACAATATTAGGCAGAATGGATCGACAGTGCTCGTCCACTCATGAAGGATCCAGTACATATGTCCGCGCGCCTGTTTGATATCCATCAGCTCAAAGCACGATATACAATATGAAGATTATATACACCATTGACTGGCTGAGGACCGAAGAAGTCGTATGTACATAATTAGCTCTATGTCTTCCGGAAATCTCTCGATAGTCGAAACAACCTGTGGTAGATCTTGTAGGATCAAACAACCAGGCGTCCCGCTCTCTCTCGGAATTGCCGCGAATAGTGACCTTCGCCGCCTCCGACATTAATGAAAAGGATATCTTCAGACTTGCTGAAAGAGCCATGAATTTTTGGTTGCTGAATATCGAATCAATCAACCCAGTTAGAGGTAGTCTGCTGTTTCAGTGACATCCACTGCTGAAAATCCTTGGGTAAATCACGACTGTGGCCCAGCCACTCAAAATAGTTCATGTTAATATTATGTTCCAGAGCCATCTTAAGCTAGCTAAAACTAGACCCTGAGAACTAGGGTTGGATAATGGATCGTGGAGGATTTTGGGTAAAAGATCTTTAGGAGTAGACCAGGCTGATGACCTTCCGTAAAGGTCAATTAGCATTAGAATGATGAACATTGTAAGAGCTTCACCATGGCTGCCTTTCGAAGTGGTATAGGCCCTGACTTAATCAGCGCTCGGGCGTGATGATTGCACAAGAAGATGACCTTTCACTGTCTGATTTGTTGCCATTCCTTCTTAAGGATTCCCATATGCACCTCATCCCACCATTTATCATCTCTAAACAAGCACTCCCTTCTCCGTCCCTCCTCCCGGAAGCCAAGTCTCTGGTAAATATTCTGTGCACGAGCGTTCCAACCAAAAACATTGCACTCCACCCGGTGCAAACCAGCATTCTTGAATGCCCAGTCAAGCATCCAGTTGATTGCCTCGGCGCCATATCCTTGACTTTGATATTCCTTCTTTATATCAATACCGAATTCCGAGCAACGATGATGTGCCATATCTGAACTTGCAGATTTCAAGAAGATTGTACCGATGCGCTCATCATAGCCGGTTCTGTAGATAACCACAAACAGCAATGAGTTGTCAATGATGTATTTTTTGATATTTTCAGTGAATTGGCGGGTCGTAGGTCGTATAAGTGATGCACATGAGTTTGTGAAGGCTACTGGGTCACTTTGGATAGAATGGAAGAAGTCGTCATCCTCGGGGGAGTTAAAACTATGGTATTCCAGACGACCGGAGCGGAATAAATCCATGCTGTCGTTGATCAGAGAAAAGAGGGACGAGAGGGAATATGTGAGAAAGGTCCAGGGCAAATATATATAATATATATACACGACGGGTGCCTTGTCTGGTCAGGTGACAAGAACAGGGGCATGCTGAGTCTATCAAGGGTCGCAGCAAGGATTATTCTGTAAGCCAGTATCAATAGTAATCTATATCTAATATAGTCCATATGATGCTTGAATGGATAAAGCATAAGCATCACACTTGCTATCAAGATAGGTATCTGAATGATACAATTGCCGGAAAATGGACATCAACAGCCAGACCAAGGGATTCGAAATGCGTGAGAAGTTTTTCGTGACACAATGTAAACATCAAAAGAAAACAGAATCTGCTAAGCCAATGGAATAAGTTTCTGAGTCTCTTCTGAACCATTACATTGCAGAGAATGATTCTCAAGTATGGGAAACGTAAGTTCTTCGCCTATCATTTCCCCTACCGAGACGAATTTCCCTGCAATGGCCCCCAAAGCACAATGGAAACAATTACAGAAATGGCTTCGCTAGTTATAATCAAAAGAATATGCTCGCTATAATTTGCAGCCTCATATTTGGGAACACCAAGAACCAAAGGTAATGTAAGCATTAGCGAGTATCTGAAACCCGTCCCAATGGAGATGCCCATGGCCAGACCATAAAGACCATAAACTCGTATTTAGGTAGGTCTCCACTATTTTGATGTCATTCAACGCTGGAGATTGAACCGATCAATCCAAGTCAAGGAGAAAAGATGCAAAACGTGCAAAAGGTTGCAGCCACCGCCACTGTGGATTCTTCCATTGTTGGTTCTGCAAGGAGCTGTTGGACATAGATCACGTCAATACATCTAGACCATATGGACATAAGTGATTCTACCTATTTATCTTCAAAATTGGCATCTCGCTCTGCACACTCCTACGCCTTTGCTAATTTCTTGCAAATACAAGAGCCACTATGTCTTCACCGATTGGATGCTTCCACACCGATCCAAATCGACTAATTCCTCCACTTCCCCCCAATTCCAAACTTCCAGCAGAAAGGTTTTTGAAACAAACATACAAGTTCTATGATTATAACCAGTCTCCCGTCAACATTGTCTCCAAAAAAACTAGTGCTGAAGATTGCCCAATATGCGTTTGTTATGGAGTACGGACTATGATGCTCAATTTTCGTCTTAATCCACAACACCCAAAGAAAACCTATCCTGATGCCATAAATGAACCGTTATTTCAATATGGCCTTGCTTCATATCATTTACCAGCCGCTGCCGTTAGCGTTCAGGTACCCTACACGGGAATGCCGTTTACATTCGATGTGGAAAAAGGTCAAAACGGCGAAGCGTACCATGCGCTCATCTGCTCCCTTTTAACTGGCAATGCTGGCCAGATAATACGTATCAACATTGGCAAGGCCTTGCAGCCGGCTACCGTGGAGCAGCAGGATCTCCTTTACTATTATGTTTCGCAAAAGGCTATCGTTGATACCCCAAGAGGAGGCGATTCAAGGGACAATGCAACCAAGTGTATAGCCCGTGTTTTTGAGCAAAACGCCGAAACGCAAGCCCAAATCTTCCAATCTCTAAGAGATTACCTCAACGATTCGCAGCTTCAAAATGCACCAGCCGATGAAAACCCAACTGGGGGGTATCCCTACGCTTCCCAGGCATACGCAGCAAAATATTGGATCAATCGATATCTTTCTCTGACAAAACAAGGGAAGCTACCCAAGCTTGCAGGTGTGGGAAAGATAGCTCTCATATTGGTCCGCCGGACCCATAAGGCCGGAGACGGCCGTTCAATGACAGATGGAAATATTAAAAGTTGTCTGAAATCAATACGCGCAGCGAACCAGGCCATGGCTGTCAATGGCTATGAAGTTTTCAGCCATGTCATATTTTACGGTGATTTTGATCGAAATAAAGCCTCAAGTCTCGTTGGGTGGGCAGGCGATTCCGATCTCAAAGCTCTCTATATCACCTCGCCCTTCATGGAGCTCAATTCGAAAAACGACATCGATCAGCAGATCCATGCCTTTTGGGCCAATTTCAAAGGGTCCCCAAATTCCTCATTTCAATACATTCCTGAGGGGGTGCCGCTCGAGGTTAAGTTGTTCGGATTCTTCCTTGCATTCCAAGCGCGATACGGGTCAAAACTATGTTATATTGGCTTCCGGTCTGGCACACTCGATGGACCTGGGTTTATCGGAAGCCCGATCTTCTACCTCGATGATACGCTCACTAAGGGTTCATGGGGCGATTTCGCCAGTGGTAATTACCTCTGGGACGGCACTGACCGGACGCTGCAAAAGCCCGAACGTATGATGTTTATGACACGAACGACAAATACATTTGTCCGCATCAACATCAAGAGCAATAATAAAAACCCCATTGAGCTTGACGGAGACGCGATGAAGCACTTAGGCAGTGCGTTATATCTTTACATGGCATCCGCACCAAACAATGATCCGTCTTGGACACGGCGGATTACTTTGATGAACAATCCAAATGCTCAACAAAATGAGCTGCAGCAAATGTTTACTCATTTCCAAGACACGTGGAAAGCAGTCAAATAATTGTTGTCCTCTACAAATGAACAAAATATGTCTGGTGTTTTATTCTTGTCCGTTGTTTTGATATGAGACTTGCAGCCCTCACGATCTTTCATTCTTCATTGAAGATGACCACCTAGGGAAATGGCTGATACCCCTAGGACGCTCAAAATTCTTTTTTAATTAACCCACGAGGTACAGTTGCTATTGGGTATTATTTAGGATCGTCGCTCAGTATCTACTTTGGGTAGTCGTACAACAAGACTGTAGGACAGACTGAATTGATCTCCCATGTGTTGGAGCAAAATCTACCATCTGCTCAAAGATCACTTATTTCAATACCTACCCATATATTTTTATTATCAGACACAAGAGTACTTCGCATGTAGTAACTAGCTGGACAGCACGGGTAGGTGCTCAGCAAATAGGTTTTTCTGGTGGTTGTCAACGTCACTTGCAGTTGAACTGACGAAACACGGAGGAACCATTTTATGCCGCTCATGTTGTATTGGAATCTGGCATTTGTAAGTTTAGCACCTTCGGCCAACCAATCTATTTTGACTGGCTAACTAGGCACAACCGGGGCCGCCCATACCCCGGCCCTCCCAGAGCTGGAGCTTAAGCATGTATCGAACATATTAAATAACAGAGGGTTGTTGATGAGCCCACTGATGTTATCATAAAGAACCAAGACACTGTACCGTGTAAGCGGTAAGTCTTAGATGCATAGAACCTTAGAAGACCTACCTATACGACTAGGTAATTAGGTAGACATTCATAGTAGAGAATCTTCACTAACTTATTGACTTGTTTTGTCTTCCTCATCTGTCAAGTAGAGTGCGGCGGCTTGAACAGTCCTAGGCGTGATGTTGCCGTAGAAATTTCCCGGTTCAGAACGAAATGGTCACCAAGAAAGAAAATGAGAGATATAGAAACTCAAATTACATCTAGGTCGATGTGTACAGGCGAGAATAATGGCTTGATGGCTTCTGAAACCTGCTGTACATGAGTATCATATTATCTCAAATATCCATTTGTGCCACGCTTCAACCTACCTCTTTCCCCCCTTATGGATCTTCAAATTCTTTTCCCATCTATTACAATGACTATTTTGGTTGCCAGTCTTTTGGGGAGTTTTTTATCTGTTCTCTACCTAGGATATAGGTGGATGCTGCCTCGTCCGATCCCAGGTATTCCATACAATCAAGAGGCTACGAAGAATGTGTTGGGGGATATACCTGCATGGATCGAACATGGGAAAAGGACTGGAGAGAGGCTCAATTGGCTACCTTTGCAAATTAAGAAGTTGAACTCGCCTATTATTCAAATATTTGGGAACCCTCTCACAAAGCCATGGATCATCCTCAGCGACTTCAGAGAGAGTCAGGATATTCTGCTACGCAGGTCCAAGGAGTTTGATCGGAGTGACCATTTCGGAAACGCTTTCAAAGGATTGATGCCTGATCACCATATCTCAATGAAGACGACAAACCCTCAATTCAAGGTGCATCGGAGGTTGATTCAAGATTTGATGACCCCGGCCTTTCTAAACGAGGTTTGTTCTCTTTATTTACAATTGTGATAACTGCATACTCATTGGAGCAGGTTTCGGCACCTCGAATCTATGAGGCTTTTACCTCACTCGTCAATGTTTGGACCGAAAAAGCTCGGTTGGCGAACGGCCATCCCTTTTCTGCTCTAGATGATGTCTACCAAGCAGCGCTAGATGCTATATGGGCTGTTTCATTTCCTCTCAATTCAAAAGACAGCCTCATGTATGCTCAACGATGGTTCCTCACTGGCTTTGCAAGTATCAACACCACATCGTCCACTGACATCGATGAACCTGCGGTCTTTCCCGAGGTTCCGATCCCAGACGCCGTAAGTTCGATTTTCACACTCACGGAAAGCCTGGAGTCTATGATGTTATCACCAATACCAAGATTGAAATTCTGGTTCATGAGTCAGCTGCCCTACATGCGCAGGGCAAGAGCAGTCAAGGAGGCGACGATGGCCAGTGAGCTCGAGAAAGCGAAGGCGAGGTTCTCTTCAGGTACGCAAGAGGAGCGCATTGTGATTTGTGCCATGGATGCTATCCTGCGTCGTGAGCTTGCTACTGCGAAGCAAGAGGATCGAGAACCCTCTTACAACACGAGAACAATATTTGACGAGGTGACCAACACCCTTATTCTTTGACTTCGGAAGGCATCGCTGATTGAAGATGAAGATTTTCGGTCTGCTGATTGCCGGCCACGACACAACATCCACGACGGCAATATGGGGCCTCAAGTTTATGTCCGATCACCAGGAAATACAAAAGGAATTACGCGAAGCCCTTCGGAGCGGGTTTCCTATAGCTATTACAGAATGCCGTCAACCAACCGCGGAAGAGATCTCCAAGGCTCACATCCCATATCTTGACGCTACACAAGAGGAAATTATCCGAAAGTCCGTGACAGGAGCAGGGATATGGCGCACAGCAATGGTTGATACTGTCGTTCTTGGGCATCATATCCCTAAAGGCACAAATTTGTTCCTCCTGGGAAATGGTCCTGACTTTATCGAGCCTCCGATTGGCAAAATTCCCGAGGATCGTCGCAGCAAAAGCTGCCAGGAGATGAATGGGCGGGTTGGATCGTGGGACCCAGCAGATTCGAACCTGTTCCAGCCTGAACGGTGGATCACGAAAGAGGACGGCAAAGAGTCATTCGACTCTACGTCAGGCCCACATCTTCTATTTGGGCTGGGACCAAGAGGGTGCTTTGGAAGACGAATGGCGTATCTCGAACTGAAGATTGTTCTTGTGTTGCTCTTGTGGAACTTTGAGTTGCAAAGCGTACCGGCCACTCTCAGTTCGTATCAAGCGGTGGACAAGCTAAGCCATCAACCTAGACAGTGCTATTTGCGGCTTTTGAGCTCACCATTGAACGATCTTGGAACCTGAATTGGGAGTTGGAAGTATGAAATATTCACGATCATACGGGGGTAGAGGGCTTGTATCAATCATTCGAACCCCCAGAGAAGCCCTATGGTTTCGTATGATATTCAAATCAATTTAGCAGAAATTGAGGTAGATTTGGGTGTCTGTTATTTTCAGGTCCTTGTGGTGTAAGTACTTCGCAAATTTTCGATGTAAAAATCAGGGTGTAGGCTAGATTTTCGCAGAAGCCGGTCGTCTAATGAAGCCCATTGAATCTCAGGTTTCCGTTTCCAAATGCTGAAAGATGCTCTTGGCTTTTGGAGAGGCTTCCTTCTTGATAGTATTGTGAGCCAAGATATATCTTGGCTCACAAAAGGCTTTGTACCATTATTTTATGAATATCGATTCAATATATTCATCTTTTAATCACACTCAGCTGGGTTTCCTCAGGCCCATTGTCCATCTTCTTTCTCACCTACGTTCTCACAACTGAATGAGCGCAATACGGGCGCCCCATCTGGAATAGATACGATGATGCCATATTGTATTGTGGTTCTCGTAGATATCCCGAAGTGGTGAGTCGTACATCTGGCACAAGTACAAGGCAGTCGCAGCCGTTATACCATGCTGCCCACAGTTACCAATGAAATGAGTGTTAAGGTCTGCGACGTGTGTGGCACTCATGTGCTTACCGGTCATCATACGTAAGCATGAAGATGTCCGTGGAAAGGGTGCGTAATGGTGTTTCATAGACCCTCCCACCTCTTTCATCCCACTTCCAAGCCCTTAGAGGAAGATCGTCTTTCTTATCACCCAGGTAGTGAAGACAGAATGCTCCACCGTCTCTCCCTATGAGTCAGGGAGTTGCTTATAAGTGCGGATGTCCGCTTCGGTGAGGATATAGCCGCCTTTATATTTTTGACTTGCGCGGCAACAAGTGTCGCCCGCTCGATCACTCTAGGTACGAAGCTTTATTCCAGATAATTGTATAGAGCACTCTAACGCTATATAGGAGATTATCGGGGACCATAGCTCAATAGATACTAGAGCGAGAGATACACATATTGAGATTAAGGTTTAGAACCTCGATATATTAGGCATCAACGGCCATAGTGATACATCAACCGGTTTGGCTTTTCAATGAATTGAGTCTTTTATACTCATCCTCCCTCTCCACTATAACCTCTGTCGTTTGCCATATACCCGCCTGGCTATTACAGCTCTCGGTTTCACAGGATTGCTGCTTTATGTCCTCAAGGGGTACTTCCGTCGAAAAAAGGGTTCGCTTAGAGCAAAGCTGTATGGAGCTGTATGAGAGCTTCAAGCCGGAACCTGGTCCATTTCTTGAGGTGGTTTTGCCAGAGGAGTCGGCGGTAGACCCAAAAGCCTTGCGGAATAATGGGCGGATTGTTGGGATACAGGCGGCGACGATGACAACATTTTGCTCAACCCTAAGCTGGAAATTAACGCTGGCTCAGGGAAAGAGGTGTAGGTAATTCTTACAGGCCCCAAAGGACTAATGTTACCACCTTGTAAACTGATAGGTGTTAGCTGCTAGACCAAGTTGATAGGATTGAGAGAGGTGGACCAACGAGGATCAGTGTGGTCAGTGAATAAGTCCAAATATGTTGCTTTGACAATTGTGACGATGGCAGAAAGCAGAGTCAATCCCATCATGATGCAAACACCTAGTTTTGTCGAAAATGGCATTTGTAGTTTCCAAAATGCAGAAATTGGTACAATAGCCAAAATAATATCCGTCGTAGTTGTATATGCACTGACCCAATAAGAGAAGCCATTGAAAATATCCGGGCTCCAACATGTGCCCTCAATAGAAAGGTTCCACATCTTTGCTGTTGGTTTGCATTGAAAAAATACAATGAAAATGGATATCATGGCCAATGCAACCTGGAAAATGACCATAGCGTACAAGAGTCGTGCACGAAGTGGGTTGGGGTCAAGCAGATGAACGATCAGTATGGCAATCGAGATGTTGGGAAAGCTAAATGCCCCTACATGTTGCCCTAACTTTAGTACCCGACTTAGTCCATAGAATAGGTAAAACATACCAATGTTGAAAGGATATGCAATAATCTGCCAGTAGGCTGATTGTTCATATCTCTCAATGCCATATTCGGAAACTACAGTCGCAGTGTGCCGGCCTAGACCAAGAGTGACCGAGTATGAAACGAATGCCGTGGCAATGACACTGAGAGCCTAGGATAAGAACATTCACAATTTCAGTCAAGCCGAGGTAGTTTCTTGTCGAGGTTTGTTTCTTACCAGCGAGAGAACAATAAAAAAATCATCCCAGCCGAACCGTTTGCTATCAATCCGAGCGAATAGCTTCAAGGAAACGGCTGCGATTGAAATTCCGGTGAAGACCCACCCAATTGCATTGATCTCCATTGCTCGTGTCTCACCATGATCAACATTTGTGTCGAAGGAGGCCATGGCCAGGGGTTTCAGTCCTTCTCATAGATTCGATCCATAGGACTCAATTGAGGAAAGACTCTTAGCCAGGAGATTTCTAGAAAACAAGGCGGCTAAAACCAGTCGTGAGTGGCAAATTAGTTGAGATAAATAAGCCAAATCTTGCAAGATATCATGGATAATTAACCTAGCCCTTACTAGCATGCACACACAATATACATTGTGGTACCATTAGTACGGAGTAAATGTGTGCACCGACTAGTACTCCATACATAGTCGCAGATGAATAGACCGTAGCTTGCACATATTGCTAACATCCATGTACACTATATGGGCCTGTGGGCGACGATGACCAATCAAATAACTTCAGAATAGGCGAGCTCTTAATCATATCGAATGTTTGAAGTTTGCGCGACACCAAGAAGTCGCCGGACAAGAACACCACTTTGCCAAGATGGTTATGTCTTGATTTTTTCCATCATTCTTAGTGATCAAATGATAGTCTTGACGTGATGTAGGCCTTTGTTAGATGTGTATATGGAGTATCTTTGTTTCTCTATCCAATGCGAAGTTCTAAAAGCTGTAGACAATAGCTCAAGTTTTCGCCCCAAGTTGGTATAGAGCCGAGGCATATGTACTCCGTACATTACAAAGGTATATCCAGTACCAACCCGGATACGAATATTTATTCCTAATAGTTATACTCCGTACGTAGGATAATTTTCCTAAATTAAACCTACCTACATGTGAAACCTGTCCCGCTTAGCGAGGTAGACGGTCGGCCCATAGCGTCTCTTGGCTCATAAGATTAGCCGGAGAGAACCTCTCAGGGGCCCAGACCAATTAATATGGTCACTATCATTATACTACTCCGTAAAGAGTCAAGTAATTGACTTCCAGGATATTGGTATCGAGTGATGCCACAACAGCCTGTTATTAGCTCCGCTCAATCCCTAATGAGCGCCCGCTCTCTCAAGTAGCAACGCTAATGTAAGTGTGGGATCTGTTTGGTTAAACGCAAGACTCTGAGGGTCCACCGTGAATGACTTAGAACCTCACCCGTACCCTTAACCTCGTGCTAGCCCCAGACTAGCCCTGGGAAAACAGGATAAGGACCTAGGAGGGGGAGGGGCAACTAAGTCCGCTAGTCGACTCCCTTTGATAATTTGGAAATCAATTCTCACCCTCTGAACGCCAAATATCATGGTCTCTCCGTCTGTCTCTACCATTCTGGATGGAATTGCCACCTCACGAGCGGCATTCGACAAGAACGAAGCCGGCTCAAGAGAAGCTCTGATTGACCAAAGCCGCGCTCTGATTGCAGCATTGGAAATTCCGAGCGAGTTTGTCCAGCGCACCTTCTGGGCAGAGGTGAGGAACTGTAATCTCGTTGAAAGTTTATCTTGCTTGAAATCCTAATTGGAATTTACGATAGCCAGCTCAAAGCGCCATTATCCGTATCGCTGTTGATGTGAAGATTTTTCAATGTCTCAAAGAAGCGGGAGATGAGGGACTCACCCCGACAGCCTTTTCCCAGAAGACTCAGGTGGATAATGCTCTCCTGCAACGCCTAACGAGACATCTAGTAGCGATGAACCTCGTATCATTCTACAATGGAGCGTTCCATGCCACAGAGCTGAGCAACGGTCTCGCGGCGGAGAACTATGAGCACAGCATCAGTTTCTGCTATGATGTGACCCGCCCTATATTTAACGGATTCCCGGAATATTTCAAGAAATCTAAATATGGTTCCCCAACTCTGGGTGGAACTGACGGCCCATTTCAGGAGACGCACAGAACAAGCCTCCCTTTCTTCGAATGGCTTGTCGCAACACCACCGCACCTCCAGCATTTCGACTCTTTTATGAGCGCATACCGCGCGGGTAAGCCAGACTGGCATTATTTCTACCCCGTGGTTGAACGATTAAGCACGGGCTTCGACGCTTCTATTAGCGATGTCCTCCTCGTCGACGTTGGTGGCGGAAAGGGTCATGATGTGGCTACCTTTGCCGCAAAGTATGGCCCTTGTTCGGGTAGAATTGTGCTCCAGGATCGAGAGCCTGTCATTGCAGGTGTGGTGGCTAATGACACGGAGCGAGCTTTTGAGGTGCAAGCTCATGACTTTTTTACGCCACAGCCTATAAAAGGTGCACGTGCATATTCTCTTCATTCTATCCTCCACGATTGGAGCGATGAAGATGGGATCAAGATTCTAGAGAATCTTGTGCCCGCTTTAAAGAAAGGTTATTCACGGGTCCTGTTCAACGAAATTGTGATCAACGAAGAAAAACCGACACTCGCAGCGACTAACATGGATATGATGATGCTGGCTCATTTTGCCGTGAGAGAAAGAACGGAGGCTGATTGGAGACATATTCTGGCGCAAGCTGGATTGAAGGTGGTCAACATCTACACCTATCCGGGTGTTGCGGAGAGTTTGATTGAGGCAGAACTGGCCTGAGTAGGTTTGAATGGCATTTCCTCGGGGATAATTGTACACTACGGACTAAGATGGTCAATATGTCAATGATAAATTAAGCATAAGCAATTAAGCTTATATAGAAAGGCTGAGCATTGACCAGCCTTGGAACTTTGGTACGGATGGCCATTTTAGGTGATATTGGTGCACGTGATCTCGCGTCTGCCCGTCAATTCGGGATTTTATCGACTTCAATATCAACATAGAGCACTATGGGGCTTCGACATGACGGGCTCCTCGTCAATACCACTGCAAGCTTCGTCCTTGAAACGGAAACGAAATCATGAAGGCGATCGCGGCCTCGAGTCCAATGTGCCTCCACCCCCGAACGCGTCACCCCAAGACCCTGCCGATCAAACGCTCTCGACTACGGCCGACCCTTCTCCCAATAAACCCGATAAACGGGGACCTAAAACAATAGCCACGAAACAACCGGGCAAAGGGAAAAAAGTCACCTCGAAGCCGCCGAAGCCCTCGAAGCGAACTCCATCTGCGCCATTGCCAGATGCCTTTAAACGCCTATCGCAAACCCATCGCGCCTTGAACCTTGTTTATACATTTTGCTGCACACGAAAGCATTTTGCTACCACATTTGACAACATAAAAAAAGCTGTACAAGCTCAACTCGGCCAGGGGCGAGAACTCACTGTTGAGGATGTCGCACGCGTGAAAGTCATAGTTCCCGGAGCGGTCCGATTCGAATACGTGGACGAAGCCAAGTTAGAAGTAATGACTGCTGGAGATGAAGAGATATCTCAGTATGGGCTATACAAGCAATCTAGCATGGCATTTGGGGCAGACATGGACACAGCTGAAAACGCCAGACGTAACGATCCTCACTATGCAGATGACACAAAGCAAGTTCTGCTATTCGAGTTTGTGGATGGTGACCTGAAGCGGGAAGTACTACACCCGAAGACTGGGGAGCCTGTGAAACCAATGCGTCGTATGAAAGACGAGGATCTGAAAATGCCCGTCTACAGCCAAAAGCAGATGCTGGGGTTGATTGAAAAACGAAACGCCAAGTTCTCAGACGCGTTAAATGCGTTTCTAGTTCAGTGTGAGGACAAAAATGTTGACCCAGTGGATTTCCTTGAACAAGAGAAGAATGCTTTCCTTCCCAACCCTCCAAGCAGCGGGACAAACACTCCTCTTGCGGCGAAGCTGCCAGCAACAATTCCCAAGGAACGAAAATCCATTGGGGAGATCATTGCAGAGATTCGGGAGATGGATTGGTACCATGCACAGATTGTGCCGGAAGGCCATCGAGTATTCGAAGCTCAATCTCCTGTATACGGAGATTTGACATTCCAGCTCTCACAGGACCTTGTCAATGCTCTGTATAACACAAAGGGAATTACGCAAATGTATACTCATCAAACAGAGGCAATCAATCACCTGTACGAGGGCCATAATGTGATTGTGTCGACATCGACTAGCTCAGGGAAATCTCTTATCTACCAAGTCCCAATGCTACACGAGCTAGAAAAGGACCCCGAAAGCCGAGGGATGTATATCTTCCCCACAAAAGCCCTGGCACAAGATCAGCGCCGCAGTATGATGGAACTACTTCAGTATATGAACGGGCTGCAACACACGAGGGTTGAAACTTTTGACGGGGACACGCCAATGGGGAGCCGGAACTTGATTCGTGACGAGGCGCGGATCATTTTCACCAATCCCGACATGCTTCATATTACAATTCTGCCACAAGAGAGTTCCTGGCGCACTTTCTTGAAGAATCTGAAGTTCGTTGTCGTCGACGAACTGCACGTCTACAACGGCCTGTTTGGGTCTCATGTCGCTTTCATCATGCGACGCCTTCGCAGGATCTGTGCTGCGGTAGGCAATCGACATGTCAAATTCATATCTTGCTCGGCTACCGTTGCAAACCCCGAGGATCACATGAGGTCCGTCTTTGGGGTGCAAGATGTGAAATTGATCGATTTCGATGGATCTCCCTCCGGTCGTAAGGAGTTTGTTTGCTGGAATACGCCATTCAAAGACCCCAAAGATCCTACCTCTGGGCGTGCTGACACGGTCACCGAGACTGCCAGGCTATTTTGCCAGCTGATTCTCAGGGGGGTAAGAGTTATTGCCTTCTGTCGAATCAGAAAGCTGTGTGAGATTCTTTTACAAGGCGTGCGCGCCGAGTTCGATAGACTCGAACGAACAGAGATCGGCAAGCTAGTAATGGGCTATCGAGGCGGATACAGCCCTCAAGATCGACGCCAAATTGAAAAGGAAATGTTCGAGGGAAAACTAATGGGAATCGTCGCTACCAACGCTCTGGAACTGGGCGTTGATATTGGCTCCCTGGATGCAGTGATCACCATGGGGTTCCCATACTCGATCTCCAATCTACGCCAACAAAGCGGCCGCGCCGGACGACGTAACAAGGACTCCCTGTCCGTCCTAGTCGGAGACCGATACCCAACCGACCAACACTACATGCAGAATCCAGATGAAATATTCACACGGCCTAATTGCGAGCTGCAGATCGATCTATCCAACGAGCTCATCCTCGAAGGCCACGTCCAATGCGCTGCATTTGAGATGCCTATCCGCCCTGAAGAAGACAGCATCTACTTCGGGCAACAGCTTCTTGCCCTAGCCCCAACCCGTCTCATCAAAGATTCGCTAGGCTTCTACCATTGCCACCCACGTTTCCGCCCGCAGCCCTCCCGCAGCGTCTCAATCCGCGACACAGAAGATCAACACTTCGCCGTCATAGACACAACCAACAATCGCAACATGGTGCTCGAAGAAGTGGAAGCCTCGCGCGCCTTTTTCACAATCTACGAAGGCGGCATCTTCCTCCACCAAGGCACAACCTACCTCGTCAAAGAACTAAATACCGAATCCTTCCTAGCGCGCGTCGTCCGCGTCCACGTCGACTGGAGTACCATGCAACGCGACTTCACCGACATCGACCCTATAGAAACCGAAGCAATGCGTTTGGTCAGTAACGACCCCTCCGCCTCGAGCGCCTTCTTCGGCGCAATCCAGATCCACGCGGTGGTTTACGGCTTTTTCAAAATTGACAAGCGGGGTCGCGTCCTCGACGCCGTCGCCGTTGATAATCCGCCAATCGACCGCCTTACGAAGGGCATGTGGCTCGATGTCCCAACGCGCGCTATAGACATTCTGCAATCGCGCCGGCTAAATATAGCCGCAGCTATTCATGCCGCTGAACACGCTGTCCTTTCCCTTCTGCCATCCTTTGTTGTCTCCTCGCCCGGTGACGTCCGCACAGAATGTAAAGTCGCGAAGAAAGAGCTCGGCCAGTCGCTGCGTCGCGCGAATATGCCCAGTGAGTTCGAGGAGAAGCTTCAACCACCGACGCGGCAGAGGCCTGCCCGGCTTACCTTCTACGATGCGAAGGGTGGGTCATGTGGGTCTGGGATTGCTAACAAAGCGTTTGAGTTTGTTGGGTTGCTTCTCCGACGGGCGGTTGCGCGCATCGAAGCTTGTTCTTGTCTTTCGCCGCAGGGTTGTGTGGAGTGTGTGTGTGATGAGCGATGTAAGGAGATGAATGTTGTTATGAGTAAGGCCGGCGCTGGGGTTATACTGCGGTGTTTGCTTGGGTGGGAGGTTGATGTTGATGCCTTGCCGTGGGGGGAGGAAATGGCGGGTGACGAGCTTGGAGTCGGAGGTGCTGGGGAGTTGGCTGGTGGCTTGGAGACTGTTGTAAGGGCCAAGGAGGTGCCGTGGAAGCCTGGATGTCGAGTTGGTTGTTGAGGGACACTGTGTGCAGTATGCATCATTATCAAGTTGTGCCCATTCCTGAAATTAGGTATCCAGGTCAAACCACGTGCCGGCACGGAGCGTTGGGGGCCCACGCCTCAAGAGGAGCAAGCTACCTGTGGATATGACTCATCTCATTTGCTGGCTGATTTTGAATCTTATACAGACATAGACTGAGTATAAGACTCTTTTGAAGAAGTGGTTGAGCATTGCCTCGGGATTCAACGTTCATAGGTCCCATGTCATTCGTGACAGCTCAATGCAACCCTCATTCATGGATTTCTTCTACGCTGAGTCTCTCAACTCTTCGAAGGTTGTAAGAGTTTTTGGATAGATACCTCAGTAATTTGTGACAGTTGAGCTTGGAGCTTGCTGTTTCGCTCCAGTTGAAAAAAGAAGAAACCTTGGAAGATTGGATGTATAAATAAATAAGGAATGGTATCAGTCAATGATCCGATAGGAAACTGGGTATAATAAATGTACATCAAGTCATGACCGAGAAAGACCACCTTGGGGTCCGAAGGGAAAGGAGGGATAATAATGTGGCAAGGTAGATAGGTGAGGAGGGTCGTTATGTGATGATAGTGGGGAGAGGCTGGTTGAGATGTTATATGGCAAGGATAATTCAAGGGAAGGCGAAAAGATGGTGAGAAGGCGCGAGAAGGCACAAAGGCCCGAGCAAGGATGAAGGTGTGAGTCGATGCCTGATAGACAATGGAAATCTGTCCAACTGGGACGCGGCATTTGTGTCATTCAGTCGCAGAACGTGAATGGATGGGGTTGCCTGGGTGTTTCCCGGTAAAAATAAGTTTGGCGTATTTCGATGTGAAAATGCCAAGCAGTGTAGGCAGCGAGCTTCAAGAATGAAGAGCAGACTTTTCTCGTGGTCAAGGGAGCCCATGGACCGAAGATGGATGTTTCAACCAACAAAAAATCCAGCCACTCAAGACTATGAAGGGCTCTGGTTGTCGTCGGTTTCATCAAGTTTCAAACCCCCGAAGAGAGACTTCATATCACGAACATTCTCGCGCATTTCGTCTCGTGGCTGTGGTGAGCGTTCGCTGGTCAAGGAACGAATCTCACGGACAATACTTGTAAGTCCTTCCTCATTGGGGAGCCACCAATGGTGGACCTCTGGAGCTTGCCAGATGGTTGCGAGGCCGGTGCGGAAACTAGGTGCGATGATGTACCTGTTTGCATGGATATTTCCCGATTAGCTTTGCTCTTGGTCCTTCAAAATTGAAATGCAGATACGTGGCGGTAAAATCTTACCCATGTTGCTCTAACAACGCCAACGTGCGCCGGGCCCACATTTGATACTTATGCTCCCTGGGAAGAAACATGCTGACCATGCCTATGCTATTCTTAAAATTGATGCAATATCCATTTTCCTTGTATGGCCAGCGGATCATCGTCTCAATTAGGCGGCACTGCTCTTTGGCCAAGCCGTGCAATTCTTCAAGCAAAGGCTGCCGTAAGACTTGCATGGTCTGGAATTTGTACATTGTCTCGGTAGCGATAATGTCAATCCAAGCATAGTTGAAGTCCCACAACGCTCCACGGTGCAAGCCACCTGGCACGTATGGATCGGTAACATCATCTTCGGTCAAGGGCCGTTTCTGGGGGTAACTTTGCACTTTGTATTCGTAATCATCGAATGCCCTCAGGATCGTCTTGGCCTGTTCGAGCCACTGGCCCAGGTGCTCGTTCTGGATGGCGAAATCTTCTATTGATATCATGCCGCGAGATAATTTTGCATAGAGGGAAGCCATATCCAAGCCAAAGCGTCGGTTGATTGATGCGACAAGGGCGAGTTGTTTGGATGGATCATCTGGATAGATAGCGGCTTGCTCGGCATCATACTGCTCCTTTGCAAGATACCAGTCTCGACCGAGGACTGTTTCGGTGCCAGCCAAAATCCCCACGACCACATCAAAACGCGAGTACCATAAGAAGATACTAGTGTGCAACTCATTCAAGTTGGCGGACTCTGGGGTGATAAGCTCTCGCATAAGTGCGTGTGCCGCCTGGTGGTGATCAATCAGGTTCACCCAGTCGCCGATGTATTCCTAGAAGTGCAAAGAAAAAGTCAGAAAGGTCGCTGCAGTAGTCATGGGGGGAAAGAAATATACCTCAAATGTTGTCAGGACAAGAACAGTACACAGTGTAGCCTCACTGTGCTCTTCTCCAGAGCCCAATGATTTCCGCAGGAGGACCAAGGCTTTATTATAATATTTCAAAAATGTGTAGATCTTTCCCCCAGGGGCATGTAAAGAATGATGGTAGGCCGAAAATCCCACCAGGGCGTAGAGGAGAGGCTCATAGTGCAAGGCAAGTTCGACAAGACTGTGGTGGATGAAATGGGAACAACTCTGTCTCAAGAAGAAATGTGGCGGAGTCATAAATTCTTGCTGGAAATTCAAATAAAATCGTAAATCGTCTGGTAGGCGCGCATTGTTGAGCAATTCTACCGTGGAATGTCCAAGGCTGCCCGAGCGCACGCTCATCGACTCTAAGCGCGACTCAGCTGATGGCGAACTACTTTGGTCTTTGATGTAAGAACTGGTGTCGGACAGGGGCCTTGTACTGTGCCTCCGAAGCGATTGTGCGCTCCGACTCTTACGTAGGTCCGGCTGTGAGGTGGTTGTGCCGCTTGCTGGCGACGGTCGGGAATCCGATACAGCACTGTCGGGTTCCTCCTCGTCGATTATAGGCTGCAAGGGGCTGAGAGTCTCGGAGTCTAACTTCCCAGGTGACTCGCTGGCGTGTGACTGCGGGCGACCAGCGCGCGACTTGGCTGTAGTGCGTGAACTAGCCTTGGAGGATGTGGAGGATGTGGGTGATGGGTAGACACAGTCGCGGCTCCCTTTTCTACACCGTTCACAGACTGGACGGTTCTCATCACACTTGATCCGGCGCGAACGGCAGGTAAAGCAGCCGCTGCGGGTGCGCTTATGCTTCTTCTGGTCTGAGAGAGGTTGAAACAGGGATTGTTTCTGGGAGGTCGTATATGAAGGGGACACTATCATCGTCGGCGCCGTGGAGGGATCGTGCCAGAACGCAACGCTCTCGGGATACTGCGTCGGGCCAAACAAGGACTCCTGTTTCATTGAGTCGAGGAAGCCCGACATGGCCGTCTGGGGCGACTGATCTGAAGTCATTGTGCGCAAAACCCATCCGAACTATATATGAACTCCCCTAATCCCATCCGAGTCAACATCGAATCATCTTATCAAGAGGTAGAAGAGATGAAGTTGGTGGGGGTTGAAGTAAGTGACCTATGGAACCGGGGACGTGCGGAGATTAAAAAGGGAAAGGGAGGAAAAAAGATGATTTGGCCTATAAAAATGACCTTGAACTGATTTATCAAGTGAACATCTTTCTTTTATTTGCCCAGAGAAGTTAAAAGATCTGCGACCGGTAAATACGATATGTCCGAACTACTACAACATACGTATCTCCAAAATGAAGGGGAAATATGGAATAGACATGAGATGGATGAATACATATGGAATCTACTCCATAGGTGGATATACCATGGGCTGATCCAGGAGAGCTCCTCAACTTGGAGCCACTATATGGGGCTTAGGTATTGCCCTTCAAGGCCGTGTAACGCGTCTAGTGATCTTTTTATTATATATTTGACTTATATTGGACCTGCATTTTGGTGAGCTAAATTTGGATATCTCTCCTTCGTACGGAGTACGGAATACTATATATATACCCTGGCCTTTCATCTTCAACCACTTGAACATCTTTTTACGGAGTAGCCAGTCACAAAATAAAAGATCTCAAAGGATACGTCTCGGCGTATCAGAAAAATGACAGAGAAATAGGAAAATAAAATAAAATAAAAAAGGGGGGAGGGAACGACGATCCCAAGCCACAGGAATAAAAGCAACTTTGGTCTTAGGGCTTGGGTCTATATGCAGAGGGTCATGATCAGAGCGCCTATGGATCTGTCCCGGTCCCCCGAGCCCTTTTCGGTTTATGGTATTACTACGCTGAGGAAATCTTGGACAGTTTTCTTTGTGCTTTTGTTTGGGGCTTGGAGCAAGATGAATCCCGTGTATTTTTCCATGTCTTACCTTTTTCTATTTTTTTATTGATTTCTCTTTTTTTTTCCTGGTTTTTTTTTTTCTATATCGAGTAGTGGATCTTAAGGCAAGACAAGGATAACTTGGCGATTATGTATTAAGCGCCGGCAAGCTGAGGATCCTGTATTTCGGACGAAAGTACGGAGTACACAAAGTTCGAACGGCGAGTCCCGCAATAAAAAAAACCTAAACCCGGCAATTTTGAAACTTTGGATAAAAAGGAAATTGCCGAAAACGTTCCATTGATGGAGATCGGTTCCATGTGGAGGCCGCTAGGGTTGATTTGGGGGATCTGGAGGTTTTTATTCGACTAGAGAAACAATAGTCTACACTAATGATTCATGGATCTTTGATATGGGGGGTTTTCATCCTGAATTTTCTTTTCTCAGGCTCTGGTCAATGGATCGGTGTGCTCAAGATAAAAGAATGCAGCCTGTAAGCTCTTCCTACGTGCTTTCCACTCCTCTAACCTCCAAATTCGAGGGACAAGGATATAGCCGGGGTTTTGTCCGGCACTATCCCTGATCGACGATAAGTTGACAGAAGGTGGACCTGTTATGTACCACAGATCGAAAAGAAAAAAAAAGAAAAAGAAAAAGAAAAGACACTAACGCTCGTGGAAGCCTTGGATCGACTCCAATATCGGCTTCAGTGCCTCAATTCAGTTGGAAATCCCGTCTAGCACGCTATATGATCCCTAGATTCACTTGCGATATTAATTCAAATATCTATTGGAGCCATGGGAAGGAATTCGAAATTTTTCTATGGAGATGCATTACATAGATTGCCCCGGTGCAACCCCATTCAACGGAAATATACCCAATCCCGAGGCATTTCAAGGTTCCAAAGCTCTGGCCACATGCCTCCCACGGTAATGGCTGGACCGTGCACGAGCATTCCCCATCTGGAGATATAATTCAAGCTAAGAGAACGCTAGGGGACCACGGGGAATCATACACTGGAGTGCCAAGAAGCTCCTAAGTTGATTAGTTCTTTGGGGGGGGCTTTTTTTGTTGGCTTGCAGCTTCCCGACCAGGTATAAGAAGTGTTACCCGTATATGATCCCAGTATTTTTCTGGGAGATATAGATCCTGCGTTGATGCCCCCACTAATCGATTTGGCACTATACCTGATTTGGTATCATTTCGAGAGCAACTAGGTTCCAGTGGAGACTGTCTGCTAGTGAGATCAGCAGGCAGCAAAGAGTGGTTCTCAGGTGGACTCGTTGAAGATCATATGGCGTTGTGATTTGCAAGGTGCGTGCGCTGATGAAACTGGAGTTTTATACTCCGTACTCCCAGGGCTTTTTGGTATTTTCCACTGAGTCGAAATGGAAAAGAAAAAAGAGGATAGAGTTTTTGGAGATTATCAGCTTATATTATGCCCCACGAAGAAAAGTGTAATTTATACACAGAACATCATATATCGGCCCGAAAGCTTACAAGCCCTCGCTATTGGCTACTATGAGGGGTTAAAAAGTACCTGTAATGATTTTTTTATCTAACTAACCTAGTTGGTGAATATCAAGTGGCTGAAATGTATACTCCGTACGGAGTATACAGAGTACGGATACCACGCCTAGCGGCAATCGGAGCTTATTACTCCGAGTTCCAATATATAGGATGGTATTATCCAACCTTGAAAGTGTATCACATTATACGGAGGACCGAGTACGGAGTACAACATATACACTAGACCTGCAAATGAAGGTTCAGTTATGGTCTATCAAACAGAAACAAGCAAAGAAAAATCACCATCAGAGTCCAGTCCGCGCCCGAAATGGGTATGATATCGCCGATCTCAGGTGACGGGACAACATCAAATTGAGTTGACGCCGGTGAATTCGGGGGCCAAAAACAAACCACATGGTCCACCATCAAGCCCAACATCCAGTGAGTAGAGAAAGAATAGTGGAGCCATCATCCATAGATCCAAGACGTTGGGAATTTGGGTTGATCTGTCACGTTGGCGCCACGATCATAGGCTCAACGGCCTGTTCAGCGTTGCAACCCTTCCGATTGCCCACTTGCTCGTCTTGGTTGCATTGCAAGGACCATACCTTTCCTCTTTTGTTATGGTTGTCCTTACTTTCCAAGGCTCTAGATTCCGGTAACTGGGGGTTTCCAGAAGGGGATGTCATACACCTACAGGATGTGTCGCGTGGCGCATGCTTTACCGTTTTTGAACTAGGCCAACTAGCCATGAACTCCCCCCAAAATAGTAATCACATATTATTAGAGAGGGGAGGGCTATTGTGCTCAATCCGTTGTGCAGGCCTGGGCCTAACATGTGACCGGTGAAATCGTTGCAATCTTACTCCGTACATTTCTGGTGATCATCAAGGTTTCCTTGCAAGCCATTCGGGTGATGACCATGCATGTCTCATGTCCGTGACTATAATTATAATTAGACATATAAGATTTGCCCACGATTGCCCCAACATGTTCTTGGCTTTCAGCCTGGGCTGCGGTTCTGATTTTCAAATCGGCACTACTTGACTCACGAAATATACGCCGTGCAATATAATGTCTTTTTTTTCTCTCTGCAATCATACAAGGAGATATACGGAGTATGTAGTCATAAATCGTCAACAGCCCCGACGATGGCATCATTCGGGATTTAGTTTCTGGCCGATCACTGGTCAGACAAAACGCAGATCGAGAAGCGCGGCGTCCTTTGTCCAGGATCCGGCACTATGCGGAGTAATGTCATCCAAGACAAATGGGTATTCATGCACTTGTGCCCTGTTGCTTCTGGGCCATCAATTCCTTCACCACTTTATCCACTCCTTCTACGACCACTCCCCACTCGGCTTCATGAACCCGAGTTTCAAAGGTCTCAAGGTTTTCGTCCTGGCCCTTCCGGAAAGGGATTTCCCGCACCAGAATCGGTGTGCCCATATCAACTTCAGAAATGACATCGTGCATCATCACACCGGTCTTGTCAATCTGACCCTCCAACCATGCAGCATGAGCACGGCCAATCGCATTCTAATGATCAGGGAAAAAAAAAGACAGATATTAGCCTATCATCCCAGCTAACAAGGTACAATCCCCCAAAAGATTCTATAACTTACAACACCATTGAATGCCCCCGGCAGCGCGGGGTGCAAGTTAATAATCCTCGTCTTAGTAGCCTCTAGAGGCTCCAGGAACTGTGGCGATAGAATGTGCATGAAGCCGAGACACACGACCAACTCCGGCGCGTCGGCAAGGATCAGCTTTGCGAGCTCAGCATCGTATTCCTCACGCGCAAGCTGGACACCCTCCGGTGTCGCGGGATGCTGCTTCTTGTACTTCACAAGATTGTGATATGCGGTTGGGATGTTGGCCTTGCTTGCGCGCTCGAGGCCGAACGCGGTTTTGCGGTTGGAAATCACGCGGACGATTGTTGCGTTTAACTGACCTGCGGCCACTTTATCGATCACGGCTTGCAGGTTTGATCCATTGCCGGATATGAGGACTGTTGTTCGAACCGGGGAGGTCATAGTGAATTGTAGGCTTATAGATTTTTGGTAGGTGGTATGGTGGGGGTTTTCGTGAAAACTTCGGAGGATGAAAGGGTAGAGAGCACGCTTGAAACTTTTTTTTCCGGCTACAGTGGGGTCAATTAAGCACTGCCGGTGGTGGTGAGACTGCAGATGAGAGTCTCAAAGCTTATAGAATAAAAGAAATAGCCCAAGGTCGCTGGCGCAAGCCAGTAATGGGGACTTGAGGGGTCAGGGGATTTTTTGGATTACCTAAGTCAGCCGCGGGGCAGCCCCCAGGACTGTGGATGAGATAGTACGGACTATGTTTATAGGGAATGTGAACAATACTCACAACCATGATAGTATGTAAGAGTAATTGTCACATGGGGTTTGGATTTCAATGCGTGAAGGGTATGGCCAGCCAGTGTAATTTACGATAATAAACTGAAGAAACGAAAATCAACAATTGATAGACGTAAAGACTATGATTCTCGGGGCTAGAAGTCGAGGTTATCTTCCAAGAGGGTTCCTTTTTGTTTGCAGGCCCCAAGAGCAAATATCCAAAAGCCCAACATGATCAAAGCACCTCAAGTTGATGCACAGAAATGAAATGCAAAGGGGATATCCATGAAAAAAAAAAAAATCGTTAAAGGTTCTAAGCACACGCTGCATGCTAAAGCTAAAGGAGAGAAGTGTTCAAAAATCATAGTTGGGAATTGGGAATTGGGACTTGTTCAGATGGTGGGGGTGATCATGCTTAATAGGAGACGAAAGGGATCAGACGGCTGTGCCATCTGGAGTTGGAGCAGGCGCAGAAGCAGGGGGAGGAGCAGTATTGGGTGCCGGGTTGTCGGTGTTGGAGTCGTTACCAGGAGCTTCGTTGACTCCTTGACCTCGACACAGAGGACAAGAGTTTCTCCCAGTGGTTAACCACTACCGCATATGGTCAGTAATCGAACATATTGAAACAAAATTGACGAAGATGACAAACCTGGTCTATGCAGTCCTTGTGGAAGACATGTTTGCATTTACCCAGCTCTCGAACTTCCTCGGCCACCTCATAATCACTCAAGCAGATCAAACAGCGCTCTCCGTCTTGGATTTGAATGGCGCTAGCGCCTTCCACAGCTTCGGCGACCAAGGAGCCCGCATACTCAACGAGACGGAACAGTCCGCCGGCGGAATTGACGTCGGTTTGAGAGGCAACGGGAGGTTTGGCTGGACCCAACAGTGATGAAAGTAGGATCATGTCCTCGTAGGTAGGGTTCTGTTAGAGTATTAGTCAACGGGGTTCTGACCAAGGCCAGTACGACATTCTTACATCAGTGAACAGGCTTGGTGTCGTCAAAGCCGGGTGGTTTTCAGAGAGATTAGTTCCAACAACATAGATTAACCAACTGCGTCCTCCACTTGGTGTGGGTTGATCGGGTTCGACCATGCCATTGCGTCGAACAGCGCCAGAGCCTAGGGCCCGATGACGGGCATATTCAGAGTCACTTCGGCGTCGCTGACGGGCAGTATTGAAGGCCATAGGCCCTTCCAAAGTCTCCGCCGACGGTTGCATTGCCTGGTCTTCATGGAGGTGGGGTAAAACATCTGGTGTAATTGCTGAGGCAGAGGAGGGTCTCCGGCTCGGGGTGGAAGTGCCGGAGGACAAACCAGAAACTCCTTGTTCTGCTGGGGTTGATGGAGGTGGGTGCGGACCCGGAGGACTTTCAGAGAAACCAGAGGGATGATAGGACGGGAATGCAGCACGGGGCCCGGCATCAGACATTCTTCTAAAGGCGTTGGGGACTGATGGGCGAGGGAAATCTGTAGCTCCGGCGGGGTTGTGTAGTCCTGCATGACCTGGGTGCCGAGGAAAGTGCAATCTGGATCGCACATCGCCCCGTTGGGTAGTGTCACCAGCGGCATCTTGAGGCCGTGGAATGTTATTGGGTGGCAAAAAGGGTAGGCCAAGTAGAGCATCTAAACCGGGGCCTGGACTTGTAGGTTGTTGTTGTTGTGGTTGTTCAGTATTCCCTCCGTTCCCAGCCGGGACAGACCGAACTCCAACAACAACCAATGTAACTGTTCGTCCTTCGCCTTCAGCAGGCTCATCGATATCCATCCCATCGTTTTGGGTCCCACGTTCGCCCACACCATTCACGCTCTGCCCTGAAGCGCTTGGGCCCGTGGGTGGCTCGGAATTGGCAAATCGGAACACACGCAAGAAATTGACGGGATGTGAGGGTGCTTCATTTCCAGCATTGCTCGGTCCCTCCCCTGTCGTAGTCGGCTGAGCCTGCGCAGAAGTCGCGTGCTGCAAACTCTGAATGAAATTCTCCAAAGAGCCATCTAATCCATCGTTGCCCAATGCCTGTATATTAGGCAACGCAGGGCCGGCTGTGCCAGATAGTTGGGCTGCAATTGCGGATGCGGCGAGCTGAAGAACTCTTGACAGAGGTGTTTGCTCCTCTCGTCGCAGGACTCTAGATGATCTCGCTCGGATGATCCCAGGCAATCGACGCATCAAAGCAGGACTCGGCTGGGTAGGAGATGAACCGGTTTCCGGCTCCACAGCCTGGATGGCCGGTTCTACCGAATCAAGTTCATGAGGCTGCTCGCCGAAGTCCAGACGCGTGTCCATGTCCCGATCGTCATATAATGAATCTGACATTGGATATTCCGGGCTTTCGTGGGGCCGCAAATCTGAGTGCGCCTGACCGAACATGTGTGAAATGGGAGATGAAATCGAATGGCGCATTCGTTGTAGCCTGACACTTCGGCGCCACGATGCTCTTGTGGGCTCGGGTATTTGAGATGGAGAGTCGATATATGGCGGGGTTGCTGGTGCAGCATCTGGAATTCCAGCGGACTCCGCGCGGGGTGGAATAAAATATGGTGCTCTAGCGGATCGGCGCCGAGTGATTCCTCTAGAGCCAAGGGAGTTGAACGCACTAAACCGACCGGATGCGTGGGCAGCCTCGGATCTTGGAATGGGCATATGAATTAGGCCATGTCGATGTGCATGTCCCTCCGCTGGAGTTTCTTCTTGACTGTTAAGAAGTCCACGGATAACTGAATTAGGGAGAAGCCTAGACCCTAGTCTTGACATGGTGGATTGTCTTCGTGCTGCCATTCGAGCAAATGCCGCGGTGCGGTATTCCCGGGGTGGGAGCTCATACTCGGGCCCGTCCTCCTCCTCAATACTCCGCATGGGTTGCGAACCGCCAGCAGAGAACCGGCCTGGCCGGTCGGATGGCATATCTTGGTCGCTCCTTGTGTGTGTGTTCATATCGGTCCGGGGTGATAAATCACCCTCTCCATTGTGTTCAGCTGCCTGTCTATGATTCATTTCTTCTTCATCCCTCGTGTTGGGGCCACGCTGTATCGAGAAAGGTGGAAGATGTGCCGGATAGCCAGTATTGGATGAATCACGTTGTGTAGAAGAGAACTGTCCCATAGTAACCGAGATATGGCTGTCGGAAGGATGTCGATGTCAACGACTGTTCATTGCCACGCGAGGACCATGTGGCTAATAGCGGCGACCGTATCGATATCGGGTTGGAACGAGGAAATTGATATAATGGGCGCAAGTTATTTGAGTGATGTACGAAACAGATGTTGATTTATTGCTCAAGCTGACAGGGGCGATGTAGTTGATTCTCGGGGGTGATTCTGAAGAAGCCGTATGTCGGACCTTGGGAACAAAGGAGTGGAGAGCGGACAGGGAGTTGGCGGCTACCAGGTTATTTGCAACAGGTACGAAACGCGTAAGACAAATTTCCCTGCCCAATACGAGCAACAGCGGCCAGAGGTCTCAAATTGTCTAGGGAGTTCAGGCACAGCCCACACTACGAGTGGTATAACCGCCGAGCCTTGAACCCCACGGAGCTATGGCAACCACTCTTAGAAAAGGACAGCTAGCGACTGGCAAATACGAAACGGAGGTAAAAGAGCGCCAGGAAAAATGGAAAGGGGGAACTAGAGAAAAAGGAAAAGGAGGAGTAGAGGAGTCATATCAAAGCAAGCAGTTGATAGAGGACGATAAGTGATGATGTTTGCCTTTTTTGCTTCGATTTAAGTGCCTTAGGCATCACATTCCATTCCGTCATCTTCCACCACCCGCTCTCTCTGACAAATGCGCAACTATCAATTGGAGCAATCACAGCCTAGGCCCTAGTACAGACTTGCTACAGCTCCTACCTTCTTTGACGCCGCATGGGAGACGACTCCTCTTGAGCATATGGCTGTGCCGTCGTCTTCGGTTTTTTCTCTACCAATACCGCCTTGGCTCCACCCGCCTGGTACTCGCACATCTCAATATGACCGCCGAAAACGCAAAAGGAGTGTGGGATGGAGTGAAAGCGATCTGGATGGCGAAGAAACAACTGACATAGCCTCGGCAACGGAATCTGAGCCGGCTGGGGCTCCCTTGGTGTTGACGCCGAATGAATCCCATCAGTACCGAATTGCCGGTTTTCCGTCCAACCAAGAATTGCCGAAAGGTCATTTTCCCCATGCACAAGATAAGGATGAGCAACTCAGAAGAGAAACTACCTCACGCCACCTCAAAGATTTGGCGGCATTATCACCTCCAATCTATCCTCCTCAGTCGGCCCAGCAAGGCAACATTCGCTTCCAACATCTGGGTGCATTGACAGCCATTTTACATCGATGTATGCTCCAAGGTGATTATGTTCGAGCCGGACGAGCTTGGGGCTTGATCTTGCGCGAAGATTATAGAGGCTTTCGAATGGACGTTCGTAACGAAGCAAGGTGGGGCATCGGTGCTGAAATCTTGCTGCGGCGTGACGAACGGGAAAACCCAGCCAACCCTGGTGCGTCCAAGGTGCCGAATCCGAAGGAAAGCACACCCGTAAACTTTACCACCAAGGGCTTTGCGGCAGCTAAAGAATATTATGAACGACTTATTCTCAACCATCCGTTCATGAAATCTTCACCACAGTCTATTTCCTCTTTGCACTTTTATCCTGCAATGTTTGGGCTTTGGGTGTACATGACCCAGGAAGAAAGCAAGGCGAATAGGAAGGAAATCGCTCTTCGCCAAGAAGAAGAGCCAGGTGAGTTTTCTGAGGACGAAAATTCAGAATCTGAATTTGGCCACCGTCGGAAGTCACAAAACAAGGCAGATGCTGCCATCACAGCAATCAGGGCACTGGAGTTGGAACAGGCACAGCAGATTGCTGCACGTATGGACCAGCTCCTAGGGTCTCCTCCATACTCCGACTCGCCTGAATTGCTGGAGCTAAGAGGGATGATCTCTTTGTGGATCGGTGATCTGTTCCTGTCTGCGCTATTATTACCGGCAGATTTGGAAGAAGACCACGATCCCGACCGGATGCTCCTAGATGAAACTTCAGGCTCCCTTGAAGCGAGACGTCAGCACAGGTTTGCAACTGAAAAGAAAGCAACCGAAGTCCAAAGGTCGGTCGAGCTGTTTGAGAAGGCCAAGAAACGAGGCAGGAGTGTTGCATACAATCTGGAGAATTTTCATATTGATGATGACTCTCCCGGCTAAGTGATCTCGATGTTCTTCCGCTATGGAACTGCTCATGTAAACCTTGACCCAATATACCCCCAATGAATTAATTGCATTCTACCTACAGCTAAGCACCCATCTACAACCAAACACCCCTCTCGCCCAGTATGATATAGTTCTTTGTATAAGTTGTATAAGACACATTGTGGCCTTAGATGATCGTGGCATGCATGATGTAGCCAAGCAAGCATGCTTGGCATCTATGCCGGGGGATGATCACTACCACCCCAAGCACAGTTGCCATAGATGAGGCTCGAAGACGTTTAACATGATTGGCACGTGACTACGCGGTGATATCGCGTTTGCCCAAAAACCTTACCGTGGACTGATCCCGGTCATCTTTCGGCGTCATCAAAAACAAATAACACATCTCTCCATTTACCCTACAATACCTGATTTAAATAAAGGACCATGGGGGTCGGCGATTATGTCCACTCCAAAGAAGGTGGGCAGCTTCGCGGAGCCCCCGATCAATCCCTCCAGTCGCGCCAGCAACGTGCAGAACAAGCCAGAGTCGAGGTGCCGGTCACCCAGCTAGTCGACTCAGGCCTTTCAAACATTAATGGTAGAGGTGGCTCGCTAGAACTTCCTGGTGCATCTCAGTTTCCCAATCAGCCCCACAATCTTCCTACAAATGGAATGCAGCGGGATAGGGATGTGTTTGACACAGATGTGGAGGCCATCGATGATTCAACTGTGGCGGGGACTAGCGTCTACGGATTTGATGATAACAAATCTCAAGCAGCGTCAAGTACCAATGCTGCTTACACCAACCCTCTACCATCGACGTACCAGCCCCGGCCTTCACGACATACGTACAGTTCTAAGTGGTATGATGGTCTAGGTGATCAAGCCATGAAGAAAGCTGGGTTTGATTCAGATGACTTCGATGACTTCGGAAGCCAAATGACCTCGTCTCTTGGTGGAGATGGCGGTAATAACGAAAAGCTCGAAGCACACGACTGGCATGTGTCAAGCAAACCACGTACGACCGAGGAGCCATTGAGCAAGCGCCTGGAAAATTTTTGGTCCGCCAGTAGAAAGAGAACTACTTCGCGGCAGCCTGTTACCGTAGACTCTGACCCCGAGCCTCAAACTCAACCACAACCCAAGTCCAAGCCGCGGAAATTAGGCCAAATGCTTCCTCCTACTGGACCCAGGAAGATTGTTCTCCCTCCTAACTCTTCGGCAACACCCAGGACACGTTTCAGTCCGCCAAAGCCTTCACTTCTTGAACAACTTGACCAACAACTTGATGCATCCCCCACTCGCCATATCTCTCAACCTCCACCAGATTTTGGCCAGTCGCTCAGCATCACATCGTTTCAAGATCATACTGACAGCGATGGTGGAAGCGACGATGGCATGGACCGTACTATACGCGCGGATGGACGACGGGAAAGCGGCGGCCATTCGACCAATGCTTTTGACATGACCAGCCTGACCGACCTAGACGTCGACCATACGATGCAAGATCCTTTTTTCGTGCACGAATCGCACGAATCGCAGGAGTCACAGGAGTCGCAAGAGCCGTCACATCGTAGTCGTCGCAATACTGTCATCCATTCCAAAAAGCGATCACTGGAGGCAGACTATCCTCCAGAAGTGCTTTACCAAAAGTCTTTCTCCGAGCTCCAAGCTGAGCCCTTTGACAAATCCCCCACCCCTCCTCCACCTGTTGTCAAATCACCTTCCTTGCCACCAAATCCACCGATTGTCCCAGACACCCAAGAGCCTGGGAGTGTCGTCTCCCATCTGTTAACTCTGACGGATCAAGAACGCCAGTCTTGTTTGTCACACATGACCATGGATGAGTGGGAAGACTGCGGTGATGAAATGATCGACCGTTTCACCCATCTTCTTTCAGAAATGAAGAACTTACGACGTGCCCGCCGCCGCACAGCTGCTGTGTTTGAAGGCGAAGTCAAGCGCCGTCATGACGAAGTTGAAACAGACAATTTGGATTTGACGAATAAATTGACCGAGATGAGAACTGGCGGTGCAGAGGTTCTGCGTGGACGCTACTCATGAGGGAGGGATAGCTGTCTTGCTCGGCATGGCTTATCGTTAACCCTGATGTCGATTGAGATAATTGCGTTATGCCCCATATTACGTACGGCAGGACTTGATTTATGCATGTTAATACCCCTTTTACGCTTTGGTACCTTTTTTTCTATTGTTTATTTGCTTGGTTCTTACATCGGGGCTGGGGCTTATCAATTTTGCATTCATATGTTGGTCTGAAGTGTTGATTTTTGCTAAAATGATGTATGATATGGACAATGCGTAGCTCACTCCCGAGATCACCAAAGCTATGCTATCTAATCCAAGGTTAATTCGCCAAGATGAAATGTAACGCCAGATATAATAACGCCATCGATCCATGATGCAAAAATACTTCATCCCTCACTGCGAGCAATAAAAAGGAGATGAAACAAAAAAAGGTTATCTATCTACGGAAACTTATCGAGACTCGGCAGTACTTTTGAAAAGCGCAGCAGCGAGTCTCTTATAGTCCTCCAGTAGAACAGCTACGTCCCCAATCCGGAGATCGCGCGCATCCTGTGTCTCAAGGAACCGCTGAATCGGAGGATCATTCTTCAATGAAGAGGTGGGGACTGGGCTGACAGGACCACTAGTGTTGTCTGCCGAGGCGGGCGATGGCCTGGATTTATCCAGTCCCGATGGAGATACGGACCTGCCGCTGGGTGTTTCTGGTGTGTTGCGGCCAAAGTTCTTCATCATGCCTGGAATATGGTTCAGAGGGTTGAGCGTGTTGCCGAAGTATCGCATCGATTCTAACGGAGTGGAGCTTATGGCTGGATTCGATGCAAGATCTTCACGCAATGATGTCGTGATGGACTTTTTGCCGCTCTCTTGGGTTCGAGTGCTGTCCACGCTCCTGTCCCGAGGGGTAGGGCCACCGCTGGAAAGGTCTGTGAGTCTCGAACTACTGCGTGGGGGTGTGCTTTCATCCACAGAGACAGAATTAATTGCAGCGAGCTCCCCTTGGGTCAGGTCTTGGTTGGCAACAGAGGCAGGCGGCAAGGAAACTAGACGGCGAGCTTCGGCCAATGTTTTCGGCAGTATTGGTCCGCTACCCTCCGGGCCGGGTCCTTGGATGTTTTGCATTTCCTTCAGACGACCAAACAGAAAGTTGAAGCTGCTGTCCAATGTAGCACCAATGTTCTTTAGACCCTGATCGGCAGTGGTACGCACGGCATCATTTGCCGCCCCGAGGACTTTAGAAGGCGGCTGGAAAAGGTTGCTGAGGCGTCGTTGCTGTGGTGTGACAGAGGGTCGAGGCCTAGGTAATGTAGAGGAAGCGGGTTCTTTGATTTCTGGTTTTGACAGTTCCGGCGATGCAGATACAGTCGTCACAGCCAAAGTTGTAGTCTCCTTGGGTGGCCGAAAAGGATCGACATGGCCTGCGGATTCTGTCGTTGTCTCGCTAGGGGGTTTGAGAGGGCCATCCTGGAGCTCATCTGCACGCAGAGTGGAAAGATCGACATTTTCCAAAAAACTTATTGCGGCCTCTAAGTTGGTTAAGCAGTAAGCAGTTTCTCCGTCAATTCTGTTTGAGGACCTGAAACGCTGGATAAAAACCAAGTTGCTGACAATGTTGATTCCCTCAGGGGGGCACGTCACAAGCGAATAGATCAGAGTGGGCAGAATCTCGTCTGCAGAGGAGGAAGATGGTAACAGTTTAGTAAGGGCGTCGACGATGGCCTTGTGCGCTGCTGCGAGTTGCTGAAGCTTTCCAAGGGGGTATTTGTAATCGTTCATCTTCGCGAGATACTCTCGGGCTTGACAAAGGAATTCGTTCGCTTCGTCCTGTTTCTGCTCGTCGATCGCTTCGAGGTCTATATCGATCCCAAGGTCCTTCAAATTAATGCCGACCAGCAATAAAGCCGCAGTCTTCGAACGCAATTTTTCATCTCGCACATCATCCAATGTACTTTTGTGCCTCCACAGTTTATCATAAACCAGCTCGCACACCCTCCGTTCGGCAGCCTCTTCTAATGCAATCCGTTTGTTTTCAAGTGCTCTACGAGCCTTTCGCCTTTCAGCTACTTCGGCCGCGGTCAACATTTGACGGCCTGGAGCCCCTTGTCTGACATCGTCGTTAGAACGTTTGCTGCTCAGTTTTGACAGTGCGCTTCCTCGTGGGGCTTTTGCAGGAACCTGAGGCGAAGGATCCCGATTGATACGAGTTATGAGAGCAGAGATATGCGTGGCAATATGGGACTCGGCTCGGCTGTAGAAAACTTGGAAAAGCTCGGAGATCTTCTCGATCGTGGGAGGCGAGTTGTGTACTCTGGCGCTCAGTGAATTCACGAAACTAGTGAGAAGATGGCTGTTAGAATAAAATATTGAAACATGGCACCAACATGGCCATACTTACCGATCCGCCAGGCTGATTAGTTCGATCGGTAGCTCCTCTGAAGGGTCTTGTACGCTTCGCGAAAGCACAAAGCCATCGCCATCATCTGTCTGGGCATCGCATGCGGTGCCAGAGTCTGCGGAGCCCCGTCTTTCAAATACGTCGGGTGTATTTTCCTGCCCCTCAGTACTGACAGGTGAGGCCAGAGGTGCTGTTTTGGAGTTTTGCTCAATTGTGGGAGACTTCACACCTGAGCTGTCCATTCTGGTGAAAGACCGTGCTGAACGTAAATGAGGCTCAGTGCTATTTTCAGAGGGGCCAGACATTTTAGGGCCAAGGGCGATGGGGTCCTATAAGGCACTAATTGCGTGTCTCCGCTCCCCGGTACAGCTGATAGGCCTGTGCCGATCCGCGTCTAAGACCCCCAGGTATAGCCTGGGCCTATTGTCCAGAAGTTGAATCGGAAGTACTCCGTATCAAGCATGCAGTATACTTTGATCAGTAGCAGCTGATTACTTTCCTGGTGATCAGTTCAGAAGATACCAAATTGAGAAATTGGATTCACATGATATCGCTTCCCGTCACGGGGGTACTCATCACGTGCCGATCGCTCTCCGCACTGCGTCACTTATCAAGTGACTCGCCGATAGCCGCGATAGACTAACGTCTCCTTGATCTTGATCCTCATCATCACCACCGTCATGCCTCGAAAGCGTTCATACATTAAACTCAGTTTCAACAGCCTATTATTATTGACTGCAGCATTACCAGATGTTGCTTCCGCCTCAGGCTATTATCCACCCTCTCAACAAGTTCCCATCATCCCGCCCCAGATACCTGGGAATGGAGCCGAAGCTACACCAGACACACATGAGTTTGTAAGATGCCCTACGCAAAGCTGTACTACCCTGGCTGATCTATAATAACCGTTCATAGTCCCTGCGTCACATCTTCCACCGAGGTACCTATGATCAACCCGACCTTCATGCAAGGCTCGACGTCAAGCCAGACACTCGCCTCCGAGCTGTTTCCGAAGATGGCTACGAAGAACAATATATTGCATCAGAGAACATTTTGCCTGCATCATCTAGCCCCCTCACAATACAACGGTTAGCCGACCGACGACTCCCAGTGATTCAAGGTCACTTGACAGCTGCGCGGTCTTCCGCCTTTGCGGCCGCTTTGACTCCACTGGATTGGGTCATGGACACCGTTCCTGGGCCGAATATTACAGACAAGCAGACTGTCCTGACATTTGCACAAATGACTGCAAACGACTATATTCAAGAACCTGGAACAGGAGAGTGGCACACTATTCATGGCCAATTCAACTATTCGGGAAGCTTCGGTTGGCAAAAGGATGGATTGAGAGGGCACATCTATTCCGATAAGACAAACAGCACTGTGGTCATTTCCCTGAAGGGCACTTCACCTGCTCTTTTTGATGGCGCCGGTACCACAACAAATGATAAAGTCAATGATAATCTATACTTCAGTTGTTGCTGCGGCCAAGGTGGCTCTTATCTATGGAGACAATCATGCGATTGCCAGAGTGCTACATTTACGGCAAATTTGACATGCATTGTCGAGTCTATGACTGACGAAAACCGTTATTATCAGGCAGCGATCGACCTATACTCTAACGTTACCGAAATCTACCCGGATGCGAATGTTTGGATGACCGGTCATTCGTTAGGTGGTGCAATGACAAGTCTGGTTGGATTGACGTTTGGGTTGCCTGTGGTCACTTTTGAGGCAGTTCCAGAAGCATTACCCGCAGCTCGTCTTGGTCTCCCAAGCCCGCCAGGGTATGACTCCCCGACTTCCACAGTCGCGAAAGTTCACTGGAGCCTACCACTTTGGTCACACAGCAGACCCAATTTATATGGGAACCTGCAATGGAATTAACTCCATATGTACATGGGGTGGCTATGCGATGGAGTCAGCATGCCATACCGGACAGGTGTGCACCTATGATACCGTGGCAGACAAGGGCTGGCGTGTTGGTCTTGGTACCCACAAGATTGAGAACGTAATATCAGATGTTATTTTGAAATACGACAGTGTCCCATCATGTGTCGCAGAGGAAGAATGCTTCGACTGTGAACTCTGGAAGTTCTTCCGAAGCAACGGTTCTGAGGTCACAACTACTACCACTACCATCACTACCACGTCTGCCACCAGAACTTCTACGTGCAAGACTCCTGGATGGTGGGGCTGTCTAGATGAAAGCACAACCGCCACCACTACGACTACCACTACCACTTCGCCGACAAGCACTGCGACTACCACGACATGCATGACTCCTGGTTGGTTCGGGTGCAATGATCCCACCACAACAGCCACCCCGGCACCCACAGTGACTACCACCTTGCCCACGGTGACTGCGACGACCAGCTGTCACAACCCAGGGTGGTTCGGCTGTCGTGACGAAACGACCACGGTAGCTACAACTACCGCCGACTCTGCGTCGCCCACTTCCGCGAGCTGTCATAGCCCGGGGAGGGTGTGGGGATGTTGGGATGAGTCCACTAACACACCTGCAATCACATCGGCGCCCACTTCTACCAGCTAAACCCCATCTCACATGCACGCACTTGCAGCATACTCATGGTGCTCCTTTATTTTTATTGATCCGTCGGCTCTTAAGAAACCGCAAGCGCTAAATATACCCACCCAATCTTACGATTTGTTCCGATCTCAATTTACTTCAGTTTGCCTTTCTCACATCGATATACAAGATATACTATTGGCGCATTGGGCGCATTAAGCGAGCCTTTTTTTTTCGTGTCTTTTTTTTCCTCTTTTCTTTTGGCTCTGTGTGTTTTGCATCATCACCTGTACCACTTTCAAGGGAAGCACTATTCGAGGTTTCTTGTCGAAGAGCAGGTGTGCAGAATTCCTTGAACGGACCGAACTTCGGGGGTTTTAGATCGCTATGAGACAATTAGATTGTTCCAATGAATTTTTTGGGATATAGAACTGTATCTCCGGGGTCGGACCGGGGGCTTGCCGATCTCGGATCGTGCCGATAGGACCTTGGAAGTTGCCCAGGTGACATCGGATCGAACTGCTCAAGTGGTATAGTCTAAAGTTGGGAGAAAGACTTGACCTCCCCGGAATGTCTCTTGGTCTAGCCGCAGTCCATTTACAAAGCCATGTTGTCCCGATGCTTTGATCCCGGGGAGTGGATCCGACAGGGATGACATCGGCTCAGATGCGATTGGATAGTATGCATGCACACGTCAATGCCCTGATATTTGTAAATTTTATATAGTACAAAATACAATATAGTTGATACTTGCTGATATCGAGAGGCACCTATGGACCGATAAACAAGTGTATGTTTTCCCATATCAAAGATCCTGTGGGGCCATGGGCGACTTTTCCATGGCTCCCCCACAAGGCACTTTTTTCTCCTTTATATAAACCAGAGTGCTCCCAGGATTCTTCTTCTTTCTCCATAGCCAAAGATCTCATCCATCATGGGTCAAGATAACGAGCCTAGTAGGTTTTATTATCAACCCCCCAGACTAACCTAGCTAATACCCTCTCTTTCGCAGAAACTTACCGCTACAATGAGACTCCGGTCTACACGGCCTCCAACGGCTGCCCAGTACGCCCGGCTCACTGTCTTCTGAATCTCAAGATCTAACCCTATATAGGTCATGGACCCCCAGGCTGCTCAGCGTATTGGTCCCAACGGTCCTCTTCTGATGCAGGACTTCCACCTGATCGATCTGCTAGCACACTTCGACCGTGAGCGCATTCCTGAGCGCGTGGTTCACGCCAAGGGTGCTGGCGCATATGGCGAGTTTGAGGTTACTGATGATATTAGCGATATCGTATGTACTGCCTGGGAAACCTTTTCCATTCAGCAAAGGATCATTAGGTTAACAACACATAGACCATCATTGATATGCTCAAGGGTGTCGGCAAAAAGACCAAGATGCTCACCCGTTTCTCAACCGTCGGTGGTGAGAAGGGATCTCCAGACAGTGCGCGCGATCCCCGCGGATTCGCCATGAAGTTCTACACCGAGGAGGGCAACTGGGATTGGGTGTTCAACAACACCCCTGTTTTCTTCCTGCGCGACCCTGCTAAATTCCCCGTCTTCATCCACACTCAGAAGCGCAATCCGCAGACCAACCTTAAGGATGCCACCATGTTCTGGGATTACCTCTCCACCCACCACGAGGCAGTCCACCAGGTAATGCACCTCTTCAGTGATCGCGGTACCCCATACTCCTACCGCCACATGAACGGCTATTCCGGCCACACCTACAAGTGGATCAAGCCAGACGGCACCTTCAACTACGTCCAGATTCACTGTAAGACAGACCAGGGCAACAAGACCTTCACCAACGACGAGGCAGCCAAGCTGTCCGCCGAGAACCCCGACTGGCACACCCAGGACCTATTCGAAGCTATCCAACGCGGCGAAAACCCCTCCTGGACCTGCTATGTGCAAGTTCTGAGTCCCGAGCAGGCTGAGAAGTTCCGCTGGAACGTCTTCGACCTGACCAAAGTCTGGCCTCAGAACGAGGTACCTCTGCGCCGCTTCGGCCGCTTCACCCTGAACAAGAACCCGGAGAACTACTTCGCCGAGATCGAACAAGCCGCCTTCTCCCCCTCCCACATGGTCCCCGGTGTCGAACCCTCCGCCGACCCTGTCCTTCAGTCCCGCCTCTTCTCCTACCCTGACACCCACCGCCATCGCCTGGGCGGCAACTACGAGCAGATCCCCGTCAATTGCCCGCTCAAAGCCTTCAACCCTTCTCACCGTGATGGCTATATGAACGTCAACGGAAACTACGGTGCCAATCCTAATTATCCCTCCACCTTCCGCCCGCTTGCCCACAAGCCCGTCAAGGCTAGCCAGGAACACGAGAAGTGGACCGGCGCTGTCATCGCCGAGCAGTACCCTGTGACCTCTGAGGACTACGTCCAGGCTAACGGCCTGTGGCAGGTCCTTGGCCGTACCTCCGGCCAGCAGGAGAACTTTGTCGGTAATATCTCTGGTCACTTGTGTGGCGCCGATGAGCGTGTTCGCAAGGCTACTTACGAGATGTTCCGTCGTGTTAACCCGGATCTTGGTGCTCGCATCCAGTCAGCTACAGAGGCTCATGTTTCCGGTGCCCCTCCAGCGCGTTTGTAAATGTCCTTTTCCTTGCTTGTGCTTTCATACTCGAAATAATTGTGGATTCAGCCCACATCCCTGCATAGATATCTGAGCAATTTGAATACGACTTACGAATTATTTGGTCTTACCTTGGGAGGTATCAACAACAGAGGAACTGAGTGAGGGCTTCGCAAAGTCATGAAGAAAATTACATATCTACTTTTTAGCCACTGTAATCGTTCTAGTAATATCAGCTTCTATGCAGAGGTCTACATGCTCCTTACAAGCTATAATCGACTTTTCTCTCGGGTTTCTCCAAAGGGGTACTGGATTCTATATACATATTCTCTTGCAAAACGAGGCTTCCAGAATACGAACTTTGACATGGATATATTCTCTGAGTCAACTGAAGACAACAAATCATACGAACGCAATATTGTAAACAGTGACACTTCCAATGAGCATGAAGGAATCGACTGACCTCTTTTTCTTTTACTGAATGAATTGACCTATCGATATCTCGTCAGCATTTGATTCCAAAAGGGGGAATATATCATGGGCAACTCACGAGTTCCAGTATATGTGATACCACCAATCATCACATGTTGGTATGACTGTCTAAAGAGCGCATACGCCACACTGCTGAGCACTTTGTTACTACCTGCAGAGCCATCTATCCAATTATATCTGTAGTTGAAATGGTTGAAAATCGTAGTGTTAGCATTAGCCGGAAGCCTCAGGAACCTGTGCTCATTCAATTGATAAATCAGTTGCGACCTATCAATATCGGGGATTAGCGTATGTCTCAAAGCGTATCAGGGAAAGAAAACTCACACAAAGTCTCTACAGCCAACCAATTCCGTGTTAGTGGGATCAAGGTGACAAGGGACCAAACCGGTGCTTCGAATGATCCTAACACAATCCCAAACAGACTTATCACGGCCCATAGGTACTTCTACCGAGTGGAGCGCTAACTGATGCAGGCCTTCGTATCCAAAGGTAGACATCATTAGTATAGATGTATTTGTTCCATTGAGTGCCTCCATACCTTCCAAGTCTAGGATAACTCCCCTGGTACCGATAGGCGCATAAGGGGTATCGTCACCCAGCTGGCGTAAGAACGTGAGTCGGAGAATAGTATGGTTATTTCGATTAGGGTCATTAGGATCCTCTTCATCTATTGGGCCGACATCTAGAAACTCGAGCCGGCACGAAGCAACCTTTTTGCGTACGAGGCCCAAGGGAATATCCGAGTGATTTGAGACGATGTAGTCCCGATTATGAATTACATTTGGTCCTTGAACACGAGGACGGCGCGGAGGAGGGGTGTTGTAGACAGCTCCGGAACGAAGAGTGTGAGACATTTCTAAATGTATAGTTAGCTCTTGGGACCACTCAACCATAGGGACTATTGTTGTACTTACTTGCTGTGAGTGATGAATTGGCTGATGTTGGCAAAATGGCTACTGTAGTAGATTAGTTGCTGTTGAACTTGTTGCTGTGAGGTAACTGATTGTTGTTGATACTTGAATCTTGAGTATACTCTACGAGGCACATATTGTATCTTATATATTCGTAGACCTTGGAGGCTCGTAGTCAGTGGAATCATGGCATTGTAAAGAAAATGTCGTATTCCAGTGATCAGTCTACCCTTGAAAGAACCCATTATACTAAAATTAATCGAATCGCCAAAGAACTAGCCAAAGAAGCTTAAAGCAACCCTTGAAAGGTAAATTCGGCCAATACGCATTATCCCTAAAAATATGCCAACAGGTTTAGTCGGTTTGATCAAAGAAGGTCCATGAAAGAAAATTACATAGAAAAATATGGCATTGTTAGAAGTAAGCCCTAATTTCGAATGGAATTGTTGATTAAAGAAACTGACTCGTCAAAGGGCATGTGGCAAGCATCTATATCTAGCGTTCAAAGAAGAACCCCATGATAGTATCACAGGGATGCTTGGGGCTCTGGCCTTTGCATATTGACAATTTGAATTGATTTTGGCCATTGGGTAGTCGTCAGGTCGGGACTGCAAATGAACTTAATAGGGGGTGCCTACCTGGCAGTGTAAGCATCCGTCGCATGATTCACAAGCCTGATCTAGACAATTATTGTGAGAACCACCAACCATGATTCCATACACACTAGAATAAGAAATAGCTAAGATTTACATGGCTGTGTGTGGATTACGTGCATGTCTCGGAGGGTCAATCAATCAATTTCTCCTGGTCGTGTCTAGAGCGCAGAAGAATGCAACACGAGAAAAGCAACTCACAATACGATTAACATAGAACAAAGAAAAAAGAACAACACGGTAGCCCTCGGACATAGAATCATACGCCAATTCTGATTTCGCTGTATCTACCATTTCTTTTTCAGACCCATGAGGTCCTTCTCCTGGGTCACAGCATCGCCTGCTGCCTCAAATACCTTGAGAATCTGAGAGTTCCTCTCCTTGACGTGACCTAACATAATTTCAATTGCCTTCGCGGCCTCTTCTGCGAGCAACGTCTCATCTGCTTTGGATGCTTCATCGGCTATCTCATGCAACCGCTTGAGCCAGTATAACCATCTCCAGGGACTAAACCCACCAGGTGCTCGTTGACCTAGCTCTGATTGGACAAAACTGAAACCACCTCTCCCAATGGTACTGTCAGAGCAATCATTCCATGAGACATCGGATAAGAGTATGATGTTATGCCCGGCTTCTCGGATCCAGGCACATGCAGATGGAAGTAACGAAGCAATACGAAGGAATGTTCGGTGATTGTTTTCCTCATCCGGATCATTAGAGCTGCCAAGGGGACGCTCGGACTCAAATGTATCACGAAAAATGATCAGAGCAATCTGGCAAAGCCGATCATTCGCAATGCGCGTGGACGCAAGCTTTGCAAGGAAGAACGCAGCATTAAGGCGTTGCTTTGAGTCCATTGCCACGTAGCTGTTGATCCAGCACTCTGTCATATCCGTCGCAAGAAACGGCAGGTCATTCCAGACAGTCCCATCGGGGGTTCTAGCAATATCGATGCCACCGCCCCGTGCTGGCCTCATTAGAGGCCCTCGCCCTCGCGTCCGAAGAATGTCAAGGACCCATCTGTCTTGCTCAAAGCTTTCGTGGGAGACATGTCTGGCGCATTGATAATAGACGTACCACAAAGAATGCAGAAACTCCTCGCAGGAGTCAATGGACTTGCCGCTCCGGCAGTACGATTGGTCAACGATCCACGCCCTGTTATGTGCTACAGATCGGAGGAGGTCAAAATCCCCTGCTCGAGCAGCCACCTCAAAATCTGCCCGGTCCGCTGGGTTGCATGCAGCGAAGCCGCAAGAATTATCTCGCGGTGGTAAACTTGCTGAATCTCTTAACACCTTGTGCATCCCGATTTCAGTATTGTGAATGAGCTGGTAGTACCGACCGGAGGCGAGCGTCCCAGAAGTAAATCTCTGGAAATGAAGTAATTGTTAGAGAGATAAATTGCAATGACAGTAGAGAATGGGTCTATGCAAAGGGCAGACTGAGGGATAGATAAGGAATGGCAGACAGCAACAATATTTTGCCACCATATTATACCTGTATACGGTTCGTAAAGGTCACCAATTTGGGGTAGGAGATCGACAGTGATCAGCAAAATATGTGCCCATGACTCGATACTTGAGTAGAATCATGTCACATGTGAGACTAGACCCTATTTAGCGCTGTAGTGCTTCATACCAGGAGTGAAAATATAATAATGAAACCTCAGGATAATAGTTCTTGCTCAATGCTGGTATAGAATAGATAACAGGACAACATGTACCGAAACGCAGCGAATTTGTATGGGTCCCTCTACATAGTGACTACTTCTAAACCAATCCAATATCAGCAGCAGAATCTACCTGCCTGATGTAACCACATCCTGACAGATGCAATCTCTATTAACAGAGTCATAGTAGCAGGATTTGTCCTCAATTGCGTCTGTGCACTGTGTGTAGAAGTCAGCACACTTCCAGAGAAATGGGGTCCAGGGCAAGCTACCTTTTTGAACTGGCAACGACAGATAGCCTTCAGGCCACTTTGTGACTCATAATGGCATTGATTGTTTGTTGGATCGCACTCCTAGTTTGAAAAGGTCAGCCTCTTCGTCTCGTATTTCAAAGAACATTGAGAGACTTACTCCTGGGTATCTAATTTGGCGATTGTTTTCGTTTCTAACATCCAAGTCATTGAAGGTGGGGAACACAGCGCTCGCTGGGCTAGCCAATGCTCCCAGAGTAGCAGAGAAGACAACTCCAAAAGATGTCAGGGTGAAAGTTTTCATGATGATAGCGTGCGCCTTCGGTTACTCGAGAAGTAGGACTGGTGTTTTGGAAAAGGGATTTGTGTTTTCATTACCCTACCATATGTCGGGTGTATGACCACTTTATATAGGCTCTATTTAAAACCATGGTGGGAGCTCTCAGACAGGGCCACAGTCGGGAGTCGGTGGTCGGGGGTCTCAGAGCTGTTGAAAGCTGAGTACCTGGGTAAAATCCCAACATGGGAACATTTCGGTCATTCCACCATGCCACGCGTCCCTCAAAAAAGGGAATATGCCGCATCAACCAATTGCTTGAGGATATATTGTTAGCTGATTGTTGGTATACCGCGACGGGCCACCTCGGCAGCGGGCTAGGGTATGGATCAACAAATGTAGATTATGGGCATTCATATAACTGGCAGAAACGTAAATTCGAGTGCATGCTTGAATCTGGATAATCACTCCTATTCCTGCTTTGGTTCTGAATGTGATACAACATCAACTAATGCAGGAGGATCATCACCTGCGCTGGAAGCCCGGCGGCAGCCAGATTTGTTCAAATACGTCAAGTACTATGGCCATTGATCGTCGTTCAACAGGGGTTCTGATCCATTCAAACAAGGCAGGGCAACAACGAGCACCGCAGACCAATCATATGATATCGCGTAAAAGGAAGAACTATCAGCCTCGAAGTGTCAACCAAGAAAAGGTTTGATGCGAGTCAGGCGGCAAATGTTCGGTTGATAGGTTTGAACTAGTAATATAGGGGTCAGAGAGTGCTGAGGAATGTTAGCCAGCTAAGGAAAGCTATACGGAGTACATTCTTAGAGGTTTTTTCAAGCTCTACGGAACTGCTTCAACCGAGGCCGAAGGAGCATGGCTGTGTAGATATCTTTGTGTTTATCATGTGCATTAACATGCGCCATGGGCTTCACAGGACATATTAACACCGAATCTACAATGTGTGCTCATCCTTGATCAGATATGGTATTGAATCGTCACTTGTATAGTATACTGAACGATTGAAACATATGTCATTGCTCTGCATCGTTCTAGGTCATGGCTCGATCTTTCTGAGCCTTGTCCAAATCCTGTCATCCCAGTAGCGTATCAAGTAAACATTATCACCAAATTCTGATCCCAATCCAGTTAATGATATGCAAATGTGATCACTATTTTCATCCTGTGTCTCCGCATAGCTAGTGCTGTGTTGTGGGATATCTCCGTGACTAGAAGGATATAAAAGGGTCGGTGCTCGCTGCCTCTAGATGACTTCTCTACTACCAAAGCACTCCTCTTTCTGTCTTTCTCTGACCAAGATCCCTTTACCCAAACCATCACAATGCAGCTTATCAACCATGCCATTTGTACCGTCACAATTCTGGCCACCATTGCGGCAGCAGGCCCCGGTTCAATCGTTGCTAGGGGCGAAAAGCTCCACGTTTTCAATGGCGAGAAATCCGTCATGGTCGAAAGTGGAGCCTCTGTGGAGACCCGCAACGTTTTGGCAGCCTTGGCCCAAGGAGACGTCGACTGCAAGGGCTCTGCCTTGTGCGAAAAGCTCGGTTCTAGCTGTGACGATGCCTACCGCAAGGTGACTCCCAGCAACACCTACAGCACTTACCTCGAGTATGTCTACCCTTTAATGAGAATGGATGATTTGACTTTTCATTAACTCGACCAAGCAATTCCGACACTGGAACTTGCAGTGGAACCTGCGGTCTTTTTGTCAGCGGCGATCACTGTGAGGCCTTGGGGCAGGATTTGTTGGACGCCTACAATGATATTCGCAAACGAGGCCATTGTAGCCATTGCGGACGCAAGCAAATCGCCAACGGCTGTATGATCAAGATTGACCGGGTGATGGGTTGTTAAACGGGCTGCGCCGTGTTGATCGGATGGGAGATATATGCCATGTATGGGCCTTGCCAACTCCTATGGGGCTCAGAGATTTGTAGTCCCATATCCTCCATCCAGTACAATCATGGGGTATTTCGAATACTGTAGCAATACGGAGTTTAATACTAGCCATTCAGCATCTATAGTACCGCCCTAGTGAGAATTCTGTTCATGAGGCTCTGCCAAGCCTGAGCTAATTTTGAGTTGCATTCTGTAATTTTTTTACTGAGAGATACGCGATACGATATCAATCTACATATTTTCAGTGGTTGAATCAGGATAAGGCTTCGTACAATAGTAGTAAATATTCAATCACAAAGCATACTCGAGTTTACATACCAAATATCATCAACACGAGGCCTTCCAGGCGAGTAATTCATTGTACTCGGTTGTTTATAAAAGCATTTTATTACTAGCGCAATCTGATCGGCGGGATCTACATGGATAGAGTTCTTACCACGGGGGTGTGTACGGAGTGCATGTACCCTGCCAAGGCAGCCCGGGCAAGAAGGGTCACCCCTAAGGCATAGCACTTTGCTTTTTCTTCCAGTGATATGAATATCAATAATTGATATTTGTTGATGGAATTAACCACTTGCAATTTTCCGTATTTGATTGACTGTGTGCATGTGGAAGAATACTATATTTTTGATCGGTGGCGTTCACGCTTATTGCATTGTGGCACCTTCTCGGGGCTGTCTTGGCGGAGTATGCGTGAACCGTAAGCCCCTGTTCTTGTCCTAACGTAGCCCTAATAGAGAAAATGGCCCTGTATATTGTACCTAGGTACTCCATACGGAGTAGTGATAGGTAATGCCCTTGGGCTGTGATGATGTAAGCGGGCGCTTTGACCTAAGGACCTCGTCCCCCTAGCCGTGCGGAGTAACCCCACTGGAATACTTTGATAGACAAGCTTGCCTTGGTGGAAATATAACCCTTAAAGGTCAATGTCAAGGGTCGAGTATCAGAAGTACGGAGTATCGCATGGATCAGTTATGGACGAGTATACAATCATGACGCTGTGAGCTACTCCACTTTCTAGACACACCATTGTTAATATAAATACACTTAGCGTCGGGGCTGTGCCGCAATCTCCTTTAGACAACGCTAATGCATGGGTGTACCTATATTACTGACTTAGCCTGAGCGACCACCTCGGATCAAGCATGTGTACGTACCTGTACCGCAATCCCGAGACAACGCTAATGCACATACAAACACCCATAGCCCTAGGGTCCAAAACCCCTTTTGTCCTTTTGGGGAGCAAATGGGGGCCGGCCAAAAAAAAAAAAAAAAAAAAAAAATAAGATTACCCAAATTACTATTATTACACTTGCCTTGATAATGAAAGTAGCTCAGTGATTCTGCTGATACTCATAAGTCTTTATCTCCATATGAATGGAGATATCCCTTGTAGTATTAATTAATTCACCATGCTCTTTATACGAGGGCGGTGTGAGAAGCGTTACCTAATAAGACACTCAGGCATCAAGAATCTTTCCAAAAGGGGTTTGGACCCTGAGCGCTATGGGTCCTCGTAGCACAGATATGTCGGTCGCTGGCAACGGAGAAAGGTACCTATAGAGACAGTGCATGGCCCCAGTGGATTGGCCCCAGTGGATTCTCTCTATTATTAGCATATTACTGGCGGACAGCTAAGCGAATATCCGCCCGTGTATGTACGGAGTAGTTGCCTCAAGATCGCGGCACAGCTCTGACAGACCGTTCGCCGGATCCTGGGAGATGGTCGCTCGCACTACCCTACCACGCCAGCTCGGCAGAGAAGACCCACCTATGCATATACGCTGAAAAAAGAAGTATTTTTACAAAATCATACATAGATTCAAATACCGATCCCAAAATGGTACCTCAGAATGCCACCTATAAGCTGTGTAGTAGGAGACTGGAACCCCCCCAATTAGGACGCAGTTATATACTATCACTATATTGAAGTATTCCAAGGCATGACTTGTAGCTTGCATAAATTATTGGACCTTCTCTGCTGACCTGTCGTATGGCAGAATGGACCTCTTGCCATTTTCTGTTGTTACATTTTTTTCGCATGCATTTGAAAGAATATGTACTGTATTTGACATCGGTGTCCATGACTGTGCAGTGCATCACCTTCTTGCCCGGGTACATGCATTTAGGGCCACAGTACCGCAGTTTTGGGTCTCAGTTTCCAAAATTGAGCTAAAGATGGGGCTGGATTGTTTCTTCACTGAAACAAAGTAGTCCGCTAAAGCTTTCTCAAATGTACCTAACTACTCCGTACGCGGACTAGAATTCTCCTCCTGACAAAAATCTAGCTGCTGCTTTCCTTTTATAGCAAATTCCCCTAATCGTGATAGGAAGAAGCCTCTAGGTTTTGATTTAGGCGGCTTTCGCTAGCGGCTGTAGTGGCTCCTAGCTCGGGCCCTACCTGACGCTTGTCCTAAACGTCTGATCCGGTTGGTTGGGGCGGCGAAAGTCGACGATCCTAGGTCATTTAATTGGGTCGTAATGTGGACTGGGTGACCCGTTCAGGGATCAATCAATCCTAACCTGTCTAGGCAAAGGCCCGTTGTTCTTGGTCCATCTATTCCATGTAGGCTGAGACGTTTACCGAGCAGCTGGCTCAGCCTTCTGCCGAGGGATGCTTGGTGTTCTCTCTACCTTTCCCCATGTATCCCACTTAGGAGTCTCGCCTTTTTCAGCATTCTCACCATGCACAAATCATGGAACAAGTGGTGTTCCCTTCGACGGATGATATCCGCAGTCACCATTGGCACTTGCGGTGTTTTTATTTACTTAATATGGTTTGGGATGAACTCTGACCGTGATAATGTCCCCCGGCTCCTCACACAACTTATCCCAGCAGGTCACTGCACCTGCCAGTCATCCACTTCATTTCAATGTGCCGACTGCCTCACCTGTCTGGCCTCGCCACCGCCAGTACAACCAGACCACCTTGTAACTTGGAGTTTCCAGTACGGACGAGACGACCAGAATCTAGGCCTGAGCCAGAGTCAGTGCCAGGCATCATTCCCCGGTCTCTTCCAGGACATCCAGCGAGGGGTCAAGTATTGGAAGTCGCGAGGTCACATATCAAGAGACGATCTGAGCACGACTCCATTCGAAGATGGTATGGCCCGCGCTATCATCTCCAACGGAGATTTGTACGTCGTGGCAACAAGAGCAAAAGGGGATGACCATCGGCGCAAGATCCTTGGTACTCTAGGATCTATCCATCGGGCGCTATCCGCGTCCTCGAATCGTACCTCGTACCCCACAATCGAATTCATCTTCTCGATTGAAGATCGCGTGGATGACGTTGACGCGGCCAGCCACCCGGTTTGGGTATTATCGAGGAAAGCATCCGAGGAGTCGGTCATTTTGATGCCCGATTTTGGGTACTGGTCCTGGGCCAAGAGTGACATCGGCCCACACGGACAAGTCGTACAGAGCGTCATGGCCGCTGAATCTAATCTAAAATTCGCAGACAAAGAACAGAAGCTGGTCTGGCGGGGTAAGTTGAGCTTTGCGCCAAAGCTGCGTCGGGCGCTCTTGGACATTGCACGGGGTGAGCCTTGGAATGATGTGAAGGAGTTGGATTGGAGCAAGAAGGCCAACTTCTTGTCAATGGAGGACCACTGTCGGTACATGTTTATCGGGCATGTTGAAGGTACGTTTCTTCCTCGCCGTAACTTTGCTGTACAAGGCTGACAGATATTGTCGATGGCCAGGTCGCGCATACTCTGCATCCCTTAAATACCGGCAAGCCTGTCGGTCTGTTGTCGTGGCGCATAAGCTGCAGTATATTCAACATCACCACTATCTCCTCGTATCGTCTGGTCCGGAACAGAACTACGTTGAAGTCGAGAGAGACTTCTCCGATCTTCCGGAACGTATGGACGACCTTTTGGAGAATCTGGACAACGCAGAGCGTATAGCCAATAACAGTATCAAAACTTTCCGAGAACGATACTTAACCCCAGCTGCTGAGGCATGCTACTGGAGAGCTCTGTGGGAGGGATGGGCTGAAGTCTCGGCGAATGTCACACGCGACGTTGAACGGCCGCCGGTTGGTAGGGGACTACGTTACGAATCTTTTATGTTGCTGGACAGTAAGGATATGCTCAAATATTCATTTGGATCGGGGGAAGAGTAATCCCTTCTTGTATATAATAATATGATAGTCGATATGGTCGCTATATAAATGACAAATATCACAATATGATTGCCCTTGCAGGTTGCCATCAGCTGATCAGCAAGATATTCCTTGTTGAATTGGTCTGAACAGCGATGCAGCACCATGTGGCTCGGGCGTCTGCAATGGAAGAGGTCGTCACACCTCAAAAGTCACACAACACTAAATGTCCTATTGCAGATCGTCTTCGTTTAGGCATTGGACTAATGCATGCAAGTCTTCTATCATGACGAGGAGCGTATAGAACGTATATCTCGAAGATTTGTCGCATATAATCGACTATACTTGATCGCCTGTGGTAGCTACAGCGCTCTGGCATCCGACCAGGACAAATATTTAGGTTCGTGGAAGCAGAGCCCCTTGCAGCTCTGCTTCCCAGGCATACATATGCCCATGAAGCATCAATGTGCCCATCTTACCGGCCTCCTCACCTCAAGATATTAGGTTCTCGACTGACCGGTCCCCTACCTCGTGAATCTATTGGTATGCCATACCTGGAACTCTTTCTATTACCGCCACCACATCAAGCATCATCATCACGTCGAAAATATCGGGCAGGCAGACCTCAAGTCGACCATGTGGTATTACCGCCACTCAGTCACAGATTTTGCCTGCTGCATGGACCACTTCGTCTTTGTTATCTGGCTGGACCTGCCCATGTATCTCCTGCGGACTAGAAAGCCGAAGGATGCTCTCAAGGCGGCTTTGTGGAAGGGAAGCAACTACTTGTTCATCCAGCTGATGTGGAAATACGTCAATCATCACGCGGCCTTTTGCGTGAGTCTCCTATCACCGGCCCTCTCTGCTACTGGGCCTGATAGTAGGTAGTTGGGAACAATATACGTTTGTAGATACTGAGGATCCGACTTCCGACTGCCGGTCGAGCATCACCTTGATTGATGTTGCTATACGTATTGGTTGTGAATTACTGCTGATCCCCGGAGCCTAATCAATACATCTCAGCAAGTTGCAATTGGAGGATAATCATCTGTTTCGCGAGCAATAGGCCAATACCATTTCACCCTTTGTAAATTATCCGGCCGACTCGCATTGGCCCAGAGACTTGTTAAGAACTCTATCAATTATCTCGCAGTCTTGAACATCTACCTTGGACCATAACATAATAATCCATTTACAGAACGAGTAGACTATAAAGACTAAGTGAATACCTTTCAACGAATGATCTGTGCTAACAAGGCTTCGACTGTAGTTCGGGACCAAAAAGTGATAAGGGGCATGTAAGGTCATCAGCGAGTCCGATTAGGCGGGTGAAATTACAGGGCCGCAGCGAAGAGTTCAAGATGGAGAGCCAGAAGAATAAAAAGTGAGAGAAAGGGATATAGTTCTATAGCTAGAAGCACGCCGGTTCTATTGGATTAAGGTCAAGCCAGTCCCTAAGCCAAAGTAGACACTGTATACCTATTGTACCGAAGAACTTCTGCTAATAATACTGTTCATATAGATATATATTGCAGATATACTGCAGTAGTAGAATTGCTATTCACCCCTGTTACAATTAATGGTTATATTAGAAAAGGCAGATGGGAAATCGAGCTGAAACCTTTAGAATCGACCTCCGTCTGTATGTACATATAAAACAAACCCTAATCCGGAGTATATACATTCTTGCAGCAAGGGACTCGGAGAATTATAGATCTCACACGTGGTTGTGAGACTTATATTATATAAAGCATATATACTAAATTCTACAGGGGCTTTTTTTAATCACATCAACATATATACCTAGAACTGATATAAAATAATATAAATCATCAAATAATCACGTTCACAGTCAAAGGCTCGTGACCTATCATTTGCCCCATCCGGACATCGCCAAGCCTGCCATCCCGCGAAAATTTGCGCTTGGAAGCATCGAGCCCGTCAAATCCCCCGTTTCCCCGCCAATTCCGATCATTGGCTTTTATCCTCATTCTCTCTAGCCTTTCGCTCTTACCGCAGGATTCATTTGACCTCGGGAGGCGTTAAAGGGACTTTTCGTGGAGTGCTGCAATGTTTTCAGCATTGTGGGTACTTTGATTTTTTTTTCTTCCCCTGACATCCGAAACAGGCCCAACTTTCAAACCCATATCGAAAGTTGCGCTGAAAGATCCCCCAACCCAATTTCCTCCTGTCTTCGGTTATCCCGCCTATCCAACATGGCTGAACCCAAGGCCACAGATATCACGCAAGTGAATAACCTTCCCGAATATGGGTACTCTTCGACCGCAGGACCAGCTTCGGACTCGTCCACGACCAAGGTCATTCGAAACGCAAAGGCAGCCACAGAGAAGGAGCAGTCTATGACATTGCTCCAGGGCATCCGGCTGTATCCCAAGGCCGTCTTTTGGAGCGTGCTCATCTCCACTTGCATTGCCATGGAGGGTTACGATATCAGTTTAGTGAACAACTTCTATGCCTTCCCAGAATTCAAGCGCAAGTATGGTGAGGCATTGGGCAATGGCAAATATGAAGTATCGGCAGCGGTAAGTCCAACCAATTCTCAAGCGACCACCCTTCCATCTCTTGGAGTGAGGTGGATTTGACTCTTTGAGTAAGGAAACTAACAATCCTTTGGATGTATAGTGGCAAGCAGGTCTGAGCAACGGTGCCTACTGCGGCGAAATCATCGGTTTATTCATCAACGGCTGGGCTTCAGAACGTTTTGGTTACCGGTACACGCTTATGGCCTGCCTCATACTTGTTAGTGCGTGGACGGCAATCTTCTTCACGGCCCAAAATGTGCAATCCCTACTTGCTGCGGAGATCCTCTGCGGTATCCCCTGGGGTGTCTTCCAGACTTTGACAATTACGTACGCCTCAGAGGTATGTCCAGTTGCGCTCCGAGGGTATTTGACGACCTACGTCAATTTCTGCTGGGGTCTTGGCCAGCTTATTGGCATCGGTGTGATCAAGGGCATGTTAAGTCGGACCGATGAATGGTCCTACCGGATTCCATACGGGTTACAATGGATGTGGCCGTTGCCTCTTTTCATTGGTATTTGGCTTGCCCCCGAATCCCCATGGTGGTTGGTCCGGAAAGGCCGCACTGAAGATGCCAAACGCGCCCTTGTGCGGTTGACCAGCCAAAGCCAGGAGGACTTTGATCCCGATGAGACGGTTGCAATGATTGTTCACACCACCGCTCTAGAGGAAAAAATCACCAAGGGAGCTAGCTACCTAGACTGCTTCCGGGGTACCGATCTCCGCCGCACAGAGGTTGTGTGTATGGTCTGGGCTATTCAAAATCTTAGTGGAAACTCCTTCTCCAACTATTCGACCTACTTTTTGGAACAGGCTGGGTTGAGCTCCTCGAACTCTTACTCCTTCGCTATGGGTCAATACGGCATTAACATGGTTGGTGTTTTTGGATCCTGGTTCCTTATGAAACTCGGAATCGGCCGGCGGACATTATATCTATACGGTCTCTGTGGTCTATGCACTATGCTCTTAGTCATGGGTTTCCTTGGTCTCGTCCCCAAAGAGCACAGGGACCAAGGCTCCCTGGCTACGGGTTCCATGATGTTGATCTGGGCCCTATTTTACCAGCTGACCGTTGGCACGGTCTGCTTCTCTCTAGTAGCCGAGCTCTCCACCCGCCGGCTGCAAATCAAGACAGTCGTGCTCGGCCGCAACCTATACAACATTGTGGCCATCATCTGTGGCGTTTTAACCCCGTACATGCTGAACCCTGGTGCCTGGAACTGGGCTAACTACGCTGGCTTCTTCTGGGGTGGGATCTGCTTCCTATGCATCATTTACACATACTTCCGCGTCCCCGAGCCTTCTGGCCGCTCGTTCGCTGAACTTGACCTGCTCTTCGAGCGGGGTGTCAGTGCACGCAAGTTTGCGACGACCCAGGTGGATGTCTTCGATGAGACCATCGAGAGTCATGTCATTGATGAATACCGTGCGGAGAAGAACAATCGAAATGATGAGAGCCAGCTGGAGAAAAATCATGGCTTGATATGATGCGATGTGTCTTATGTTTACGACTAATTTTGCTTCTTTTGGCCCAAAATTGATAGGCACCCTTTGATGTACATAGTATCTTTCAGCAAATAGCACTAATCTAATATCTTCACATGAAATGATACACTGACTGATGAGACCCACTTCGATTTTTTTTCATATGTCCCCTTTGCTTTTGACCTTTGAAAATCCCATTTCCTAAGGTTCAGCCAACCGGCAATGCGTAACCAGAAAATGAGGCCGATCCGGGTGAGGATGAGGCTGCACACGAAAAGTATAGGCCGAAGTGAGTGGGATGATATTGCTCAATGCATTGTGAATCAATCCTATCCTACAGTTCTAGCATTGTGACTTACACACAAGCGATGAAAAAAGCCAGCTTCTTCATTCCATTCCAAAGGAGTGTGCTCAACCCATCGTCTATTCATGGGACCACTCAGCCTTCTTCTTTTCCGCAAAAGCAGTCATACCTAAAATAATCATTAGCAATCCGAAATTCATCCCTACTCACACAGCAGGCTCAATTTCCAACTCACCAATTTTCTGATCCTTGCTCCCAAAGAGGGCATGGAACAACCGTCTCTCATACTCAACACCCTCCTTGAGCGACAACTCCTGACTCTTATTGACAACCTCCTTACCCGCAATAACAGCCACACGGCTATAGCTGGCGATAGTCTCGGCTGTCTTATACGCCTGCTCAAGCAGCTCCTCCTTACCACCCGGCACAACCTTCGCCGCAACACCCCACTCACCGGCCTCCTTGCCGCTGAAGTTCTTTCCAGTGAGGATAAGCTCCATGGCCTTGCTCTTGCCGACCGCACGAGTCAGGCGTTGAGATCCGCCTGCACCGGGGATCGTGCCTAACTTGATCTCTGGCTGGCCGAATGTGGCATTTTCGGAGCAGTACAGGATGTCGCACATCAGTGCTAGCTCGCAGCCGCCGCCGAGGGCATAACCGGAGACAGCGGCGATGACAGGAGTGCGGATGGAGGTGGCGAGGTGAGACCAGGGCGCGATGAAGTTCTCGCTGTAAGCAGTCGAGAAGCTTAAGGGGGCCATTTCTTTGATGTCGGCGCCGGCTGCGGTGGGTTTGGTGGGTTATTATGTTGTTGATGACATCGGGATTAGGCCAAGGGATGGAGGGAAAGGATATGGGCGTGGAAATATAAATAGGACATGTACATACCGGCAAAAGCCTTCTCGCTTCCTGTGATAATAATTGCGCCGATGCTCTTGTCATTGTCGTAATTGCTCAGAGCTTCATTGAGCTCCTTGAACAAGGGACTGCATAGTGCATTGAGGGCCTTGGGGCGGTTGAGGGTAACTATGATAGCAATGAGAAATGACCCTGCAGTAAATTGACTGATGTGACATACTCAATCCTACTCCGGGCTTGGGGGTTGAAGTAAGAATGTGTTCGTAGCTACTAGCAGCTGACGAATAACCCCGAACTCGGGCTAGGTAGGAGGTCAAGGGGACGGATGTCCGCGAAGTGACCAGACGAGTGCATTGACGGGCAAACATTGTGATGTGCGAGGAAAAACAAAATTACTACTGTTCAGATAATTGAGATCAAAATATGCAGAACAAGGAGAGAGAGTAGCTACCCGGTAGCATCATAGATGGCCGTTTCCCCGCGACCGACTGAACGCCGAGATTAACCGTCCCGAGGTACACGTGAAGTGACTAAGCCATTTTAGTGCTTACTGCACTGCCACACATGCAATGCGCCACTGGTCACGTGCCCAAGAGTGGCTGGTGACTAATCTCCAACATGATTGGCCTGTGGGCTGTGGACACTTTTCTGTCCCGAAGGCGCAGTGCCTGTCGTAGAATGTCTGGTTTCAGCAGTTTATTTTAATCACTGCTTTCCTTTGCTTTACCTCTTTCCTTTCTTTCGTTCGGTGTTTTAGCCCTGTGCTCCGTTTATCCTCCCTAATACATCCATCATGGATGTCCCTGAGCCCGATCAGTCGCCGTTCACAGCTGTGTCCGCGCACACCTCTAAACTGACCCGAGTGAGTGTCTGATGGGGGGCAAAGACATTGCGCAATGTCTCCGAATCCTTCAATTCTGAAATCAGGCAGTGTTTTCTGATCAATCGCTAATATGTCGATCACAGCACTACCAAGCCTACCTCGATGCCTCGACCCCGTACACAACCTACCGTTGGGTTGGTTCCGGTGTCCTCCTATTTCTCTTCTTCCTGCGCATTTTCCTCGCCCAGGGCTGGTATATCGGTAAGCTTCAATGAAACACTCAGAGATGAAATCAGCAAAGTGAAAACGATGCGCCCCAACCACAACACACGAAAGCCATTCATCCTTAGTGCTGGGAACATCTGCGTAAACAAACAGCTGACTGGAATCCTAATCATAGTCGCCTATACACTCGGCATATATCTTCTGAACCTCTTCCTCGCTTTCCTGACCCCCAAGTTCGACCCCTCTCTCACTCAGGACGAGGGTCTCGAGGATGGTGACGCGGGCTCCCCCAGCCTCCCTACCAAGAAGGATGAGGAGTTCCGGCCCTTTATCCGCCGTCTCCCAGAGTTCAAGTTCTGGCACTCGGCCACTCGCGCCATCGCCATTGGCTTCGTTTGCTCTTGGCTCGCTGTCTTCGATATCCCCGTCTTCTGGCCGGTCCTAGTTGTGTACTGGATCATTCTCTTTATTTTGACGAGTATGTTTTCCCTTTTCGCTCGTGATACGATACGACATCTGTGCTATCATCGTGACCAACTGTCTAACTTGACCCTTCTTTTGCAGTGCGACGACAAATCCAGCACATGATCAAGTACCGCTACGTGCCTTTCTCCTTCGGAAAGACACGGTATGGCCGCTCATGAGATCTTCTATTTCTGAACTTATTTTCTGTCTCTGACTCTATATCCACGATTGTTCGCATATGCATGTCTTGTATCTGTATGCGCACTTTGACTTGGTGAGCAACAGACAGATATGATATGATAAGAGGTGATAGCGCTGGGCTCACGGTCCATTTATGAATTTTCCCAGACTCTTCTTTTTTAATCACTGTTTGCTTAGAGGGCCGCTGTTTTGGCGTGTTCCAGTCTTCTTCACCTGTGAAATATGATTAGACCTGAAGTCAATGAATGAACTGACTTGCAATATATTATTTTCTAAAACCCGAAGCCCCTATAGCTTCACTCTACAATTCTATTATCTACAGTTTCATTTAAGGCACTGTTCTGTGAGACATTTCACATGCAACTGAGTGGATTTGCGCTCTTGTGATCTTGTTTGAGAACTTTCTTCATGATCATTAGATGAACCTCATCCATCCGAGGTAATATATAGATTCACAGAATAAGGCTCTTCTCTCTTTCTGCCATCTACCTACCTACATCGCATGTAATTGAGAAGAAATACCCCAAAGACAGATATATCAACAAAATATCCGAGAAGACCACCGGGAAGGCTGCTGAAAAGACATCACTCACCAGGCCACATAAACGTCCAACCATCTTTGGCTTTGTAAAACCCAAGAGCATCTAATCTTCTTATCTCACCTTCTGCCTACAGGCCTCCCACTCGACCATTCGCAACCTCGAGTGATACTCCATTGTGGACTCGGCCTTAGATGATGACTCCCACTCGTACTTGAGTGAGCGTCTTATCACGACATGGACATGGACATGCCAGCAGTGTTCTCAACCTCCACCCAAATCACAGTTCTGTTCACAGGCTGGACAACTTCAACCACGACGCAATACGTCTTCACGTTGGCCTTCCTATTTCTCCTCGCCATCTTCAACCGCTTCCTTGGTGCTCTCAAATTCCAACTCGAGAGATCTTGGCTCCGAGATACCTCTATTCCTTCAACCATGCTTCTCGCACCCGTGAGTCGATGGCAAAATATTCGAAAAGCAAAGCTCAGTCCTCTTCCTGACTACACACGCGTGCACGGGGACGAGAATCCTGAAGAGACTTTCCCAGTTTCAAATAACTACAACGAAACACGAAACATATCGATGAGTAATCTCCAAAGGGACGTCCCTCGCAGCTGGGCCTCATCAAAATGCCTACTCCCTTCGTGGAAGGCCAGTGGAACGTGGAGTCTTCGAAAAGACGGGACACGTGCGTTACTTGAGTGTGTTAGGGCTTTGATTGGATATTTTTTGTGCGTGGTTACATCTGCGGTTGTCTATACGGTGATGATCCACTAACATTTGAAATTGATAGGATGCTATCCGTTATGACCTTCAACGTCGGCGTCTTCGTTGCCGTGCTTTTCGGTGTCCTGGTGGGCGAGCTGCTTCTTGGGAGATTTTCTTAGGGAACTCCTGGCTGGCAGGTAGGGGCTTGTCATGATGGGTGATTGGAGTCTTGATTGCTGCCGACGTCCCACCTGGGCTCTATTTAACTCGCTCTGCGCAAGGATACATGATATCTCACAGGGGTGAATTGGTGTTCAGTCTGTATTTTGGTAGCTCAACCAATCATGTAACCTCAAAGTCTACATAGATATCTTCCAATGTTTCTATGTATCTACCCCTGGTAATATTCGAGTCCACGGACTTGTTCGGTTATTCAAAATTGAGTAGATCTCCCTTTCGGGCATCTTTTGTGCTCGATAATGGTGGTAATCCGAAATCATTTCTGTATACGCTGCAGAGTGCGCTTGATACACCTTGTCGAAAAAAGTCAAGGTGTGTATAAGCTTTCGGTATCTTTGGTTGCATTATTGCTTCAACGCCGACATTTCTACATGATCATAAATCGCAAGGTCGGCTACCCAAGTGTATGCAAACTTAGGACACTGTAGGTCGGTTGAGAAAAGGCTCCATCTCTGTTCTCAGAAGCTTTTCGCCAATTCGAGGGCTGGCTCCCGAAAGCTAGAATTCTTTTCGAAAGAAAGATCGTCAGTACGATTGATCTGGGTCCCCCAAATCAAGATGGCGGGTGGGGGTTAGGAGCGGTTGGCAGTCATCCTAATCCCGCATACTTTAGAACATAGTACTGACTCCCTGCATTTTCTGATGGCAAGTATACGAAACATTCTGTCTAACTCTATATCATAGGTATCATAAACAGTTACCGGAAGCACGTGCGGCATAAGTTGAAAGAAATACATCAAGGGGAAGAAAAAGATATCATTGTACTCATATCAAAAGATTATCCACGCTGCTCGACATCTTGCCTGCTGGAATAGCACTGTCCCCCAATGAGAGAGCCGAAATTTTTCGGTCTGTATTGGGACGGGACAAGTCCTCTGTTTTAGTACAGATCCAGGTCGATGCGTACATATTCACCCTAGAACAGATGCATAAGCTTCGTTCGTACCAAATAAGAAAATTCCAAAACTTACCGGTCAATACATGTACCTGGAAAACGAGCTCCCACACGGCAAGAAGAAAACCCGTTTTCTTCAAAATGCTTGATGTACCAAGGATTAATACTGGCGGAACGGAGAAGGATGCGACCACCCTTCTTCAAGGCTTTATTGAAAGTTCGAGCTTGGGCAGGCGCTGAATCCTCCACGGGATCAAACCAATCCATTGAGTCCATGATCTGATGTAAACTTAGCATGAAAGATACTGCCAAAAAGAGATTTTGATACCTACCACGGCGATAGTCAGACTTCCTGGGGTGATACGGTTGATTACTTCGTTGATCTCATCGGTGTGGATACGAAGACCATCAAATGCACCAGGCGTGGAAAGCCTGACATGGGCTTGGGGAGAAAGATAGGTGGGGTGGCATCTATGGTTACAGTTAGCACGTGTAAGTAAGCGATATACTAGGAGGAAAAAAACGAACCTCCGTGAGAACTTTCCCTGAACACAAAGGAAATAGAAGTAGTTGTCGTTGCCGATCAGAGTATCGTTGATCACAGGGTCAAGAGTATTGACAACATATTCCCAGATCGATTGACCGCTGACGTCCTTGCCCTTCTTCATATCTTCAGTCAAACCGTTGCGGCGGAAGAAATCATCGACGATCATATTTCGCTGGTTACGTGGCACTCCGGCGGCCTTCCAGGCAAACCATTCAGTACTCACAATGGCCCAGTGGAGTGGTCGGCTCATTAGCACACTTCGAATGCGAGGCCAAATTTCGCGCTGTTCTGCAATACTTTGCGCTTCGCAGAGCTTGCGAACTTCACCCTGGAGTCCAAACATATTGAAGAGCCACCGCACCATGCGTATGGCATGGCGAGATCCACCGGTCTCATACAGACCATGGCCAGAGGTAGAGGTGAAAGTCTGGGTATGCTCAAGCCAGTATTGGAAAGCCTGGCTGGACAGGTGGGGGCTAAGTTTAGTGATTAGCAGTTCACGGAATTGTGTGTGCTTGCCATCACCGAAGATTTTCCACATATCCCGGTGACCCAAGGCTAGATAACAGGCAACCTTCAGCTCAAGGAGATGATTTTGGTTGGGGTTCAAGTCCACTGCGTGCACCCGGCGGGGATTCTTTTGTAGATAATCAAGAATGTTGTCACCAGCGCTGGTGATGGCCAGGATCACGTCGTCTTTGCCGATGTTCAGGAGCCGGTGGTCGACTCGCGGGTCTTCCCAAGTGAACGCATAGATGTACTCGTTCTGGAATTGAGTATGCTTAGGTAGCATGTCATTGTAATGAATGCGATAGTGGTGATTCTGATAGAAAGATGATGGAAGGGGGAGATTTGCGCTCAGGTTAATCACTGCAGACTCATATGCCTTGGAGCGAATCTCCTGTGTGCTTTTCGCCACCGCATTATCCATCTCTTGCTTGTGGTTGGCAGGAAGCAGGTAAGGAGACTCGGTAAAAGATGCATCCAGTCTTTCAATTGATGGACTTGATGGGGTAGGTGCGATTTCCTTTGGGCACCCAACAAATATGTAGTAGGGAATACCACCAAGGAAGTAATTTCGTTCGCTGGCAGAGATAACAGTACCAAACTTGTATTCCAGATAGTCTCGACGAGCGGCTTCAAGACTGACCCGGTCAAAATCAAACCAGGCTCTCCAGAACACACGCCCAAGCCAGTTTACATGGCGGTTGAAAGCGCCGCCGATGTAGTTGCGACAGGACACATCCACGATACTTTGAACTGTATTCGAATGAGTGACAGTCATGCAAAACTTTGAGATATTGCTTACCGTAGAAATCACACACGCCCAGCATTCCGGTTGACTTCAAGCGTGATGTTAATGAGTCCACAACGCCGTAATAGTCTGAAAGAATCATGAAAGAATCAACATCATTGATCTCGAGCAGATTTTGGATACTTACCAGGGATCATTGATAGACTGTAGCTCATAGTGATCAAGTCCACGCCATATGCTGCCGTGTTTGTCGAACGCGGATCGAGCTCCTTCTCGGGTAGATGGAAAGACCGGGCATCCTGGCAGAGAACAGTAACATTTTTCCATCCAAGACGTTCAAAGCGCTTGCGGGCAACCTCACAAAGGGACGGGGAGAGGTCAACTAGGTAAACATGTTTGAAGAATTTGTCCACCGGAAGAAATGCTGTCATAGCTTCGATGTTGTATCTGTCACAAGTCAGATATTCGATCTGGATCACGTCGCAGTTCCTCTCGTGCCTACCCAGTACCACCGCCGATCTGAAATAGATTAGCACACTAGCCCCGAAAGATGGAAATTCAATACTAACATCCACCCAGACAGCCTTCCCAGGCTTGACTTCTTTGTTGTTAATCTTGAACTTCAACTGTGCAGCTACAAGACCAAGCATGTCCTCACGACCACAAAGAAGACGCCGACGAGTGGCATCGTAAATTGCGGCCTGATACAGTTAGCTTAGAGCCCTATCCAAGACCGTGTCATTTGATCCCACCTGGGTCTTATAGAAGCTCTCCAGCGCATCCTGCTGACCCCCAGCCTTCTTATCATGTGGCTTAATGAAGTTCGCCCAAATGAATTTCAAGTAAGGGCCAGCTCTAGAGTTGGCAACCTTGATGTGCTGAGAGGAGACAAGAAGAACCAGGCCCACGAGTGCAAACACCAGTACGGCGGCCCCGACGATGTAGATGTGCATCCAATCCATGTTCATATGCAAATGGCAATGTAACGGAGGACGAGAAGAGAAAAAGAGAGAGAAGTGAAGGATAGATTCAAATATAATTCCAATCTGCTCTAATTAACCACATGCGCCTCTCACGAGGAGACGGTGCATGTACCATGTCCTATCACGGCGACACATGGGTGCAAATGATAAGAGGGAGCTGAAGTGGTAAAGGAAGGTATAATGGACACGGTCTGTCAGTATACCAACGTGCATTAAGGAAGTAGCTTGTACATGTTTGTAGCCCTTTTGGTTGCAATAGTAGATCATCCGAAAGTAGAAAAGGAAACCCACAGGCAAATCTATTCCGATCCAACTCTAAAACCAATTGGGTTCCTGCAGTAGCCTGTAGTCCTGATATCCGAGCCACTCACAGCCCAGTCACTGTACATGCGGCCCCCCGAGAGTCTTGGCATTGACAGTTGAGGTTCCCTCGACCTGGCCCGTGGGCCCTACGGTGCCCCCCATAGGGCCGCCACCAGGACCAAACTCTAGGGCCCACAGGCGCCAATGAGCTCCCTCTTTGCTGGCACACTGGGAGTTCCCCAGATTTAATGGGACGTCGAAGCCAACTACAATTTAATGAGTTAGATACCGAGAACCGGAAGATGATGCGATCATCCAATATTAGTATGTCAATACTCTTTGTAAATCAATCCATGCCTGTAGGGTCGTTCGGGGTCTTGATCAGGTCTTAGATATATATAATCAACTTTAAACCATCGTACATGCCCTTTTCACCCTATCTGTGTTGCCTGACCCGCGATAAGATGAAAATAGTAGAGAATTCCCTAAAATACGATGCTTGGTAGAAGAAAATGCACGTACATTCGTACTAAAATGTTCAATAGCGGCTATCTCAGGCTATCCAACCCCATTTTCCAATTGCCGACCCTAATACGAGCTTGATGCCTGCTGTCTAACTTGTTTCAAAGTTCTGAACAATAAGAACCCCTACGCTTATTGCATGGAAGTATGAGATACTGTCAGCAACCCTTCCCTAACATGGCCTGTCCAAGTTCAGATCAGCTTTGTAATAAAAGCTACAATGGTCCGTTCACGTTCAAAGAGTGAGAACATTGATCTGGGGGTATCTTGCATCATCCACCGAACAGCAAGGGAATCATTGACCGCGAGTGTTCAGAGCCATTCGAAGTAATGTTTCTTCCATTCGCTCCGTAATCCTTCAACAAGAACTGTAAAACTATCTTTGTTCGTCATATTTGTAGCCAACCTTTCCTTGTCACTTGCTGAAGGAAAGTTATCAACATGTAGAGCGAGAATGGAGTAGAAGGTAGTGTCAATGAGTGAGAGCTTCCCGGCGCAAACGGGGACTTAACTCTAGAAGGCGGTCGTGATAATCATGGCCGGTGATGTTGGGTCCGCAGCAAGATGAGCCAGAGAGAGCCAAAGAATAAACTAGCAGATAGTATAGAGCAAAGCTCAGGATGGGATTACTGCCGCATCGTTGACCATTGAATAACTAAAATGCTGCCTGACAGTATCATCCAATGAGAGAGTAATGGCCAGGTGGCACACTGAGTCGCCCGTGCAGCCTATCATGTTCCCTTTTTGGGTTTAGCCCAAGCCCCCTAACGGCCCCACCGACTTTAAGTTATCTTCAGGGCTGACAGTGAGAGTCTGACACAACTATAATACTCGCTTAGGTATGGCCAGCAGAAGGTCTACAAGAGCAGACTGTGAGAACTGGTGACTGCTCTCATAATAATACTCTTTGCTCTTCACTGGTAGGAAAAGACTAGGTAGAGCACATTTCCACTGCATCGCCCAGCCCAGTTGCCAATGGTTGGTGTACCGGGGCGCTCGAAAGCATGCCGTACCTGCCGGCGGCGCAAAAAGGGTGTATGTGTTTATTCTATTCAAAAAAGTCAAGCTTATTCTGCATTCAAAGGACGGTACTTACCATGAGAGTAGTGTGATCTACAACAGCCCTCGTGTGGCCAATGCAGGAAGTCTTGCATCCGCTGCGAGGGGTATGTGGAGGATCTTCTCATACATAGCTACTATCACCATCGTCGTGAGGGAGAAGTTCCTTATTCTCGTAGCTTTCACGATACTCAAAGTCGCATTCCAATCGAGGCTGATCAGAGCCATTCGTCTTTATCGGCTACGTTGGCTACCCCTATCACTCTTTCTCAAACCGCCCGCGAGTCTTATCTCATAGGGGACTTTTGGGCATCTTATATGCCCAATAGTCACTCTTTCTCTCTTTTGAGCCATACCCAGTGAGACTTAGGTGGCTCCCTCAGTGTACTTCGAGATATCCTACTGGAAAACAGCATCATACGTACTGCTCTCGGTGCAATGGCACTCAGTACTGCTGCAACTAAAGACAACAGCCAGCATTGGATGAAACAGCAGGGAGCAGAATTGCATATTAGTGCCTTGCAGCAGATGCAAAAAGCATTAACCTCCCATAGGAAGCCTGGTCTCAAACTTCTCGGTGCTGCACGAGTATTCAGTTTCTACGAGGTATAGATTGCTCAAACTCTACTGCAGTTAGGCAAATGTTGTTTAAATTGGCTGATGGCTAATATGGTTTATCCAGGCCCTTCATGGGGGTGACTGCCAGAACCAGGAAGCACAATCCCGGAACTGGATGATACACCATTCTGGAGATCTTGCGCTGACATTGTCAAACCCACCGTCATTCTATGCTACCGGTCCAGCTCATAGATTGTTTGTTGATGGGCGACTCAACCATGTATTGAATCTGTATCTCGACAATATGTGGTGATGCTGATTTGTAAACAGGCACAATCTGCACTCAAGGAACGAAAGAAACATGTCTTCAGTGAACCAAGGTGGATGAATGATCCTTGGATTCATCATCCAAAAACACGCAAAGACCTGTTGGTAGACATTCTTCTGGAGCTCCCCTCGCTATACGAGGGAAATGATGAAATCAATTTTCAGCCAGATTCACCGGCAAATTTGAGGCAGCGTTTTGACCTCCAGAGAATAGTTTCCACTGTCGCTGAGAGATTAAATAGCTGGAAATCAAAGTTTGCCATCACAGTGGCGTGTATAGGGCCAAAGTGGCAGTTCCCAAATGACAATTTACTGGGCATCGAGTATCATCACCCACAGTGTCTATCGTGAAATCTTTGGTGGGAAATTTGATATTGTCAATCTTGATCCAGATAATTGTTGTCGCAGTATAATACGCTGTGTCCCGACATTCCTACACCCATCCATCGGTGCCTTCAGTCGACATCTCATCCCTTTTCCATTAATAATAGCGGCTCGGCACCTCAGGTCAATCGAACCACCAAGCTTGCAAGAGGAGACTAACTATATCCGGTCGTTATGTGAGAACTCGGAGTTCACATCGATGCACCAATTTATATCAAGCATGGAACCGCACATTTTGAGTGGACTCAATCAAACACGATGGGAGAATCAAAATTCGAGGACTAGACACTTATTAGTTGACTCACTATGGTTCTTCAGTAACGGTTTCCTGTCATTCTATGTATTCCCTTTGGATTATTCCTTCGCCATCATTGCTATATATATTTTTCGTTGAACAAAAATAAAAACTTCACATGTCTTCCGTCCCCTCAAGTACATCTGACCGCGAGCGTTTTGCCTCTCGATGTCCTTTTTAGCTGAGGAAAACTACAGCAGGTCGCCTTCACGTAGCTCTTCTTTTACGGCCTACGACAGAGAGATCTTTCAGCATACACCGTGCAATATGACCCAGTTTCTCAGGTGAGTTGTATGTCTTTAGGTGGGGTCTAAGACGGTGAAGCCTGGTCCCGTAGCAGATGAAGATAGCTTGCTGGCCATATGGAGAGGCATAGCCGCTTGATATCTGCTTTTAGACTTGACACAAGGGCAGCGGTGTGACACATCTAGGTTGATAAACACAGTCGAGCAGCACTTTGATCAGTTTTGAAGGGAAGCAAAAGCCAAGCTTCAATGTCGTCCACCGTGACCGGGAAGATCACGACATGGAATTCCATGGCATGTGGACGAATACATGCAGTATAAGCCCTGGATACTGGGTCTGTAACCCTAGATTGCAACGATATGTATCAAGAAGGGTTATGCTTAACTATTATATCAAGAAAAGATACTTACCAGGTGAGAGGTGGGTAGGTCAGTTAGCAGAAAGAGAAGAAGAGAAAAAAGAGTCAGGATGGCGGAGTAAAGAGAGGGCCCGACTGGATGTCAATATTATATTTGATACAAGACTACGTACATCTGCGCCATGAGACGATAAATTGTATACAAGACTACGTTGATTAACGATTGACTATATGTAACGCCATTTTCCATTGCTCAGACGCCAGAACCATGGGAAACTACCTAGGTAGAAACTTCGAGATTGTAATGTTCAGAAAAAAAAAGATCCATAATACATAATTCACAGCCGCAAATATCTACTCGTCATCGCTCATGCGAGTATCCTCATCAGCCGGCTTCTCTGTCTCCTCGTTCTCCAATGGGTGTTCCTCTTCCTGATTCACAGGCTCTGGTGGCATATTGCTTGCAAACTTCGGATCGATGCGCAGACGGGTCAAAGCACGCTTGTAGATTTCAGCCTCGTTGGGATCACGCATCATCACATGCATCTGGTCAACCCGTTCCTCGGTATCTTCCTGTTGGGTGGAAGTGGGAGCGAGACCAGCCTGAGCAATTGTGCGGGAACGCTCTGGCTTGAGGCGGGCCTTTCCTAAGATTGGATAGTAGTAAGCGGCCAATTGTCTGGTGTCGCCATTCTTAGGTTTGTAGAGCGTCAAAGCGATGTCCTTTTGCTCGGTATTGAACACCTGAGCACTGGTAGCGTAAGTTCGAATGCGATCATAACGGTGGAACTTGTGGCCCTCCGCGTTCTCGCTGGTGTAAAGGTCTTCGCTGTCTCGATTTGGGTTGGACAAATCCATATTTGCGTCGATGTTCTTAACATAGCTGGATTTCTCTGGAAGGAAGAGCTGGTAATCATAAGGAACTGGGCCCGGGTGGGCGTAAAGAGCGGGGTTCGTGTTGTGAAGATGCACCTTAGATTCATGCTCCTGGCAAACGCGCTGCTCGGGCGCGACTGGTGTCAAAATACCAACGTCCATACGCTTGTCCCGCTTGCCTGCCACAGCTGCCAAAGGTGCCTTATCAAACTTGAATTGAAGGTAGCCACCAGGGTCTGGGAAACCTTCCAGGTCGGGCATCACAGGGAAGAAACCGACTGGCTTCAGCTTCGGGTTTTCAGGGTGAACCGGGTTGGCCCAGGCGTTGAGTTCTGCCTTTGTGGGGGGAAGACCACGGATTTGGCTATCAGAATCCTCTCCAGTGTGCTTGCTCTGGGGGTAGGCGATATCGAATCCTTTTTGGATGAATTTCTTAACATGCTTCGGGTCATCCACGGGAGGCTTCCCCTTCTTCGCAGTGCGTGACTGTGTTTTAATAGGTGCAGGCCGGGAGCCATCCCCGGCAGTACGATCGACACCAATGTGCTGTGTACGGCGGAGGAAACTGACATTGGTATTCCTCGGGGCAGGGTTTCGAAGTTGCTCGATAGTCATGAGAAGGGGAAGATCAGCGGGATCCATAGGCTGAGGATTCTCGGGTGCCATAATAGCTGGTTGACACGTTAGATGCAGTCATACAATTCGGGGAGATTCTGTGTTGACATACCACTCTCATCGCCCAAATGTAACCCCGGAATACCAACCAGGTCAATTGGCATCCCACCTTCAGCATCGACTTCAATGTTGGGCTCCTCCCGGCGTGCCAAGTTTGACGCGAAACCGGGGGTGAGGAAGCGACTCAAGCCCTCGTGTGGAATATCTAGCAACTTGGGGGGCATGTCCGGGGGAGGGAGATCATTGCGATAGCGAAGGGACGCAATGTATTCCTGGTGAAATCCACCTGATGACTGACCATCCTTAGATTTGGAAGACATACTGTCGTCTTATTTCCTCGCGCGGGTGACTGGGCGATGAATTGCGCATTAGCAACTCGGCGTTCGTCTGGACTGAGAGGGATAGAAGCTCACTGTAATGGAACCGAATAGACTGGAGTAGGCCAAGACAAATTGGGATATTGTCGCCTCAATTCTGGCAGCTAGAACTAGCAGGACAGCTATACAGTAGCCAGTTAGTTTGGGAGGTCGACTCATAATCGATGTGAGGAAATGAGGCGCAAACCCACCGTGAGGAAACCAATGAAACAGGAACAGTGCTGGGGAGGAAAATTGGCAGTAATATCAGAATGCGTTATTTGCCTCGTCGGTATAAGGAGCTTATCCAGACTGACCACAAATGGAGCTGGAGGAATTGGCAAAAGCTGCCATACAGACCAACTCCGAAGCTGAGCCTGATTGCCATTATTCTGCCTGCATTCACCGCTTATCCTCCGTGTTGGAAGGACACACGCGTGGAAATACAGAATTGATCACGTGGAGTGACGATAAGTGCGGAAAGGAGAACGTTGAAATACAGAAGTGCGTGCACTGAATCAACTTCAACCCGACAGGACAGCAGCTCACATCTAATCATACGCTATTCGTGTTTTCTTTTACAACATCTAATTACGGATCATGTATTCCAGGTACTCCATTGTATTAGTAAAAAAATATTGAAATCCTTTTGAAAGTGACCAAAAACATACAACTCCCACACCGAATTCTCATAAAACCATAAATAAATCTCCCAAAGCGCACACTCAGTAGGCCCACATGCACTTGTATGCCATCAACCGGGGTCCAAGTCGATCATACTCCAGCCTTCCAATCCAGCTATCGTTTGTACCGCTCAGTTTGCCGAAAATGCTAGCTCCCTTCCACACAACTACCTGGGGATCGAGATCTCTGGGCGGTGTCCCGATCATGATCTCTTTCGAGAACCCAGGGCGGAGAGCCTGGAGTCGCTCTTCCAGGAAGAGATGGAATCCACTAGTCAAGCTGCCGCCGCCGACTACCATGATACCGCCGATGAAATCTCGCATCTTCTTCTCGTCTGAGCGAGACGCGTGGGCAATGGAGGTCAGGATAGCATTGTCCAGACCGAACACAGGCATGATATCATCTCGATCTTCCACCGCAGGCGGGCGGGAAACTTGGGCCGCAGCAGCCGTGGCAGCGGGTGTGGTTGTCCCTCCTGCCTGAGGGGTCGCTGTGTTCTCCGGTCCTGGTGAGCCAGCGACAGAAGATCGAGGTGTGCCCTCCAGGTCTTGGACTTTGCTCAAAGCGTGAGGATGTTGAGGGCGACTTGGTGTGGCCTGAACATCCGGCGCTGTTGAATGAGACTCGCCATTTGTCTTACCACGAGGAGGAAGGGGAGGAGCCATGGCGGTCAAAATCTCTGACTGGGCTGCAGAAGTAGGATCATTGGGTGATCCGTCGTAGATATCAACTGATCGATCTATTAAGGTCCGTCTGCCGGTAATTTTGTCAGAATTGTCAAAGATATCTGGCTCAAAAACACCCATTGGCGCAAGGTGAACTTCGTCAAAAGCCTTGAAAGTATACTTCCGTGTATCTTGGCCTGCCACACGAAGGTGGAAGTCAAAGACTTGTGGAGAAACGCTGGCTTCGTTCATGGTGCAGATATTCTTCTTGAGCTCTTCGGCTAGAAGGAAGTCGTGTCTACGCCGGAGGTTGATGTCGGCATAGGGGAAATGATCGTGCAACATCATCTTGATAAACGTTTCGGTCACGTCTTGACCACCAAACTTCAGGTTCACTCGAGAGTTCTCGACACACATGCCTTCTTCCACACAACAGATCGAAGTCTTCTGCGCTCCAATATCGACAACACATGCCGAGGTGAATCCAGCACCAAATGTGGCTGCCAGACTCTCTTGAATGAAACACACTCGAGCGAACGCGAATTCTCGCATCAACATATCCAAGACTTGGGTGACGTAGGACTTGTCGTAAAGATCAGGGATGACGAACACACACGAATACTGAGTCCAATCCTTCTTGCTCGTCAGGTGCAGTTGATTCTTGATCGCATCTTCCACAATCAATGAAATATCCAGGAAGAGAGACCTCTTGCTTGTATAGTCCTTCTCGTTGCACCAACCATTCCGGATTGGCCAATACAGCTTGTATCGAGGGTTCGAAGAGTCCGGTACCCGCAGAGCCGGCTTGCCGACAATATACTCAGGTGGGGGGTTGGAGAGCTCAGTCCATTCAGCACGCATTGGATCATTGTGTTCAGAGATGATTTCTGGCGCAGTTCTACGGTTGTAATTAACGACCATCTCCTTGGAGTTTGGAAGCATTCTTCGCTTGTTCTGTCGCATGTGCACCTTCAAGTCCGCAGACATCCGATTGAAATGAGATGACCACTGTCAGAAAGATTAGTAAATGGCAATCTTTACAAATTGCACGGGACATACTTCAGAACCAAAGGCCTTTTCGGGCTCCATTTCAGAGCCATCCTCGTGCTTAAACCTCTTGGGCTTAGGTTCATCATGGTCTTCGGATTCGTTTGTATCTGCTCTCCTCGCAATTACCATTGGCAAGGTCTTTGGCAGTGCGTCGCTGGCAAGTCCAATCCGGAGGTTCTGACTACCCATATGGATGATGATGACCTTGGAGCCAGCCATCTCGGCTGGGGTCTCCTCCGCATCCTCCATGTGGGCGTCGCCATCTGCTTCGCCCTCGCCTTCCGCAGCCTCTGTCTTGGCCATAGCAAGGGCGCGGTCGTGATCCTTCGCTTTCTTTGTCATCTTTGTCCTTGCTTCCTCATTTTGGAGTCGGAACGCGAGATTTTGATCGTCTCGTTTCAGGTAGTCGCTACATAGCGCAATCAGCATTCAGATCCTTAAGCGGAGCCATGCGGCAGATATCGGCGTGGGTATGCGTACGTGTAGTAGTTCTTCTGGTTAATTGCTGGGATCTGCGGCCAGCTAGATAGTTCCATGTTATTGTCGGTCCGCTCCAGGCCTATGTCGAGTATTAGCTGCTCTGTCGTTGACGGCTATATTCCACCGATAAAGTCAGATGATCTTACCCTCATCACGAAGGGCCTTGCCCGACTTCTTTCCAACCATAACTCGTATCGGTCTGTAGTCGGCTATCTTGATTTGAGACCAATCGCAGCAAATCTAGGGAGTGCGCCGAAGGTAACTGCACCGAGTGTACTACAGACTGTGAGTGGTAGGCGCGTAGAATCTAATAAAGGTGGACGAGACGAGAATATGACAGCGGGAAAAAGCCAATGGGGCTTTCTAAATGAGAGCTCAATCCCGCAAGATGATGATCCCCCGATTGACCGCCCACACCGCACAGGCCGATCGGCCAAAGAACATCCAATGCGGTTGCCACCAGTGCCTTCTTCTCGTTCACCTCTATCTCATCTACGTGTACGATAACCTCATAGCAAGTTTGTCTCCTTTCACTAGATCCATACGATTTACGCGCCCCTCAACCTTGTATCCTCGGCTCCATACTTGGTCGGACAACCTTTGAACCAAAGGACAACAACAGCGAACAACGCGCCCACTGATTAATCATACACACCATGGGAGGTTCACTGTCGCGTATCTGGTCCCTGCTCTGGTCCAAGAAGGAGATCCGGATTCTGATTCTAGGACTTGTACGTCGTGTCTCACTGCGTCCCACGCGGGGAAAGCAGGATCTCATTAGTGTGACAAGGACTGCAACTAATCAACGCTCTTTTGCGAGTTAGGATAATGCTGGAAAGACCACACTGCTATACAGACTCAAGGTAAGATATAATAGGTTTGGGACTTTAGTTCTCTGTCGCATTTGAGTGTGAGATTCGTGGACCTGACAACTCGCGCCCACAGATTGGTGAGGTCGTCACCACGATACCTACAATCGGTTTCAACGTCGAATCGGTCACATATAAGAATCTCAATCTCAATGTCTGGGTATGTTTCATTCATTTCTAAGTTCATTTGGATCATGCCTGACATCCCTGGATTGTAGGATCTTGGAGGTCAGACTTCTATCCGCCCATACTGGCGATGCTATTACGCCAACACCGCCGCCGTCGTCTTCGTCATCGACTCCACAGATATTGAGCGGTTAGGGACCGCAGCAGATGAATTAGCAGCCATGTTGAATGAGGAGGAACTTCACGACGCGGCATTGCTAGTGTTTGCCAACAAACAGGATCAGCCCGGTGCGAAGGGCGCAGGCGAGATCTCAGAGGCTTTGAAGCTGGGAGAACTCCGAGACCGAAACTGGAGTATTGTCGCTTGCTCTGCCATTGACGGCAAGGGTATTAATGAGGGAATGGATTGGCTGGTGGTTCGTTTTCCCTTCCTACTGCATAACCTGCTGGTTTCTTCAACTAACTATCCTTCTACTTGCAGCAAACAATCCAATCCGAGAATGCATGATTTTCTGGCGTTTCTATGTCGGGTTTAGAACTTCATCTTTGATACCTTGGTGTTCGAGTTTCTTGCGCGACTCGAAGGCCTTCTGCTGCATTCGGAGTGCCGTACCACTTCTTCCCCTTCGACTCTACCTAGGAGAGTCCTTGTCTTATATTCCTTCACGATTTCTGATATCAGACCTGCATCTTACACATAATTGTTTAATTGAATTGTTGACACTGAACTGTGTAAAAGAGCAGTGTCAGATTTATCCATTTGCGTTCGTAATTGATTATGCATATCGATATCTCCATCTCTATCTTCGTCTCTCTGAGTGCCTAATTGCCTAACCCCAAATTTGATACCCTTCCAATTCTCTCCCAATTGTCTCTTGGCATCTGCTAATTGTTTTTGCTTATCTTTGCATCCTTCCTTCCACCCCCGCATCTGCGATACGACTAATACCGCCTATCGGATCAGACCTCAACTACCGAGCTATTTAAGCCAGTCTTATTGCACAGACTTTCTCCTGATATTGAATCTCCGAGCCAGCAACATGTCGGTCCCTTCTATTCCTCCAATTCAAATCGCTGCTGTTATCGCACCCAAGAGTACTCCCGTCTCCGCAAAGGTGGGGATCAAGAGCAATCGTCCCGTGCCAACTCCAGGAAAAGGCGAAATCCTCGTCAAACTCGAGTATTCGGGGGTATGTCACTCGGATCTTCACAGTATCCGTGGTGACACGCCTATGTTGACTGATGTCGCCGGTCATGAAGGCATTGGCAAAGTAGTTAAAGGTAAGAAGTATCGCCTATCGCCTTGAACGTAGTCCAGAACATATACTAACAGTTGTCATTGCACTTAGTGGGGCCAGAAGTTGACGAGAAGCAATGGATGGGAACCCGAGTTGGTATCAGGTCTGTGTCCTTCATCACCAATTGATCGTACAATTGGAGTTATATTCACGCTGAACGATTGGTACTAAACGCATTTCCACTACTAGATGGCTCTACAGCTCTTGCCGCCAGTGCGAAATTTGCGATGTCAACCACACCGTATGCCCGTATCAGAAGAATGCTGGTGCTGTAAGTTGTTGATCACCGCAAATCATGTTATTGTTTTCATTACTGATTGCATTAATGGCTTGCAGAATGTGCCTGGGACTTTCCAGCGTAAGTATCTCGTCTCTCGGTGCGTTTATCCAGTCAATTGGCACCCTTCTAATGTTATCCCTCAGAGTATATTGTCAGTCCAGCACTCCATGTGACAAAGATTCCGGAGCAGCTTTCCCCGGACAGTGCCGCGCCTCTTCTCTGTGGTATGGTTGTCTCATTGGTATTTTGCCAGTACAAACTCTAATCATCAACTCCAGCTGGAATTGCGATGTACTCTTCCATCATGAAGACCAAGACTCGCCCGGGAGACTACCTTGCCATTCTTGGTGCTGGAGGTGGCCTTGGCCATATGTATATTCCCCTAAATTGCGGTGACTGAAAGATTTGTTTTCTGACAACGATATTTTTTGCAGGGGAATTCAAATTGCCGCTAAAAAGGGTCTGAAGGTCATTGCGATTGACAGGTGCGTTATATTTCAAGCTGAACATGTTCTGTCACTTTCATCATAGACTAACCTAGCGGTGTTTCCACAGTGGAGAGACAAAAAAACAACTATGCCTTTCGCTTGGGGCCACGGAATTCCTAGACTACCGTGAAGTTGACATTGTCCAGGCAGTTAAAGATAAGACAACCTTTGGTGTACATGCTGTCATCTGTACCGCCAACGGCGAGCGAGCATATGAACAAAGTATGCATATGTTGCGTCCTTTCGGCACGCTGGTCTGCGTCGGTATTCCCAACGAGCCTTTCAACCTTCCAGCTACACCATTCGATATGATTGTCAAAGGTGAGTTTTCTTTGATACTGGTATGATTCAAGGCATAAACTGGTCTGACCAATTGATATAGGTCTCACAATTGTCGGAAACTCCGCAGGTACAGCGGATGAGATGGATGAGATGATGGCTATGGCAGTGGCTGGTGATGTGAAAGCGCATATTGACGTCTTCGAGTTGGACGATATCAATGATGTGCTGGACCGCCTCGAGCGCTCGGAGATTGATGGCAGGGTGGTCTTGAGAATACCGCAATAGTTGCGATAGCCTGGCAGTCTAGGCATGTGCGTACTTGACTATCCACATGGGATTCCTCAATGAAGACGGAACACCCAGTAGAGGAGCAGGACGTTTTGTTTGATGCTTCAAACTGAATCTTCTTTCCATTTGGGTAGACGAGATCGAACTTGAGAAAAATGCCCGCGATGGTATCAAAATATATTTGCGTCGATGGTGAAGAAAATATCACTACCTCTAGATTCGATACGCAGCCGATTGCAATATGAGAGATGCTTTCTAGCTTGTAATTCCCCCTGTTCAAGACTATGCATAGGTGAGCGTTATTCATCTCCAATAAATTCATCCAGAAAATAAAGGTTATCTTCATGGAAGCTTGAATTGGATTCACTCGGATCTACTTTGTCACAAAAGTAAGTGAGTTTGACTGATGCAGGACTGCCATCAAAATGCGACGACTATTTTAACCTAGATACTCCTCGGTCAACTGTCATGCAATCTAGCTGAATAAATGGTGCCGAAATTAGTAACGAGATGACCGTACATTTTCATCTTCGAGCTCGGAGAGAACACACTTCAAGTATAGTATATCAAAAAATGATTCACCAATGAAGATTCCTAGGCATCGAAGAAAAAGTATTATCGACCATGGAATGGATACTCATAGACGCATGATATATCAACATAGGCAGGTTCGGTGGTTGCTTGTTCGCTACAAGGGTGGCCGAGTATTCTGAGGCTTCATCCTTTTTTTCACTACATGTAGATAAACCAATTTTGACAAATAGCAGGGAGCAGTTCATTATAATTGATCTTTCAATACTTCTCACGCTTGATCAGGTACGATCTAATTCCTAAGAGTTCCTTGACTTTCCTAGACCCCCTATCCACCCTCGCCCAGAAACCCTTTCTGCAACAACCACTGCCAGGCAACTCACCATCAACCCTTCAAGAATCCCATCAGAATCAGCATCGAGCTCAGCGAAAATATTCAAAGAACCCAGAATTTGTCGATCAGTTCGATTTTGCCACACCGCAAGAATATCATCTGGTTTATCCGCAGCAAAGAACTTCAGGTTACCATTCCCATCACTAGAACCTACATCTCTCCCCTCTGTTTCAAGGAGAGACAATGCGGTCTTTGACCCTTTCCAGTAGAAGGTTTTGACAGCCCCGCCATGAGTAATTCCAATACGGTAGGTCCTGCCCATTCCCTTTCGAACAATGTCTACCGAACAGTGCTTGACAAGGTCCGAAGAACTTTTTCTAGAACCCAAAGTCTCATCTCGAAGAGCATTAGAGCCTACTTGGTGGAAGATATCAACCGTCACATGGAGACCGACTAGACCCTCAAAGCCACGGTAGTGAATGTGCGCGCGGTGGTCTTGAGGCTCAGGCGATGGGTCTTTCCGGCTGCGCACGACATTGCCACCGGAGTAAAGATCAAATGAGGCTGGTAGGTAAAGGCCTTGGCGGTACCATGGGATACGCAAGGTGTGATATACTGGGCTTGGAGATTGAGCAAGCCCCCCAGAGGGGTGAACTTGAAGGCAAAAGCTCCAGGCATTTGTACCGAGTGCTACCTGTGCGAATTTATGAGTGACCTTTTGATCGGAGAGGGTTCATATGAAGGCAACGAGGCACCCATGCCAGGCTGCTAACGTACATCTTTGAAGACGTTGAATGAACGGTAGGGCTCCTTTGCACGATTTAGCTGAGGCTCCGCGTCTGGGGTAGTATCTGTACTCTCTTGCTGGGATGTTGCATGTCCCAGAGCAGGGGAATCACCCTCCCCGTCAAAGCAGACATGATCAAACCCCACCGCTGAAGAGTTGGTTGTTCTTCCTTGGATTCTCATCCTAGCTGGGTTTTTGGCGCGCGATTTTGTGTTGAGCTTAAGCAAGTACACGGAGACTTGAGATGCGGATCTGTTGAGATATAGACACAACCTGAGTGATTTGCAAAATGTGGAAGGTAGAAGCCAAGTCGGTCATAGCTGGGCTTTAACAGCGTTGCCCGATACGAGCTCGTCCCTCGTGATCGTTGAAGAGAAGATCGCCAGTCAATACAATTTGTTCATTGTTCATATGAAGCCTATACATTCCTAGAATCATAGAGAGAATATTTACTCCAAAGTACCTAGCAATCACCAACAATCCCTTTAAAATGAAGATAAAGGGATGAACTACATCGAAGTACTTACATGTAGGGCTACCGCCCCAGATATTCTGCAGGCCATATCGCTACCGCCCGGACTGTGCAGCAAAGAACCCGAATCCGCCCTCGAGAACCGCAAGGGACGTGCGAGAACCTCGGATCCGCTCAATTGCAATTGTAAGTGATCTATGAAGTGCACGCTGATCTGTACGGGCTGTTTCCATTGGCCAGTTTGCCATGCGAGTCGATTGGAGCTTGGCTATCTCCACGGCTCCAGTGACAATCCACTATCAATCGCAAGTACTAATCGCTATATAGGTTCGATCGGGCGTTGCCGTTGCTCCGCCGGCGAAAATAACCAGCTCCACACATATTCAAAATGGCGTGTAACCCCGCAACAATAGCCTGGAGAGCCAGCGTCCGGGCTCGTGCCCTTCCTACCTCCCGCTTGAGCCAACGGCCGTCGGCATTGCTACAGAAGGCCCAGCGCTACCCCGGTGCTTCGCGATATGCTTCGGACGCGGCTGCGCCCGCTGAGGCAGCCAAGGAGACAGTGAAGGATGCTACAAAGGAGGCCGCCAAGGAGATCCCTCGCAAAGCGGGCCGTGGCTCCAAGAAGGCCTTGTATGGTGCCTCATTGGCTTTGACTCTGCTGGTGGGCTATATCTATGGAACCGACACCAGGGCTAGTATCCACAGATACGGTATTGTGCCCTTGATCCGCCTCTTGTGGCCCGATGCGGAGGACGCGCACCACACTGGCGTGGAGAACCTGAAGATGCTCTACAAATATGGTCTTCACCCACGCGAGCGTGGCGACCCGGACAGCGATGGTGCTCTGGAAACTGAGGTAACGGCATTCCCAACCCAGCCGATATCCAACCACTGACGAGATCCGTCCTTAGGTCTTTGGGTACACCCTCTCCAACCCCATCGGTATCTCCGCCGGTCTGGATAAGCATGCCGAGGTCCCTGATGCGCTGCTCGATATCGGTCCCGCCATCGTCGAGGTGGGCGGCACTACCCCGCTACCACAGGAAGGAAACCCCAAGCCTCGAGTGTTCCGACTGCCCTCGCAACACGCCATGATCAACCGTTACGGCCTCAACTCCAAGGGCGCCGACCACATGGCGAAGGTGTTGAAGCAGCGCGTCGCTGACTTCGCCTACGCCGCCGGATTTGGCACACACGAACAATCCGAGCAGCGCGTCTTGGACGGTGAAGCCGGTGTCCCACCCGGAAGTCTGGTCCCCGGCAAGCTTCTCGCCGTGCAAGTTGCCAAGAACAAGCTCACACCAGATGGAGACATCGAAGCTATCAAGCGCGACTACGTCTACTGCGTGGACCGAGTGGCCCGGTACGCCGACATCCTCGTCGTGAACGTTTCTAGCCCCAACACCCCCGGCCTACGCGACCTCCAAGCCGCCGCACCCTCACAGCAATCTTGAAGGCGGTCGTCGCTTCCGCCAAGAACGTCGAGCGCAAGACCAAGCCCTATGTGATGGTCAAGGTCAGCCCAGACGAGGACTCCAACGAGCAGATCTCCGGCATCTGCGAGGCTGTCTGGAACTCCGGCGTCGACGGCGTGATCGTCGGCAACACCACCAACCGTCGGCCCGATCCCGTGCCCCAGGGCTTCGTCCTCCCCGCCGAAGAACAGAAGACCCTCAAGGAAACTGGCGGCTACTCCGGACCCCAGCTGTTTGACCGCTCCGTTGCGCTCGTCGCCCGCTACCGCGCCCTGCTTGACCAGGGACCTCCATCTGCGACCGAGTCGGATAAGTCAGTAGAGAAGGTCTCTGAGCTTCCTCGGAAGGTCATTTTCGCTTCCGGTGGTATCACTACCGGCAAGGAGGCGCGCGCGGCTCTTGATGCCGGCGCTTCCGTGGCTATGATGTACACCGGTATTGTCTACGGTGGTGTTGGCACTGTTACGCGGGTCAAGCAGGAGCTGCGTGAAGAGCTGCAGAAGAAATAAGCGGTGTGAACTATGATTTTTTTTTTTCTTATTCAGTCTTTGATAGATTCTGTAAATAGAACGGTATATGAACAACAGCAATATTCTGTATTTGTTCATTATTCTGCATGACTCGCCCGAGAAATCCAATAGGCACCGTAGGGTTGTATGCAATGGAACAACCGAGTAAGGCAATGCCGACAATAATGGAAAAGGGGTATCTTCCGTTGAAATTGGGTGGATAATGCTATAGAGCTCGGATTACTCGATCAGTGCAAGACGGAGCTTCAGAATCCACAACAAACCCACATCAACGCACAAGAGTGGACCGAGAGAGGTAGCTTCATGACATCGAAAACCTATCGTAGTTGCCGAAGCTCAAAAAAGCTTTAACAAGTCATCTGAGACACAAATCTCTGATCTGCCTCGTGATTGAAAACCGGGGAAGTTGTGGGTTCGGGGTTCCCCAGATAGGCTTCCCGAGAGGCAAGTTGACATTTCCACTTTTTTTCTGGATTCCGTTTGTCTAGATGCGTCTTGGTCTGTTTTAATATGTGTACTTTTCCGTACCATAACGAGGAATTGTATGTGAAACACAATACCGTAAAACATCTGTATAATTGTAGACACCTGTGTCAAGGCGTTAAGATGTCAAGGTTGACATGTCAAGATGTCCAGATGTCGAAGAGTACCTGGGGTATGTGGCATACAGAGCCAGCATTAGTGAAGAAAAACCAAATACATCACGCGACAACCAGCGTCTCCTCCACCTCACGGACAACCTCACGCACACCATCAATTTCATGCGCGAACCTGCCCAAAAACATCCCATCAACAGCCCGACCAAGCCCACCCCTTCCCCCAGAGTCCAGGCCCCGCACTACCCCCGTACAAGACACGAGCTGTCCCCGGTCGAGCACCAATAACAGCCCGGATACCCTGCACAACAGCAGCAACGTGATCAACACCCGCCGGCTTGGGCTGGCCAATCGCCCAGACAGGCTCGTAGGCAAAGATAACGGGCGCGTCGTCCGGGATAGCAGCCAGCACTGCGCGCACCAACACCGCACACTCGCTCACAGCCTGGCCGACTGCTTGCGAGGCGACAGGGCCCGGCGCGGTCACCTCGCCAACACAAACGAGCGGGACCATGTGCTGGGCACAGGTTGCGGCGGCCTTGCGGGCGGTTTGGTCGTCTGATTCATTGAAGATGGAGCGGCGTTCGGCATGGCCTAGTTCGACGATTGAGCAGCCTAGCGCGCGGATTGAGGCGGGTGAGACTTCGCCTGTGTATGCGCCTTGGGATTCCCAGAAGCAGTCTTGCGCGCCTAGGAGGAAGGGGGGTGGGGATTGGGGAGTTCCGGTGTTGGCGAGGTTTGCTTCGTATTCTTTGATGAGCTGGGCGCAGGGCCAGATGGTTAGGAAGTCTGGGATTAGAGCTAGGAGGAGTTTGTCGCGATTTGCTGGGTGGACAATCTCGTTGGATGGGTTGAGGAGTTCGCGGAGGTAGGTGAGTGTGCGTTCTGGGGTGAAGTACATCTTTAGAGAGATGAGCAGCAGCTTCTCTGGGAGAATTGGGTAATTGGACGCCATGGTGATGGTGATGGTGATGGTGAGGGTGACGGTGATGGTGACGGTGACGGTGTTGTTGCGAGGGCTGTTTATCCGGGGGATGAGGGAATGTGCTTAGCGTTCCCGTCTGAGGGAATTCTCGGAAAAGTTGCTTTGAACAGAAATTGGAAGCGAGGATACCAGGTCATTCCAAGTTTTTTGGTGTTTATTGACTTGGTCAATGATGTGTCAATGCGCTGCATTAGCGTCAATTCTGGGACGTTCCGATATTCCTAGGTAAGTGCTGAGTGCATAGTATGGAGGGGCATGAGGGGCAGTCAGACATATAGTGTACTATATCTTTGATGCCACATACTATAACCAGTCGGAGTACTCAATGCCGAGTCCAAGTGTGATAGGCCAATGGAAGCCAATGTAGTAGCACGGAATACCCTGGACATGCTCGAATGAGACTATACCCATGATCTTGGCATTGTGTTTTGGTATTCCACCTTGTAAGTTCTCAAGTGTCTGCTATATCCACTATATCCCATGTGTCTACTCAGTACTTCATATGATCAAAGGATGTATAGGGTACAATTCATTGCGTACAGTGCAGATCCAAACGAAAATCCGGAGTACATCGTACAATCGAGGGAACCAGTGGACTAACTTCTAGACAGTGACCAACAACATTGGAGGCAGTGGAGTTGGAAAGTGGATAAAGCAACAATCATGGGGGTTAGCGTCGGGGGACAATAGCCGTACTTGTGCACTCGACTGGGAAATCAAGTTATGCGTACTCCATATGTTGTACTCCGTACAGAGTACTCTGTACTCGGTAGGGATTCACGCGTTGATATTCAATATCCGGAATTCTACCAAAGGCCTGATTTCATGTTGAATCCAGGCCCGGTTTATGATGTCAATTCCGATAATCCCCCTCTTCCCGTCCGGATGGGATGCGGCTGGGGCCATCTCCGTGTATTTCTGAACATACGAGGTGCCCAGGCCTTAGCCACCGAGATCCTAGCAAATGAAAATTAGATCCAAAAAAGACCAGACACCAAGGCCCGTTCCTTGGCCTCGAGGCACCAGGATTCAAAAGGGAAACTGTACCGTGACGTCTGTGCCAAAAGCCACAGCCGTCTTGCCTTGTAGACTGTATTTACCACTGACATCGATGGCGTGTGGCAGAAAGCGTTGAAGCTCAGGGGGGGCGTTCTAAGCCAGCGCCAGCGAGGTTTAATAAAACATCCCGTGTAATACGAGGTAAGATGCAGGTATGAGCCAAAACAAGGCTCCTAAAGTATCCGACCTCGGTTTAACCTGATGGAGTTGACCACTCATAGCCCGTCATTGGCTACTATGATGCCGGACACTTACAATACGCGTAACAACATCAAGTCCGGAATGTTTCGGTGGAGAACGGCTGTAGATGATTGCATCAAATGCAAGGATTGGACATTGAGGAAATTGGTACGCCAAATAGAGGGGAAGAGAGAGAGAGGAAAAAAGATATAAAGCTCCCCTGGACTCCAGAAAAACAGGATTACTTTTCTGTATAACAGTCACTCCATTTCATTCAATTCATATCTGTACATTCTTCCTCTTGTGCATACATCATGTCTACTACTCCTTTCCGCATTGTCATGGCCTGTGACGAGGCCGGTGTCCCATACAAGGATGCCATCAAGGCCACTCTCGAGAAAAGCCCCCTTGTCGCCGAGATCATTGATGTCGGTGTCAACTCTTCCTCTGATAAGACTGCCTATCCCCACCCCGCCGTCGAGGGTGCCAAGCTCATCATGGATGGCAAGGCTGACCGTGGCCTTTTCATTTGCGGCACCGGTCTGGGTGTCGCCATCGCCGCGAACAAGGTGCCCGGCATCCGGGCTGTGACTGCTCACGACCCCTTCTCTGTTGAGCGCTCCATCCTGAGCAACGATGCTCAAGTTCTGTGCATGGGTCAACGTGTGATCGGTGTTGAATTGGCCAAGAAGCTCGCTACCGACTGGCTCAACTACCGTTTCGACCCCAAGTCTGCCTCTGCCGCCAAGGTCCAGGCTATTACCGACTATGAGACTCAGTTCCGCACTGCCGCTTAGACTCTTCTCATTGCTCTACGCCTCGATACACTTATAACGTCTTGAGAACCCCCTGGACTACCCGCCAACCCCACCTCACCAACCTTGTGAAAGAGTCAAGTCCCTCGACTTGTCTGCATGATTGTTATGCCGTTTTTAGTTCTCACAGCGCATGATACCACGACCCCAATGTTACTTCCGCTTCTAGATTGGATTGGAAGATCACATAGATGTATATAGTGAATGAAATAACTATAGTCAAGTTCAAATTGATCGCCCCAGGAGTAAATCTAAGTAAATTCCACCCAGGGCAGTGGACCAATTGGGCTGACTCAGACCTTCTGCGGGGATCTATGAGTTTCCATACAAGCAGTTGTTCCATGCTATTTGGATGAACTCACAAAGGTACAAAGATTCCTAGGTATAACGAGCATTGCAGATCAGACGTCCTCAAATACCCATCAGTTTTAAGAAGTACATATCCACTCCTATCACTCATAAGGTCTATACGGTGGACCGCCCCACATTGGGGGAACAGATCAACACGAGAAAACCCACGGCCCTCACTCACACATAGACCATGGCGCAAGAACTCAAGGCCAAGGGCAATGAGCTCTTCAAAGCTGGAGACTACACCGGCGCCGAAGATTTCTTCTCCCAAGCGTAAGCTATCAGATCCGACCCCTCCGACATTTCCGATCTCTCCAACCCCTCCTCCGCCACAGCTCCCAGTTCGAAGTGGTGAAGTCATTTTAAAACCCCCGAAACTCACAAGACCCCTTACATAGAATCCAAAAGAATCCCCACGATGCAACCTTCTTCACAAACCGCGCGATCACACGAATCAAGCTCGCCAAATGGGCCGACGTCGAACATGACGCTCGCGCCGCCATCGAAATCTACGGTCTCAAGAATCCCATCGCCTTGAAGAGCCATTATTATCTTGCCCAGGCCCTCCTTGGCCTACAGCGCCCACAAGAAGCGCACGATGTCGCGTCCGACGCGTACCAACAGAGTTTAGCAGCGAAGAATGCCCAGTCGGAGAACCTGTCGCGGACGGTCTTGCGCGCGAAGCAGCAGATCTGGGCTGCGCGGGAGACTGCGCGAGTGCGCGAGCTGAATGAGACACTGGGTTCTGTGGAGGCGCTCGTTGAGGCCGATGTGACGCGTGCGCTGGCGGAGTTGCAGGGTCGTTTGGAGCGCGGAGAAATCGGGGAGATTGGGTTTGGGGAGGATCAGAAGGCGTTGCGTGAGGATGCGGAGACTAAGGTGAGGAACTTGAGGGAGGCATTTCGAGTGGCTTCCAAGGGAGAGATTCAAGAAAGGGTATGTTTTGATGAATTGACGCTCGGTTTTCGGAGAGAGGTTGGTTTGTTGACATTTGGATTTGATTGTAGGTTGTTCCTGACTATCTCATTGATGGCATCACATTTGAGATCATGCATGATCCGGTCATTACACCATCCGGGGTCAGTTTCGATCGCTTGGGCATTACCAAGTATGTTGAGAAGTCAGGTGTCGATCCTTTGACTCGGGCACCGATCAGTGTCCATGACCTGCGGAACAATTATGCTCTCAAGGCTGCCTGTGAAGAATTCCTTGCCAACAATGGATGGGCAGTGGACTGGTGATCTCTCTCTCTCTGTCTCTGAATTTGTACATTGCCTTGGGCATTCTCTGTTTTCCTCTTTTTCTGGTGCATTAGCGAGTGATTTCCACAGTACTTGCATATGGACATGCATCTGCTGGCGTGGGTAAATAATGAAGTTTCTGAATTGAATCTCGAATTCGAGATCATTGTGGTCTACGCTAAAACTCTCGAATAAACACAACATACCATCTAGACCTGTGGCCTGACCTGATCAACTGGCGAGTGTGTCAGCCACCCCACCTATACCCGGACCCCGCCCTCAACCATCTCCAACTTCCTCAACATATAAGTCTGTTCCTGAATTTTACCTCTTTTGCCTCTTATACAAACACCCTACAAATTCAAAATGGCTGACATCACCCCCTTCATCACCGTCCTGGAGTCCGCCCAGAAGAAAGAAAAGTTCACTCCCGAGGTCCAAGAAGCTGCCGCCGGTATCGACATTGCCGCCCTCAAGGATATCTTCGCGAAGGTCGCCGAGCAGGGCGAGTTCGAGAAGCTCGATGATGCCACCGAGGCTGAGACCCTCCGCAAGGCCTTCGAGTTCGCCGCCAAGGCTGTTATGATGCTGAAGACTTCCCCGGTCTCTTGGAGAAGAAGGATCTTTACATCTACTTCAAGGTTGGCAAGGGTGATGTTATGGAGAAGCCTGGCATGTTCGATATCCAGGTATGTTCAACTTCAAACCAATCGCCAGCTCGGGAAACCCCCGGGTTGTAGCACATACCTTTAAACAAGACCGGTAGCTGACAATGTTTTCCAACTTTACAGAAGAAGCAGCTCTACGGTGCCTGGGAGAAGGTCAAGGACTACAGCCCCGCCAAGGCTCACCAGCTCTACATCGACTGCGTCAACACCTTCATTACCAAGTACGGCACTCGTGACGAATAGATGATACAATTGGGAGAACTGGTCCTGGAGAATGACCCGCGATTTATCAAAGGGGATATATTGGCGGGTGAGGTTTTGAGGAGACGGTAATCTAAATGAGAAGAGATAATCGTATTGTCTCAATTCTCTCGGGATGAAGACAACGAATACAAATACATGCTACTTTCCATGACCCCGTACTCACATACCTCACAATCCGTGTGCTACCCATGTATATGCTCAAATCACCACTCCTATTAACTGTCGAGACGAAAATCCGCCAGAGATAGCTAAGAACACTGATGTTATAATGACACCAGGCTTAGACAATCCAGCTCTGACCCTGCCAGTCCGGCAGAGGATGCGAAGCAGTCGCACACCACGGCTCATCACCCGCACCATACGGCGTCAACGGAAGATCATAAGGCATCCGGAATCCGACAACTACAGAAGCCGTCTCAGCCCCCTCAGACACAGTAGGACGATCCCGCCTAAAGCAAGGAACCATCAGCGCGTCTGGCGCAGGGGATTTCCCCTCCGCTCGGGATTCAGATTCGGTCGCAGAGCCAGTATCGCCATAATCCCCATCTCGAAAAAGCTCCGGCCAGACAACAACGCCAATTTCCCAGCTACAAATGCGCACCTCGCCACTCGCATTCATCGCCGCGCCCCACGCCTGCGTGGACAGATTCGCCGACGATACCATCGCCCAGTCAATAGTCTTCATGTCTGAATCTGCGAAGCGGATGTAAGTCTTGATGTGTGGGGCTGCACGGGCACGGCCTGCTTCGCGCCTTGGGGGATCTTCTTCGGATAAGTCGATGCATTGGCCTGAGGGGATCGAATCGCCTGCCCATTGGCAGAGGTACGGACGCATGTATTGGAGTTGCTTTTGTTGTGCTGCGCTTTGTGTTTTCATGTGGATTGAGCCGCCGGAGTTGTAGCCGTCTAAAGAGCGGCGGATCTCGTCTGGGGTTGGGAAGATTATTGAGTACGTTGTTGGTTGTGGGGTTGGGGCGAGGGCCTTGAAGAAGACGTCTTTGAGCCATTTATTTGTTTGGCCGAGGGTTGCTATTGAAGAAATCTTGGATTTGTTGGAGGTTTGTTACAGCGCGATGGTTGGAGATACGTACCTGAATTACTATGTGTGGCTTGTTGGCTGTGGTTTTTTTCTGGATGGGTATTTGGCTCATCAAATCTTTCAGAGCAGGCCAGCCCCATAGTGTATCCTCTTCTGAGCTGGATTCACTGGCGTGCTTTTTGGACGGGACACTAGCAATCAGGGCAGCGCGAACAGCGCCGAAGTCATAGTTATCCAACTGCTGGACCAGCGAGCCGGTCTTTTTGGGCCCATACGCTTTTAGATAAGCAAGGAGATCCCTTTTGAATCGTGTGCCCGAGCCGATTTTTGATTTTGCGTCTGTCTGAGATCCTGCTGGGCTTGCTTTCTCCAGGGGAAGTAGTGGAGAGCGCCAGGCGGCTTGTGTCATATTGGTCCAATCCATAGGGATCATGTTTGCCGTGTGGATGATGACCCTGTTGATTATTCAGTCAGACCTATATCGGGCTATAGCAACCAACAATTTCTGGAAGCCTCTTACTGGGCTAGATCATCATGCCGAAGAAGAATCATCATCTTGGAATGATGTGTCCCGAAAGGTTCGGGCATGTATGCCACAATAGGCTCGACATTAGGATACCGTGAACATGACTCCTGGTAACAGCTTAGTCTGACGCCAGTTCAAACTCTCTATCAGTGATGAGATGTAGTCAAGGGATGGAATCAACCCAATTGAAGCAAGTCTCACCAGTGCAAACTTACCTCAATTCGCGTCCGATTCGAATCCTCTCTCCGCCAGGACCCATGCACAACCTTGACTTGCACCAGAGCCCGGACATCCTCATCAAACTGTGACATGAGAAAGTCCACATCGAACAGGAAATTGAACTGCCAGCATTCGCGAATCATAGGATCTCCGAGAATGTCCCGTAGTCGGACTGTGTCGACATTGTTACCACTCGATAAATCGCGAATATGGGTAAGTTGTACTGGCGAATTGATAAATTGGACAGGGCGAGCAGTGCCTTCAGGGCCATCAGTCATTTCGCCATCAGTCAGTCGGGAACAGCCGCGGGGAAGTGGTGGGCTGATGGCCCTCTCTAAAGATGTCAGGGGTGTCGCCGAGCCATTACCAGAATCTGATGAGATTCTGGCTCTCTTAGAGGGGCGCTCCATTCAAATGATCTTATGGGGTGGTGGTTGAGTTGAAGGTTCAAAGGCGGTCGAGATGGGCGATCGCGAGAGATGAGCACGAGTATCGATCCAAGGCTTCAAATCTTTATATCAAATTTTATACCACGCTATTCAAACAAATTTGATATCTGGGTTTTCCATTTATTCCATTATTCTAGCTGCTTTTCGGTCCCAACGTTGTTGACCAGGTTGTACAATTTTATTGCTCATCTCCATGCAAGGTTTCAAGCTCCAACACAGCTTAATTGCGAATCGCAAGCTTCTGGATCTCCGCAACAACTGCATCAGTGACCTGCTTCGTCGTGGCATTACCACCCAAGTCACGGGTAAGAACTCCCTGCTCGCAGACATTCTCAACACAAACCAGCAGCTGTTTAGAAGCCTCCTCTTCGCCGAGCCAAGCAAGCATTTCCGCCGCCGTCCAGAATGTAGCCACGGGGTTAGAGATACCCATACCAGTGATATCAAAAGCGGAGCCGTGAATAGGCTCAAACATACTGGGATACTCCCGTGTAGGGTCGAGGTTAGAGGTAGGTGCGATGCCAATAGATCCAGCCAGAGAGGCAGCGAGATCAGAGAGAATATCAGCGTGCTAGTCAATCGTTAGTCCACAGACCTAGTTGAACATCATCCTTTTTTTTCGAAAACTCACCAAATTGGTTGCAACGATGGTATCCAGACTCTCGGGCTTCAGGACCATGCGAGTAGTCATAGCATCAACAAGCATCTTGTCCACAGTGACATCGGGGAAGTCAACTGCGACAAGCTTTGCCACTTCGTCCCAAAGGACCATGCCATTGCGCTGCGCATTACTCTTAGTGACCACAGTCAACAGCTTGCGTGGCCGCTTCTGGGCAGTCTCAAAGGCGAACCGCATGATTCTCTCCACACCGTGACGGGAGAAGATAGAAACTTCAGTCGCAACTTCCCATGGCTTTCCGGCGTGGGAGCGGCCACCCTGGCCCGCATACTCTCCCTCGCTGTTCTCACGGATGATCACCCAGTCAAGGTCGTTGGGCCCGCACTTGCGCAATGGGGACTCCGTGCCGCGGAACACCCGTGTTGGGCGCACGTTCGCGTACTGTTGGAACGGCTGGCAGATGGCGAGTCTCAGACCCCACAGGGAGATATGATCAGGAACGTCTTCTCTCGTGGTTAGCATCATGCTTTTTTTAAGACATTGTTTGCACTGCTTACCAGGAGCACCGACGGCGCCGAAGAAAATTGCGTCATGCTTCTTGAGCTCCTCAAGTCCACCATCGGGGATGTATTTGCCGGTCTTCTTGTAGGTCTCGGAGCTCCAATCATAGTTCTTGAACTCCAACTTGAAGGTCTTCAGAGTATTGGTCAAGGCATTCAGAGCTGTGATACCAGCATTAATGACCTCTGGGCCGATACCATCGGCTGGGATGGATGCGATGCTGTAGGTCTTCTGGCTAGCAGACATTATAATGCTGTGGTAAAGTTCTTGTTTGAGGTGATTGAGGTGGAATATGGAGAGGACAAATTCAGCGCGTGTGAGAGCCTTTTAAGGAAATCAGGTCCAAACTCTCAGATTTAAGTCTCCACATGCAAGCTGCCCATAAACCTATCGCATCACCCCTCATCACGAGCCTAGTCGACTATAATCGTCGTGGGGTGCAGACGGAAATTCAAATGCCCGGGTTGGGCTATACGGAGGGCCCCCACTCGGAGAAAGACATGTCCGCGTGGCGAACAGCCCTGATCTAGTATACCAGTGAGCTAAATTGAAAGTGATGGAATGTCCCCCGAGCAGGATTAAATCATTGAACATATATTCTTATGAATTGTGTATCAGGAATCACAAAAAGTTATTATGAATCATCCATGGGCCATCAGCCACGCTCCAGAGATCATTGAGCATAGATGATGAAAATGGCAAAGAGTCTTGACCAGCAAAACTCGGATTAAAAGCAGGGTTTCCCTCAGCTATGTTGCCGAAAACAAGTCCAGCTGAAGACTGTCCATTTAGATAGTTCTCAGCGGGGTCTAGCACTTCGGCAAAGTTACCGATAGTATCAGACGGTGAAAAAACGGCAGAGTCGTAGTTTCCTGCAGGGCCAAGGCCTTGGAGAGGAGAGCGAATTGATGATTGAGATGGAGTAATTGCAGTAGAGACTGGGCGGCTATTGTACCCATTCGGCGCTAAAGCTTGAGGTCGAATTGGTGAGACACCTGTATCGTCAATCTCATTATCTCCATCCTGAACCGGCAGCATACGTGATACCCGTTTATCTATCCATGCTGTAGCTTGGGTATGGGGTTGGGCTGATTTCTCGGTGCCGGAAAATGCGGCTGTAGCCTTGGCTTGCTGGCTATTCGATTTCTGTGACTCAAAAGCGGATTCCATGCCTTTGATCGCCTCGATGCAGGTCTCTGGCCAGCTGCTACCGCGCAATGATAGATTTTCCAAAATGGCAATCCCTATTCTCGCATATTTGAGCGCAGTTGACGTAGGGAATTCCTCTTCCCATGCAGCATACATCAAAATCAAACAGGCCATCCACGTTGACCATGTAAAACCTGGCCAGGAGAGCGGAGATTTCGGTTCAGAAGACATGTGCTTTTTCAATGCCGCAAGTATAGATCGAGAGGATCCAATACAAGTCTGCAAAGCGTTTTTGTAATCCGCGCTGGGCTTCTCGGATGCTAAGAGAGGTCGATTGAGCGAGATGATAGCTTCGTGTCTCAGGATCATCAGGAGTAGTCGGTGATATGGATGCAAGGTCGGCTCTTGGTCTAGACCAGCTTCTGCTGGCTCATCAATAGGGTTGACGTCGTCATAAACTTCATTCCACCATTGCGCTAGTTCTCCAGTAACATGAGCTGATTCAGTTTGGCTGGCGTGACTGTGGAGAATGGACTTATTGCGAAGTTCAACAATCAAACCTCGAATCCGTGCAAATTTCGCAAGATAACACAATAAGTGCAACCTACGATCGTCGGAAGCTTTGACAGTTGTTGAAGAGTGTCTCTCGACACCGGGGTAGCACACGTCAATGTCATCATCTCGAATGGAGAGCGGAATGCCAAGGGCCTGAGAAAGATATCTTTCAAGAGAATAAATCGACCAGAACAACCTACAACGAATATCGGCTTCCTCGTTATCAAAGCAAGAGAACCGTCTTGGGCAACGATGCAACCCGAGGTGGAATGCAGTGCGGGTAATAACACCCCCTACCCGTGAGGCAGCATTCAAGCGCAAAAGAGACGCCAGTGCAAGTTGAGCGGCAAATGCTGCTTGTAGCAGTGGCAAGCTAGTTGGCTCTTCGAGAAGACTTTGTACATCTTGCATCACATGCTGAATGGATCGAAATACCAAGACCGATGGAACGGGACTAAGTTTCGACTCAGACGACGTTTTCTGTCGATTGTCACCGAGAGAAATAGATACAACAGAGCGGAGGATCATCAATTCTAGTCGGCTCACCGACTCCATCCCTTTTGGCTGACTTTCTCTATGGTTTTCAAGACTGTCGGAGCGTGAAGGCATGGGAAGATCGGATGCCAATTCTCGAAATAGCTGCGTGTCCATTTAACAAGATCGTCGAAAACAAAGGAAGTGCTTGGTGTATAATTTAGTTCCTCCCTTGTCCACAGCTCATCCGAGCTTTGAATACGTCCTGCATTTTGATGTAGCCGGTCGTCTTCCCCTGGCACAGAGGTTTTGTCACGGGCTCGTGATTGATCCAAGTCCGCTGAACGACGTGCGAAGGCATGGTAAACATGACGGATAAAATGGATGCCACTTGAACTTCCAAGGAATGTCGCAGTTCCGTCATTTTGAGACTCTCTCATGAATCCAATTTCGCGAGGCGAGGGTCTTGGGGTGCCCACCGTGGAAGTGCGTTTGCGTCTCTTGGTTGCACGAGAAGAATATGGCCATTCGGACTCGTTATCCTCGAAACGTATGCTGTTAGGTGAAGCCGAAGCCATTATTGCTGTGGTTTATGTATTACATTTCTTCAATCTAAGATATTGAAAGCTATGTTCCGTTTTGAAGAAATCCAGCCCGGGGCCGTGGATCGTCATTACGTCAGCGGCAGGCGCGGCCCTGGCCATCACCAGATCTGTAAGATTGTCCATAGTATATGATTCCGATTATATTATTTTACAAACTTTTTACATAAATTACTTTCCACTTCTCTGAGTCTCATACTTCCACCGTTGTTTAAAAGGCACCCTTTCCGGGAGTGCTATCACCCTTCAAAGCAGCACATCCCTGTTCAACATCCTCAGGTCGGAGCAACTGGCTATTGGAACCCTCCTTGTAGGCCAACCCAACCAGTGTTTTCTCTGTCAGATAGTCAGACATATGAAATATTCAAAAATTGATTGGAAGCTTACCATTAGGATTGTATCGGGGCCATCCGAACTTAGTCAAACCCTCTTGAGGATCACTTGCAAATGCAACCCAGGCGGAAGCCATGTACCGGGCAAATTCGTCCTCGCGGTCGCTGTTTGGAATCCCGCTAACATGCTCTCCAGTTCCGAATACCATAGGCAAGTCGACACCGTGGTAGCTTCCGCTGTTGGGGTGCAAACGCAGATTGTCCCAGTCGCCGAAGTAGTGGGACTGCCAGACCGGAACGTCGTTGTCAACTCGATATCTTGCGGACGCACCACTAGGGCAGGTAAAAGCTGCATCATTGAAAGCTTGCCATGCGGTATCACTGAGAGTGATATTCGCGTTAAATGCACTGATGCGATAGTAGCCAGGTTCATAATGGTTGCTGTTGATCAAATATGGCTGCGGCATGTTAGCATTACCTTTGGAGATGGACTCGAACATACTGCTATCTACTTACCAGGCGTGCAAATTGACCTGCAGCAGATCGCTCAGCATAGTTACCAAACACGGTAACTCCATCGACTGTTGGATGAAACACTGCTTGTGGAGTGGCTGGTGAAGGTGCGGGCGGGACCTTGCCTCCTGCCTTGACGACTTCAGCGAATGGCTTCTGGCGAACACACTTAACAACTTCTTCGGGGTCACTGGTCTGGTCTCCACAGCCGAGAATCTTAGAAGCAGTGTAAAAGTAACTGGCGGACTCTTCAGCAGTGTTGGGTACAAAGCTAAGTGAGGTTCCAGAGTGCGAGATGAGACCAGCAACGATAGGATCCTTCGCCCAGGCTTGTGAATAATAGTCAACGGCAGAGCCACCAGCAGACTGGCCAAATATTGTAATACGCTTTGGGTCTCCACCAAAAGCAGCGATATTTTGATGGGCCCACTCCACTGCCATACGCTGATCCAGCAGTCCGACATTTTGGGGAAGATTGGGTGCACCAGGGAAACCAAGGATATTCAATCGATAGCTAAGATCTATTAGTAAGGATTTGCACACGTAGGGTGAAGAATACCGACTTGATGGTCACAACCACCACCTCATGCTCATCCGCCAAGACTTGTCCATCATAGTATGGATTGTTGGCGCCGCCTCCGGTAAAACCTTCAAAACAATTGTCAATAATCCGAAAATAAAAGAGTCGGGGTGAACATACGACCACCGTGGAACCATAGCAGAACTGGTTTCAAGTTAGAGACTGTGGGACGGGTCCACACATTCAAGAAAAGACAATCTTCGCTCTGGGGAGTATCCAAGGCCTGGGTAAACGACTTGACAATTCTGGGAGCTTGCGGAGTAAAGCCAGGATAATCTGGAACTGACCCGGCATTTGCTGGGCAATCACTAATTTTGGTCAGATATCTGCATCCTCATTACAGGGGCATATATACGCACGGGCTCTGTGGGTGATAAGGTTAGCCACTTATGTCACGGAGCGAAGGTAGAAATCTTACATAGGCAGTTGCGTGAATGGTGCCATTGGCATCATAAGCCACCGGAGCCGCAAATCGGAGATCCCCAATAGGTGCCGAAGCATAGGGAATACCCAAATACTCAGAGACCGCAGGCCTGCGAGGGGCAGCATGCCCCTCAATCAGTCCACTGCTGGTCACTACAGAGTCACCGATGTGATTTTCTGGGTGACCTGAGCACTGCTGTCCCCAAACTGTGGGGGGGTACGTAGCCAGCAACAGTGCAGATCCAATTTGAATCCAACCCGCCTTCATTTTTGTAATTTTCAACAAGAGTGAGGAAAAATGGTCAGGGCTGCGGAAGTTCAGAGACATATAACGTTCGCGTATATCATAGTGGAACCGATCTGTATTGTCAGGGGTTCCGAATGTTCCGTGTTCGCTTGGTCGCGATGAGATCGCCGATCGTGGCTTGAATTGGACGAACGGGGGAGTGCATCAATATACACGAACTGAGTAGCTTCGGCGATTCGGGGGCACAAGAATCCTTGGCGACTAATGCGGAAGGATGACCGGATGATCTTCATGTAGACCTGCTGGATGAAGCGTTTTTTTCCATTTAGTACTCCGTACAACATACCATAACAAGCACAATGTAAAATGTATATTACAATCCGATTTGCCAAGAGGTCTCTTATCAAGTCATATCATCAGATTTATAGGGTATGGAGATGCTTACCCACTGACTATTTCGACATCCCTGCACGCCATGTGGAGAGCTTGAAATTTGTAGATTAATAACAATTTGAACAATGTGTGTTCTTCAATTTGCTGGGTTCTATTTCCTTGACGCATTTCCACGTGGAAAACGCATTGTTGTCTTGTAAATATTCAATGCCCTAACCAAATATATACTCGATCTACATCGTGCATGTTCCTATACCCACCAAAATCACCTGTACTATGTACTCCGTACTTCAATACCACCAATCTAAATCCCTATCCTTCTCTTCCTCTCTCACGAGGTCTGCTTGGGGGGCCAAGGCTATGATACATCTAAGCGAACATTTGCTTCGAACCTCGTGGGGCGGCCTGTATCGGACGATGTGATCGTCGGAGACCACTACAGTTCCGAGTGATCATAAAAAATGATGCCTGTTCCTTTTTGAAAGCCTTTCAAAAATCTGCAATAGCCAAATCATCGTATCATGCCGTACGAAATTGGATTGAGCACACCTGATGTGCCCAATCGAGGGTTTCCGCTATGGATCTGCAGTGTTGTGATGGTAATCATAGCTGGTCTGTTCGTTCTGTCCAGACTGGCTATTCGATTCCATCACAGCCATTTAGGATCGGATGATTGGATGATTTTGGCATCGCTGGTGGGTTGTCCTCGAAGGATCGGAGGCTTGGATCAAACATTGACATATGGTAGATATGCTCAATTGTTCTCACAGTGACCGAGTGCTCTGGTAGGTTATGCTCCCATGGACATTATTCCGAAGAACTCTTATTTACTCGAAACTAGCGGTACACTATGGATATGGAAAACACTCCAAAGATCTCACGCAACATGATCGAGTGACTGCGCTCAGGTGGTTCTTTGGCGCCCAGCTCGTATACAAGATCGTCATTGCTGTCAACAAACTCTCCTTCATGTGCCTATACCTTCGGATATTTCCCCAGCGCGCCTTCCGGTTGATTTGCTATTGTGGGCTGGGGATAATCACTGTTTGGGGCACGGCATATGTCTTTCTCACCATCTTCCAATGCAAACCCATCGCCTCGTTCTGGGATATCACTATCAAGAACCCGAAATGTTTGAACAAAGAGGGGTTGTGGATGTCTTACTCGGTCATCAACATCATATTCGACCTGCTCATTCTCGCCCTGCCTATATACCCCCTGAGTCGGCTTCGGCTACAAAGGGCAAAGAAGATTGGTCTCCTTGTAGTGTTTGGAATGGGAGCATTGTAAGTGCATGTTCCTGTGATATCTTTTTGATAAACTGCTCATATATCTAGTGTTTGTGTCACAACGATCATCCGAATCACCACCCTTGCCCAATCCGCCAGTGACACTGATCCGACTAGTAAGTTTTGCTTCCCGTCGGTGCACTCATGAAGTATATATAGGCTGATACAACAATAGGCGGTCCTATTCCAGCCACCATCTGGAGTGTGGTTGAAGCAAACACTGGTATTATCTGCACCTGTCTACCAGTCTTCAGACATCCGCTTCAATTCTTCTTCCCGCATCTCTTCAACTCCTCTCAGCAAACCACCAATCCGTATAGTCAACGTGTGGCACGTCATACGACGCATGCGAGTGGGTCCGAAAGGAATCTCACCCACGATGATTTATGGCAAGACGATGGTCTAGAGATGGCGAGCCCGGAGATTTGTAAGGCGGATGTCAATGGTAGAATCATGACAACGACGCGTATAAATGTCTCATATCAACAGGACCAAGAATCGGATGCGTCATCGCGACCAATCCGCAGGGATTTTGAATAATATGGCGATGCACACCTAATCAGAATAAAAGCAAAATCAATACATCGTTTTAATACATTCTAGTGTTCTCCTGCATTTTACGGTAAACATGGTGGGCATCACGTGACCGCCACTTATGCCCGGAGGTTTCTTACTCCGAAACTTTCATTACGCAGCATCAACCATACACAGGACGTTGGCAACCTGATATCTTGCATATCTTAGGGATTTACACTGCATTTTGCATTTTATAACCCCGTAATCATCAAATGGCACAATTGCGATCGAAGCGGAAGGCACCTGGTGCCACCATGCCAGGTGTGACCGGAATACCCCACACAAGAAACATAGATCGACTGACTCGAGATATCATTAGAAGAGAACCTGAATCCAATTTCTTGTGAGCTATGCAGACAACGCAAATGCAAAGTATGTTGTTATTTAAAGAACAGTCCCGGAACAAGACAAGTGCTGACCAACAGAATAGTGTGATCGCAAACTGTAAGGCCAACTACGATTTCTTAGTTCAATGATCTTATTTTAATTATTGGAATCTCGTTCAGTCCGTTCTGTTCTCAATGCGCAGGGGAAGCAACGGAATGTAGCTACCCTGAGAGTGGTAAAAGGTAAGAACCTAGCCTGACATATATATATGCAGGTACCCGCAGGAAGCTAACCCACTGGTTCAGAGGCCTACCTTTGGGATACTTGAACCAATTGGAAGAGAGGCTGACAGAGACCGAGTCAGCGCTTTACGGGGCTCTGATGACCATCCGCTCTATGGGACCATCAACAACAGTCCAAATCCCAGCAAAGATAAACACTTCCAGCAAACAAAAAGTAGCTCGCATGGAAGAGTGGTCTCAGCTGCCCCTTCGAGAGTGGCCCGATATGGAGCGCTGGCGGACGGCCATGTCGGATCGGTTTACCATTGAGCACCCAAGTGACGTGGCTCCAGATACATCGGGAAATGGTTACGCGATTCCTGTGACTCCTACTCACGATCAAACGCAAGAATTGGGAGACCAGCCTCATTCCGGACTAGTTTCATATGCATGGCCACCCAGGGACAACAGGGTCAGTTTGGGGAGTTCATACGATGCTCCTCAGACCCACCCTGGGGTGATGTCTTCACCGGTATGTTTTGAACACCAGGTCACGATGAGACCTGAACCCGTGCCGTCTTCAGGTAGTCCCCGAGATGGAATCATTGGCGACGAGGATGCTACCGGTGTCTCGGTGGATGCAAATGCAGCTGCACAAGCTAGGGTGGAGACGGGCCGACCGAGCAAAGCTGAGGAGCTGTCACACAATAACCCGAGTCTTTACTTTTAAAATATGTTTCAGGCACGTACAATAACACTAATATTGAAACCTCACCTCTTTCCCGACGAAGCTTAGGCTCCCTATCTGTAACAGGCTAAGTGCAGATCATGAATGCCTGAGGTTTAATTTGGTCCCAGCATCACGTGCCATTGATCACATCACGTGCTCATGGGTTAGTCATCTTCGTCAAAACACCCGGACCAAAATGCCTTTGTCGCGTGAAAGAAAAGTCAAGTTCAAATACTCCGTACAGCAAGGAACAGTTGACTCCGCACAATATACGTACAATATATTGTATGCATCCTTAACTATATCGTAGGACCCTAGCAGGGTTCACTCCACCCAAATTTCAGTGGAGCCTAAGATGAAGGGCTTTAAGAATTTAGACACCAATAGTACTCCACAGAAAATCCACCAATCCACTCAGATAACGAGCATCATGTCGGTTGGATTTTCCAACCCTTCCAACTCGATCAGCTGCAAGCGCTCGCAATAAGACCCCTTTACTTGAGTTTATCTAGTTGAACCCTCTGGTTGGACCCTCTGCTTGGCCGAATCCGAGCCAAACGGGTCACGGAGCACAGACTACCTTTGAGCGTAGAACGGATACAAGTGGTTGGTGAAACGCCCGTGCCTTTCAGACTAAGAGCCCGGACCTGCATCCGTTTCAATTAGATGATTCTCGGGGTATTATCGCATCACGCTGTACGGGTCATTTTTATGGATATGTACTCACTCTTCACGTGTGCAGTTATCGAGGGTGTAGAATGACAACATACATGGGACACGTCGAACACGTACACGTTGACTGTGCCTAACCCCCTCCATACTCAGGCACATATCCGAACCTAGATGATGGGTCTGGAATCAAGTCGGGGACACGGAGGAACTCCCCCTTCTAAAAGCGACTAAATATAGGCGTAGTTCAGATACCGTGGAAAGAGGCAAATAGTGAAAGTTTGGGTGAACCACTCTGATCATCAGGAACACTGGGGCCCTTGATATCCAGGGGACCTTGACGGAGTAGAATTGATTTTGGTTGGGCTATCTTTTAGCCTACTGGTCAAAAGTAGTCAAACGCTGGTGTAGCGCCCAAAATCCCGTCAGCCCGTAAGGAGGACCGGCCCCCTCCCCCTTCTCTCTTTCTTCTTCCAACCTCCTTGGGATTGTGTGTGTCTTTTGTTCCTTCATTCTCTCCTTCAATTCTGTTAGTCCGAGATACAAAGTGATCTGAGATCCTGGGCTCCTTTTTATTCTTTCCTTTTTATCCCATTTGTTGTGCGCCACCATTCCTTAAAGGACTGCTATTTCTCTCTACATTTTGCTGCGCAAAATCATAGGGCTCGACACTCATTTTTGTGCACTTTTTCAATAGAAGTTGGAATTCACAGACACACCGATCTGATACTGGACATTCCTGTTGATCTAACATTCTTTCACCCCGCGATTGTCTTACCACGCGAGACTCAAATACGGATCCGATCGCAAAAGAGCGGCATTCAAAAAGAGATAAAATTTCATACATTGCATGTGTGGATTGATAAATCAATTTCCGACCGTCTCGAAACGCTCTCTTGTCATATTTTGAACTTGGCCAAATTTCCGAATTCAACATGTCAAACCTCAGCAGAGCATTCACCCGGCGCAATAAGCGCCCAGAAGTGTCCGCGCCCATGCCATATCGCGGTGAAGGGCACGTGCGACTCAACTCGGCAAGCATAAAGCGCAGCAATATTTCCGGACCAGTTCAGCTGCTCTCTACGACCAACATGCTAGCCTACAACGCACCTGATATCAATCCAGTCAAATCAGCCGGCTCTTCATCTGCCTCATCACTAGGATCGCGAGACGACTCCGATTTCGCTTTTTCCCCGCAAAGCTACGCGTCTTCAATGTCCTCACCCGACATCTCTCCTCACGGGTGCTCTCCGATTGACGCAAACCCAATGGCGTCGTATTTCCCGAAGCGCACGGGCACGGTGACAAGCCACCCGCGCTCCTCCACCTCGTCTTCGTCAACCACCGATGCTCCGCTGGTGCCCAAGCGGGCTCTGTCCCACACCAAGCGGTCACATCAGGAGCTCGCTCACTCGCGTTCGATCTCCAGAATGTCACCACCCCCGCTGAACGCAGCGCGCATCACACCAACTATTCGTGCATCACAGGAATTCTTCCAGGCTGAGCCGCATCCATTTGGCAAAGAACTGGAGCAGGTGAACGAAGTTGCAGAGGAATTTGGAGGCCTCAATATGCTCGATGATGAAGAGCGGATCTTGTATTCCAAGGGGCTCAAGAAGTTTTCTGTCGAAGATTATCTTGTGGAAGTCGAAGAACTGTACGGCAGCATTTTCGAGGACACACGTGGACCTATGTGCACATCTTGGTTCTAATGTAATTGCTGCCCCACCCCGGTTGACCCGGGGTGATCAACGACCCAAGACTGCAGACTTGCAAGGACTGGATATTCCTTCGTCTGCCACGACAACCAACTCTTATTCTTTCATTTACGACTATTGCCCCTTGTTTTACGATACCATTGGAGGACCTTGTGTTCCTGCGCTCAATCCAGATTTTGAATTCATCCCTTCTTATTTCCCGTAATAGACGTTCTGTTTTATCGTGTACCATTTGTGGTCGACTGCTTCATATCCTTTGATGAGGCCTACAAAGCCTTTGTGAAGATTTTGAGGTTTTGATGTGACGTTTTGGTTGTCACATATGGAGTCTCGTTTACGATCAATTCGGAGTTTGAAATATTGTCCAATCAACGCGTTAAAAAGTGTCTTCAAGAGCCGACAAAGGCAAGATGTAGAGGATGATGTATAAAATATGATGACCTTCCAGAATGAGCACACGATGACATAAGTCAATATTACCCAAATAGGCATAGCGTAGGGCTCACCGACACGGTCACGGGTGCTCCGCTGGGCTCCACAAGTTACCGGAGGAAATGAAGGAAAAATTTCGCTTTGCTTTGGCTTTCGATCTAGCAACTTGACCATTCTGTCTGCATCCGATTTTTATCTATCTCAAGCAACTGAACCTTCACGGATGCAGACAGACTGTCGCCTTTTCCTCCTATTCCAATCTGTAGCATAAGCCCCAAGATCTCGACGTGAAAAAGTGTCGTGTGCTTGGACCAGGCTTTAATAAGCTCTGACATTGAATCAACTGGATTTAATTTCTGCCAGAGTGCAGAAAAGCAAATGTCGAGACTGGTTTCTGCCTAGAACTTGTCCTACACCCCTTCTTCCTCGCATTCGGCCATGGTCTCCCTTGCCACGACTTCACGCAAATCGGCGCGACAGGCCACACCTACGCTATCTCGATCCAAAATGCTTCCGACTTCCTCCCCAGTCCCGATTCTCAAAAGCTCAAAAGCTCCACCCGTGGTCACTGGCTCGAAACGCAAAATGAGCGAAATGGACCTTTCCCTCTCCCCTTCATCGTCCCAGGCCGATGACGCGACAGAAGACCTTCCTCCCACCAAGAAGCGACCCCGCGTGCAGTTCGATCAAGATGTGATAATACATGACGTTGGCTCGTCGGAGAAGAGCCTGGCAGTCATTCGGGAGGAGGTCCGCGGGGCTATCCACCGGCATGTCACAATGTCAGAAAGCGAGGGCTACGACCGAATCACGGGTATTTTTTCAGCCGATCCAACAAAACAAGGCGATGACAGCTTGCTTGCATACGAATCACCAACGCACACGTCTTTAAGAAACCATCTGCTCGGTCTAATCTCACATGTTGCCTCCTTGGACCGCTCTTGCAGCGGGTTGGTCCATGCCATCATCAACAGTGAGTGGCTTGGACGGGACGACTCTTATGTAAAGCTATACACCCGGTTCCTGGGAAACCTGGCCGCCGCGCAGGGTACCTTCTTGGGCCCTGTCTTGAAGATGCTGGCAACCAATCTCGGGTCCATCCCTCGAGGACTCGGTCGCTTGCCAGGCTACGCCGTTGTGTCACTATCCGAAATGCACACTCGCGTCCATATGGCAATGCGTCATGTGCTGCGACTCGTCCCGGCCGGTAGTGGATCACTCTCCCAGATCTTGTCCACCCAGTTTCCTATCGACTCAGATTTAGCCAGCGCGAACATTGCCTACACCCGAAATCTCATCCAAATCATCACCTACGCCCCCGAGCTCCAGTCAGACATCCTGGCTCTTATCACTGAGAAGCTTGTCAAGGTCGATGTTGAAATTCAAGTTGATATGGAGGACTTCGAAGATGATGTCGGCGATGAACTCCTGCATCAGGCTGATGATGAGGAGATTGATGATGATGCCTCTTCGGTTGCTACTGATGAATCGGACGATGACGACTCTAAGGGTGCTAAGAAAATCAAAGACAACATTCTTAAAGTGGATGGGATGATTGATATCCTCTTTGAATACTTTTCGCCCCCGTTCACCTCGGGCACCCTGGATGACAAGGAAAACGCGCTGGATCTCCTCCTCAGCCACTTCCAAACGATCATTCTTCCTACATACCGATCCCGACACTCCCAGTTCCTCTTGTTCCATTTTTCCCAGGTCTCTCCCGTTCTCATCGATCGCTTCGCGTCTACATTTGTCCAGCTTATTTTCAACAAGCTGCAGCCTGGCATCCTGCGCCAGTCAGCAGCCGCATACCTGGCCAGCTTTGTTGCTCGTGGTGCTCACATTTCTGGAGAAGTGGTCCGCGACGTCTTCGACCTCCTCCTTACACACCTCAACAGTCTGCGTATGGATTACGAGGACAGCTGCCGCGGTCCCGATCTCCGCCGATACGGGCCTTTCTACTCCACTGCACAAGCCCTGTTATATATCTTTTGTTTCCGATGGCGAGACCTGACAACCGCTGCCATTGATGGTGATAACGCGGACCAGGTAGACGAGCTTGAGCCCGGCCAGATCGCATTCCCCCCCAACATCAAAGAATTCCTTCACAAATGTATCTATTCGCGACTGAACCCACTTAAGGTCTGCTCCCCGGCCATCGTCGCCGAGTTCGCCCGCATTGCCCACCATTTCCAATTCCTATACGTCTACCCTCTCCTGGAGACCAACAAGCGCATTCGCGTCACTGCCTTTAGGAGCCTTTCTACTCTCTCAGACCCTCGCTTTAGCCATGTCGGCCGCGAGATCCGAGCTGGCGATAACAGCGGCTATCAACTGGATGCATACTTCCCCTTTGATCCCTATCAACTTCCTCGCAGCCGACGCTGGCTGGAAGGCGACTACGTCGAGTGGCGCGGTATCCCTGGTCTTGACGATGCGAGCGAGTCAGACAGCGAAGCCGACGAGTCCGACGATGAATCCGGTGAGGATGTCACCGAGACTGATGATGAGTGAAGTGGACACTATCTCTCTTTCTCGACTTAAGACATGATCTTTGGTTTGATTTTTTTGTTACTTGAGCGTGGCGTCCCGGATTTCCACCAATATTTGCGATTTTATGATCTTGTTTTTTTTTTCCACCAAAAGTTCCCGATACCTTATGACTGATGATGTCGTTCTTGATAACGGAACTATCCGGTGGATTCTTTGGGAGATTTCTGCCCCTTGTACCACTATAGTGCTGATGAATCTAGCTGTTCAAAAATGGGAATTATTTATATGAAAACAACGCTTGATCTAATAAATCCATCTGCCTTATCACATGGCTCTTACGCATTAAATGTACATGAATAATGCTCACATCTCATCTCCATTTTGATTCCTCCAACTTCCAGCATATTGATACTGGACCAATGCAGGACCAGTTGTCCCATTACCATAAGAATTTGACAATGCAGCGAACGAATATCCCGGCAAGATCACAACATCCTCGACCAAAACAGGCTCTAAGAGGTTCGAGATACTTGCCACATCGATCTTTTCATCGCGAGCCAATTCCAAGCTCTTCAAAACCCCACGAGTGAACCGCCTCGGCCCCGTAAAGTCGATCACATTACCCGTCATATCCAAAGTTAACCCCGACACCGGAACCCCGTACCTCTCCGTCTTCTGACGAATCCCATCCATAATATCATTGATCACCATCAAAAGATGCGGTGATCCAGGCGCCCCCAAGATCATCCAGCTCTCAAACTGTCGAATAAAACCCTCTCCCCAGCCGACATCAAATTCCCACCCAACAACAAGCCTAGCCTTAGCACGCATTGTCTCGGGGATCCATTCTCTGATGGGTACATCGCCAAACGAGACATCAAGGTCAGACCAGATGCCACCTTCAGCGAAAAGAAGCAGATAGCGCAGGAAATCGGCTTTGAGGATCGGCACCGCCAGATCAAGGTAGGTGGCGACGATATCGGGACGATGGGCGTAGTTTGCTTGCACATATTCATCGCCCGTGAAGTCCGTCATGATCTGCGCAGTATGAGCTGGGTTTTTGCGGAGACAATCGTCTAGCCATTCGTGGGACCGCTCGCTCAATCCTTCGGGTCCAACTTTGTACCAGATCTTCTCCGGGATCTGCGGCAATGCCATTCGGATGCCCTCTGTGGATGGATTATGTGTAGAGTAGTTTTCTGGTGTTTCTAGTCTCCCAGGGTAGAAATAGAGGACGAAAAAAAGACATGATAGAATCAGTATGCTTGTGGTTGAGAATTTTGTGAATGTCGGCCCATGAGCGAGCATGGTGACGGTGTAATCGAAGAATATAGTCAAGCGAGTAAATGATGCATGTAGTACCCCGTGTATACACAAATCAAATGCTGTCTGGTGAATTAAGACTGAGAGACTGAGATCTTCATTGTGATATTGCTCTTCTCCTAAAAGGGGGCTTTTCGGACCCTATTTTTAAATGAGACCTCATCTTATAGAGACTTGGCTCAAATAAGCGACGAAAGCCACTTGAGAAAACCGGATTCTTCGCTTCTATTGGCCAGATAAGCAAAAATTCATTAGCCTCCCGAGATCCACAGAATGCAGATATTTCCGACTAGTGTCCTTGAGGCTGATCGCGGAGGTCCGTGTTATAAATTTCCTCTTTATGCGAGATCTTGTCTTCAACGTGTTGAACTACTCTCTATATTGTATGTCTTGTAACTTTCAAATAATTCCTTGAGAAAGTCCTGTTTCATGGATAGTCTCATCATTTTGGAATCCAACTTGGTGGCTATAGAGTAGCCAACGCTTCATCGAAATGGAGGAAGAGAAGTATATAGAAGATACAGAGGAACGAAAAAAGGACCCATTGAAAAGCGTGTAGCTAAGAGACGGAAGAAAAGTCGCTATTCATAATTGTAGACTAACATAAAGACAATGTTCAAGAAGTTTCCTGCTCACCCTAGATACATCTCTCAAGGGAAATTGTGGTGCATCTGGTGGTTCTAGTCAACACTCCACTCTTACACCATCTTTTATACACATGGACATGGAGTTGTTTCTGCCATTTGCCCAGATCCAACCACTTGTGCGTGTGCTTACAGGTGAAAACGCCGAGATCTTTTTGGTGATGGCAGTCTCTTTAGGCAACCATCGCATGATTGAGTATTATAGCAATACATGCACGTGTGCAGAGACGTTTCGACATCCCACTCCAGATTGTAACTGTCACAAAGAAAATTCTTTGGAGGAAAGTTCTTTGGAGGGAACCCTCTTCCGGCTTGAAGGGTTTTCAAAAATCTCATTATAAGATCGGCCGACAATTTCTATATCCAAAGAGTTATGAGCGGGTGTGCTCTGTTCGGCAGTCTCGGCTTTCCCATCTTCCATCTGATCAACCTGAGCACGGAGAAAGCCCAGTATAGAGCTGAGAAGAACATCAGGCGAGCTCATATTCGTGCTACGAACTGTTTCATGGTAGTCGCGCACTGCAGCTGCATCCTCACCAAGGTTTCTATCTTTGAAAGTAAGTAAAGGTGTCAGTATATCTTCGTCAAACCTAGGGCTTTAAAGGTGCAACTGGTAGCAGACAATCAATCAATTAGCCTTATCACCACGTTCTGAAGATGCTCATATAGAGGCAGCAAATTGTTGGCTGTAACAGGTAAATAAATTCAAATTAAATCAAATTAAATCATTGGACTAAGAGTGTTGTATTCAACAACTAATCAAAACGCGGTAAAAACCTACGACTGAGATTGCGTTTAGGCCTCGACTGCATCCTTGAAGTCTTTTAAAAAGGTCCACCGGACCCTTTCTCTCAGGCCCTTCTCCTTCCAGTCATTCAACGTTAGGGGGAACTGATCCGCCAGATCAACGAAGGAATCGTCATGCGCGTAAATCAGCAGAACATTCTCATCTACATCCAATTCTTGGGCCTTTTTGATCGTTCGGATTGCCTCGATCGAGTGTCCCATCGTTGGGATGAAGAATGGCTCGCTGACCGGCATGTCCCGAGTAGTCTGGATAATATCGAACATAGTCTCGGCGCAGGCACAGTTCCAGTCCTGGGCATGTGACTGGAGTACATCGCCGGGGATATGGAGGGACGCATGAGGCCTTATCTCTCCACTATGGTGACAGAGATCCCCTCCGAGAAAGACGAATGTATCCGGACTAGTAGTTGTTCTTGCTAAGCCGGCTAAATGACCGATTGCGTGACCAGGCGTATCAAGCAGGTAGAAGGAACCATCTCCGAAAAAGTCGAAAGCCCGAAATTGACCAATCTGAAGGGTGTTCTCGCCTTCGAATGTAATTTCTCGAAGTCTTCTTCCGCTTCATTGTCATGTATTAACGCGGTGCAATTTTCTTTTGAACGAAACGGCTATGCGTACCTGAACTCTTCCTGTCTCATGGGCGAATCCCCTTTCACCGGGTAGCCAGGAAGAAATTCATCTTTAAATCCCGGGCCCACAACAATATCCGTAGAAGAGGGGAATCGGGCAAGGTTCCCAATATGATCCCAATGCCAATGACTGTATGAAATCCCGTCAGCCTATTTTTGCTGCCTGCCGGGAGATCAGTAGCACAGGGGAGATCAATTACCTCCACACCACACTGTTTATCGCATTTGGCGAAATATCATGTTGCTTCAGAATATCAATCACGTCTTTTTCTGACTGGATATCCCATCCCCGCGCTTTCAGTTTATTGCCGACAATGGGTGCTAGATTTCGCCAATCAGTTGGGATACCCAGGTCGAAGACGACATTCCGGCCGGTTGGACTGGTGATCAGGAATGACCAGGAAGGAATGGTTGGGAGATATTCGTATCCCACTATAGGGGGTCCTATGAGAAAGGAGGCGGGCAATTTGGAAATCCTGGCACCCGTGTCGATAAGCTGCACTGTGCATGTTGCACCCCCTGTTGGGAGGGACACTTTGCTGGAAGGTGACATTATGACTGGTGGAAGGGTTTGGCGGAGAATGGGGAGATATCGAGCACTGGGGATGTGTGTATTTAGAGAGTCTTCAGCAACGCTTCTTTATTATAAACATCCGGGCTTGCGGGGAAGGATACCCTATTTCCTATTTTGACACCTTAATCTGGATCTCGGTTCAAATCCGACTTAACGACTTTTTCCAATCATTCATTCGGTAGGTTTTGGTGCTCGGCAGTTGGAACAGCAAACGTGAAGCAATATCGCTCTTGACAATGGAGCGCCGGCCTTGAAGCACCCAAGCTATACCACTTAACTTTGACAGTACTGGCTGTACCGAGTGCCGGTAACGCCTAAGCTAGACCTCACCAAGAACCGCAACTCTGGATTATAGAATGGGGAACCGACCCGTATATAGGTAGCTATACAGATTTGACTTCCCCTGCCGAGTGGGACTTGGCTATCTGAGCTGCCGCTTTTATGAGAGTCCTCACTCTAACGATACGAACGGTGGGGAGTTTAGTGTCCTTCGTAAACACCCCAAAGCGGTATGATGTACCTAACGTAGATGTACTCCAACTAGTCACTTGGAATACATGAAGGATATAATGTAATCGGTAAGCGATTGGAACTGTAGACCGCCATCCCCAAGACACGTAGTAAATCCGGTATATGCCACTCTTCTATAACAACAGCCACTCATTTACTATCTGTTCCTCGATGGCCACGATATGCTTAGAATAAAGCAATGCTTATTTCCTGCGTTTGAATTTGTTTGAATTTTCATGTTTCGGCCTTCTCTTCAACATCCTCAACTGGACATATTGCTGAATCCTAAACAACTGATTCCGCCAAGCTTTTGTCCCATTCTAGGTCCAGGAGCCAAGCCATACCATCGAGTGTCATTTCTTTGATCTTGCGACTATGGCTGGCTGGCCAGGGAGGAGATACCCAAGCTGTATGACCCTCGCCCTCGAGAATGGAAGTTTTGACTTGTACCCCTGCTAACTTGGAGAGCCACTGTCCGTAGATAATTGCATCATCCCGGAACTGATCAAACTCTCCTCCATAGACGAAAACTTTGGCTGGAAGATGTGGAAGATTCCGGAGGTCGGGAAGGTTCAGGTTGATCGGGGAAAACCAAGGTGAGTGCACATCCAGACGAGCCTCCAGATCGCGGCGCAAAGTATCATTCGTCGCCTTGTGTTCCATCGCCACATCTCTGGATTTGAAGATCTCACGATACTCCGATGGAAGCATAGCTTCAGCGACCAAATATGGTAAGCCCGAAAAGATACCGGTGATGGGGTTTTGAAGAGGAGACAGGCCTGCAAAATCCTCAATCCCAGCCGACATTGCGGCAGGTATGCTTCCGATGACTGCAGCTGCAGCGCCACCCGAGCTGAGACCACCGACCACCAAGCCACGGCGCGGGTCAACACTGACCCCAGTATCTTTGAGCGCTCCATCGTTCAAGTTTCGCACCTCGGACATCCATGCGCAGACTTCCCAGGCAATTCTTAGAGGTTCTGGAAACGGCTCCATGGGTAGCTGATTAATTGTTGGACAGGCCACCACGCAAGACAAAAGGGTTGCAAATCCGCGGGCTGGTGCTAAGACCAGATCAGGACTGCATGTCGAGAGGCCACCACCGTGGAAATAGATTACTAGGGGACACTGAAGGGGTAGTCCATCCGACGGTCGAGGCCAGACTATCTTCGTTCGATTTGATCGGTTGTTGGGCAACGGGATGTCAACCCACGCCTCTCCTAGGTGAGGAGGACATGGACCGAGGAGTTCGAGCCCAGCAGCCTCAAGCTTGACCATGCTTGAGCGCTGCTCGTGCATGAATAGGGGCTCACTAGACGTCATTGTCGAGGCTAGCCAGAAGATAACAGCGAAGTTGTTCACGAAGGGGAGTGGTCAAGGCAGTTTTTGGACGATACGTGCAGTGAGATTGACCTCACAGTAAAGCTGAGATAATGGGATCGATCGTGTTGTTGAAGCTTCCAAACTTGAGTACAGGGGCACAGTCTGCTTTTATCTGGTACAACATGGCTCCAATCTCAGATTGAATTATGCGAAAATGTTCTTGTCTCCTTTTTTCAGACAGTCTTGTGGCCAAATCAGATTGCAGCATCCTCATGGATAGACTATCCCGAGCTCTCGATAAAACTCTACCAAGAAACGCCGAGACATTGTTTCCTGATCTGGCAAGTTACGAAGTCATGGATCTCTTCATACAGTGCCAAGCTCGTAATAACCCCAAAGCGGTTTAGCTCACCTACAGTGATTTAAATCTTCCCGTAGTCAAAGCGTCGACAATTAGTTCTTTCACCTACGGTTTCCTTTATCTCTTTTTTTCTTCTATCGTACTACAATTCTACCCTTATAGGATAGAATGTGGGCTATATGCTTTCTTTTGCCCAAGACTAGGTATCGGTTAAGAGACAGTATTCTTATCTTGATGTATTTCTTTTCGTTCATTTCTGCTTACACCGAGAAGTCTCCGGTTGATGAGCACGTTGTATACTCTCCCATTCAGACTCCATTTCGACATGTGCGACATGGACCAAGACCTGGTAGTTGATTATCTTTTACCTAATTCGACATAAGTAATGAGAGAATGAATGTTGATTTGTTAACGAAATACCCAGGTGATCAATACATGTCCCAGTCCTCCAGGGCTCCTGGTCACGACCTCGTAATCCGTCTTGTGTCACCGGTCAGCCGGAGGCGATAAGAGCCTCAATCCACGCTCATTTGAGTTAAAAAAATGTATATCCAGGATATACTTGAAAGTGGCGTGATAACCAGGGCCATCTGCACCAGCCGCTTTCTCCATTTCAGTGCTGGGTTGGTGACCTTCTCTTTCGTTTCTTATTTTGTCCGACGGTGAAAACAACCATAGGTATGTCAGAGAGTCCATGCCACTAATCTTCATCCAATTCTTCGGTGTCAGCTGCGGAGACACGCCGAGAGACTGGGTCCCCGGTTCGTTTGCGCGAAGGCATCTCGCGACCTTGATCATCGGAGGGAGCAACTTCCTCCACCTGTGTTAAACCGGCAGTGATGGCGCCAGTTACCCGCTTTCGCAGCCTTGGGCTGAGCTTATCAAGATCATCAGCCACCTCAAGCAATTCTATAGCTCTCCGAAGCTTTTTCTTTACTGTTCCCTGTTTGGCGCCGAGTTATTGGGTGTGCTCAATGGGCGTTGTAGATCCGGCCGCTGTGAAGGGCGGCGAGCAATAAATCTGTAAGGCCAGTTGCGGCCAACCTGGGCCACGATTCCATCGTGAGCAAGTATTCGATTTGCCTCGCCCTCTACCATGCCCCAGGGGTAGCAGGAGTGAAGGCAGTCTCAAGGGAGACCATCCACTGATCCAGTTCGTCCTCTTGGGCAGGGCTAAGAACTTTGCCGGACCCTGTGGGAGGACCGGTGCCGAGGATTCGTCCGCGAAGTAGGTGGTACGGAATATCGAACTCCCGGAATGCTGCGACTCTTGCTTCATCATGCTCCTGGTATGCTTTTACGGCATTTCCAAGGCGAGCTTCTCTCTCTATGCAGAATTTACCCATGGTGGCGAGAACAGGGTTAAATGAGGGATAAATATTCACATAATCAATGTTTACTGTGCGCACTTGGGCTGGCACTAGTGATTCCTACGTCATATCCACTGTTTGTTCTTCTCTACCTACATACTACCCCTTTTCCCTGCCACTTCTTAGCCTTCCCTTTCCATTTTAGTGCTCAGACCTTGACGCCTTTTGTTCAGCAGAACTGATCACGTCTCTGAGGGCCCTGATCCGCCCACTAGGTATTACATACGCACTCTGATCTACCCAGGTGCTCACGGAGCATGCTCTGATCATCATCTGAGTCTGGGTTGAGCCGAGATATGAATCAGAAACAAGACACACCATAGGCTTGACGGCTAGCACTTAAATTCATTGCTCATAAACATGAAGCATAGGAGATTTGGAATGCAATACCATCGAAACGTTATTGGCGAGCTCTTACCTGAGATCAGTCGATTGCGCAGTGGGCAATAGTGAAGAAAGGTATGTTCGAAATACGTGTGTTTCAGTCATGAACCATTCCTCCGTATGTTTGGTTGGCCCGCTTGGATCACTACCTAGGTAATGGATTCTATTTGGTCAAAACTTGTGTAATTGACAAGATACAATAGAAGTCGAAATCAGTTTTAACTCTCAGTGCGATTTACCTCCCGGACTTTGAGTGGGGACACGCTAATTTATAATTTTAGCTCTTCCCCATAGTCCTTGTAGGGCTGTATTATATTCAGTAACTACAGTGACGGTCTATAGATTTCGACATTTGCCCGACACCACTAGTATAATATGACATTCTGCCCGTCCAAAAGCTTCCATGAATTGAAACTCTCTCTCTAATATGGCATATACCACCCCTGGCTCTCTAAATGCTTCTAGTCTAAGAGTACAGTACTTGTCCTAAGATGAAGTGGCCATCTGTCATTTTTCAGTCCAGCGAGGACGTCAGCTTTCGCTGGAGAGACGGGTGCAGCGATATCCTGATGGAAACATTACAGGCATTTTTCCGAGTTGAACACGCAGCAAGATCTTGAATTATAAACATACCACAAACTACAATACTCGGAGAACAACCCCAATACTATATAACAGAAAGCAATACCAGTTTACATATGCAAATCTCAACAAGTCAAACTACATGGCCAACCACTGCCTTATTCGAAAATCTTCCCGATCACCCTATCCGCCAGATTCTGCTCGCGTGGGACAAGTAAAGCTTCGTAATTGTCGATCTCCTCCTTTATCCCACCGAGGCTCAGGTCTGCGGTGCCCGGCCGCACGTAGCGGCTGCGGAAGACAAGCTTCCAGAAGAGGAAAAGCACAATGAAGAAGCCGATCATGCCGTAATCGAGGAAGAACCACATGATGTCCCAGCCACCCTTGATGAAAAGGTCGTAGCCGCCGGCCAGAAGTATGAAGGACGTGCCGCCCATAGCGAAGTAGGACGTGTACGGCTGGAAGCGGCCCTTGTAGGACAGGGAGTCGCGGGAGATGCCCTGGCGCTTGAGAGACGAGAAGAAGTGCCTGTAGGTGACGGCCGTGCAGAGGTAGTTGATAAGCTGGCAGCAGGTGACGAGGTCGACGAGGTAGTTCATGGCATTGGCCGATGAGTTGTTGACCTGCAGGAAGGCGAGCAGACAAAAGCTGAGCGAGAAGAGCAGGGCCCGGAGCGGGACGCCGGATTTGGTGCACCACGAGAAGAAGCGTGGGGCGTGGCCCTCAATGGACATGCCGTACAGGGTGCGGGTCGCCGAGAAGAGGATGCCGTTGCCGGCGCTGAAGATGGATGTCATGATAAGTGCGTTGACGAGGGAGGGCAGGCCGTTAATCTTGAGCCGCTCCATTGCGATGACGTAGGGCCTGTGTACGAGACATTGTTAGGACAAGTGATTATGGGGAATGGCCGAGCGTTGTTGAGAAAACTTACGATGCAGCGCCAGTGCCTGATCCGGAGACTGCACCACCGAGAATACCCAGGAGGGTGGCGTCATTGTACGGGATAACGATACCCATACAAAGAGCAGATCCCACGAAGAAGAGAAGGATTCGCCAGGCGAAGGACCGAAAGGCAGGAGGCAGGATCTTTCTGGGGTTCTCGGTCTCGGCAGCCGCCATAGAGATGTACTCTGGGCCGCAGATTCTGTTTTTGGATACGGTCAGTCCCAACACACAAAGACATACTGGAAGGGGTGGGGGTGTGGCTATAGGTGTCAACACTTACGAGAAGCTGGCTTGATACATGCAGGATAGGACACCCAGGAATTTGCCCGTCCCTCCGGATACGATGTGTTCGACAAAGGGGCCCGGGTCATTCCAATATCGGAAGCCGTAGCGGTCATGCAGAGGGTTGCCGCCCAGCATAGTGATGAAGGTGAAGCAGAACAGCCCTAGCATCAGAAACACCTTGAATATGGACAGGTAGAACTCGGAGATGCCAAAGTAGCGCACGGTGACCACGTTGAGGATAGCATAGAGAACTATCATGGCGATTATTATGGCCTCGACAGGGACTTTATCGGTCCAGAAGGTGATCATGATGTTCATCGCGACAATTTCGAAGGGCACAAGGAAGGCCATGTTGAGGAAGAAGTTCCAGGCCATGGCGAAGCCGAAAGCGCCGTCAACCCATTCGCTGCCGAAACGGATGAAGGGCGAGGGCACGGGTAGGTAGGTCACCATTTCGGCGAAGCACTCGTTGACGGCCCACATGACGGCGCCCCAGATGAAGAAGGCGATGAAGAGACTCGCGGGGCCACCCTTGGGGAGAGCCGAGCCCATCTGCACATAGAGAGCTTCAAAGTTGTCAGCATTCCGTGCTGCCGTTGTGAAGCAGAAGTTCTTGTCGACTTACAGGTACCAATGGCTCCTCCAATAGCGAAAAGCTGGACTTCGGATCCCTGCAGCTTGCGGTGCAGATTCTGTGACCCTGCGGCTATGTCCACAGACGTGCCCTGCTGAAGATCATCGTCGATCTTGGACGAAGGCTCCGTGGCGATGGATGGTGATGGAGGGCCCTTTTCAAAATACTTGGAGGCTGACATATTGACGTGGTGTGTTCAAGGGCTTTCGCGGTTGTCGATGTTGAGCTTTGGTCGTGGAACTGAGTCTCACAACATGCCAAAGGGACCGTCTGGGCTATGAAGGATCCAGATCGGATAGTACATATGAGAGTCTCGAAACCGGGGATCGAACAATGACACTCAGAGCTGGCCGGGGGTGGCTAATATCGTGGCCCACTACACCTCTCACTATCCCGATGTGAGATAAGATAGTTAGCATTGCCTGTGGTAAACCTGGGCCTATTTAGATAACGGGCCCTCCTTCGCGAGCTCCGACTATGTCATAGAATTGGTAGACGCTACAAATTTAATTAATTTCTCTTTTTAGAACTAGAATCAGCAGTTAAGATACCTAAATTGACTAACTTTGAAGTCTATCTTGTTGATTATATATAGCAATTTACGTAGTCACTCTAACAGCTATCAATTTCGTAGCGTACTGATACTAATTTTGTAGCCCCTGCCACTATCTCGATACGCTTGGTCCCAGGGGTGATCGTTAGCATATCGACATGGTATCGGGCGCTAGTCCGCCCCTGTGGGATGGGTAGCTTATCGACTATCGCGGCACTGGCCATGAATGGCAGCCTGGCCAAGAGGGCGTATCAGCGATCGGGACATCCGACGCGTATCAACATCACCATGCTTTTGCTTGACGGTGCCTCTGAGATGGAAGAGGAGATATGTATCCATTAACAGGTAGACACGGGGCAGGTGTACAAGGAAGTTCGAGTGAGTATTGGCTAATGGTATACTGTGATCATATTATGGGAGGTGTATTTTCCAAAAGCAGTGAAGGGTTGAGATAATATCCAACTAATACCGCGCCCTCATACCCTCTGCGGCTTTAGTGTCACGCTAGTCCCGAGGTCCACCAAGAGCGTTCACAGGTGGGTCTGTCCCACAAAACAATAGACATTCAACACATCTAAATACCCCAGTATATACCAATTTTCACCTGCACCATCTCTGATAATCTAGCTTCGTGCTTATTTTCAGTATCCCTTGCCAATTGAACGCGTTCAACTTCTAATTGCTTGGCATGTTTTGCCTGTAGCCTCTGTAGGATCTTATCGGTATCCTACCTTTTTCACACCGACCTATTTGCTCCAGTATGGATACTACTAAAGTACCTGTAATGGGTACGGCAATTTGCTACGCCAGAAGCAATTGGACTCAGTGTTACGTGCTATGCTGAAAATCACCCGTGTATTTGCTATATCTGTATTTGTCTCTTGATCTTGTTGTAGGGGTTCACTGCTTGAAGCTTCCGTTGGATAGTGCCTCCTCGTACTGGTAGTACGGCTGGAACTCTACATACAACGTGTCCTGTGTGTTATGTTAGCCCAGGGCTTTCATCGGCCAAGGAAGGGGTCAGCAGACTACATACCGGAGTGCTGGCCATCTTGAAGTTATAAGCTGCCTCCGCGTCGCTCACAATGTGCTTCTTGTGCCCGGCACTGTCAGCCAGCAGCTGCACCTTGCAGCTCCTCTCCATCAAGCAGAATAGGAACGCCGCCTCATCTACAGTGTAGCCAGTCGTCAGCAGGCCGTGGTTCATCAGAATAGCCGCCTTGCCGGTCTCGCCCAGGCTCTCTGCGATCTTCTGGCTCTCTGATGCCTCGTTGGCAATGCCGCCGTAGTCCGAGTACACCGAGTGTGCGTTGTAGAAGTAGCACACGTCCTGGTTGATCATCTCGAGCGGCCGCGCAAACGCCGAGTAGGCCCGGCCGTGCACCGAGTGTGTGTGGCAGATGGCGTGCACATCGGGCCGCGCGTGGTGCACGGCGCTGTGGATCTGGAACCCGGCAGCGTTGATGGACCCGGCCGTGTTGCCACCAACGACCTCGCCGTGGATGTCGACACAGATCATATCGCTGGCCTTCAGCAGGCCAAAGTGCACACCGAGCGGGTTAATCCAGAAGCGGTCAGTCCACTCCGGGTCACGCACGCTGATGTGGCCCGAGATACCCTCGGCGTAGCCCTCGCGAGCAAAGACCCGGAAGGCTGCCGCCATGTGTTCGAGCTGCCACTGCCGCGTCTCAGGGTGCGAGCTGAACTTTGGGATACCAGGGAGGCTTTTGCCTCTGTGAGCCATGGAGGCCAGGGCGTTGACATCACCGTCCATTGACTTGGTAGGTGGGGCGAGCGAGGAAGCCACGAGGTTTGCTGTTGCGGATGGTGCCATTGTGATTCAGTTGTACAAAATGAAGTGTTGCGAAGCGACGAAAAGAGAGAGGCGTATTGTGATGTCCTGGGTAGCAAGACGTCGGGGCGATGCCACACAAATACATACACCTAACCTTAATTGCAGTCACAAGCGCTCTATCTCCGTGATAACTCTATACTATTCCTATCCACCTTCTGCAAAGACAAAAGGATGCTAGTGGCTTGCGATAAGCCGGTGTTGATCTAGCCGATACATGTAGATTGTCTTTGTAAGGCGCATAGTATACCTCACCTCGCTTAGGGCGAAGATTGTAGCTGTGCAACCTTCATAGCCGATTGAGCCTGAACGACAAGACTTTATTAATTTCTCGAGAACTTGCGCAATTCTCGTCGGGGTAGTCCGACATCCAACTAACTACCCGAGGGCCATGAAAACACACCAACGAGCTCCCCATACCCCGCACTGCTAGTGTCTGTCGCCATCGTCGCCATCGTCAGGCGGGCGTAAACATGAACTAGGACACAATGTATTCCGCTCAGTCAACCCTAACCCCTAGCTCGGGTCGGGTTGTCCGACATGAGCAGATTTAGGAACGTGTCTCGGCGCCAGCGGGGGCCTGATAAGCACGAAGGCTATCGATATCGCTGTCGGGCCCCGCTACATACTGCTAAAAGAAGAGGGGGACAGCCAAATGCTGACTTTAGGTGTTGTCTTAGTGGTTGTGGTTAGACTAAGAAGCGGACCCTTTTAGGGAGCATTGCGGTCAGCTCTCGTCAGTAGGCGATGCTTATCAGATCTGTTATCTAATAAAGTAGAGGTGGTGCCCAGGTGGTGTACTACGTATTATACTCCCCCCAAGTCACTGATTTGAGTTAGAAAGCACATACAGGTCTGTCAAACCACTATCATAATGTCCGCTCGCTACTTGCTACCATTAAGATCTAAAAACCAACAGACGCAGACAATTTCGCGAGGTTAGTGTGAGAAGCTGTTCCAGATGGCATCCTTGTCGGTCATCGCCGTCGTATTAGCGCCAGTCCTCTTCCTCATCAAATATCTACTCCTCGACCCCCTCTTTCTCAGTCCCCTGAGCCGCGTGCCCGGGCCCAAGGCGTTCGCCCTGACAAAATGGCGGCTGGCATACGAGGACTGGAAGGGCGCGCGCACCCGCACCATACACCAGCTGCACCAAAGATACGGTCCTGTCGTCCGCATTGGCCCGGATGAGGTCTCGTTCAACAGCCTGGCGGCGCTGCGGACCATCTACGGGCCCGGTAGCAAGTACGGCCGAACGGGCTTCTACCGCATGTTTGACGTCTATGGCCGCCAGAACCTATTCACCTTCCACTCGACGGTGGAGCACGGCCAGAGGAAGAAGCTGCTCTCTCACGCCTACTCCAAATCCAACATGCTCAAGGAGCCCTCTGCGAGCATGGTCGAGGAGAAGGCACGGAAGTACATGGCCCTCATCGACGCGGAGCCGGGGCATGTGAGCGAGATCTTCACCACACTGCACTACTACTCCCTCGATAACATCACCGAGTTCCTGTACGGCAAGTACGGGTCCACATCCGCCCTGGAAGGCTCGGAGCCGCACCGGGCTCTGATCAGCGACATCTTGGATCCGTCTCGGCGCAAGCTTTCGTGGTTCACCGTGCACTTGAGTACAGTGACGAAGTGGCTTTATTCGCGCACCGAAACAATGGAGACCGTCGTCCAGCCGCTGTTGCCCATGCAGAAGCCCGCCACATACACCGGCATTCGAGAGTTTGCGCTGCAAGCGTATAGGAGCTTCCGGTCGGATATGGAAACTTCCGAGAAGGAGGGTAGTCGGCTCTTGGGTCAGGCCGAGGGGTCGTCTATCCTCGAGCGTCTCTGGGCGTACCACCAGACCAACAAAACAGACGGTCTGGATGACTTGGAGGTCGCCTCGGAGTGCGCAGACCACTTCCTGGCCGGCATCGACACCACCAGCGATACGCTCATGTTCCTGATCTGGTCCCTTTCCCAGCCCAAAAACAGGGCCTTTCAGGAGAAGCTGAGGCGGGAAGTCCTCGGGTTGTCTGGGGAGTCACTCAACCGCCACGGCCTTCCCACCGCCGAGGCGAGCGACAAGTGCATCTACCTGAATGCCGTCATCAAGGAGACGCTAAGGCTCTATGCCCCCTTGCCATCATTTGAGCCGAGATCAAACGCTGCCGATACCGTCATTGACGGGTACAGTATCCCGGCGGATACTACCGTGGGCATATCTCCATTCACCCTCCACCGCAACCCTGAGGTTTTCAAGGATCCTCGTACTTTCGACCCCGATCGCTGGCTGGGGCCCCAAGCGGCCGATATGAACCGCTGGTTCTGGGCCTTTTCGAGCGGTGGCAGGATGTGCATCGGTTTACAGTGCGTTATTCCCTTCTATGTTTCTTTTTTTGAACATAAACATGTTGTGTAGTGGGTGTGCAAAACGCTGATTCACTTTCCAACAGCTTGGCAATGGCCGAAATGACGACACTCGCAGCAACGATATACCGCAAATACAGCACCACGATCGCGCCGGGGTTTGAAGATATCACGCCGGGGATCACTGCTCGATTCGAGGTCTTTTATGACGATAGATTCCCCAAGATGCTGGTATGTTCATTCCATTCTGACTTGCACAGCCCAGAAATGACGTATTTTTAACACTGATATCCCTGAAGGAGCATACTTGCCTTATCAAATTTGAGGGGCTTGGGGGTAATGCTTGAGGTAGCGAAGCCGGGCTAGGTAGTACTGTCATAGGAACAGAGATATGTGTCCATTCCCTGTAGCTATCATATTCTAAGGGAGATATCCTTGGACTTTTGGCTCCATGTCGTTGATCGCTAGGCTGTAGTGAACAATCGATGCCATACGCAAGCGATGCTCACTTTCTTGGCGCAGCCAAGTTGACTGGACTCTATATATACTAGCCGAATCATTATCTTGGAGTTTGCATGAAAGATTTGACTAATTAATGTTCAAGATAACCGGGGCATGGCCCCTAAGCTTAGGGAGATATATCTTATCTAGGGAGGCCATAGTAAGATATATAATAAATATCGGAGATTAGGTATATATTGTAGTGGGGAGCGCTGTCGTCGGCGCGTAGTAATGCCTGTCTGCGAACCAGAGCAAAACCAGTGTAGGTTGTTGAGTAGCGGAGGATAGGGGAAGGAAACCCAGGGGTAGTTTGTAGAAGAAAGGTGGGATAGTCTTCTATTCTCTTGCTTCTAGCACTTAAATACACATATTCCGCTTAGTCAGCTTACACCGCTATTTCTCACGTGTCCCTCTACAATATATATATATAGTATACTATATATAATAGTATACTTATATATATAGTAATATATAATATATATAATTGTGAGAATATATCACTATATACTTAATAGTAACTATAATATTATATTATATAAGATATAGAAAGGTTTATACTTAGCTTAAGTAGATGATAATAGGTGAGAGGTAAGAAAAGTTGTATTCATTAATTATCTAGCTAGGAATCCTCCATTCCTTATATAGGCAAGCTCTAGCAGTATAGAATATCATAGAAAGTCATTAATAATATAATGACTTCGTTATGATGTCCTAGATTTATAGCGATATTCTGCCAAAAATCCCTCCCCTATAGCTCCCACGTATTCTTTTTTATTTTATTTTTATTCATTTACCTATTGCCCCACGAAGGGCGCTGTCTTACACTAAAGACGTGCCTAATTAATAGACTCGGCTTTCAGAAAGGCACGATATATCATCACCTAAGTAAAAAGAATGGAAATAATTCTCCATGAGAGAAGGCCAGTTGTACAAGCTAGGACAGAATGCCAGTGAAAGGTCCGTTTGTCGGCTATCCACATCTTTCCGAGGCTTCACTCTATTGGACACAGTTATCCACATCACTTTATTGATTCGCCCAACCGATAGAGAATTCGCCCTAAGTGTCAATTTAATCTTGATTTTGACGCTTAAGATATCAATCCACGAATAAATGGCAGATTTACCAATCCGATTTCCAGATCCTTCAGAATTGTAAGGCCCCGAATGATCAAATTGGCGACGCGACAAGGCAAGGTCCATAACTAATGATCTCTAGACCAGAATCCGAAGCGAAAAGTGCTGCACCAATTCAAACGAAACAATACGGGAAGCCAAAGTCGACTCGTAGGAGTATTGGGAAAGTACGCACGGGCTGCAGCACCTGCAAGACGCGCCATATCAAATGCGATGAAACAAGGCCACACTGCAAAAATTGTCTCCGAAGCCGCGGACATTGCACGGGTTATGTCACCAACTCAAACAAACCCTCCGGTCCAGTCCAAATATGCTGGGACTCCAGGCAGAATGTTCATCGCTTTACCCCAAAGTCTGTGTTACAGCACGATGTCCGTGCTAGTGACTTTGATGATTCCATAAGTATGATGTATTTTGAAGAATTCGTGGGTTTAGTCAGAGGTCCTTGGATCTCGGCGGTGTCCAACGCTGAATTATGGCAAGGGACTTTGCCACAGCTTACGCGCAGCAATAATACGCTCCGGTGTATCGCAATAGGAATTGGTGCACTAAGTGTTAGCCATCATCAAGCTAACGGTTCAAATCCCCGCAAGCGATTGATGCTTCTTGGTCACAAATTCGAGTGCGGTATGCATTATCAAAATGCCGTGCGGTATTACTGTTGTGCCCTAAAGCTTCTGAGCGAAAACAATGCCATTCAAGATGTGGTATCTAGCTCAGTACTGTTACTATTTTTTGAAGTTCTCCGGGGTAACAGGAAGACTGCGTTGAATCACCTCAATCATGGCCTATCGCTAATGTTGACCCTGTTGACGGATGACGCGCACAACTATCTACATGCTGTAGCGCCAAACCCGAAGCCTTTTCTCTTATCACTTACCAGCATATTTGCACTCTTGGCACCTCAGGCCCGCTTCGTTCTCCCAGGCTCCGTGGGTCAAGACCGGCCGCTTCCCAATTTCATTAGATGCCTCGAGGGCGATGGCCTGACTATGGAGTCGTTCATAGTCCTGCTGGGCCAGTTATCAAGACGCTCTGCAGTCAATGGTTGCCCATCTGCGTTCAACAGTCTCAAAGGATTTGAAGAATATTGGTGGGATGTTCGGAGTAAAAGTTCAGCAGTGGGCCCTATGGCGATCAAAATCATACGGAGCTCAGGTGTTCTGGGCTCCAAAGAGGGGGACGTCATTGACACGTTTTACTGTAATCTCCTCGACAACCCATGGATCAAAGAGTTCTGTGAACGCTCGAGGAAGGCTATGAATACCTTGAGCGATGTATCACTTCCGCTGTTTAACAGAATCTTCATGTCCGACACTCAGTCACCGACATATCTCAAAGCCATTCATCTACGTTTGCAGTTCCTTCAGGTTTACGCTTTCGAAAACCCACCACAATACTTCAGCGCGGAGACTTTATCCTTGCAAACCCCCTATTTCGTGAATACTTGTCTCTTGCAAGGATTGCATTGAAGGTTGCCAAGCAGAAAGTCTCAAACTTTTTCTGTCACATATCCCTAGAATGTGGAATTGCATGGCATCTGCTACTCATCGCTTTCTTCTGTCGTGACCCTTTAACTCGCGATGAAGCTGTACAAATGTTGAGAGACTATCCATGCCAAGATGGACTATGGAATGTACAGTCTCTCTATATCTTGGCGTCAAAAAGCCAGGATGTGGAACGCAAAAATGCGGCAGAAGGCACATCCAGAGAGCAGTGGCAAAGACTATGGCGTCGTGAGTACGTTTTTGAAGACGGTGGCAGTCGAATTGTTTTTCGCTATCAAGATCGGCCTGACGCCACGGGCGATTGGCAAATGGTGGAGGAGGTCACAGAGGTTACGGGTGAAATAGATACGATAATTTGGATGAGGCGACCTCTCACGGGCTTCGGAGCTTTGACCATCGGTGATCTGGTCACCGATCAAGCTGACACTGGAGTCTAGAATTTCTATTCTCCAGGGTTATCGCATTGAAACATTCCAGACGCCGCCGGAAAGTTCAGCACAACTCTTGTGCTATCTATCTACTGACTTGTTTAGCGCCATTTAGCTCCGCCTATAATTAAATGTTCCATTGCAGTGTTACGCCCAAATACACTGATCCGAAATACATACCCCTGTAACCAAAGTCTACTAGTGATCGTGCCAAGCGCCCAACACCACATGGGGCTATTCATACACTAGTGATACGCTTATCCGTTTGTGCCTTAAATGTTGCCTTGTCCTCCCTTTAGTTGATCCCTACTAATCTGCTGCGAATTTTCCACCAAAATGTCTCTGCTTCATGTGCCAAATGAACTTCTGCAGCTTATCGCAGAGGAGCTGGAACTGGTGAGCGATGTAAATGCTTTCGTTCGAACAAACACCCGCCTTTATCGTCTCTTAAATTCATATCTTTATCTCTACGATGTCCAGAAGCTTGGGAGTTCGGCATTATTGTGGGCTACGAAGCACGGGCAAGAGGCGACAGCTCGAAAATCACTTCAAGGAGGAGCTCATATTGAGACAATGTTTGAAGCAAATCGAACTCCACTGGCACTAGCAGCAGAAAATGGACATGATGGTGTGGTTAAGCTGCTGCTCGCCACAAAGGGTGTTAACCCTGATTGCATGGATCGTTACAAACGGACGCCACTGTCATTAGCGGCTGGGAAGGGACATGATACAGTCGTCAATATGTTGCTCGACATAAGAACCGTCGACCCAGACTCTAGGGATTATCAAGGACAGACACCCCTGTCGTGGGCAGCAGAATACGGACATGAAGCGGTAGTCAAGCTGCTGCTTAGGACAGAGGGCGTCAACCCAAACTCCAGGGATTATAATAGACGTACACCTCTGCTGCTCGCTGCACGGAGCGGATGCGAGGCAGTGGTTAAATTAATGCTTGCCACAGACAGCGTTGATCCAGAGTGCAGGGACTCTCTCGGATGGACGCCGCTAGCGTCGGCGGCACATAATGGACATGAGCTAGTGGTCAGACTGCTGCTCGCTACCAAACGTGTTGACCCAGATTCCAACAACTATCTAAAGCAGACTCCCCTCTCTTTGGCAGCACAAAGTGGACAGGAGGCGATGGTCAGGCTATTGCTAGCTACGGAGGGTGTCAACCCAGAAAGCAAGGATTCTGACGGACAGACGCCGCTGTCGCGAGCGGTAAAGAATGGGCGTGAGGTGGTGGTCAAGTTACTTCAGATACATAGGCCGCCTGGTCAACATACTTTCAAGCACTAGACTAACGTGAAGCATTTGATTGCACACTTGACAAGTTCAGAGAAGCTGGTAATATTAGTAGAGCATCAAGCCAGTCAAATGACAATTTGCTATGCCCTCGCTAGAAAATCATCGATCAACCATCGATCAGCCATCGTCTCGAAATTAATCGAAAATTGCTCCGTAAATCTATATACAATGATAGGTCAACTATTATTGCGGGACTTAACTAGCTTCGATCCGAAGCTTTGTTAGCCCTCTTAGTGGCCCATCACTAGAGCTCACGAGTGCATGGGCCTTAGCATCCTTTTCCCGGAAAAGATCGACACTAGGTAGCGTGAATCATCAAGTGCCACAAAGTGAGTGTACTGTATACACATGAGACAATTAAAACTTTGGTAAATGTACTTTTGGAATATATACAAAGTGATAATTACACATATAAAGTAAGCGTGCTCTAGCTCTCAGTATCCTTAACAGACTGCTCAAGATCGGGGACCTTCTTTTTCCCAATACGAAGTTTCTTCCGGAGATTCAAAGCTCTCACACGGTATGCCCGCTTTCGCCTCCGTGGGGGATAGTTGACTGGACTCTCACCACCCGTAAATATAGCCATGTCATAGATTAAAGCGCCAAACATCGCACCGGTGATGTCTGCAACCCATGGACCCCAAACCCACCATGCATGGTATTCTCGGAAGATCTGGCCGCCCCACCCAGCCATAAGGGCAACAAGTCGCGGACCAAAGTCTCGTGCGCCATTGAAACAACTATAAGGAGACGGTTAGTTTCGAGCGCATTCAGGACTAGGAATTGGAGATTGGACACATACCCTCCGGTGTTATAGCCCAGTGCAAGGACCACAATGGTAATGATAATTCCAATGATAAATGCCTGCATTCCAGCTCCTGGGGGTGCATTGGTGTCATCTCCCAGAGCGAGAATAGAACCGACTAAAATTGCGCTGCCCAAAAACTCAGTGAAGAATGCAGTCGCAGGATGGACGAATGGTTTCGGCAAGGTGAGAAGAGCCTGACTAGCGACGCTTGCATTCTGGGGCACTTTGGCCACTTTGGCCACTTCAACAATGGCATCATGGTAGATCGCATACGAGATGCCCCCTGCGGTGATAGCACCGAGGAGTTGCGCAGCAATGTAAATCACACATCGACGCGCGGGAAATCCACGAAATACAGACAGCGAGATTGTGATGGCTGGGTTTAGATGGCCACCAGACATACCACCGGTCGTATAGATAGCGGCCATGAAACCAAAGCCCCAGGCGGCACTTTGAGCAGGGTATGACCCTGCTTGTCCGGAAGATGTAAAGTTCGATAAGGTAGCGCAAAGACCGATTGTCATTGCCATAGTTGTCTGCGAAAATTTGCATTAGCAATTGTTTAACGATTTTTTGGGTCATATCGAAAACTCACTCCGAGCCATTCAGCCAGCGGCTCGCGTAGATGGTGACGAATCTTCGACCAAGTATTGAAAAAGCCATCTTCTCTGGGATCATTGACTTTTTTCGTGCGATTTTCGGCGGACTGTTGTTTCTTAACTGCCTCTGTGTGCGCTGGATCCTTGCCGTTCTGTGTCATATCGTGTTTATCCTCCTGTCGATCCTCTGGCAAGGCGCCATGACGCATACCAGGCCGAACGATATGAGGGAGAGGCTGGGCCAAACTCCAAGTTGGGCTATCATCGTCTTGGTTGTACTGAGATTTGTATTGTTCGTACTCTTCATTCGTGTATCCACGATTGTTATTCGGATTTTGCGCGCCGGAGCCCGCCAAACTGTATGATGGGACGTTTCCCAACCCCTCATTCTTGCTTCCTTCTTCTTGGGTGCCGCCTGATTGCTCTTGTTCGGGGGCTTCGACAGCATCTATCGCAGTATTAGCGTTATGTTTCGCAACGACCTCTTCAATCATACCTTTGACTCCGCCATCGCGGTCGGTTTCTTTCGATGATCCCATCACAAATTAAGACAAGGAATAGCCTGTGAGATTAAAATATAGAATAAAGATATTAGGCTTCGGGGTGTCATCATTTTTAAATGGCCCTCTGGTGTCAGAAGCTTGATTTTAAGGGAAAAAAGAAGGTTAGCTCCACTCTTTCGTCACCGTTGATTCTCAGTAAGAGTCTTCTTTTGCCAGGGAATGTCACTGCCAAGGAAATCAGGGTCTTCCATGAGGATAGTTAATTGGTGGATGCTATTCCACAACTATTTCTTTACCTCTATTTTCATGGGACACTTTGGAAAGACCGTGCACAGTAGTCGGTTCATTCTTGTACCTCAGACTATACATTTTCCAGTTAGGGGAATCCACATAGATCCTCCCATTTTACTACATGCGATATAGAAACAACTTGTATATTCAACAGGCTCATGGGTCCTTTAAGTAATCATGCCCGAAAATACAATACCGCGAGGCCTTGAAAATGGGCATTCCCTTCCCAGATGTCACTTCCCAAAAGGTTAGCCTCAGGGCCAGGGCTAAGTGGCGACATTACCTCAGGGAACGTGGATGTGGTTCCGCCAATCACAACTGATACGCCACCCGGACGCCACGGGCGCATCCGGACGAACTACAGTATCTGTGGGTTACCCTTTACGGAATGCCGAGAATTCAGCTTTCCTTGTTCTGAATGTAAAAAGGCCTGCTTTTTCGTCTAGAACACTAGCCCTAACCCGCCCTTTATGTTGTTGAAGTTCCGAGAAACTTGCTTTCTTCCCACATTAAACCTGGAGCCAGCATACATGCGAACAGGTAAATTCCCTCGTAACCACCACAACCGTTCTTCTAGCAGCAGGTCGGAGGAGATGATAATTATGGCCGCAAATTAAGTGGAGGTAGTTGCTAGCTCTTGGGGTGGTTTCTGGGTGGAGAGCTCACTGGGAGGGGAATAAACCGATGTCTGTCCTTGCGTTTCCCGATATGTCACAGCAGCCTGGGATTGGAGTCCCGCCACCATAGCCTGAGCAGAGAGCCGTTTTCTCCGTTCAAAGAATGCCCAGCCCAGCGCGGCGAGAAGCAGGACTCCCAGAGGAATTCCTACACCGGCTCCGATCGCGAGATCGTTGCTAACTTTTCCAGCCTTGTCCGCACTGCTTGATGCTGTTGGACCATCCCCATCCTTGTCCGCGCTGATGGATGTTGTAGGACATGTGGTTGTGTTCGAAGTCGATGTGGAGTTTGAGCTAGTATCACCAGAAGTGTAATTGGCGAGCAGGGCCTTATCCAAAACCAAGTCCGCAGGATCGAGTGTGAAAGGGGCACCGGCGTAACATGCCAGCTCATTTGACGGACCGACTATGATGGAGTTGGCGCAATAGTAAGACTTTTTGTCCTCAATACGAAACAACGGCAGTGCGCACCCTCCATTGCGCAAGGCGGTAGCTGGAATCAGATCATGGCTGTCAGTTTGAAAGCAAGAAATCCACATTCCTGAGATCGGCTTACCCTTAGAACACTTATCGTCGCATCCACCCTCTATTGGCCAATCCTTATTTGTACAACTACCTCGACTCAGTGCAAATGGTTGGGCCATTCCATAACAAAGCCCATTGCTAAGACAAATCGAGTCTTTAGAGCAACATGGTGAGTCCGTATCACGCGAGAAACAAGGCACATCGTCAACTGCAAGATTGCCACTAGGATAATAGCAGCGCTTCTCCGCTATTACCAGGTACGCAAATATGGAGAGGTGGAGGAGGATATGAGGAATCATCGCGAGATCAATGAATGTTGAAGCAGCTGGATGAGGAAGATCCTATGATTTCAATAATGAAAATGGGCAAACACCTAGAGCCGCATTTTGATCCAAGCCAACAGACACGGGAACTGATCAACATCTTAAAGCGACGCTACAACCTTTTAGTGTCTTCAGAGCCAGTTCCTGGACCAATGGTATAATAGTGGAGAAAACACCACGGGAAGGGGTTTGGGGGCGATGTGTCGGTTGATATCTTGGGTCGTGTGCACAATTAACGTCCAAGTGCCGAGCTGCTCCTTGAGTTGTTGTTTATATAAAGAGGGAACATTTCATAATTTTGTTACGTACTTTATATGCTTCAATCACCCATGTGAATCAGATATCTGCGTGGATGTAATTATGCCATAGCAAAAAAAAAAATCGACCTGAGCCTATATCTGACTGAGACAAGGCTGTGCTAGGTGATCATAGAGGGTAATTGCATTTGCAAGTGTACTACTGTTCGCTGTTGGGTGCCTTTACCCTTCCGGCCCCCGGCTCTTTTGGCTGGATAATCGCGTCGTGGCTTGACATTCTGACAGCTTTGGTAGGGTTCAATCTCAAGATTGGGGGTGGCACTGCAGACCAAAAGCTTGATAGAGTATGCGTGAGCGCTGAGAGTGGCTTTTTGGTAGCAGCTACCGGCTATCGCGAGCAGGTGTGGCAATAGATAGAGTCGGCCGTGGGATTGACACAGGTGATGAGCAGAGAGGGTCTTGGCGCTATCGAGAACGCAAAGTGAAATGCGACCGTCTGGAGTGGTAGAGGGATGAATTATCGGTTTTTGATTGTCTGAATGATTTTTGAATTTTCAATTCGCCTCTTATTGGCTGCATCACATACTGACACACATACTGACACCTAATATACACTCACCGAATCATTATAGGTTTAAAGACAACAAGAACAGCCGGCCGCTTGTGGGGCCTCATGATGCCTCCGTAGTCTCTTTCTGAGTGATCCTCCTGAGCATTAGGTTTGGAGGTCGTTTGAAATATTCTCGGTGTCAGGCAGAGGGCAGAGAAAAAGTCATACGAGACTTTATATGCGAAATGGCTTTTTTGTGTATAAGTTATGACTAGGGACTCTGGAGCAAATTATGAGTCCTGTACCCTCAAGCTCCTATCCCTAGGCTTCGTGACGTTTTGCTGAATATCTGCCCTAACAGATAAGTAATTGTCATGCTTCTCAAGTAAACTCACTTCGCCTAGCACATCGGAGTTTAAAATGACCTCCTGGCTTTGACTCCCTGGCGGACGCACTTGGCGCTTTGTAAACCTCAGCTGAATGGGAGCACAGCGGAGCCTTTTTAATTCATTCCGAGTAGAGCCTTTGAGAAACCATGGAAATACAAAGCCCAGCAGTCGATGCATCATAGGAAGACATGCACAGACGATTCCCATGTTGCACTCGACAAGAGTCCAGACTGAGCGAGGGATGAAATCCCCCATATTGAAACGTATCAGCAGTTGTTCTCTACGTTCGTCTTTTTCCAAAGCTTCCAAGATACTCACAGCTCTGGCCTAATCCAGTCGAGATGTTTGAGGCACTGCAACCGCACGGATGATACTAGTGACACAGACACTATTCATCCCGGTCATTCCCACAGATTAGATAATTGGCCAGCCCAAAGGGAAGAAGTTGATCGATATTGAGCCCAAGAGGCAGGGGAGAAGTACACCGGGTAGATATCTTCGGTATCATCTAGACTTCGCATCACGGATAATCGTAAGTTCTCTTTGGCCTTGAGCAGAATCTCGGAAGACGATTCCACGTCCATGAAACCAATGTATCGACAAACTCGGTGGTCTGATAAGATTTAGTATTGGCCATGAATTCTCATTTTTAAAGGAGGGAGGGAGCTTTAAACGAACATTGTCCACGAATCAAAACAACTGCCCAAAGTGCTTCCAATCGAGCATCGACAATAGGCGCAAAATATGCGAGCATACCTATCATATTCATCAGTAAGTCGCTACTTTCCAATAATAAAAGTCGCACCTACGATCATATTTGTCGACGGCATCTCGCTTTGTGTAGTCAGTAGGCCGTGAATTGACTTTGAACACGGCCCAGCGAAATCTTTCGGACTCATAGACGTCCAAAAGCTTCTGTTACAGATCAATTCTGGACATCATACTCTTTTTGTCCCCTTCTTCACTCTCGGCTTTCGGCTGGACCCTATTGAATTTGATCTTTGTTGTCTGCTGTGTGGGTGTATGCTTCTGAAAATCAAATGGTACACCATGCAGAATGTCATTATGGGGAGGATCAACTTCATCGACCAATCCCTCCAGCCAATGGGTAATAATTTTCTATACCAATGTTCGTATGGCGAAATAAGCCTCCATGCCTTCAACTTATGCCATACCTGATCTGGGGCGAGGGATTTATTCAACAGACTGTCAGCTGAGGAAGAAGGAACCAATTGATCCACCACCGCAGTATAAGCGGTGGAAACTTGATACACTATTAGAAGAAATTTCATTCCATAATGTTGATTTCATCAACTAAACATGCTCCATGAGAATTTGAGCCAGGCACATACCTTCTGACCATTCGGACCTCCTATTATATGTGACAGCGGGAGCATGTCATCCGCGAGCTGAAACTCCGGCTCCGTGATAGTCTGACGCTTGAGTTGCTGGATATCTTGACTATTACTGCCTTCATAGACGTAGGTCCCCTTACCAAGCAGACGGGCTGGCTGGGTGAATGTTAGCCACTCCGAAGATATAGTTGTCCTGTTAATCACCACATACAAATTCCACCCGAAAAAGCCCAGTCTCCTATGGTAGAGATCACGAGGTTAGTCAGGTACAAGACACGGTCTCATTGCAGGCAAATTAATCCCTGGCCATAAAGCTCGTTGAGCTTCTTGTAGTTTTTCCCGAGAATAGTTCACACTATCCAGTTTCTCCGCGGTTGATGTGTTTCTTTTTTAGTGTGGCGCGCACAGGGCAGCTGAACTTGAAAAGAGTTCAAATCCTCACAAGCATGGATACGAAAAGCGAGGCCATAGTTCTCGGCTCATAGATTCCCCATATGGAATAGTTGGCAGCCGTGGCGTGGGCTAGTTTCCATCGCTTGCGATACCCTCACGAACTCTGGAGTGAATGCAATCACCTCAGATGTAGAGTCTCGGCGACAATCCAAGCCAGGATAATTTCAACGCATCTGTTAATTTGAAACTTACCAGTGAAGACTAGTAATCTTGGAACACATGTTGACACCAAGACGGAATTATCTCTATATACAACTCAAACTCGGTGGCTTGCTGCCTGATTCGGTTCTACATTCCAAGGTTGCCCTAATCCTTTACATACTCAGAGCTTCTATGATGCATTCGGCTGTGGTTCGGTAGAGTCTGCAGCCATACTGCACCCCGCCCGGGAGGGCCGTCCAGTGCAGGAACTCCTGCCCTGCCAGAACCCACCAGTTGACCTGGGCATTCCCATATCTGTTCAATTTCATTATTGATACAGATTTACGCGCTACGTCTAACACGGATTATTCAAGCAAAGAGGTCAATAACTCAATCTTCAGGCATAGCCTATAGATATGTGGTATAATGTTACATTTAGAGGATCGGTTATTAAGTGACATCTGGAATTTATGACCCCTCCTGTTCAGCACACACGAGTTATTGTAAAATATTTCTTTTTGATGTGACTATATTTTGAGTTAGTTAAATCCTGTTTCTACATCTTAGCGAACGGCTCTCGCCAAAGCTTGCCGTCTGGACGAACCGCTCGAGCTGCAAGATACGAAAACGGTTTGTGCAGCCGACGTGATAAGAAAGTCAAAGAATCATGCGGCCCCCTGACTGCACATCAATCACTCCGTCAAGACACTTCCCCGCAACCACTTCTCTGCAGAGAAATGCAGGTGTAGTTGGGACGAACCTATCACCCCATAGCCTGCGTGTTCGTGGCGCTCCCCCTAAACTTAATTTCGCGCTGATCAATGCATACACATGTTTGCCAGGAGTTGACCGAGACCAAATATGCTATCACGAACGTGATTGTTCCTGGGAACAGTCAGATTTTATCCAGATATCTCAACCGATAGGACATAACTTCACGGCGGACCTCCATAAGATCGATCGTGAGAATGTTCCACCAAAATAGGCGAGAGATGAAAGCCACTCAGCCTTCAAGGCCCCGAAAGCTGCTCACACAGATCCCTCTTAGTCACTTGTGGGCTGTTGGGTGTTGGGTGTTGGCTGAACTATTGTAGGATTGCGAAAGATAAACACTCAGCCCAGGTGGGTGCATGTGTCTACATTTCAGCTAAAACACCACAGACACATCTGTCACGGTCCGGGTGCGCAAATAGGCTAGAGGGCCCGGGGTTGATGAATATAAATATTTTGCTAGATGCCCTTTGCTGATGTCGCTTTTCTCGTCCTCATAGTCCTTCAAGAACTTGGAATCCATTCAAACCTGCTTTCACATTATCACCTCTTACTACCTTCTCTTCAATCACTTACATCCACAAATCTCCAATCTGACACGGAGCTTCCTTCACCCTCTGAAGCCTTAACTCTTTGCAACTTATCAGCAATGGATGACAAGATCAAGCATCAAGTCACCCCGGGCGTCTTTGTCCCCTACACCGACGAGGAACATGCCGAAGCCCGTCCTGCTCCCGCCTGGTTTTACCAACCCAGCCAGCAGCGTCAATCAAAGCTGTACCGCATATTTTACGTCACCCTTGTCGCGATCGCATTGTGCTCCGCTGGATTTGCTGTGGGTCGGTACGCCATGCAGAACAGCCCGAAAATAGTCATCGATTCCACAACTGCGGAACCAATGTACCCTCTATCGGAGTCGACCGCCGACAATGCAACTCTTGCATTGGTGGAGCACTGGCAGCTATTTGGCTTCACGGACACCGCGTGCACGAAGGGTGTCAGGTCTATTGATGTGGGAGATGGCCCCCAAGGATGTACTGTTGGGGGAGACAAAATGAACGGTGTCCAGTCTTTCCGATTTGTTGGCTTACAAGAACGTCCCGACACCGGAGTTTGCATTTATGGCGGTGCAAGCTGTGGGCGTAATAATGCCTATACCTCGGAATCGAAGAGGAGTCCTCAGTGTGTCACGTTGCCCCGACCAGGTGCTGCAACTCGGTTCCTGGTTCAGGCCCTCAACAATCCTGGTGGTGGGAGAAAGTCGTGCCCTTCGGCCTGACCTCGATTATGGTGAGAGGCGCCCCAGGAGAAGATCCAAATTTTGAATGGGGGGTTCTTTTGAGTCCTCGTTGAGAGATGCTTTGCGAATCAATTGACAGGGAGTAGGGGATTCAGGTGGAAATGGGATATCCAACTCTTCCACCTTCAGGGTTGCTTATAGTATCTTTAGTTTATTCGGAATATATTTCATAGTTTCCTTGATTGCTGGAGACATGTTTGTCAATAGAATTTGAAAATTCGATTCGTAGTGAGATCTCCCCTCCCCTAATACTCCATGTGTATGTCTACTTCTCGTAAATTTGGTCTTTTCACAATGGTCGTGAACCAAGGTATGGATGGGTGACCACCAGCGAATCCTCACTGCTGTATGTTTTTGTTACATTTTTTGTCATGTAACAAAATTCTGAATTATTGCTTAAAGCCGAAGAAGGTGTGTGATCGCTTTCTTATTCATCACATTTTGCCCACCCTCCTGCCTAGGTGGGAGATCTATGTGCAAACAAACAAGACAAACACCGTGCCTGTATTCTACCCGTCATCGTAGTCGAATATCCGCCTTCTGTGACGAGATTCTCCCGAAATTCTGCAACTTCTGGAAAAGCACAGACGATCATTCTACGGGTTGTGCACACAATGCGTCCAGCATGCTGGACATGCCGCAAACGCACCATTCAATGTGACCGAAGCGACAACCCTTGCTCCAAATGCAAGAAAGCTGGACTAGAATGTTTCGAAACTAGACCGCTGCGATGGGTCAAAGGTGTGGCAATCCGGGGTAAAATGCGCGGACATGCCCTCGAAGAAAACTACAAAGTCGCCAATCGAAAAACACATCTGAAGCTCAACCCAGAATCGATCTCGCCCTGCGTTCAAAAGTCTTTGGCGCTCACCCGTCCTCCCCCGTTCGCGTTGCAAGACCCTTCCACAAAGGGCCTTGATTGGTCATCGAGGTTCTATCTTGATTATTGTAAGTTCCTGGCGACATAGATTCTGTCGTGGGTAGGCTAATACCAGCAATGAGATAACATACGCATCGCCAAGTTGTTCATTCTATATGACAGCCCGAGCAATCCGTTTCGGAGCTTACTCGCGTATGCAGTAGATAATCCAACGTTGGAGATGAGTATAATGGCTGTTGCTGCGCGACACTTCGCCAATTCGGCGAGGTCATTCAATCAGACCGATGATACTTTGTCGCCTCGATTTATCAATGCCAATGTGGATGCCCTCCACTTCAAGAAGCGAGCTATCAAGACATTATCATCATCCTTGTCCCAACCGGAGCTTTTGCAGAAAGATGCGATCATGGCAACTATTCTACTTTTGATTTTTCTCGACATACTCGAGTCTGGCATCGACGGATGGAAATGTCATCTTCATGGGGCAGAAGGCCTTGTCAGGATATCTCAATCGATGCTATTGCCTGACGCCAATCAAATCAGTACCAGCGATTCTGGAGGGACAGTAGAGGGAATGAGGCGATTTGTCGCCCGACAATTTTCACTGTACGCTTCTTCCTTCATATCTTCCGATGTATACAATGTGCTGATCACAGCAGTGTATCAACTATCGGCGGTGCGCTCTCGAGTTCAAAGTCCACGCTTCAATCGTGTATCAATCTTGATGAAGACAAATATCAAGAGTCAATTTTTCGAAGTTTTCTCGGGTGCCCTGCCTTTCTCCTTCAGGCTATCCGTTATTTCTCTGACCAAAGGCATGCAATCCAGACTTCGCGGATGCACGACAATGCCTTCATTCAGGAGCGTATACGAGAAACCCAGAATATGCTCCATTTGACGGCAGATTTTGATTGTGTGGAGTGGGCGTCCAACTCCTTGCAATTGAAAGATCTCCAAACAGTGGACATTGAGAAGCTGTCCCTTCTTTCGGAATCATACAGAACTACCACATTGGTCTATGGGAACCAAGTCCTTAGTGCTTTGATGACATCAACCGGGACAGTGACACCTGATTATCATGGATTGGTGCGGCAATTACTTGACGTGATTGACGCCCTCAAATGTGAAGACGCTCTGTTTAAGTGCTTACTGTGGCCAACCTTCATTGCCGGCCTTGAATGCCAGAACGAGAGTGAGCGACAGCAGGTTATGCGGTATCTAAAGAGGCTTTGGGATTTGACCTGCTGTTTAAATCTAATCAGTGCTTCAACAATTTTACAGGGCCATTGGAGGCAAAAGAACATTGATACCAATTCAGTGCCCGACTTTATAGGACAAGGCTGGTTGCTTGTCTGATTTTCCTTATTGATTCCCTGATAATCCGATCGTCTTACACGACTGAGCTTTGGCATGACTGAACGCGTGAGTTTTTCTAGCTTCCGATGAATTGAGATTACAGGCGGTGACAATCAAGCAAATCGTTGGGTTAAATGTACTAAAGGCAATACAGATAAGCATTTCGCCTCTTATGCACATGCTGTTCCCGTGGATGTGCCTAGCCTCCTGTGCAACCAGGGTCTCTCTTCCAAACGGAATCAACTGCAACATTCTTCTCACGGATAGGGGTTTCAAGAATGGAGATTGCACGTCGAAACAGCACACGCGTTTCCCACAGAGGAATCTCAAATAGAAGTGTGTCGTCGCATAACCCATGTTCCAAAAGGGAAAATCCAGATGATGCGGACACGTCACCGAATTCACCAGCCAACGCCATGAGAGAGGCCATCTGCCACATTAAAGTTCGCTGAACAATTCAAGATATATCATAACTCCAAGGCAGCATAAACGATGTTCGGAAGGTTCCTTCGAAATTGTCAGCTTCAGACTTCATCGCCTTGAATCCATACACTTACGTTGGCAAAGAGGCCAGGAAGAAGAAAAATTCAGAGAACACCAAACTTTAAGCATGATGTTAGGCGAGTGATTGGACGGTACGGTAGACATTGGGCACTAACTTGATTGATAGGTGCGAATACACTAAAATATTCGGATGTTTTACCGCCGTAGGACTCCACAATACTTAACGAAGGCATCAGCATCATTCCGTAGCCACCATTATAAAACCTTTTAGGGGCGTGGGAGAATGTCATTATTGATGCGCAATGGAAATCGGTAAGCTACCGAATGCGGCGAGTATAGTGTACGAGAAAGTGTTGCGCTTTACCATCTCCCATTGCGCAGATATGAGGCCTGATCCTGCTGAGAAGCACAGGTTTCCTATGAACACAGACTGGTTGGAGACGCCACGAAAGCCCATCAGTGAAAGCGAAAGGGTCATCAAGGTAGTTACAAAGCAACCGAATCATAGAGGGCTCTTAAAAACAGTCAGTCCATCTGGTACGTGTACATTCAAGGCGCATACATGTAGGTATGGCAGAATTGAGGGTTGGTACATACTGGATCGGCGAATTGACTGCTAGCGATGTTGAATAGGACCTCTGTTGAGAGAATGCCCGAAAAAAGGTTATCGCTCTGAAGCTTTCAAATAGCATAAATCCGTATAACAATTGCGAGACCTTGACGGTAGGAATTTATATTGGGGTCTTGTTCTTATATAATTGATCATCTGCATGACCCTTATCCTCATCTCCCGAAAGGCCACAAGCTTTGGTTTCCTAATACGGCTACTGAAGCTTATTAACAGACAGACTGCCCAGGTGCTGACTTTTTGATGTTTAATATATCCCCAGAAGGTTGGTAAATGTTATCACGTGTATTGGTATAGTCCAGAAGTGGGAGAAGCCTGGAGTAATATTTTCGCACGCCATAATAGACTTACTTAAAAATTTAGATTGGTGAAATCGAGGGCGCCACAAGCTATCCACAAGCTATAACTTCCTAGACTGGCGACATCAGCTTATTGATTGATTGCCGGACCCCATGGATAAAAGTAATTGCGTCATGGTTTGGGGGAAGCATTTCGAAGATATCTTATTGGTCAATCCTCCGGAGTATGGAGCCGGCAGCAATGGTATCATTGGTCCTCCACGCCTTCATTGACCCACCAATGACAACTTCCTAAACGAGTAAGTCTGGTTGCGCGACTTCAGCGACTCTTGCAAGGCAACGTCCGTATATTCTGGACTTGCTTGTAAATCACGGATCAGGGACATTATGGTAGTGGGATGAATATTTAAATACTTTATTCCCCCTCTTTAAATCAATTCCTCTTTGCTTTCAAGAACATCTTCAATACTAAAGTGAACTGCTTTCTACTTCTCTTCGGAAAACTTCTACTCAGAACTTTGCTTTTATTTACCGAATTTCTCTCTCTCTCTCTCTCTCTCTCTCTCTCTAAAATGTGCAACCAGGAAATCGCTGCCAACGGCTGGACCGCCATGCCCGCCAACGCGGGCGCCATCTTTGGTGACCAGCCTTTCATCAATAAGCCGGGCCCTCTCCCTCTGAATGAGATCAAGTTCCCCTTTGATGATCCTTCAGTTGCAAACACCCTGGAGTACGCAAAGGAGATCCTTCATGCTGAGACCTTTAACCATTCCATGCGAGTCTACTTCTATGGTAAGTTCACAAATCAAACACATAGCCCTAACATCTTCAATATCTTGGTCTAAACTCCATTCAGGAATGGCTATCACAAAGCAGCAGTTCCCCGAGAAATTCGCAACCTTGAATCCTACTACATGGGCCTTGACCTGCCTGCTCCATGATCTCGGCACTGCTGAAGAGAACCTGACCGCTACCCGTATGTCTTTTGACATCTACGGTGGTATTAAGGCCATGCATGTACTCAAGGACTTCGGCGCCACCGCAGATCAGGCCGAGGCCGCTGCCGAAGCCATCATCCGCCACGAGGACATGGGCGTCGACGGTACTATCACCTACCTCGGGCAGCTCATCCAGCTGGCCACTACCTACGATAACACTGGCATCCACCCTCATGTTTGCAACTTCGGCGAGCTGATTCATGAATCCACCCGCACTGAGATCAACGAGACCTACCCTCGCATAAAGTGGTGCACTTTCTTTTCTACCACCATCCGCAAGGAGGAGAGCATCAAGCCCTGGTGTCACTCGACTCACCTGGTCAACTTTGACAATGAGATCGAAGCCAACACTCTCATGAAGAAATGGGAGTAAGCATTAATCGGACTCTATGTTGCGTTTTGGTTGGCTCTCTCTTCCTCATCGACAATACGAGTTTCTCGCCCAGCCAGCATTCTGCTTGTTGCAGACGCACAGCCTCTTTTGTCAGCTCTCCTTAACGCAGTCGTCTAATGACCATCATCTCCACTCCTATAATAAAAGGCAATATCTACAATGAGCTTCTTGCCAATAAGAAATACGCAGCTGCTTTTCCGATGAAGAGTCTATAAAGTGTGATAGAATTAATTGCTAGGAAGTTGTCGTTGCAAGAGACGTGAGGCATCAGAAGAGGTTACTCGCTTATGTGAAGGATATGCCTGGGCGCACATTCCCCCACTCGGCCAAAAGACCATTATATCAGAGCCCATGCTCTGATATGCCCAGGACCAATATATATATCAAACCATCATTACATGAATGCTTTATCCATGACATAGCCCCGGTACAAATTTTTATTCTTTCATCACCCCTGAAAGTAGAATAGTAGACATCAAACGTCTAATATCATTGGTAATTGAAAGAGTGAAAAAGAATATCCCCAGTATTAGTGACGCAGAGAGAAAGTCTATCTTAATGACGAGCGAGGACGACTCCCCACGAAACGCATGATAATGATGCATACCAGGTAACAAGAAGCTACCACAATAACCCCAGCCCAATTGGTAAGCCAAGGATAGGATAGCGGTCCAAAAATGAGGTATTCCGTAGCAACCTTTCGCGCCAAGGTCATAATGATAGGGAGAAGCGTACTCAGCCCTGTGATAAGAACAACAGCAATAAGAAGGAGCTTCCGAGCCCAGCAGGGTATTTGAGGAATAAAAGAAACATCCGCTTCGATCATCAATGACAAAAGCATCAGTGCAAAGAAATTGGGTATGATCAGGATGATCGGCATCCTAATTTGCACGATTGCTGATATCATTGCCCAAGATACCGTTTTAAAAGCAAAAATGACCAAAGCAATGACCATGAGTGCCGTATATGTCAATGCCGTACCAAGAACTTCTGTGTGTTTATTCCAGTCACTATCAGGGTCTTCTGGGTCTGTACGAATGTCGGTCCCTGCGTATGATGAGGACGGCAAGGCTGAATTCGACTGGGCGGATAGGTCATGAAGGGGTATGGATACGGAGGAATGAGTATCAGATTTGTTGTGTGTCTCATCTGTCACAAAGCTTTATTAGTTCCTGCTATAATCTCTCATAGATGTCTGAAATGATAGCTCGATCTGTGGGACAGAGTAATCGTACCTTGCCCGAACGCTTCAACAAACGTAATAAGAGGCACAATCAAGAGGAAAACAGCCACAACCTGACCAAAACCCCATTGGCTATTGTCATTTTCGGAGACCGTGAAGGCTTCAAAAAACATTTCATGGGTGACTTGTAGTAAAGTCATCAAACGCATTATACCCCATGAAAAAGCGACCAGCAGCCAGAGAACCTGATGAGAAACAATATCAGAATGGTGAGGAGATCAAGCGTGTTTTGAAAAGCTTACCTCTAATAGCATAGAGGACCATAGATCCATAAGCAGACGGGTCGATAGAAATAGTGCCAATAATGGTCTATAAATGAGACCTCGCCTCAGACCGGGGATATGGTGTTTAGGGCAACACCATAAGTAAACAACACGCAAAAGACGTCGTACATAAGCGCTGATCTGGAATCTCACATTTTGAATGAATCCCACAGATAGCACCCGATACAGTTTCATCACGCGAAAGACGAATCCCAATACAATCAGCAGCATTGAGACTATCATGGAAATATAGCCCACACTAAAAAAAAGAACATCTGGGTTATCGTACAACCCTATGGTAACATCATAAGCCTGGATGCCCATGTGACAGATGGCAGGGTGCTGGATTGTGTTCGATTCGGTCAAGATAGCAACTTCTAGGACAGAACTCTTTCCATAGATCAAAGCCCACCAGTATGTACTGGTGAAGGATAAAGCTACTATGAGCATCATGGCAAGACATGCCATTGCTATCACACGAAACGTGCGCTCCAAAGAATGATTGCGGAGGTGACCTCGCAAGAATGTCAAACAGGCCAGGTGTGTTATACTGGAAAACCACGCCAAATCAACTATTGCCAGCCAATGATAGGATTGGAGTCCTTGACGAAGTTGGACAAAGCCACTAATGAGAATTGAGAAGCCGGTCACAAGCTGGGTATCACTCATTGCGACTATACACTAAGGGCATTTGTCAGTCTCCATTGGGCAGAAGAACAATCAATGAGAACATATACCTTGATAAAGCTCCGTTCCAACTTATCTTTGGGGAATCTCAAATTTCCCATGCAATATCGGGGAATGTAACGCACTGCCCGAAGAAATATAGTATCCACTGGATTCCCACGGATGGATGATGTTGAAGAAGCTCCGTTCTTTTCAACGTGATCTAAGCTTGGATCGTGAATGGCCAAAAAGTACACTAGGATGAGAAGCACTGCAATCCCAGAAGTCGCGATATAGCCGATAATGACCTGGAACATGGATCAGTTCCTACAAGCCTTCCCACAAATATATTTTGAACATACCCCTTGACCAGTGATATCGGGGTTCTCTGATATTTTTTTGGGCCATGGCGCATGGCACTTGTAAGGAGCATCTGATGCCATATGTCTTGTCTTACTTGGTAAGAAGGCGAGCCTCTTTCTTGGTGAGACCACCCGAGCTCATAAAGTATACCCGGCGCGGAACAATTTCAGCGACAAATGGCGTGTAGTATAGCCTCGGTAATGAACGTTGAGAATGTCAATCAACCTTTCTAGCTTGGATAACTTGACCACTTGGGGATATGTGAGTGGAAAGTGAAATCGCAAACGCCAGAAGACAGTGATGAGCCTGGCACGTGATGAAGGCTGTGCATGAATGCAAGCTGGGAGGTTTGGTGCATCGCCCCTAACCATGCGCATGTAGATAATCAGCCGCCTTGGGCTTTGCCAAGCAATTTCCAAAAATAAAGAGAAGGCTTCGTATAGCAGGATTGTACAAGTATAAGAGATCCTAAAATCGATATTGCAATTATTAGTCATTTACGTAGACTAATTGTCGGATGCCATAGGCATCCAGGCATATAGATCAAACATGTTTGATATGCCATCATGTTTGGCAGTATAAATAGGATCTCAGTATCCTATTCATACTTGCTTTCGCTTCTTTCTCTCTCTCTTAGTCTTGCTTCTAGATAGAGAATATCATCATCTTCTCTGTCATCCCTTAGTAATATAATTAAGATTTTTATCTCTCCGATTTCTCAAATAGCCGGTGTAAATTGGAGGGATAGATTCGGATCGGTTAAATGAGGTTGCACTGTACAATCAGGAGCTGGAGTGGGCCCTGGAAATCCAATGAAGAGCCACAATATCTCGTTTCTGGAAGATCTGGTTGCCCAAGCTTCCCGTCTCAACCCCGCCCGCTCCCAATTAATGTCCACATTTATCCAAAACAAACTTCCCTCCACGATGTTTTATCTTTAAAATCCCCACAAGCTTTTCGAACAGCGATCCTAGACCAAATTTCCAATATATACTGAGTTCGTCATGGTATGCTCTCCCCCTCTATCCCATGACGATTACACGGTTGGGTGGATCTGTGCCCTACCGCTGGAAATGGCAGCCGCGCAAATGCTCATGGATGAAGTCCACGAAGACTTGCCTGTGCAGCCGAACGACCATAATGCATATACTCTAGGAAGCATTGGGAGACACAATGTGGTGATTGCATGCCTGCCTGATGGTCAATACGGCATTACATCTGCTACCGCAGTTGCCATGCAATTATTATCAAGCTTCCGATCTATTCAATTTGGTCTGATGGTTGGGATTGGAGGAGGGATACCAAATAAAGAGGTGGATATCCGCTTAGGTGACGTTGTGGTCAGTAAGCCAACAAATACACATGGCGGAGTGGTGCAATTTGATTATGGTAAAGCGCTGAGTGGCGGCAAGTTCCAGCGAACAGGCATGCTCAGCCATCCACCACAGATCCTCCTGACTGCGCTCGCCAAATTGCAAGCAAACCATATCACAGGCTGGAGAAAATTCATGAATTTCCTCACCGAGATTAAACGCAAAGCACCTCAAGAGTCCTCGAGTTTAACCCGCCCAACTCAGAAGGATCATCTATTTCTTGCCGATTACGACCATGTCGATATCAGCTCCAAGAATTGTGACGTCTGTGACAAGACCAAGTCTCTTTCCCGGCCTTCTCGAGATCCAGATCAGCCCATGATTCACTATGGACTGATCGCATCTGCCAATATAGTGGTCAAAGACAGTCAACTACGGGATCAGATAGGTCATGAAATGGGTGCATATTGCGTGGAGATGGAGGCTGCGGGGCTCATGAATAATTATCCATGTCTGGTTATTCGTGGAATATGCGACTATGCCGACTCTCATAAGAATAAGGAATGGCAGGGCTATGCCGCCGCCACCGCTGCGGCATATGCAAAGGAGCTTCTTTCAGTGACCTCAGTTGCTCATATTGACCGAATACCACCGGTGCATTTACCTGTGCCTGGTCTGGGTACGTATAGCTCATTTGTATCATCTGTTGAGCAAAGCATAATAATCTTCTCTAGGTTCGAGAAACCCTATTCCTTCACAGCCCAACCCACCAGTAGTGATCAACCAGAGTGAGCTAGGGGGAATCTACCTAGGTACGATCAGGGGCGATGAGATAATCCCAGGGCTAATACAACAACCTGACTATTGGAGGAGAGAGATCAATGCACTCATAAGGCGGCTACTCTCAATTCATCCCACTTGGTGGGTAACACGGCGGGAGGAAGCAGCGCAGGTCATGAATGATTTCTTCGCTCGCAATAGGCTCACTTTTAGAGTCAACCTGACTCCAACGAGGAGTCAACGGCCAGCCTACTCTGCACCTGATCGCCAGTATCTAAATGCACTGTTTTATCATAATTTAGGGTGGATCAATTGGAACAAAGATGAAGGCTGTCTTGCTATCAACATAGGTATACTCAACCTGTGGTCTATCCTTGAGTTTCTAGATAGAAATTGATTGACGAAGGTCCAAATTTGCAAATTTGATTGCTAAGAGACGTTTATAATTGCATTTGTGAAGTATCGTCATGGGTTCAGGCATCGTCGAGGCAGTTGAGGGAATTGACCATTTGGTTCAGGGTCGCCACATCCCATGCTCTTTATGAAGCGATCGAGAAGTATAGAGTGCGACCCTGATTCCCCGTAGTACCATGATGAAATTACTCAGAGGCGTAGAAAGATATCTGGACGTGATGTCTCAGAGCAGATACATGCTGTGTGTCATGACACGATTCTTCAGAGTTAATTGAAATTACCATTTAAATATAAAAAGAAAACCCGCGAACATTAAATAGATTAGTACTAGAGAGGGATTATAGAAACATGTTCTTTAGGGTTGCTACGTAGCTACAATCGTCCTTAAGAATATGGGTTTTACAAGGAGTATATGCTCTGGAAAACTGTATTGAAATACGTGGAGAAGGGAGAAAGCTATCTAGGTATAGAGACTATGATATGCTAGGAGTAACCCAGAGGACACATGATCTCTGACACCCCCCCCACTGAGATTCTGTAAGGATCGCATGGTTTCTATTAGATAGTACTAGCCGTAGGATAACGTAGTCGGTAAGAGAGCTACGCACCCTAACTAATATATTGATTTCATATTTAAATATCTTAGCCAAAACTCCATTAAATTAAATACACTAAAATGATTTATCTAGTAGGGCATCTATTGAATTTATGCCCTATACCTCTACACCCACTATACCTTACTAGGGCCTATATATATAGTTCTAAAGCCGGTGCATTATATATACTAGCACTTGGGGGGGGTAGATATTTAAAGCTAGATATTAAGCTTAGAAATCACTTAGTTAGGTATAAAGGATAAAGGGTACTAAACTAGCTACTCTTAAGCTATTTTTAGTAGTCTCTAATTTAAAAGCTTTAATTTATATAAAAGGGTACACTTTAAGTGTAAAGGATAAAGGTCCTTTCAATTCTGATATTCAGTCATCTATCTAACCCTAACCCTGACCCTCCACGACCTACAGCGACCCTTAGATATATAAATTTTAAGCGCTAAGCCTAATTAAGGTAGATAAAACTACTTATATTTCTTAATAAAATATAGTTATTTATATCTATTTTATCTTATAAAATAGGTAGGCTAGCCCTTAGAATATAACTAGTAGGTCCTAGAGGATAATATAATAAATATACTAAAAATGGTAGTAAGATATAAGAAAACTAAGAAAGATAAGACTAGTTAATATTAGGTTACTAAACTAAACCTAGAATAGTACTAAAAATTGAATATTATAAATATTTATCTAGACTATCTTACTATATTGTTCTAGTTTTAGATTGGTCAAACAGCACAATTGAAATATAATTAAGGTTATTCTTTGTTATGATTAGAAAAAAGTCACATATAGGCGTAAGGGGTTATATAGTTTGAGGTCAAGTTGTCTAGACAGCTCAAGAACCTTGGAAATCCATCTCATCGGGATTATGTAATCAGTATCCATCTTCAATAAGAGTGACACTAGTCCTGAATAGGTATAGAGCCGGATATAATCACTGACATTCCAAGTGGTTACTCATTTGGGCTACCTCCGGACTATAAAGAGGTTGGTTGTTCTGAGGTGGTAATCACATTTAATCTGACAGCAAGCACATACGACCATAGGGTGTGGAAAACAGGGCTTCCCGTCCGCTCAGCCGTACTTAAGCCACACGCCGGTGAGTTAGTAGTTGGGTGGGTGACCACCAGCGAATCCTCACTGTTGTATGTTTTTCGCTTTTTTTTAAATTTGTTTTGGACATCTATTCGTATTTATCAGATTTTCAGCAGTACCTGTATGTAAGTGGTGTTTCATCAACTGAGAGATGACTGTTTTACAAAAGTTTACTTATATTTCTCTGATATTGAGAAATTTCCCCTAGGGATGTGTTGGCTTCATTCTATCAACTGTCTAGGTGGTGAGTCATGTAGAAGGACTGACACGACGGTCTATCTATGCGGCGATGACGGCCAGAAGAAACTTTCTCACGCGTTAGCGAGACTGTATGATAGATGCTCGGAGGTAAAAGGAGACAATAAGACCTTTCATGAAGCCAAGAGCAATCTTCTACGGAAGATGGGCAACGAAGAACCACTTTTCGGACGGTGAGGATTTGAACAAGCAGTAGATACCATCAATATCACTGCATGCATATCTTGAGAGCTCCATGTATACTCTCTCCCATATCCTCTTCTCGCCTGCCATAACCATGCACCACGGTTAGGGAGCCGGAAGTCAGCGTGTTGACTAATATCTTCACGTTCGCGCCAAAACACAGATCTTCTTCCAACTTACCTAAATTGACACCAGCTGTTGTTATGGTCGACGCCACAAGGGCGAGGACAAAAGGAAAGTCATCCCAGCCGAACTCCTTCCGATAAAATCTTGTTGCCAGCCGAATGACCCCAAGAGTGGCCGCAGTGGGTATCATTACCAGCGCGATCATGAAGAGTACATGGTCCCTATCGGGAATATCATCGATTGTTTAACACCGTATTTTGGATCACATTCTCAGATCAAATAGGCGAATAAAATCGGAAGGACCATTGCCTATATGCATACAATAAGTATAGGGGCAAGAAGGGGAACGTTTTGCCCGCTCGTTTATAAAATAGAGATCGAGATGGTTGGGTCATTGCTTGGCAATTGGGGGCCAAAGGGGTGGACATGAGACAGCGGAGCTATAATTAAACCACCAGCACCAGGAAGACATATAGCTTGGCTTGTACGGAGTATATACTTGGTCCAGGCTATGCTAGACTCACTCGGCCCCATTGCTATATTACATAGATGCGTCACATCTCCCACATTCTGTATTTACTTTTGTTTCTCCTGTTCAAGGGGTATATTCGCGGCCACCATGAGGGTAACTTGGCTGGCCTTCGCGGCAGTTGCCGCAGCACGAGTTGCCCTCATCGGGTCGAATGGATTTATTCAGGGCCATGAGGCATCGAAAAATCCGGGGGTCACAGAATGGCTAGGGGTTCCGTACGCGCAACCGCCAGTCGACCAATTGCGATTCGCACCGCCCCAGCCCTACACGCCCAATGGCGCTCACGTCGCGTCAGAATATGTATGTTCTCATCTTGCCCCTTAATCCCGCTATAATTTGCAAAGATTCGGGAGGTTCTGACAATGGCATAATTCAGGGGAAGTGAGTACCATCTGGGGCGAAACTGTTCTTGCATTCTCGATTAACGGAAATGCCAGAGACTGCATGTACTCTGTTTCGAAGCTGGTCGACTATCCCGACAAAACTCCGCAATTTGATAGCATCTTTGAGGCTTTCGGGGCTATTAACAACCACACTCAAAGTGAAGATTGTTTGACTCTGAATGTTTGGTCAAAGTCAGACTCAAATCAGCTCAAGCCGGTCTATGTCAATTTTTACGGTGGTAGTAGGTTTTTGGTCCTTGTTTCATTTGCCTCATATTTCTGATCCGTCATATAGGATGGACAAGTGGCACGACGAATACACCTTTTTATTATGGAGGCAGATTTGCTGATGCAGAGGATATTGTCGTTGTGACGGTCAACTACCGTATGAATATCTTCGGGTTTCCGGGCCTGCCTGGAACCCCGCCTAACCTTGGTCTGCTGGATCAGCGTTTGGCTGTTGAATGGCTGAAGCGAAATATCCGCGGGTTCGGAGGCGATCCAGACCGCATTACTATATCTGGCCAGTCCTGCGGAAGTGCTTCGGTTGATTATTGGGCATATGCCTACCAGTCCGAACCCTTAGTTGCCGGTCTTATTTCGCATTCTGGCACAGCCATCAGCTTCCCAACAAATAATAGGACAACCGCAGCAAAGCATTGGTATACTGTGTCTGACCAATTAGGCTGCGGGTCTTCGGGGGATGTCCTGCCGTGTATGAGAAAACAGAATGCGAGCGCTATTCTCGCCGCTGCTAGTGCAGTGAAGGTCTCAAACACAAATCCTGCGAGAAAATCCCCGGCTTTTCAACCCACTGTGGACAACGTAACGGTGTTTGGAAATTACAGTCTTCTTTCAGAGCAAGGGAAATTTGCTCGTATAGTGAGTGACATCTCAAACATACCTGGCCAGTTGTTGTAGCTGCTAAGCAACACCTTTTCCAAACAGCCCTATTTAGTCGGCCACAACGCCAACGAAGCGGGATTCTACAAGATTTCAAGCTACGCCCAGGGGTCGAAGTTGACAGACCAGCAGTGGGACGACTTCAATATGCAGACATTCTTCTGTCCATCTAATCTCGAAGCAGCACACCGAAGCCGGCATCATACACCAGTTTGGCGATTCCAATACAATGCGGATTGGGAGAATACCCGCCTTTACCCCACTAGTGGGGCATATCATGGCGTCGAGTTTAACATGCTTTTTGGAGAATCTGCTGAGATTAGTGGGATTGCTGAGTCTGATGCGCAGCGTCGGCTGCAGGTTGAGATGCGTTCCGCGTGGGGTTCATTCATCACTAATCCCCAAGGCGGGTTAAAAGCCCTGGGATGGGCAAGTTATAATCCTGAAGGTAAGTACGCACAAATTCTATCGAGATAATCTCACCGCTGATATTCTTCAGCTCCGACGCTCGCTGAAATCGGTTTTGATAATCATCCTAGGGTGTCTTTTGTAGACACAAAAGACTCTGCTCAGCGTTGTGCAGCTTTGCTGGCGCAAATATGAGTCAGCTCAATAATACTAAGGATGTCTCTAGGTTGTTTTTATGTCATGTACTCCGTATTCATTATTCCATAGAAGCCTGGAATGATCCATTGGACGCCAAGATATAAGCATTAAAACGGGAAGGGAAGTTCCGAATGACATATGATTGCCCCGTACTTTTTCTTCGGACATCGGCGTATCCAGTCCCGAGGTCCGTTCCGAGGTCTCCAGGGCCTCGGCCTCAGCGTCCGCTTATTAAGTTTGATTTTGTGCCAGGTGGAGCCGAGGTACGGAGTATATGTTTCAAATAGTAACGATTCCAGTCAATACAATCCGATAAGCCAGCTACGGGTACTGCTGCACCATATCTATTCTGTAAGTATACACTGTGACTAGGCTCATAAAGTGACAGTAGGATAGATATATCAAACGCTATGTACAGCAAACGCCGTGAATGCTAGTGGTTCCAACGCCAAAGTCCCACAGTGGTAACAAACTAAGAATGATACACAAGGTTAAACAAATCGATCACCGGTCAAAGATAGCCTTCATATCTGCACAGGCATCACGGTATAAAACGTCCACGCTCTTTTGATCACGCCACGGATTGGGTGACTTATCCCACGCATGTCGGGCTCTCTCGATGAGCATAGCACGGGGGCGTTTACCCAGGCTTTCTAAGCGGCGAACAAAAGCTTGGCCCTCCTTCATCAGCATGTCCCATTCGCAGATGAAGAAGAACACGTCGCGAGGAAGAGCCTCCGAAAGGATACGGTCAGATGCGTGGACTGGAGAGGCATACGGGGAGGCACGTTCGGCCAAATCAGGAAGATAGGCCTCATCAAAGAGGGTGGTAAAAAATTTAGGGAGAGTCTTATCCGGCATCAGACTCATAGCACGTCGGTGGTCGCGGGATTCTTCAAAGTCGAGGATCGGGTACCAGCAGAACAAAGCAACGATGTTGAGATCGCTGACCTGATTGAGTAGATTTTGTGTGGAGTCGGCTCGACCCATGTGTTCCTTTACTTCCGTAGAAATTCGGCTACGCAACCGCAAGGGCACCGTGACGGCAAGATTGCCGCCTGCCGAGAACCCGCTCAGCGCCACGCGACTCACGTCTAACCCGAGTTCGCCGGCATGTGTTGCCAGATATAGAAGCGCCTCAACTCCATCGTCTACCGCCGCGGGGAATGGGTGCTCCGGGGCTCGTCGGTAGCTGACACTGACCATCACGGCCCCGACATTGTCCAGCACTATCTTGGCCCAGCGAGAATCATCCGTAGCGGCGCCAAGCGTGAAACCACCACCGTGAAAATTGACGGCGACGGGGAAGCGATGGCCTAACCTTCGCTGTTCATGATAATTTGGTGGACAGTAGAAGTGGAGGACAACGGGATGACAATGGGAGTCGGAGTTAATGGTGCGGGTGAATAACGGTCGGGGAGGTCGGGGAGGGCCGATCTCGTGCAGGAACATGCCGATGCGCATCAGAAACCGCCAAAAGATGGCCTGCACATAGAGCCACCAACGAGACGAGGCCATTATGCAATCAAAAAAACAACGTTCGTCCTACTGATCTAGCATGCGCTTCGGAGTGACCCGGAAGCCGAGGATGATAAGAGGGGGTCAGACCGGAAGACCGTAAGACCGCAACACGGCAAAACCGCAAGAATGGTGAAATAACTGAGATTGGAAGAGGGAAAAAAACAAAGATAGAGGGGGAATTAACGATAGCCTGGAGAAAGAGAGACAAATTGTCGGAGTAATATCTAGGTAGTAATTGATACAACGTAAGATGCGAAGCAATGGCCAGTTTTGCAGGGCTCCATACCAAGGAAATCAGGGTTCCTTGGTATTGGATGATGTCATCACCTCTTCTGGCCCTGTCCCAATTGACAATATTTATTGACCTGAATTCTCTTGTCCTTCTATGTACCTAGTTATCTATAATCAGGTTTATCTATTCTTCTGATAACATATAACAGTGGCAGTTCCTGTTTTGACGTCGATCTTCTCATAGGGTTTCCAAGATTTGAAACAACTGGATCGCCCATTCCGGGCCACCCTCCCCCACCTCTCCCTTATATCTACAAACTCCTTTCTCTTTTTCCTTTTTTGTCCTTCCCCATAAACTTACACCATGTCTATTAAACGCGCCCTCTCCAAGGCCATCAGAGGACACTTAGGAGGCGATGATGACGCCTCCGGTTCTAACGTTCGCTCTGCCCTGCCACCCAAAGTTCGTACCGCCCAATCTCGGTCCGGTTCTCCCTCCGCATCCCCTCGTCGCAGCATTCTAGGCAGCTTCCTACGTGATAAGAATGAGTATATCTCTTCATCTGACGATGTCTCCGACGACTCTTCTACCGGTGCCTTGAGTAAAAACCAACAAAAGCGGTTGGTGCGCCAGCAACGTCGAAGCGAGCGCAGTCGTCTCAGCGAAGAGATGTTCTCTGAGACCGACCACCGCCGCAAGGAAGAAGAGATCGCAAAAGCCGCAGCCGAGGAAACGGCAGATATGAAAGCACGGTATGGTGAGCTGCCCTTGATGCAGTCGGCTACTCGATCAGGAGAATTGCGCACTCGGCTCGATGACATAAGTCTTGCCATGGAAGGGCAGCAAGTGTTTTTCACTGCACGACTGCACGTCATCCGTCGTATGAGTGCCAAGTTAGTGTTCCTGGTGTTCCGCCAGCAGCTAGGTACCTTCCAGGGTGTCTTGCATGAGCGACCAGGGATATCGTCTATCGCCATGGTTCAGTGGGTCGAGCACCTGCGGGTGGGCTCTTTTGTCACGGTCCGCGGCACTGTACAAAAACCTGAGGTTCCAGTGATGGGCTGCTCAATTCATGATGTTGAGCTGGCCATTGACTCGGTTCACCTCCAGGTTCGCCGCGAGGAACCGGTCCCCTTTAGCGTCTACGAGGCAGAGATCCGGACTAACGAAGAAGACAAGGCCGAGGGCCGCCGCAACCATATTCCTGACCGCACACGTTTGGCCAACCGAATTCTTGACCTTCGCACAGCCACCTCGCAATCCATCTTCCGTATTCAGTCCGCGACCTGTAATCTTTTCCGTTCTGCCCTTGATGACCGCGAATTCATCGAAATACATACCCCAAAGCTGCAAGGCGCAGCTACCGAGTCTGGAGCAAGTGTGTTCCAGGTCAACTATTTCGGCCGCCCTGCATTCCTCGCCCAGTCTCCTCAATTGGCGAAGCAGATGGCTATTGCTGCAGATTTCGGCCGTGTCTACGAGATTGGTGCTGTTTTCCGTGCCGAAAACTCAAATACCCACCGTCATCTTACAGAATATACTGGACTGGACATCGAGATGGCTATTGAAGAACACTACCATGAGATGCTAGAGACTCTTGATGCTGTGATTAAGAATATTCTCAAGGGTATCTACACCAAGTACCGACGTGAGATTGAGCTTGTCAAGTACCAGTTCCCATCCGAAGATGTCGTGTGGCTTGAACAGACGCCAATCATTCGTTTTACCGACGGTATCAAGATGCTGAATGACTCGGGCTGGTTGAATGAAGACGGCGAGCCGCTACCTATCGATGAAGACCTAGGTACCCGTGATGAGATTCGTCTGGGTGAGCTTGTCAAGGAGCAGTATGGCACCGATTACTACGTGCTTGACAAATTCCCCCGCGGTGCACGTCCCTTTTATACGATGCCCGACGCTGAAGACGACAAGTACACCAACTCATTTGACATGTTTATTCGTGGGCAAGAGATTGTCTCGGGCGGTCAACGTATCCACGATCCCCACATGCTCGAGGAAAACATGCGTCGTGTGGGCATCAACCCGGATGATATGGAAGAGTATCTTGAAGGCTTCCGCTGGGGAGCCCCCCTCACGCAGGTGCAGGAGTCGGCCTGGAACGTATCGTAATGCTTATCCTCAAGCTGGGAAATATCCGGCTGACCTCATTGTTCCATCGTGACCCCAAGAGTCTACCAGCGAAGCATGTCTCCGAACAGCTCCGGCACCCAGAATCATCGACCATTGATCCGCCGTGGCATCATGAGCACAAAGCACGGGCAGCTACAGACAATAGTGAGCTACAGCCTCTAGAACATCTGGTGGCCAACTACGGTGATGCCACATCAACCTCCTGGTTTGATGAACGCTTCAAGATCTGGCGTGACATGACCACTGGTGCAGCCGTCGCCTACGTGCCCAGCTCCAGCAACTACGCAATCATTCCCGGTAATCCGGCTTGTGATCCCAAGCAGTACACACGCACAATTACACAATTCTTGCAGTGGCTACGCCGCGACACCAAGTTCAAGCCTGTGTGGATCCTCTGCTCGCCTGAGGTTGAGACAATCCTTGGCGAGCGACTAGGCTGGCGCAGTTTGTCCTGTATTGCCGAAGAGCGTGTTGACCCATCGCGCAACCAGGCGGCTTCTGATGGCGAGATTGCACGCAAGTTGCGTCGCGCCGAAAGTGAGGGCATCAAGCTGGTCTCCATGAATCAAGGCGAGATGGTACCAGACGACATCCGCCAGAAGATCGATGAGCGTATCGGCGAGTGGCTGTCTAACCGCAAGGGCACACAAGTTCACCTGTCCCAGATCCGCCCATGGTGCGACTCCGAGCATCGTTGGTACTTCTATGCTCTAGACAAGGACGGTGGCGTCTGCGCCTTCGTCGCTTTGGCTATGCTATCTCCTGCTCATGGTATGCAAGTCAAGTACAGTCTTGACTTCCCCGGCGCGCCCAACGGTGTCATCGAATACATTGTCACGCACGCAATCCAGACCGCCGCTCAGAGCGGTGTCAAGGGCCTCACGTTTGGCGCTGGCGCCACTTCCCAGCTTACTGCTGGCCACAACATGTACGGAACCAAGGTCAAGATGCTGGAGCGTACCTACGAAGCCCTCGCTAAGCAGTTCCATCTTGTGCGTAAGAGTGAATTCCGTGCTAAACTTGGCGCCACTGAGGACCCTCTGTACATCTCCTATCCGTCCCACGGCCTGGGCTCTAAGGGTATCCGCGCCATCCTAAACTTCTTTGAAGATTAAGATCAAGCTACATTATTTGTTTCAATGGCTGAGCCATTCATGGAGCTACGATTTAATGGGAGTTTTGTGCGATATTGTTGTTTGATCTAGATGGTAGCGCGTGGGCTTCTATTGAATCGACTGGCACACATGCCAATCAGATTCTGGGACACCCGTGGACGCATAGAGAGATAAAAGATTAGAGAGAGGGAAGGCGAGACTTTGCTGACGCATATTCTGCGACATGAGCTCTTGGTGCTTATTTTGCTTTTGACTCTCTTATCGCTGTTAACTCTCATATACTGCCCATAGCTTTGTTTTGTTTTTATTCCCCATTACCGTTGCTCATCCTGTATCTAGCACCTTCGGAGCCATGTACCTGATTCTGCGGCTTCGGCGTTTAATTGATATTGTCTTGCTATTCAAATTCTGCCCTCTACATCTTATCTCCATCATCAGCATTATTTGCTCGGGTCCATGATTCCACATTGGCTAGACAACTTTGCTCTTGGAACCAATAACCTCTTGTGTAGAGTCCTTGTAGTAGAAGTTTGATATGAGCCAAATATTGAAATGAGCATGATGTTTACTCGTCATAAGTCTGATAACATCAATTCCGCATTAGTGAACTTAATTAGATCATTTTCAATCCACTAACGTTCCTTGTCATTGATGTGTATTATACCTAATATGTGGGTATCGTGAGTAACTTCCAGAGGGGGGGAGTGTATGAGTAGTTGCCACAAAACTATCTTAAGACCTCCACAGAGCAACGAATAAATATGTCCCAATACTTTTTTTCGTCAGTCTATATTTGTTTAATCGTACATCTCCAACAAACATAAGAATCGAAGCATCCCTATTTCTTCTTCAACTCCTCCAAAACGCTTTGCCTCCTAGCATCATTCACGGCCCTCCCAACCTCCTTCACAACCCAATTCCCCAGTACCACCGCGAGAGCAGTAACAAGTACAATCCACCCAGCAGTCGGCACCAACGAGCGCGGGAACACATTGAACAGGAATGGGTCAAGAATCAAATCTACCGCCACGGGTGGAACATTCTGCATCAATGCTTGGTCTGTGCTGAAATAATCTGCTGCAGCTTGTACATGCAGAAACAGGACGGAGTCACTGGTCGGCGCAGGGTCGAGTGGATCTTCGCGCCTGTGCGGACTGACGCGGCGCGGGATGGCATTTACTTGGAGACTTGTGTCTAGGGTTTCGAGTCGGGCTGCTGCGTACGCGCTAAAGGAAGACAACAGACTTTTGTCTTCAATTTCTTTTGGCACATAGGTCGCGAGGGTGAATGTTGTTGGTTGCTAAGGGGTGTTAGTCATTTGGTATTGTAAATAAGGAAATAGAGAGAGAGGCATAGATGAGTGTAGAGAAGGAATTGATAGATGATCTTACTGTGGCTAGCCAGCACACTCGTACTTCATACCGCTGGCCTGGGTTCAAGTTTTCAAGGAAGAACCACGAGTCCGTACCGCCAGGCATGGCAGTTGTTGGAAATGAGGCATTGAGGCGAGTGCGCACCACGGGCCTCTGTGGTGATAGGCGCTCCAAACCTAGGTCGTCGAGATCTGGCTCCTCGGAGGGAACGGTTACAGGTGCTGGTGCTAGGAAGATGGTTTTTTCCACGTTTGCTTGCGCCACTGCTGTAAAGAGGGGGAGCATGAGGCCCAGAGTGGGAAGGAGTTTGATATGCATGATCAGAGGAGTTGATGCTCTGTTGTACAATATAGGCAGATTTTTTGGAGTGATGTTTTAAGAGATGTTTTATTCTCGGCTCATGACGAGATTCAGGCAATTCACAGTGATAGTGCTAGAGTTCAATTAGTATTGACTATGCAATATGTTCACTGAGGAAAGTATATACAGTACCGAGGTGTGTGTCTTAGTACTTTGATATGGCCGAATGGTGGTTCGAGGGGGTCTTCCGCGAGTGGATCCGAACTGACCGAGTATTCGATAGCTCCAAGACCGGCCAGCACTGTCAACACCCCTTAAGCAATTTAACCCCCTAGACACTCCTAGACACACTTGGCAAAGCCACAGATTTCAAAATTACCCAGATAGTCATCTAATGAAATACATTCTTTTTTTAATACTCCCGTTCTTCGATCATAAGTTCATCACGTGCCATCACGAGATCACTACGAGGCGGTCAGTAACCGCTGCTCCTCACCGGGAAAGAGCCAATCAAAAGGCCCAACGCGACCCAACGAACGGATCAACAACGAAGTTCCCCCTGTACAGCACAGACGTCTCCTCCTCCACAACATTTCTGGTCTCTGTTTTCCTTTCCATCTTCTCGTCCATTCCTCCATTCTTCAGGTACGAAGACTACCCCCGCCCCCTTCCATCGTGCATTTCTGTGTCAACCTGAATCTAACCGAGTTTCAGACCGCCGCGTTTGTTGTTTGGGTTCCCGTTTTCCCCTCCTGATTTTTTAGCCTGAAAAAACATCGACTCGATCACAATGAGAGAGATCATTAGTTTGAACGGTATGTCAACATCTTCCATCTATTCTGCTCGTCAGAATTGAGATAATATTCTCGGACGCGCTGACATGAATGTTCTCTACAGTCGGCCAGGCCGGTTGCCAGATCGCCAACTCCTGCTGGGAGGTAAATACCCGCATCCATTGAGGGACAAAATATCGGTAAACTGACAGCATTGATTAATAGCTTTACTGTCTGGAGCACGGTATCCAGGTATGTTGAAATCCTATTCAAACTCGTGGTGGCGCCCAATCTTGACTCGGGCACCCGTCGTACCCCCTATTTTCTCGCCGGAAGGTAAACTCCCACGACTAACATGGATGATAGCCCGATGGATTCCTCACTGAGGAGCGCAAGAAGGCCGACCCTGACCACGGATTCAGCACTTTCTTCTCTGAGACTGGTATGCAAAAACTGATTTTTTTTTTCAATCGTGTTCCCCCGCCTTGATGTGCGAAATTCCAAAACATGGCTTCCTAACATTATTTCTCCCTCACTTCATAGGCCAGGGCAAGTACGTTCCCCGTACCATCTACGCCGATCTGGAGCCCAATGTTGTCGATGAGGTCCGCACCGGTACCTACCGCTCGCTTTTCCACCCCGAACAGATGATCACCGGTAAGGAGGATGCTTCCAACAACTACGCCCGTGGTCACTACACCGTGGGTAAGGAGATGATCGATGAGGTCCTTGACCGTGTTCGTCGTGTTGCCGATGCTTGTGCTGGTCTCCAAGGTTTCTTGGTCTTCCACTCCTTCGGTGGTGGTACCGGTTCCGGTTTCGGTGCTCTCCTGATGGAGCGTTTGTCTGTTGACTACGGCAAGAAGTCCAAGCTGGAGTTCTGTGTCTACCCTGCTCCCCAGAACGCTACCGCCGTCGTTGAGCCATACAACTCCATCCTCACCACTCACACCACCCTGGAGCACTCCGACTGCTCCTTCATGGTCGACAACGAGGCTATCTACGACATCTGCCGCCGCAACCTCGGCATTGAGCGCCCCAGCTACGAGAACCTGAACCGCCTGATCGCTCAGGTCGTTTCCTCCATCACTGCTTCCCTGCGCTTCGACGGTTCCCTTAACGTCGACCTCAATGAGTTCCAGACCAACTTGGTGCCTTACCCCCGTATCCACTTCCCTCTGGTCGCCTACTCTCCCATTATCTCCGCCGACAAGGCCGCCCACGAGGCTCACTCTGTTACCGAGATCACCTCCAACTGCTTCGAGCCCCACAACCAGATGGTCAAGTGTGACCCCCGCAACGGCAAGTACATGGCCACCTGTCTGCTCTACCGTGGTGATGTCGTCCCCAAGGACGCCCACGGTGCCGTGGCCACCCTCAAGACCAAGCGCACCATCCAGTTCGTCGACTGGTGCCCTACTGGCTTCAAGCTTGGTATCTGCTACCAGCCTCCTCAGCAGGTCCCCAACGGCGATCTCGCCAACCTCAGCCGCGCCGTGTAAGTTTTTCTTCTGACTCCTTTGACCTGGTTACAACTTTGGTACTAATTATGATGTAGCTGCATGCTGTCCAACACTACCGCTATCGCCGAGGCCTGGTCCGCTCTCGACCACAAGTTCGATCTCATGTACTCCAAGCGTGCCTTCGTTCACTGGTACGTTGGTGAGGGTATGGAGGAGGGTGAGTTCTCCGAGGCTCGCGAGGATCTTGCTGCTCTTGAGCGTGATTACGAGGAGGTTGCCTCCGACTCCATCGAGGGTGATGAGGAGTTGGAGCCCGAGTACTAGATTAGCCATGTTTTGTGACCGGTCTTCGTGACTCTTGGTTGTTTCACTTCTACGGGTTGGCTTGGGGACCAACGCCGAGTCTAGAAGTTCGGTCTTCATGCGTCTATCGGGCTTGTTGCAAATAGAAGGGAACATAAGTTTTGCTGCCAATGATTTCTGGCTTTGTTGTTCGATATATCTTTAATATCCCTGAAGCAGCGATGAAATTTCCCCTCGTTCCATCCAACTTTCGGGTTTCTACATACGTATGTCATTGTTATTACTCTCTGAACCTGTTTCTCCTTGGATCTCACAAAGTGTGCAAATCAAAAGTAGCTTGTTTGACTTACAGGGTTGTCTCATAGCCGGCGATGAAAGAATGTCTTGGGCATCAGGGTTAATTAATATGCAGCATACATTCATGTTTACGCTGTACAACATACGGAGTCCTGGGAATGCGAGGCAGTGTATCGTTATCGGCCACTTTTCAGGGGGTAAGAGAAGACTGTATGCATACGAACTAATCCGGTCGTAGTAGGTAAAATCCTCTAGTTGTAGGTTGTACCAAGGGCTGCAGGGATTGGTACACTATCCCTGGATAGCAATGGTTTTATCTTCCAATCTCAGTGGCAGTAATACATGTATAACTGCCATCAGCCAATATCTGGCTGAAGTCTCCACAGGATTTCAGTTGTTGACGTTGGCTCCTTTATAGTAGCGCACGTAGTTGGAGGGAACTGAAGCGTTTCAAGAGAAATGGGGCACTTAATACATACATCGAATGTGTCTGGTAACTTTGAGGTGCTTCGATAGATGGGTCTAGTTATATATCCTTATTCTTCTTCCACGCGATATCTATCCACACTGCCGGCATTCTCGGCAAAGTTAGGTATCAACTAAATTGGACCTCTACGTATACCTTGCAGAGCAATGTTTTAGAATTACTATGGCTTGCTCATTAGAAACTTTGCGCTGCTCTTCACCTCCTTCTCCCTCTTGGATGCATACGTTTCGAAAGTCGAGTGAGATTCGGAAACTATCCTAGTAACAACTGATTGACTCAAGTCAGCTGGTATAATAACAAAGATAACAATTGAGGAACCTCAAGTCTTATGTAGCTCTTTCATTTAATCTTTGTAGTTAGAAACATTTGAACGCCCCCTGCCAGGACGAGACAACGTGTTGGGATGGACGCTAGACTGACTGACCGCCTTGAGAACCCCGGGAACCTTCCCTACGACATCGACTCCAGCCACTTTCTATCATTCCACCTGAAGTTAATTTTCTTCCTTAGAGCTCGAGATTTATTCGTCTCGTGTCCTTACAAGTATCCATCAAATACTGCGCTTAGCCCATGTTTGTCGCATACTCAGACTAAGCTGACCGCATCCCGTATCTCCAACTTGTCGCTCAAGGCCCCCAACTATTGTGAAATCATTGGAAGGCGGGGAGTTAAGCTCCTCCTAGGACACAGAAATGGCTGATACCAGTGAGTGATACTCAACACTTCTTGCCAGAGCCAAAACGAATTGCAAGAGAGCTTCGGCGCACTTTAAGGAGACGGCCCGCCGACCTCCGTCATCACTACCCCCTCCCCTTCATACATCGGGTTCTCTATGCGCAACCGGAGCTGACGGATCATAATCTTCCAGCACAACGACACCCAAATCTCCACCTCACCCCGGAGGAAAAGCGTGTCTTCTTCCAGCTTTTCCAGGCTGCTGATACCACCAACCTCGGCGTCATTACTGGTGAAATCGCCGTTCCATTCTTTGAGAAGACTCACTTATCCCCGGATACTCTCGGTCTGGTATGTGGATATAACATGGGTCTTTGGGCAATGATGGGAGTCATGGCTAACTAGCGTCGTCCAGATATGGCAAATTGCGGATAAAGAGAACAGGGGTCTCCTGACCCCGTCTGGCTTTGGTATTGTTCTGCGACTAATTGGACATGCCCAAGCTGGCCGTACACCCTCCGACGAGTTAGCTCTGCAAAGTGAGTGACGTTACCTTCGAACAAATCAATGGAACCTATGCTGATCCCGCATCTGCTTCACAGGTGGTCCTCTGCCTCGTTTTGACGGAATTGTGGTCGATACAACGGCAGGCATCCCGGAATCGGGGACGAAAAGCCCTCCGCCTGGAGCAAATGGGCCTATTCGTGTTCCTCCACTTCAGCCGGATGACGCCAACAAATTCGTCTCTCTGTTCGAGAAGTCGGACGTCACCAATGGGATGATCTCGGGTATGTAGCTCTTCAATGCGTATAAAGTGCTCCCGCATCTAACAGGTTTGCTGTTTGATCTATAGGCGAAACCGCAAAACAAATCTTCGAACGCGCCCGGCTCCCAAATGAAGTTCTGGGCCGTATCTGGTTTTTGTCTGACACCAAGCAGCGGGGTGCCTTAGATGCCACCGAATTTACAATTGCCATGCATCTCCTTACGTCATATAAATCTGGCGCCCTGCGCAACATCCCAGCGACCCTACCACCTGGTCTGTACGATGCGGCAGCTCGAAGGGGATCTGCACGGGCGTCTTTTGGATCGAGACCCAATGTGCCCCCCATCCCGGCTATTCCCCAGCAATTTACTGGACCCCAGCGAACTACAAGCCCTATGAGCCAGGCCAATCGTGTGCCTTTTGTAGGCTCCCTTTCCGCTCAGGCTACCGGGGGAGACTGGTTGATTACCCCACAAGAAAAGGCCCAGTTTGATAGCATTTTCGAGACTGTTGATACAGCTAAGTTGGGACTCATTACTGGAGACCAAGCTGTCGCTTTTTTTATGAAGGCCCAGCTCCCCGAAGAAACACTTGCTCAAATTTGGGACCTTGCGGATATCGACGCAGACGGTCAGCTGAGCCGGGAAGAATTTGCCGTCGCTATGTACTTGGTGAGAATGCAGCGTAGCGGCAAGGAGCCGTTACCACAAGTGGTCCCGCCCGCCCTCATCCCGCCCAGCATGCGCCGCCAAGTGCATGCACCAATGGCAGCCCCCACTCCTCCTCCAGCTCCCGCCCCCGCTGTGCGGACAGCGGCCGATGATTTGTTCGGCCTCGATACGCCTGTGCAGCCCTTTGCCCAGCCTCAGATGCCTCAGTCTACAGGAGGCTCCAATAGTGCTTTCCAAACTCCAGGCTCGCCGTCTTCTAGAGCATCCCCTCAGACGACATCGCACACCTTCAAGCCTTTTGTTCCAACTTCTACCTTTGGCCAGAGCTTGCAGCCACAGATCACTGGTGCGTCAGCTGGGACCTCGACAGGAGTTCGCTCCCCTCCGCCTCCATCTGATGATCTCCTTGGTGATAATGACCCCGAAGAATCAAACAAGTTGACCAATGAGACTACTGAGCTCGCGAACTTATCCAACCAAATCGGCTCTTTGGCCAAGGAAATGCACACTGTGCAGGAGAAGAGGACCACTGCTGAACAAAACATCACACAAACATCACAGCAGAAACGTGACTTTGAGACACGTCTTGCACAAGCACGGTCAATGTACGAGCAAGAAGTTACAAATTTCAAGGCACTTGAGGAGCGCCTCAAGACATCAAAGGCGGAGACGCAGAAACTTCAGCAGCAATATGCATTGTTGGACGGCAGCCGCCAGGATCTGCAGAATCAATATACTCAAGTTTCGACAGCTTTGGCTGCCGATGAGCAGGAGAATGCCAGCTTAAAGGAGAAGATCCGCCAGGCCAATGCTGAGGTCGCCCAGCTCAAGCCGGTACTCGAGAAGGCTCGATCCAATGCACGCCAACAGAAGGGTCTTGTTGCCATTAACAAGAAGCAATTGGCTACCGTCGAAGGCGAACGGGATAAGCTTCAGGGTGAAATCGACGGTCTGGCTAGGGAGACGCCACAGTATTCCGAGGAGTCTGTGACACCAGCCGGTAGTGTACCCGAGGTTGCAAGCCCTGCTATCTCTACGGCAAGCCAAAACACAAACCCCTTCTTCCGTCGAACAGGCAGCTCGAGCGAACAGACACGGTCACCTGATGTTTCCAATGATCAGCAGAGGGCATTTGACAGCCTCTTCGGACAGTCATTTGCAGCTGCCCCTGCTGCCGGACCACCGCCCACTTCGTTCCGCTCCGAGTCCCCACAAGTTGCGATCACATCTCCTGTTACATCTGCTGTCACGACTCCATCAGTTTCTCCTCCCCCTGGTTCTTTGCCTGGCGCATTCCCTGCCGGGCCCTTCTCTGAGCCACCGCCTCCGAGCCAATCTCGCCAGATGACCCCAAACTTCCTGCAGTTTAACGATAATCAATCTGTGACTTCGTCCACCATGGTTTCGCCTCCTGCAAGTCGATTTGGTGGCCCTGAAACCTCTGGTTTTGATACGCCTTCTCAGGCGGCTACCAACGACTATGGACCTAAATCAGTAGCAGAATCCAGCGACTACAGTCGTGCACCAACCTCAACGGTTGAAGGTACACCGGCACGGTCTCCGTTCGAGGAGGAGGGACAAGAGGCCTCAGCTAGGTTCCCCGAAGTCCCGGCCGCAACTGCCCAGCAGCCCGAATCTGCAACATCCCCTGTCGCTAAAGAGAGCGAGGTTGAAGTCCACAAGGACTTAAGCTTTGATGAGCTGTTTGGCAGCAAGGCCCACAAACGGTCGGAATCCCAGCAAGGTAATGACTTTGAGGAGGCGTTTGCTTCTATGAAGCCTGTAACTGGAGCTGAGCGGACAAACGGAGCTGCATCGATCGGTCCATCCGAATTCCCCCAATCCAAGAGCTACACCATGACGACGACGACGATGAGAGCTCTGACGATGAGGGTGCTATGGGATTCGATGACAATTTCACGCCTCCTGCACCAATTGCCAAAAAGGAGACCCAGCAGGATTCCATTGACGCTGCTCAACTGGCTGCTTTCCCTGTTCCGGGAAACTCAAATAAACCTCCATCTCCCGCGGCGCAACAGAGCCCCCCCAGAGTATGAAGCCCCGAAAGAAGATGCTGTTCACCTTCCTTCTCAGTTTGATGGCCTTTTACCCGAGCGTGCCAATCCCACCGTCGCACCGGATGCGCCTCACTCAGTGGATCACACCACTGGGGCCCCTGTCGTAAGCAATGAGACACAACGAGACTCTGTCTCCGATGCCGCCATTCCTCCAGGTGGAGCAAAGGTGGGAGGACCAGACTTCGAGGCAGCCTTCGCGGGAATGAACCTTGCACCCGCAGTCGAAGCAGATGACGATGACGACGACGAGCCACTGGGTCATGAAGCCAAGAACACGACCGACTTTGATTTCTCTTTCGACTCTCCGTCCCAGAAGCAGCAGACTGTCTCCGGTGCTGATGCTAGCCAGTCCAGCTCCTCTCAGTTCTTCGCTTTCGACAACAACGTCCATGCATCCGCCGCCCCGCCTGTTGGATCACCCAACGACGGAGAAACAAAGCCGGCTTCGCATGAATGGGACGCGCTCTTTGCGCCTCTTGATAAGTCCAAGCCCGATACCGGCGAAGACTCGAACGGAGCGAAATCCAAACAGCCTGGATGGGCTCTGAACAACGACACTGGCGAAGATGACCTGATTCTTCAGCGGCTGACCGGCATGGGCTTCACACGGGATGAGTCCTTGGATGCCTTGGAGAAATTTGACTACAACCTTGATAAGGTAGGATTTCTTTCGCGTTAGGTTTTGCAATCTTACTAACTAGTGACTAGGCTGCCGACCACTTGACTTCAAAGACTTGATTATGACACCCTCCCTTTTTCTCACTGCACATATCTCCTACATACTCTCTGTTTCTGCCCCCGTGTCTCTCATTCCTTCATGGAAGCCCTGAACCTGATGACCAATCCCTCAGTGGCCTCTGCATCGATGTTTCCCTCCGTTTCTCCAGCGCTGTGTATATCGTTTCCTTTCATTTTCTTTTCGTATGTTGCGACCACATTGGTCTCCTATGGATTCAGCTCCTTGCCCAATACCATTGGCCTGGAGCTGAGGATTTTGGTGTCTCTTGTCCGTTGTCTTTGCCTGTGTAGTGTAGTTTACAATAATCCATAATTGAGTTAAATATGTTCATCTCTCATGGCGTAGCTATGAGCACACGTATACACCGGCTTTCAGGCTTATCCAAATCTTGATACATCCAAACTTTGGACAAATTACAAAAGTGAAGCGAAAAGAAAGCTCCATCTTCTAGTTGGGCTTGGATTGGACTCATTTGCCTCAGAACGCACTTGCTATGATCTTTCAGCCCTGTATCTCTGGAGTGCGGGTAGAGACCGCGCTGCTCTTTGGCTTTCAAGGCCCAGGTCCATAGTTTCTTATTGACAATGGACATCTCCGCATTTTGAGAACGTCTCGTGTGCAGTTGATACCGAAACGCACGAAACCCCAAATTCGCACCACTGTGAGATTTCTTGCCACAGTGTAGTCCATTTTCACCCCTATATTCTACGTTTTGTGGCTAATCCCTTCTTCCCTTCCTAGCTAAGAGACCGACTATTGAATAAATATTGAATACATCTAAAAAGCATCCGAGAGGGCTGCTAAAAAAACAATACTAAGCGGCTGAATTTCTTGTTTTGTAGGGATGTACCAGTGTAGACTGTCAGGGCTGGGAGCCAAGGGGCCCAAACAGGCTTAAATTCCACTTCAATCAATGCGGATTAACTAGAACTCTCGGTCAGTTCTCCGCAAACCCGAGAAATCAAAAACACAAAATTTGTTGTAAACGCGAGAGTCGCTGCTGTACTTCCAATTTCAAGCACGTCATCTCCTCTCTAATAGCAGTATCAGAGGATTGCAGGGTTTCAGTAGAAGGTGAATTTTGCCATGGCGAGCCAGGTTTAGAGCTTTTAGTTGAAAGATATAAATCAATCGCTTGGTTCTGTCGCTCGGTGAGGTAAGAGCATATTTGCACGATAGAGACGAGCTGGATATCACCTAATGCTCCTCTATCCGTCTGGCTGCTTAGAGTTGCGTCATGCTCGAGAATATCTAACACTGAGATATAGATATTCATGAGGGAAGAATAACAGCCGATAGATAGATGACAAATGACGCTGTCAAATGAATTAAATTCCACCAGCGATGGCATAGTTGTCGTGGGCATCGCTCCAATATTCGGCGGCAGATCTCGTAAGATTTCTAGCATAAAGTGCGAAGCTGAAAAGAGATAGTAAAGCACACCACCAGGTGTTTTGATATCAGGCTGCTGTGTTGGTTGGGCATTTGAACATTGTGTCGACTCAAATGAACTAAAGCCAGTGGAGCCGTGGGCAAGCCACGAGGCAACCGAATCAAAAGCAATAGCATCTATGAGTGGCTTGGTACTGATGCAGACTACTTCGTGCCCGGGTTGAATTGAGGATCGTGATGGACTCGCGAGCTCTTCGGCTGAGCGACACAATCTCGAGAGACGAATGCTGAGTTGAGAGAGTTGCCCAATGACGACGTCAGAATCAGCTCCACTACTGCTAGCTTCACTGATACTACGTCGCGCATCAGTATGTTGAGTTTGTCCAAGCAGATCAGGCGATGCTTGAACTGGAACGGAGCCAGCCCATCCAGGGTCCTCGGCTACATCCTTGGGAAACTGCCAATCCATGAGCAGACCTGGGATACCGGAGACACATGAAGGCTTGATAGAATGTATGATCGATCGGCCGGCTATTGCCCTGGGAGATGCCGGTGGGGGTGAAATCAACGGTGGAAGTGGAGTTGATGGTGGATCATGATCTGCGGCGATAGGCTCGTACACGCTCGGCCGACCTTTGGGTAGGGAGAAGCTATATATACATGGTACATGTTTTCGCTGGCAGCGTATGCATGCACCTGTATTTTCAATGCCGGTACGTGCACATCGTAGCTTCTGGTTATGGCAACGGTCGCATGAATGCCGCATGGGTGTTTCCGTTTGGCGCGGCATTATCAGCGAAATATGAGTCAAAGGATCTCCGAGTGCAGAGAATGAACTATTACGTATAATTGAGGTGTTGCGCAGTCCCTTATAAGTGAAATGAGTAGTTGTTTATTCCGCGGGGCAATGCGAGGGGTTGCGGGAGCAGATATATCTGAGCACCTTCAATGCGCGATCTTTATCACGCTTACCACGCCAAGCAGAAGTCGGAATATCCTGGGGAACGTACGAGATAAATGAATATATATATTTCCAGACTTCAAATCTAAGTCGAATAATAGGCAAAAATATTGAACGCTGCCGTAAAAATCAAATAATACAATGCTCGAATATTAAAACGTATTTACACCACCATAGACCAGCTTAGGCTATCTGTATGTAATAATCAAGCTATAGCAACAATATCCTCCTTTCCGTCACTATGAATCTTCTTCCAGGGAAGAATCAAACTTAGTACAAAAGCAGTTCCGAACATTGCGATGGAAACAGCGAATGCGGCTTTGAGACCTTGCATATATGCAAGTATGATGCCAGGAATTTCTTCCGCAGGGAAGACAGTTCGAAGCTCCGTGGAACCTGTAGCGTAAACCGCCAGCGGATTAACTCCAGGGGCAGTCAAGGGCAAAGTAGCAATGAGTCTGTTGACAAATGCCGATTGGGCAGCCGAGATGCTGAATGCGCCCCCAAGTGTTTGGAAGACTTTACTCATATTAGCTTTGCATAAAACTGGGCATAAATGGCCTTGGAAGTTCAAGAAGTATCTTACAATAAAGAATTGCGGTGACGGTGGAGATGTCTTCCGCATCAACCTTGGCGTGAGCAATATTGAGGCAGTTCTGATATGGAAACGCGATAGCTGCTCCTGCAAGGATTTGGTATCCAATCCACTTGGCAGTAGAAGTGTGGGTGTTCATTGTGTAGAAGAGACCACTCGCGACTGTCGCAACCGCTGCACCTAGAGCCATGAATGGCGCCGGGCGCCCGGTGATGGTGACGGCGATGCCGCCGGCGAGAACAAAGATTCCGATGGCAATCACCATGGGTAGGTTATCCACACCGGACTCAATGGGATCGGCTCCCTTGACACTTTGGAAGTATTGAGGAAGGTAGTAGAGAAGTAAAAAGAACGAGCCAGCGAAGAAAAACTGGTAAAGCGATGCGGCCCAGAGGTCGCGCTGCTTCAATAATCTCGGCACCAGCATCGCGTATTCGCCCTGATAGGATTCCCAGGCAAGCATAGTCAAGGCAATTACAACAAAGCCAACAAGGAGCCCTATCACTTCGCTGCTTTTCCAGGCGTAGGTGGTTCCCGCGTACTGCAGCGCAAGGATGAAGCAAATGATGCATGCCATTGCAAGGGCAATGCCCACAGGATCGATCTGTAAGAATTTCTCTTTCCAGGTAGCTTTTTGGACCTTGACAGCACTTGGTAGGTGGAAAAAGAACACGATGATAAGCGCAACGACACCTCCGATTGGAAGATTGATATAGAAACACCAGCGCCAGGTCACTTTATCCGAAAACACACCACCAAGGAGTGGACCGGCCACGGCAGCGACAGCATAGGTGATTCCAATTAATCCCATGAAGGTTGGTCGCTTTCTTGGCTCAGCACAGAAGGCAACAATGGTAGTTCCGCCGGTCGCGATTCCAGCACCGCCAACGCCGGAGATCGCCCGGCCAACAATTAGGGCATTGGAGTTTGGTGCGACACCACATATGAGACTTCCGAGCTCGAATAGGAAGAGTGTCGCAAGAAAGGTTGATTTCAAGGGGAAATATTTGTATGCTTTGCCCCAAGAGGATTGGAAACCACCCAGACACATGAAGTATGCTGATCCATACCACGAGACTTCTGAAAGCCCATGGAACTCATCAGTAATTTTCGGAATGGCGGTGCCGACAATGGTCTATCCAATGTTAGAAACTAGTCAATAGAGATAAGGAGTTCTAAGAGTACTTGCCTGGTCCAGAGCGATCAGGAAGACCGACATCATAACCGAGCCAACAAGGAGCCATAGGGTCAGTCCTGTGGGATATTTATCTTCAATGGAGGCTTCGTCCAGCAAGATGGGCTCATTGTCGCCCTTCTCGTTTCCACTTGTTTCAGACATTATACCTAGCAAAAAAAAAAAAAAAAACAAAGTCTTTTAAACACTTTGCAAGTTGATGAGACCCTGAGACTTGAGGGTAGGGTGATGCTTCTTTTGTATTCAATAAGAAATCAAACCCCAGTCCTGACAATATAATACATGATCTAAATGATGGGTTTAGTTAGGGCTTCGGGACAACTTTATGCAGTTCTTCGGTGTATTATTCAGCTTTGGTCAACGTTGATTGGCTCCATGGCTGTCATTTAGGCCGATTCAGCGAAAACATCCCTACCAAATCGGCACTGACATGACACTAGCCAAGTCGGGGCAACCATCGCACCGCATGGGTGACCAATGGAAGTTTGAAATAAGATCTGAATTGAGTTTCTCGGATGTCGCTCGCGCGTATCGGTGGCCTCTAGCCGAAAGCGAGGCGAAGAATTCGCGAGCAACAGTAGTGCAGAGCACCCATTCTGGATATTCACTGCTCTGATCGCCTCTTCGTAGCGCATTCTAAAAATACTATACTTTGACATTCCAACATGATGTGGGGTGTCCCATGCATTCAAAGTAAGTTGCTCATAAGCAACATTGTCAGCCGCTTATATGGCTTTCATACTTATATAAACGTAGCGAGATAGGGCTTGAGTAATCTGGATATCAAGATGCTTCATGGCAATATTACAGATGACGACTACACTGAAATCTTCTGGTATGTCTTTTTAGATGTCTTTTTTCCTGGTCATTAATTGTAATGTAAAGTGTCGGATGGGCCGAAAGGAATAATTCCAATCAAATGGCAACTTGATATATATCATCAATTTCTATGCTATAATCGGTACAAGCTTATTTGGATAGCCAAATCTCAGTTGGCAATACAAGTCAACAGGACCAAAGTTCCCAGTGGTGGCTATGCGCTGCACAAGCGTCGCTCCCAAGCCTCGAGACCTATACCCAATCATTTTTACCACACGATGCCTGAAGATAGTCGCTAGAAGTACTTTGTTTCATTGGGCCTGAGACAGTTTTTTCTTTTTATTTTTCAATCTGCCTTACCGGGGACTTTCGAGAGTCTCTCTTGAGCATGGTGATCGTTTAGACAAAATAAAAGTCATTAAAGAGCCTCTTTCCTTCTCGTACGGCTATAAGTTGGCGTTAATTCTAAGGTGAGCTTCTGATGAGGCAAACCAAAATGACTCCGATGATGCGTAGCTGACGAGGGCTGTATTCGGAAAGATATACGATCTGTTCAGAGACAAGCTATTGACTGCCAGTCACCGCTATTAAATTTCGGAAGCGCTCATCAAAGAACCCGATTCATGCTAAAAGCTCGTTTGGTATGCACGATTCTTAAAAGCAGTCAAAATACCTTTGACGGCTCAACAACGCATTTTCATTCGCAAGGGTAATCGCCGTCCCCCGAGACGGGCGAGGTCCTGCCATCTTCGGTGCGCAAATATTACAATGGATGAGAAAATACCTGTGCACGTTTCTTCTCACACAATAAGGCATTCAACAAACTGATGGAAGACATTTGTTTCCATCTTGTGTCTGAGAAGCTTTACAGCAATTCTCAAGTACTCGTACAAAACCCATCGGGCATCCTTGATGAGTTGAAGTGTAGGGGGTTTGACGTTGCGCGTGCTCGAGGTAAGACTTACCATTCTCATCAAGCCATAAATAGAACTATTTACTGCTAACTTCCAAGCAAGACTGGCCTACAGCTCTGAAACCTCCAAATTATCACCCTCAGCCTGCCATCCTACAAAAATAGAGCCAGCCGCACTGTCTCACGCAAGGCATCTCTCCTATTGATAGCTTCTGATTATCTCAATCTTCGCGCGCAGTTAGGACCGGGGGCCGGGGTCCTAACTGCCGCCTGTTCCCATATTCAGACATATCTGTCGGTTTCTTTGATACGAGGTTGAGGAATTTTATATGGTTTTTAGGTTGGCCTGAGGGAACTATCAAAGAAGGGGTTTTGACTTTCCTGCGTTATCCCTGGGTAGTGTTGAGATGGAGGAATGGTTCAAGTAGAATTTTAAATCTATGGAAGAACCGTGGGCCCATAGTATACAAGAATGATTGGCTTGTCTGGCACTTTGAAAGTGACTATTTTTACTCAGATATCCTAGACATGAGTGAAGTCCCCCCATATACCTAGGTAGATTTATACAGAGAAATTGAGTTTTCTCCGGAACGTTTCCACATTTTGAGATTTCCAGGCAACTCAATTTCTCTCGCTTATTTTCTCTCCATTCAAGTGATAGATATTATATATATTAATAGGAAACCCTCTTATTTATTATATATATTATTAGGCAACCCTCTTATTTATTCTGTTGCCTAAGGCTGTACAAAGCACTGAATTAGGAGCCCGTATCCCAATAGTATCCACAACATAAGCTTTTGCTACAGTTCCTACAAAGCTTGGCCTTGGGCTTAATACTTTGAGGGATTCTAATTACCATATCCAAGGAGCATATTCCATGTATCTAGTATTCTTTGAAGTATCAAATGAAATTAATAAATATTCAAAAAAAGAGAAAGTAAGATTCATTTTCTGTGGGGCCAGATGTTGGGTTAGTGGAGGCGTGCCGTGTCTCTGGATGCCTATTGTCTACATACGGACCCTGAAGTAGTTGCCCCGTCTTTCTCTTTCCCTTTCAATCTCACGCTTGTCCTGTGCCACACGCATTGCTTCATGTCTCATTCTTTATTTTCTTAACCATCGCTCTTTTCACCATCCAATTCTCCATCTTTTTTTTTCCCAACACATTCACTTACCAAACAATGGAGCTTTCCGCACGACATGCTCACTCAGTCCCTCTGGATACAAAGTCATTAGGACCAATCTCAACTTTGGCACCCTTTTCGGCCTTGATCATCTCCATCGTGCTGGTCATCTTCTTCTTCCTTCGCTTCTACCTCCTCGAAGGCTTTCTCATCCGTCGTCTATATGGCCCCATCTTCACCCAGATGAGCGAGCTAAACCGTCGAGGCTTCATCAATCATCATATCGCCGGTGTCACCAAGCTCATCATTTTGATTGTCGCCGCATACCCCTTCATCAGTATTACTTTCTGCAGAGGCCCGTCATTCAACACGCCCTTCGTCCATGGCTCACCCGTGACACTGGGGGATATTTTGATTGTTGTGTCTCAAATGTTGATTGGTATCTACATTTTTGAGTTGATCTACCGTGTGAAGTTGTCCCCCGTGGCTGTGATGCACCACATTGGGACAATATTCATTGGTCAAGCGGCCATAGCGATCAGTCTGCGACCGCTACGTGAACCGGATGCCTACATTGAGTTTGCCCTCTGTACTGTCTGGGGTAAGTATATGGGGCTCTGCTCTGCCGATGAAGCGAGAGAGACAAATATACTAATCCATTGGGGGGTTAGGTGCATTCGACGCTGTTTTCGAGTTATTCCCCCATGTCGCCATAGTCCTTTACCGGATCTTTCCCAATAGCCACCACTTTCTCAGCAATGTTTTCCTCTTCTCGTGTTTCTCAACCGCATTGGGGACGGCCGCCGAAACTGTTGTGACGATGTGGCTGTTTGCAAGTACGTGGGCCCGCTGGCGACTTGCCTTTAAGATTGTCACCCCAATCTTGCATGTGGCATTCTCCGCAGCACAAATACATGGCAGCCTTGTCTTCTGGCGGATGTACCGCCGACAAAAGCGCCTCCAGAGGGAGACCGACGCCGAAGCAAGAGATAGCGATTTGAAGGGGGAAACTGAGAGCTCAATAAATGATTGTCAATGTGAACACCCAAGTGGGCAGAACATGGAGGGGGAGGTCAATCATGAATTGGTCACGGTAAAATCAGGGGTCCCAGTTGTTGCTGCTGTTGAGAGGTCATGTTAGTGTGCCTATGTGTGGGTCATCTACGACAGCGTGTATACTGTACAAGTATTTCTTTCCGTCTTTTCACATTCAGAGTCCATTAAAGATTTGCTCCTGTTTTGTGTAGATATTCGAACCGGGCTTCAAGAGTATGTCAAAATTAGGCTACTTATATACTGATATGAGCTAGATCTCAAATATGATACTCCTAAGCGATGTCTCTAATCTCAATTGTGGAGTAATAAGACGAGGTCCCTTTCTTCTTTTCACCACCTTCATATGGTCCTAATTCTGACCTAGACGGGTAGAAACATTGCATTCTAATAACGTAGGCAGCCGGGACCAAACGGTCACTGCTCCAGAACATTCTTCTCAAGACGTTTGGAATGGGATTGTCCCGTCAAAAGTCTCAGATTCTGCGGCAACAGAGACCGAAGCCGATTGGTGCATTTTTGGTTCCAATTAATATCCACTATCAACCTGTTTGATAATTAATAAGTTCTCTGTGGCGTAAGCCTCATATATTTCTGTCGGATTTCTGTGCATGGCTCGCGGGACCTGAAGATTAGTAACTCTAAGTATCTTGTGCATATTCCCTTTTATCAATGTCATTAGCAAAGTCACCGATACCGGGTCAACCACTTCCATTATGCTCGTCAGAAGCTCTGGCTAAAACTCTTGTTCAGGGCTTCTGGCCTGCAAGTGATCTTTTAGGAAAAGTGATACCGAAAGTAGAATATCATGTATCAGTGGAGATTACTCAACGGCTCCTATGATAGGTCATTTGAGCATGCAGGTGGCATTGCAGCTTGACACGCTGTACAGATACCATATCAAGCTCGGCTGGGTTTCTTAGGGCAAGGCTGGAAGGGTCTGCAGGACCATTCGATTTTGAATCCCAGAAGCTTAGCCCTACCTAGACTTTAGGCGTCTAGTCTGCCATTCACCGCCCTGTATACTCCCCCAAGACTGAAGGCGGTGAAGGTATCCAGAATGTGAGTCCATCTATGGGCGTGGAAATATGTAAGTAGGTGACGTCCCACAGGCTACCTACATGAATAGCCTGTAAACCTTGGAAGTTGAGCTGTATATGATCAGTAAATTTGCAGTCCTTGGATTGAATGCTTGACTCAATGTATTCATTCCTCCATGCTTACTGCAAAGATCATGGAGCCTGAAGCTATTCAGGAGTGCGAAAACTGCGTGATCCCTGCAGTTGCAGATTATTGATCTTCCACGTGCCACACCAAGGCGGTGAACTCTCATTTTCCGGTGTAGGTGATTGTGATATTCGGTGTTTCAGTTCGTCGTTGCCTGCTACCAATATTTGTTCCCGTCGGATTCCATTTCTCGCGTCGAGGCCTGCCAAATAAGGATTCTAGTATAACGCTGCTGCGATGCCTGGCAAGGCCGCGGCAAAAACTCGATTATGTTCGAGGGACCGCTTATCCTCGGGTATTACCGGCTGATTCGGTTGAGGCTTGAAGGTATTGTGGCTGCCGCCACAATCCGTCCAAAATGGTTACTATGTCAACGATTCAGCAAAACACATACAATACCAGAAAAGAAATCAAGATAATCTGTGGTAAAATTAGGTCTGTTAATCACAGTGCAGCGTCCGATAATAATAGAACGTGGAGGCAAGACCTCAAGACCCAGGCTTGGGCGTGGTCACCTCTCATGAGAAACAAGACTTGTTCTCCTTTCCATTCCCATTTCCTCCTCGATATCATAAGATCATGAAATTGCATCCATTAAGATAATGGTACCAGTGATCATCATCATTTCATCATCATTCGTTGCAGCAATTGGGATATTCGAAATTCTCGAACCACCCCTAGCTGGTCTTCTCATGCTTCTCATGCTGCTTGGCCATTCGCTGCAAATCAAGACCTACAATAGGTTAGTTTGCTGTTCCAACGATTCGAGCCACAATTTATTCCCTGCTAACTCACCGAAGTCCTCCCAGGAGCGCTCTCTGTCTCTCTTATGGGGACCTTTGCCGTGCATAAGATTGTCGAATCTTTGCGAGGTGTGCATCATGACGTAGGCCAGTGCGTTCACACATGTCACCCCAAACGAAAGAACCCATACGCGGAGGACAGTCAACCAGGATGTGGCTTGGCCAAATGCACCATATGCGGCCATCAGGGTTGCAGTCAAATTGACAGAAAGCACCGCAGCAACAAGGTGAATCGATGGGCGGTTGGCCGAGAACGATCCAGATTCGGATCCATTGACGCGAGTTATCAGAATCAACCAGCTCTGGGTCAGAGCGATTTCAAGGAATACAACCTCATCTCGTGAGCCCCAGCCTTCGATAACTCCTCCATCCTCGCCTTGCAACAGGATGGTGCCCAATGTCACCCAGGTACCGACTGCCAGAATGAACCCTAGAGCAATTGATTCTCCCCAGAGTCTTGGCTGGTTCCATTTGACGGGGGATTGAGAATACGTTGCATTGTCATAAGCGATAGCCAAGGTGGCAACGTCGGCAAAGATGGCAAGGAGAACAACGAGGCGGAGGTCGAGAGTCTCATTCTTGATCGCAATCCAGAGTCCGAAAAAAGCTTCCAGGTGAATGGAAAGGGCAATTCGAAACACGACATAGGAGTACATGCGATTGAAGATCTGGCGAGCGATCTTGATTGCCTCAATGATAGTTGACAGGCCAGGCGCCAAGAAGACAATATCAGCAGCAGAGCGGGCTGCATCGGATGCGCCCTCCACCGCAATACCTGTGTTTGCCTTCTTCAAAGAAGCGGCGTCGTTCACACCGTCGCCAGTCATTGCAACCAGATAGCCGCGTCGCTGGAGAATCTCCACCACACTGTACTTGTGCTGGGGGTACACTTCTGCAAAGCCATCTGCGGCTTCAACAAAATCATTCACCTCCGAGCCAGACATAGAGCCAGCGCCAGTGAGACCAAGCCGTTCAGCGTTGTAGATATTGGTTCCGAGACCGAGTCTACGTGCGGTTTCGCGCGCAATGGCCACCGCATCTCCAGTGAGCATTTTGACAGAGAGCCCCAGGTTTTGAGCCTCGGAAATCGTCTTCGCAGTGTCGTGGCGTGGGGGATCCAAGCATGGCATGATTCCCAGGATCTCCCAGGGACGTCCTTGGCGCTTGCGAGCAACTCCCAGTGCACGGAATCCTCGATTGGCAAACTCGGTGACCTTTGCCTCGTATTCGGCGAAAAACTGCTCGCACAGGGTGGTTTCCTTCTCCACTGTTCTCAGGATGGTCATGGGAGCACCCTTCACACAGATGATCTTCTCGCCATTCGGGGCTTGCACATATGCAGTCACTTTCTTTGACACCGGATCAAACGGAACGAAGTCAAGAGTCTTGTACGAGGGAATCTGATCTTTGGCCCAGGGGTACTGGCGGAGACCCTTGAGGAACACCTTGTCGATAGCATCGATCCCGCCCTTTTTCGAGTGGCCGCAAGACAGGCAGTCAGCATAAGGTTTTCTGCGTCCATTCCAGGGGCTATGTATGGATCTCCCAATGTCAGTCTGTTACGTGTCAATGTTCCCGTCTTGTCCGAACAAAGTATCTGCGCCCCAGCCAACGACTCAATAGCTGAGAGATTTTGCACGATAGCCTGTTGTTTTGCCAGATAAGCTGCACCCACGGCCATTGTTGTGGTGACAACAACAGGAAGACCGACGGGGACTCCGACGACGGTGATCGCAAGCGTGAACTCAAGTATCTGGACAATCGGGTTTGAGCGATAATAACTGCTGATCCAGATAACAAGAAGGGTGAAAACCACCAGCATCAGAAGAACACGGGCCATTTCGCGCAGGACACGAGTGAAGTGACCAATGGTATTGCCAGCCTTGCTAACCAGGACTGCTGTATTTCCGACAGAGGTGTGATCACCAATGGCAGTCACAATTATGAGGCCAGTTCCACGTTTGACAGCCGAGGAAGCAAACAGGATATCTCCTTTATGCTTATCCACGGCGAGACTTTCCCCCGTTATTCCAGACTGATCAACTTGAATATAGGCCCCGTCGCCTACCAGTCTGCCGTCTGCCGCAATGATTGTGCCCTAAAACGAATATTAGGCTCAACGTGTTTCTTTTTCTCCCCTCGCAAATCGCTATGGACTCACATCTTCCACATGAATGATATCCCCGATCACGACCTCTTCAGCACTTATCTCCACGATGGAGCCGTTGCGAACAACCAGAACTCTCAGGGCAAGAGTTTCTTTGAGGCTCTCGACAATGTTGCCTGCCTGGTACTCCTGGGCAAATCCGACCATGGCGTTCAATAGGAGCAGACCACAGATTATTCCTAAGTCGATCCAATCGTGCAAACCGACGGCGAGCAGGATCGCAACCTGGAATTAAGAAGATTATGAGCATATGCTTTTGCCAAACAGACTACATGGTCAACGGTAAATGAGCAATCTTACCTCCATCACCCACTGGACCGGGCCATTGAAAAAGGCGAGAAAATTAAGAAAGTGGTTTCGTTTCTGTTCCTTCATACGATTCCAGCCATACTTCTTGCGCCGAATCGCCACCTCTGCGTCACTCAGGCCCTTGTCGACCTTGGTTTCCAGCATATCGGCAGGAATTGGGCAAGGTTCCCCAGCCCGGATCGTGATTGCGTCCACGTCAGTCTTATTTCCGTCTTCGTCCTCGATGTCCTCAAGGAGGCAATTCAGGGACTCTTTGGTTTCTTCCTGGAAAGAGTTAAGAGGCTTCACCGTCTCGGGGAGAGAAAATTCGTCATTCTCTTGAGCCCCAATGATGTAATCTTTGTTCTCGCTGATGGTGGATGCATGCGTTTCAGATTCGGAAGCAAGGTTAGGTCCTTGGGAATGGTCAGGGGGGGTCGGAGTACGCTTGGAACGGGCGCGTCGATCTTCCTGGACCCTGATTCCAGCAAGCAGACTGGAACGAAACAGTCTGACTTGGTCTTTCTTCTCGGCTAACAAACTGTCGCACTGTTCACCTTGGTCTCCCTGTTCACTGGACGAATCATCCAGGCTGCTCAGGCTTTCACGGAACTTTTGATATGCCTCCATATCTTTCTCTTCTTGGGAAGCATCCTGCTGTGCATGAGTATCATTCTGCTGTTCCTCCCCGGGAATTGTAGCTTTGTTCGAATGGAATGGAGGTCTATCAATCAGCTTGGACGAGAAAGGCCGCTCTCCGCTGAGGTCCGAGTCCGAAGGACCCAACGGATCAGTCGAGGACTTAGGGATCAACTGTCCCAGGCTACTGGTCTGGATTGGGGGCAGTTCCGAATGGTCCCGTCGCTTGAAGGGACTGCGAGACTGGCCACGTTGTTGGTTCCGTTCCTGGGAACGGCCGCGTTGCTCGCCTTGAAGCACGCCTCCATGCGGCGGAAGAATAACGGAACCCGAACGTTCCTCTTCCGGCCGGTCTTGAGTTGGAGGCTTGTCTGGCGGATGACTCCTAAGCGGCGCGTTTCGTGGGTCCATCAGGTCAGACTTGGGTCTGGCCATGATGGCGAAACGGCTGCAAGGACTGAAAGAATCAGCAAACTGTCAAACAACAAAACACAAATTGTGTTCACATGCTCATACAGGAACTATGTGGTGATACATCATTGATCTGATACAAAAAGGCGGGATACAAGGCGGATGGGAAGGCGCAGTGCGAGACTTGCTTCCCTTCGGACAAAAACACCAAGCTCCCGACAGACGGTATAATCACAGCGCAAGAACATACTTACCTGAAAGAAGTGATTTATGCTCTGGCGTTAAGTGATATGATGACTAAATGTGATGGGAGATAAGAGGTATTGCGAATGTCGCGAGTGTTGCGAGAGGAAGAAGGAGAAACGCCGAGGACCGAGTATTTATGTTGAAGGAGCGACTCTCAAGGGCCAGGCGCCAACAACCATCGAGAGCATTCCCCATTACAGACGCCTGCCTACGCCTGCCTGCGCTTTGTTCGATAGATGCCATCATTATCATTCTATGGGGAACGAGCCAATACTACCGACAATGGCCTCTTTCTATCGTCTATGGGAATTCACCAAGCCCACACCAATGAGACTGAGAATACCGCTCAAGCCCGGGGGTTGAAATCGTATATAGGCTTATCACAGCCTGAGCATGAGTCTCTAGGCTACGATGCGACAATGATATATCGCGTAGCCTCTTGAGGTCTGAAGTCATGATGTGGCATGGAAGGAATTAGGGGGGTGATGTTACGGAGATCCTTCCGAGCCCGCAAGAAGCGATACGGCCGATAAGGCGTATCAGCTTATCGCAGCCTGCCCGTGACCACCGATCAAAATGGGAAGCTTCGATCTGCTACCTGGACGAAATATTTCTCATGGATATTGTCGTTGCCTGTGAGTAGTGTCGCGACCTACACGCAGAAGCTCAGGAATATGACACTGAGGTTATCAGCACAACTTGTGAGGATGTATTGACTATTCGCTTCCCCAGTTTTCTTTTCAATTGAAAAGCACGATCATTCAATTATCGACATGTTTGACTTTGAATGTAGTAAGCCATATTCGGGAATTGGTATATTCATCCAATTGGAGTACAATTACAATAAAACTAACCCAAGAACAATGCATGTTCGCGTATAGATCAGCGTGGTCTACTTAGGGCAGAAATCGAAACTAAGGCCTGAGGCAGGAATTCCGTCTGACTACCGATATTACATAATCTCACGTCACTCCCGAACTTTCAGATTCAATAATGCGGTCGGATGTCTGTTCATGTAAATCGATTCGAGATCTCCGGCATCTCATATTAATTAAATAGACTTGTCACTGTGCTTATATTTATCTGTGCCGAGGCTAAATCCACGATGGTCGTTCGTTTGTGCTAGACACTCGAAAGTGGAAGTCTCATGACCATTCGATTACTTGAACATAGCTGGATTCTTCTCTCACTCTTTCTGCATTCTCCCTGATCTTTACCTTCTCGACATCGGGTGTCATATGCATCTATGGCTCGCGAAATTCCAGGATTCTATTATGGTAAGTCATGTTGTGATAAGTTTCGTGCCTTCTGCCAAAGTACGCGAGGGCAGTACGTAAAGGCGTGTTCAGCTGTGTGCCGGTCTCACACACAGGCTGTATCGTGCTGTATATTCTATATGCTACTGTTTTAACTGTTCGGCGATCAACTACCGGCCACAAGGCACGAATTTCTGTGTCAACTCATGCTGACCAAATATCACAGATGAGGAGAAGAAGAAGTACTTCAAGATTCAAGCCAACCATGTCGCACCTCCAAGTGCACAATATACACAGCAATCCGTGAAGCGAAAGCGGTCGGAGCTGAAGGTAAGTAGGAGGGACTTATGTACATTATTACATGCGCTAATCAATCGTAGACACGTGAAAACAAGACACGATTAAGACAACGTGAGAATAATGAGAAGATCAGAAAAGCCGCGTCGTTGAGGCACCCTTTGGTCAATGTTCAAAGAGAGATTGGAGTTCTTGTATCCTCCTCCAATGCCAGGCAAGAGCAGCAGACTCGCATTCAGGCCAGCCAAATGCGTCGTGGGGAACTTCATCGTTTTGAGCCATGGCCCAACTCGTACAGCATCCGACATGTCTTGCGTAACCCACGTTCTGGGACATTGATTGCCGGTGAGTTTCATTGGCTTTTATTATCCCGATACGTGGCTGATATGCATGACAAGGCTCGGCTCGTGGATATGAATCGTCTGTATCGTAAGTGGATGGGTTTGCCGCGGTCAATCATCAAATTATCACACTGACTAGGGAATAGGGTCTGTTTCCCTGACATTGACGAGTCACAGTGGAGCTATGATCACACCATGGAACGGGTTCTATTCAGAGAGCCGTACTGGGTGAGCACATTTTCCCCAGCACTTGCTTCCACTCAAGGCATGTTTAACATCCCGTTAAGCTAGGATCGATGTCTCTAAGCCCATCAGGATATCTACTGTATGTCACCATACAAAAATATTCGATAGACTCACAGCTAACAGTTCCAGTGCAACAATGAACGAAGGGCCGCAAGGCGACTGCTTCCTTTCGGCGCATCTCCTCCCAGAGCCCGATGAGGGCGGCAACTATGTCTGGCCAACCTGTACGATTCCATCTTCATCTCTAACCACAGAAATTGTGCTCATCCCAGACTTTTCAGTCTCTCACCCAATTCGAATCAGACCCCACTACCCAATGTCATTCTGGTGTTCCGCAGCTCAGCCCACAACATCAAGCGCACACTTCGCCATAGGAACATCAGAAGGGCTCCACACCTTAGAGGGTACCAGCAACCATTGGAGCCTATCTAAGAAGCCATTCAAGGGTAATGCGGTTTCAACAAGCAACAGAAGACGCTCGGAGAACAATCAGAGTAAAACCAGCGTGCATGCCGTGGAATGGATGTCTCCAGACGTGATTGCGGCGGGACAGAAAAACTCCAAAATCTTCCTCCACGATCTGCGCAGTGGTGGCAGTGCCACACGTCTCCAACACAACGATGCCGTGATGGCAATAAAGAAGATGGATGAACATCGGCTCGTGGCAGCGGGACCTAGCTCGGTATGTAGCGCTGTCTGCTCTACCTTCTTTTGTCCCCTACGCGACACGGCGTCAGCTCATGGCTGACATTCATCTCAGCTACGAATGTATGACCTCCGCTTCGCGCCGGAGGCGCTCAAACGTCATGACTCCTCGAAGTCCTATCTCAATTTCCATGACTTCTCCTCACTTCCGTTCCCGACCTTCGACCTGAGCACCGAACTCGGTCTGCTGGCTAGTCGTATGTATCCCTTGAACATCAAAATGAACTGGTTTTTAGTTCTTCCGATGCTAACACACGCCTCGCTTTAGCCTCCCAGGACTGCAAAATCCAGCTCTTCTCTCTTCAGACCGGATTGCAAGTCTCCTCGCCTCTCACAAGGCATCAATATTCCTCGCCACCTAGCTGTGTGCGATTTGAGTACGGTAATGATACCCCAGAGTGGCGGGGCCCGCATGGACCGAGTTTGTTGGTTGGCACGGATGATGTAGTTGAGCAGTGGACCTGGTAGGAGTGGGAGGAATTCGAGCGCTGGTCGTTTCTTTTGACATTCTATTTTTTCTGGTACGGGGGACCTGCGCATGGTCTTTGGTGTTCCTTGGGGACTTTCTTTTCCATAGGTTTTCTATCATGCGTCGGGGTTGGAAATCAGCATGAGAAATTGTGTTGCATGGTGATAATTTCTCTGCATGAAAGCATGCATTGTGTGAGGTACACGAGATGGATAGCGACATCGAATCTCCAAGCATGTATCTCGCAAATCTACTCTTCTGCCCATAGGGACTGGCTATTCAAGGGCTATCACGATAGAAATCGGCCCTCTATAAGCGCATGAGACGACGATCTACGAGATTTTGAAGCATTTTACTACCATGTAGGCAATGATTGAGTAAAATGACAACATGGGTATAATTCACCGAACACAAAACCAGTACGCAATGCAGGGCTCACAAGCCAGGAACTCCCGTTGATAAATGCGACAACAAATCGTCAGTACAAGGACCAAGACAGCTCCGATGGTACTCCTTCGTCCCAAGAAACATCGAATCAGTCCAGACCACCAGCCAACCACTCACCAACCTCGACACCAATACCCTTAGCCAGCTCACCGACCCAGTCACCAGAAACATTGACACACCACTTATCTCCCGCGTCAGCAGTAGTATTTCCACTGCTAGTCGCCATAGCGTTGTGGCTAGCAGCGGGGACGACAAGCCGCAGACGTCGCAGTGTTGCCAGCTCGGCGTAGATACGGTCTGCGACGGCGGCAACGCGAAGTGGGGTTGCTGGGGGGGTTCGGATCAATCGCATGGTAGATGGCCAGAAGACGTTCTAGGGGGAAGGAACGAGCAGTGAGAATGGTAGAGGGACCGGCGATACCTGCGCCACCTCCAATAGCTGACGTGGTGGCCGAGGAGGTCGCGAAGGCTGAGGAGAGTGTTGATTTTGTGATACGGGTTTTTGTTCGCTTTCCTTTCTTATTGGGGGTGGAAGGGTCGTGGTTTGCGGCTTGTCTCTCTTCGGCTTGGGCTTGGGAGAGGACTTTCAAACGCCGGCGGTGGTGGGCACGCTTGTTCCGGGCCGAAAGGGATGACGAGGAGAACTTGGAGAAGAAGATTGTGTCCAGTCGTTGAGGCGTGTGTGAGGCCAGATATGCGGAAGTGAGGATCAGGGTCGAGAAATATGGCAGAGAAGGGAGCGCGGAAGGCATAGCAGTCTTTGCCAGCGGGGCCCGTTTCGCGTTGGCGGGAGACTCATCGGGGACGATGCGGTGCACTAGCGCAGACTCGCCCTGGTGTCGGAAGATAGCTCTGTTCTTGACAAGCAGCCGCGAGAAATCCCACTCATTGTTTCCGCCTGGGGGTGTCTCGCCATTTACTACAGGCGCAACAAACCGAGGCCAAAGTCTCTCACATATGGATCTGAAGTCCGGTATAGAACCTGCTGTTGGTCCGACCAATGAATCGTAGACTGTAGATACAAAGTACGGATATACCCGTGAGGAGGTTTCATCGGGCAACCCGTCAACGACAGGCGCATTCGAACTAAGAATGATGTGGATGGCCTCCTTGCGGGTATAGGGAGGGAAACTGACGTGCGGAACCGCCGCACTTTGGAGGAACAATGGACGTGGAGTCGAGCTGAGGACCAGAACAACACACAGAGACGGAATCTACAAATCATCGGGTTAGCCGCAACATTCTACACCCAGCAAAATAAACATCCAAAGCCAGAACTCACGATCTCACCCAGCCGTGCCAGCGCCGACAGCAGAGTATGCGGCGCCTCTCTTTGCCTATCTATCTCATCCAGTACCAGCACGAATTTGCTTTGGTCCTCAACGGGCCTCGCTGCCAGGCACTCCTCAAGCAAGACTGCAAGACCACTAACGTGCTCGCATCTTCCCTTGCCAGCTTTCTCCCATTCCTCCTTCTGACCAAGTGCCTCCAGTGTATTCCATAGGATTTTCGTCAGGAGATGCCGCCCCGTGATACATTCCGAGCTCCTAACAATGGCATGCGGCACTTCGAGTGTAGCGAGAACGGCCCGGAGAATAGTCGATTTGCAGGTCGCAGAGATGCCATGGACGACCACTGTTGGAGGACTAGGGACATGAGGCTATTCGAATGGCGCTGGAAGTCAGTCACTTTCTCCGAAGATGACTAGCGATTGTGAGGAATTCTTGTTAATATAGTGAACTCACACTTAAAAGACTGGCTAGCTGCCGCATTTGAACATCACGACAAGGCCATTGTGTGCTCAACGAGCTGGCAACCTCTTTTGGTAGCATGAGAGGCCCAGTCAGTTTGTTTTGGACCTCGTAGGCTGAATTGTCAAAAGCAAGTTGCGGCATCTTGATGAGTCTCCGAAGGGCGGCTCCTTTCGAACACACGTGATCACGCGTCGTGTTGCAAATTTGGCGACAAAACTAGAAAAATTTACCAAAACAAAGAGATGGAAATTTACGAGCATTGGAAGATAGGGAGATTTGTATGAAAACTTAATTCAGCTTTCCATTGCTAAAATACATGCAAAAAGCGTGTGCAGGTTCATGCATGACGACTAAGACCTGGCCCAAAGACCAAATAGCACCCATCATCAATCTTGAGCAGCAAGCTGACTAGGAGATAACCAAAGTCATTGGTGGATAAAGGCTCCAGAGCCAGTGTATCCACGCTCAGCTTGCATGCGATGAACCAATGTAAAAGAACGGGCACAACACAAAACGCAGTTCGAAAAGAGCAAGGCGCAAAAGTACAACGATGAATGGGTAAAAATAAGTTGAAAATCACAATGTGGAATGGGAAAAGGAAAAAAAAAAAAAAAGCAAGAAACAAGCATAAAAAATAAGACCCAAGCCGGGTGAACCAGACCTCATATCACAGCAATAGAATACTAGGTAGTTCCAATGAACGACCGAAAACTATCGCCAGATAACCCCATGTCCTCGACATGCAAAGCACTTATGGGAAAAACAGGGGGAGCAAAGGGGAAAACAAGAAATACATTGGGGAACAAAAGGAGCAGAGGAACATAGTTCCAACGAAGTCTGCATCATGCATGGGTCGCTTCATGAAAGATATGCAGTATGCAACATGGGCCAAATGCAATGATCATGGCACATTGCTTCAAAGGTGTATGCAGTAAAACGCAATGGTAAATCATCGGATAAATGATCATGGCATGTGCAATTGATGTAGGCCCAGTTCGATGACAGTGTAAAAAGCAACCGTAAAATCGTGAAAAAAAAAAAAAATGAAAAGGTTTCGTCGCATCGTCTCACTATGAGTACACTGGGGTTGTGAAAGACAAGCACTGATATAGGTGTCCCAAACCCAATCAGAAGTAGTTCTGGATTTGCTGAGGTCCAAGCTTCACGGACAGCTGGGAGGTGGGAGCAGTGTAAACAGACGAGGTGTCACTTTGACCCGAAGGGGTGTTGGAGACAGAGCTCTGGGAGGATTGGGGTACATAGGTCTGAGTGCTGTATCCGCTGGATGAGCTCGAAGACTGAGTACCAGGCTGATGGTATGTGAATGGCTTCTGCAGCAAGGTCTTGGGGATTTGTGCATTGCTGGTCATCTCATTGGGAGTAACCTGACCGCTGGTAGTAGCGCTGCTACCGTTGCTGCGGCTGTTCGTGTCCGCAGCCATGATCTTTCCAGCAATACGACGACCATGAGGAGTCTGGCGGATAGACGGAAGAATGGGGCGAACAGCCTCCACAATGCGGTTGCGAGTGTCAAGATCACAGAAGTCCATGGCGGTTTGAACGACATAGTTCGCAAATGAATCACGCAGCATCTTCTCAAGTTCATTACCCATGAGGAATTCTTCAATCATCTCACGCTTCATGTAGTTATCAGCAGTCCGGAGGCACTTCTCGATCACGTTGGAACTGAACTTTTGCTTGGACAGCTGAGGGATATTGCCTCCGAAGGTAGCACACAGCGGGTTGGTGAAGCTAGGCTCCGCAAGGTCTAAAATGTATTGCACAACATAATTGCCGAATGGATCCTGGACCAAAGCGAACGAGTGGGAGGTAATCTGCGAAATCAGACGAGCCTTCTGATGACCCGAAGCATGATCAATGCAACGTTGAAGGACACAACATCCATGACGATGAGTACCAACAACTACACAATTGCCTCCAACAGCTTCATAAATGAACTCGGCATCCTCAGGAGTAAGGCGGTTGAGGCATTTCTGAATAACGTGGTTGCCGTTTAGATCCTGCACCAGATCAACAACGTGATATTGCAACGCATTAATGACGGTTTGAGTCTGCTGGGGAGTCGAGATGAATTCAATCATCTTCTGCAGTGCACGCGTTCCATGCTGATTCAGGGCAATCTTGACCAACTCTGGGGCAGCATTGTCGATCAAAGCAGTCCGTTGTTCGTCATTGGAGTATTCCAGCAACTTCTGGCAAAGATAATTTCCGAACGGGTCTATAGAAGGAGAAAGATTAGCAACAATAATAGGAGGGCCAGGTGTTAGATTTGTTGCGTACCGGTCATGAGCTCAATGACATGCATGTAAGTCTCACTGAAAATGAGCTGCACGTGTTCCGGGTTACGCTCCTCCAACTTGCGCTGCAGGTATCGGCAACCATGCTGGTCCTTGCACAGACTGTACAACTCACCCTTGTAATGCTCCAAGGGGTAGTTGCCGAAACGAGTGAGCTGGGTAGCGTCATTCTCCTGGCGACGCTGAGCCATGCTGCCTCGGGCTGCAGGTTCATTAAAGCGGAACCCAGGACCATAGCCAGGATAGGCATTGTTGTAGGCGGAAGCTCCTCCAAAGTTCTGCATGTGACCATTGATCGGGGCTGCTTGGCCGACATAGGGCTGGATTCCATAATTGAAGGCAGGAACCGCAGGGACTTGGAATGGCAAACCCATTTGCACAGCGGAACTAGAAACGTGGTTGGTAGATGCAGCTGAACTGAGCTGAGGCCCGAAGGGTGGAGCGCTCGCATGCAGAGTCGACTGATTACCATAGAACTCGGTCTCCTCAAACTCGGTCTTGGCCTGGTTATTCACACCATTCTGGGGAATGCGCCCCATGCTTGTACTGTGATGATGCATGTGCTCATTGTGAGTCTTGGGAGGAGTAATAGCGTTGCCAGCTCCATTTCCCTTGATGGTAGGCAGATCATTGGTTGAGTATGACGACTGCAGAGCAGTAGGCCGGCTCGAGGCAACTGGGGTTGCTGTCTCATCATGGCGGTCATCATGGAAGGAGATCTGACTTCCCATAGAACGACGAGCACCGTGGCGTGAGGCGTGGATAGAATTGCCGTGATCCTCGTTATTCTGGCTTCCCACCTGGTCCAAGCGCCCAAAGTTGTGGATGTTCTGCGGCATGCTCTGGTGAGAAGATCGGTGTCGACTGTGGTTGGAGTAATTATCAGAGCCCGGGACAAGAGGATTGGCGAGATCATGAGCATCAGGATTTGCCGACAGCATGTTTGAATCACCGCGACGAGACAGAGTTGGGAATTTGTCATCAGGTTCGGTCAACTTGATATAGCTCTTGATGTCAGGAGTCGATAGGCGTTCCAGTTCCCTCAAATGGCCATGGGGCTTGTCCTCGTCACTGGGGAAAAGATACTTGGGGACGTTGAAGGTGTCAAGGCGTGATCCATTCAAGCCGGAGATACTAGACCGATGAGACTGGCCGTTCGGATTGCCGGAGGGCAGTGAGTATCGATGAACAGCACTGAATAAATATTAGCCAGGCACTCAATACCACAGCTCAAAAAGGGGGTTTCAACTCACGATGGACCCGATCGGAATGGAGAAGTAGGATCGGCAAGGAAGTCGTCCTTCTCGGAGTTTCGGCGCGAGCCGGGGACAGAGTGTCCGGCAAATCGATCAATCGAGGGCTGGGCGGGCTGTGAAGCAGCCTGGGGCGAAGTCAAGTTTGAAGGAGCAAAAGCGTTGAAGAAGCCAGGCGAAGAGGTCACGCTCGAGGTGGAGAAACGAGCAGGGCGACTGAATGCACTCGACACGGTAGTATCACGGTACTCGGGCGGAGTGGTTGGTTCACTGACTGGGCCAGAAATGCCAGCCTGAACCAAGTCCCGAGCGAGCTGGTCCATTTCCAGTTTCTCGCGGGCGTGCTGGAGATCCAGCATTTTCATGTCTTCTTCGAAACGGCGTTTCTGCTCACGCATGTACTCGATGTGTTGTCTTTTTTTCTCAAACTGCTGAAGAGGTCAGATATGATTCCCAGAATGAATGGTTAGAGCGAAAGGTTCGGGAGGTTTGGGAAAATATCAGTTTGAACGAAGTGAGAAAGGTGGATGTCTCAAAAACAACTCAATCAAAAAAAAGTCATCAAAATTGCACAAGAGACGCCCGAGAAGATACTTCAAAAGACACTTCACCAAAGGACACTTAAGAAACAGATATCTTCAAAGACTCCCGAGACAATTGCTAGGCATGAGGAAACACGAACCAAAGACAGGATGTGAAGTCAAGAAAAAAAGGCAACGGAAAAGTGACGCAAAGGCAACGGCAAATGAAGATGATTCAGCAAACAGGCAGCGAGCTTGTTCGGACCTGAAGATATGAAACAGACGCAGATGTTATGAGGCAGAAAAGAAGAGAAAGGGGAAAGCGCCTGTCTGTAGGTTTTATACCAACCCGAACCAGATTGGAGCCTAGCAGGCAAGAATCGATTTCAAGCCTGAATAGGCTCAGAATGGAAGGGATCGAAGCACCAATGGTAGGTGTCAATCACGCCAATCACTTCGGCAGGATGCCTAAATAGCGAAATGGAAAGGGAACTGATGTATAGAAAACAATGGAATAGTCGAATAAAGGAGATAAGGATGCTGAATGATGATGGATAAATGGTGATGGATGAAGGAGATAAGAATGATGAATGACGATGGTTGAATGGTGATGGATGAATAGTGATGAGGACAGCCTTGTCAACTTGAAGGAACACGTGCAGTGATATGCCAGAAACTGACAGAGCTTCCAGCCCCTCTGTCAAAGAAGCTTGCAGGACAACACCAATTCATACAAGTCCATTCATTCATCGCCAACCAACATTCAATGGGAAAAAGACAGGTATGGGGTCCAATGCACCGAGCTAGTGGCTAATTCAAAAAAAAAAAAAAAAAAAAAGAGAGAGAGAAAGAGAGAAAGTTCAATCTTACCGAAGACAACAAATCCAATGGATCTTGCATCTGGCCCGAACCAGAGCTAGGGCTCGAGCCAGTTCCCGAGGTTGGATTCAAATAATTCCATGACGAGAATTTGCTCGAATCAGTCGTAAATCGACGTTGCAGGTTTGCTCGTACATCGCCAGCCGGGCGAGACGAGAATCCCGATCCAA